CACATTCGGAGGGTGGCGAGTCTTCCATCCATTGTTTTTTCCTGTCTCATCTTCCTTCTTACCCATTCGGCACTATGCGGTTTGAGCCATCCTTGGTCCCATTTATCATCGTAGTATTCTTCTTCTAACTCGGTTACTTCGTAGTCCTCCGGGTACTCCTCAGTGTGCACCACCGGGTCTTCCCCCTTTGCTTTGAGGCTTTGTTGATAGCTGTAATTGTCTTCCTCATCGGGCACTTCTTCAATATAAACGGTCTTTTTATTGCAAATATGGGGTGCACATAATGGTCCCACCGACCCACCCACCGGGGAACACGAGCCCCCGGTGCCATTATGTGTTAGTGACGAGGGAGGAAGACGTACCGTGATCGGAGGGGGTTGAATGATGTCCCCGGTCGTCTGGACTGTTGTTTGTGGGGCAGCGGTTTTCTTGATGGGGATTCGCGTTCCCTCTTGCGGCTCCTGTCGTGTCGGGGTAGTTGGCCGCATAGGGCAGGTGCGTACGTTCCGCCTTCGGGCGAGGCCCTGCATCGTTCCTCTCCCGCCTGGAGGCGCCTTCGCCCACTACTGGCTCGGCCGCTCTTCCTCCGTTTTCTGCGCCAGTACCTACCCTCCACGGAGCGATGTTGTCCTTGATCCCGGGTATCCTGCCGCCTTGCGCAGCATGCACCGCTTGTGCTTTCGCACCGGTGGCCAAGGAGCTTGAGTGGGGTTCTTCTTCGAGCACGGTGGAAATCCCCTGTACACCAGTTCTTCTTTATATGCGACTTGGTAATTTCATTTTGTGATGGCGTGAAAAGTTTGTCATTGCCTCGAGGTACTACATGCGGTACATTAGTCCGACCCGTGGGATTCTGTGACGCACCACTAAATGAAATTGTGTCCTTTGCCGACGCGCGTTTGTCGCTTACGCCGCCGGCTCGTCTTTTACCTCCTCGATCTTCGATGTGGAGGCTTCTCCTTCTTCATCCTTCAATACTTGTTGATACATTGCGCGAATTTGGGCACACGAGAACTTGGGCTGGTGCTTGACGAGCCACGTACTTTCGTCCTTTGGGCATTTGTTGTCTTGCTTCCGATGTCCCTTGTGGCCGCATCGGAAACAGCGACCTTCCTTGCGGAGGCGGTCTATCTCCATGGGTTGACCTTGGCCCCCGTACATGGTGCCTGTGCCCGTCTTCTTATCACTTTGGGAATTCCTGGAGCTTCCGGCTTTTCCCGTTCCCTTGTTCTGCTGACCCTGCGCTCCCTGATTTCTGCCTGCATCTTCCGCTAGTCCCACGTGGTAATTATAGTCCATCTGTTCGACTCGGAACTTCCATTCTGCGTACGTGCGTGGGAGCGCAGTTCCCGTTGCGTGGATTGCGGTTTTCACGTTTTTCCGAATGGCCGGTTTGAGGATCTCGATCATGTACTCCTCATTGTGTCATTTGCTGGATTCTTTGGCCAACCGTTCGAAATCACGGAAGAACTCTTTGGCAGATTTGTACGTGTTCTGTCGGATGCGTTTGAACTCCTGCAGCTTGAGTTCTACTTCCGCATCGGTTTGGAACTGGTCTTCTATGATCTGCCTGAATACGTGCCACGCGGGATATCGTAGATATCCGCAGTTCTCGTCGTAGTACTCGTCCCTGGCATGGTTCCACCAGTGTAATGCTTTGTCTGCGAGGCGGAACGTGCAGAATACTACCCTGTTCGGGTTTTGTCCGTGCGTGTTCATTGTGAACTGCTGTGGAAATACATTGAAGTAGTCTTCGCACTGGTTTAGGAATCGGTCCACGTCGCTGGATTCCCCTTTGAACTTCTCGGGAGGATCCGCCAACTGCGGTTTCACCTGTCCCCATGGGTTCGTGTTTGCCACCCCGACTATGAATGGTGGAGGCGTGTTGGGTGGTTGTACGGGGTCGGCGGGGATAGGAATTGCCGCCGGGCGTGGTAGCGATCGTAACGCGGGATTATGGTGAGGGGATAAAGGGCCTTGTGGTGCAGGGGCTGGTGCCGGGGGTTGGACTGGTACTGTGGCTGCGGCACCTGCGCTTCCTGGAGTTCCTGCGGCGGCGAATAGTCGGCTAGGGTCTACATACCCCGTCCTTCGAAGTATGGATAAGTGGCTTAAGTCCACCGTACTTCCACTCGATGCTTCCGATGGGTCTGGTACCTGGTACCGTTCCCCGGGGTCCGTGTAGTCTTCTGGATGTACTTGGTTCCACAGGACGTTCGTATGGAACACAGTTTCTCGATATATTACCTGGGCCCCGATTTGCGAAACTTTCTCCTTCTGGAAGTACCTTCCTTGTGGGGAACTGTTCCATGACAGCTCCCGCGGTAGCTTCTTCTCCATCCATTGTAGCATTTCTAAATATGTCATATTTTCTAGCTCGGCCTCAGTAGGTTCCCGAGCTAGATCCTTCCACGAATTCTGGTATGACGTCCTCATCCCCGTATTCTCCGACCCTGTGCTGCTGCTGTAGATCGAAGTCTGCCCTATTCCAGGGTTCTCGTAAATTTCGCCTTCTTCTAAGTCCGAGGGGTCGGACTCGCTCGAAAGGCTCTGTGCTGCCCGTGACGATACGGTTCCAGTTTCGAATGATTCTTGCCCACTCGTTGACCCTGAGTACGACCTGATCGAAGTCTGGTCTTCTGGGTCTATCCCATACCCAGGGTGCAATGAAGGGGATGGGAGCTGCGTGGGGGTGTTCTGGCGCGAGGGGATAGATGGTGTATGGTGTAACGGAGGCAGGGGCCTCGATTCCTTCGTACATGAGCCACGCGTCGGCGTAGTCCTGCAGCTGTCTGCATACATCGCAGCTGGCGTCAGCGTCGTACGTGGGTCCGCAGTTGTCGAGCTCGGTAGTGGCTTCCCCGGCCCGATCGTTGATGATGATTGGGGTGTTTGGGCGGGTGATGAGGTAGATGTAGTCGTCTTCGTTGTCTGAGGAGTCGTCACGGGCATAGTAGTTGCCCCATGTTTCTCCTCTTGAGTCCAGCCTTGGAGGGGACCAGTCGTTGCGCGGCCCTGGGAGCTCGTCGCTGTCGTGGTCCTCCTCTGTATCGCTGCTTTCTTCATCTGAACTGCCTCTAGTTCCATCTTCAGCCTCTCCTCTTTCTCCCAGATGATATCTAAGCCCTCTTTGATAGAGGCGCTGTCCGTTTGAATCGTAGCCAGGATTGGCGGCTGAGTTTTCTGTTGAGGTGGGGGAGGGGGCGTCCCAGGGGTTACTTCCCTCGCTTTCCCCTTCGCTTTCCTCTTCGGTAATGGGAGAGAGAACACGCTGGTCCACCCCTTGTTCGTAGATTCCTCGCTCTTCTTCTTCTTCAACGATTGGGCCTCTTTGTGCGGGCCATCCTTCCATTTCGGTGTCGGACTCACTGGACTCACTTGTGTTGGAGTCCTCTGTGATCCACTCGTCGTCTGTGATGAATATGAAGTGGATAATGGGTTCAGGTCGGTCGTCGATGTAGTTGGGAGGGGGTGTGTGCAGTCGTCTAGCCTCCGGGTCGGGGGCTTCGACGGGGATAGTTTCTTCGGAGACTGGCTCCTGGTTTCGTCGGTACTCGTATCCATATAGGAATGCGAGGTAGGCTATGGCGATAAAGCCTTGGAGTCCAAAGAGGTCGGTGAGATATTGTTCGATGGGGTTCATTTGTTACTGTTCGTCAACGTGGTTGTTGATGAAGAGTAGGAAAGTCTCGAACTAATTGTTAGCGACCGATATAACAAACAAGATCAAACAACTAAGCGTGACTCACACTTCAGTCAGGCGCTTTGTGTTGTCCGCAGGTTTGCGTTAAGGGAGCTATCGCTTAGTTGAGCGAGAGTGAGTTCAGACTAAGTTATCGGGTGAATAAACTTTAGTTCGAGACTGAGGTTTAAGACCTGCAGTCGAGCTACTTAAATACAGTTTGGGTCGTGCTAAATATACTACAAGTGTCTGCAACGGTACGGTAAACATACCAAACCCGCATGGTGAATGCGATCAAGCCCGGAGAATTAGCATAGCGAGATTACGAGAGAGTCGATAAGATATGATAAGGCGCGAAATTGTAATATTGTGCACCCAATAGTATGCTGTTTTCTCCTATGTTGCTACTTGTTGCTGATATCATCGATTCACAAGGCTGGCCATCGATAAGCATGATCAAGCCTCGATAAGCATGATTTCAAGGAACAAGCTCCAAGGTGAGCTTGACATGTGCATGCACACACATGGAGGAGGGAAGTAAGGTACTTATTGTTCATATCTTCATCTTTTGCTCATGACAACATTTCCATCAGAGTGATCTTCCTTCAATACCATTGCTTGAGTAGGAATAACTGGGCTACAAGTGCATGTACTAATCTTTCATCAGTATCTCTTCTCAAATGTGATTAGGTTTGCTGTTAATGTCAATTTCTCAGTCACTAAATGCACCTATGCCCTCCAACACCTTCCCTCAATGGTACGTGATCTCTCTGCTCACCCTTCTCTTGCTGATGCTGTCTTATCAGGGCATAGATTGAGGAGTGTTGTACAACATTGATGAGGATGATCAACGCTCGATACACCCAGATTCTAGTTCTGCAGACAGGGCATGTACATGCAGGAATGGCATATCATCAAGAGGACAGGTATGGGGAGGGCACTGCACCAAATATCGCTTTGTCATTGGAACCTGCATTGACTGCATCTTCGGCCAATGTGGAGGAGTGCACCTTCAATCAGAAGGATGTATGTACTCTCATATGACATGAAGCATATCTGACTCCCCGGTTGGGATTGCAGGATCCAACATGGCATCTATGACACTTTTGTTGTCAACCAGACATCATGTCCAGGCAGAACTTGACATATTCCTAATGCACAGACCATACAGCTGTTATCAATGGCAGACTTGGAGAGGGAGTTGGGATACCAATACATACTGCGCTACTTTTTGGGTGCTCTATGAAAGTACAGTTAATTGTATACTACATTAGCTACAAGTAGAATGTAGAATTCAATGAAGCAATATCTATTGAACATGACAATGTGCAAGACCTGTGGGTATCTGCAGGTAGGTACATCTGTGGAGGTGTTATACCTGTGGGTTACGAATACCTGCAGTGCTACCAAATACCTGCAGGACAGATACTGTGGATCCAGATTGCAGCACACAGCCATACTAGTTGGTGAGGGCCAACGCATCCACGTGGCAGGTCCAAGTCCTATGTTTTTTGTCTCCAAAAAATAAAAGAAAAAGTTAACAATGATACTTAATTGAATTCATGGACTAATAACTACAACAGATTTATACAAAAGTACATCACATCAGACTCCTTGCAAAGGATAAAATGGTGATGAAGGTGATAGACATATGGGATCCAGAAGAGCAGAGAGTGCATACTGACATGGTAAACAGGAACACAATATCATCAATGCTGCATCTATCAAACGAGACAAGGATGCAGGGGTGTGGAGGATCTTGCGTCAAAATGCGAAGGACAGGACTATCGAGGAGATGGTCTTCACAATCACAGGTGCCATATTTGTGACGGATATACCACCTGTAATGAAGGAGACAAGGTAAGTGGACAATTTCATGATAAGAGGGAGGGGGTAGGGAACGTACTCACAATTTACACAGGATGCTGAAGGAAAAGACGATACCATGTCCACAATCAAGGAGATACAAGTTATGGGGGAAAGAGAGTTCAGGGAAGGGGAATTAGAGAACTGGAAACCGGATATGGAGACGATGAACTGCTATTTCAGACCCAAAAACAGTTTGAACAAAGAGGAAGGAAACCTATTGCAGCCAATGTCGACCCAGTGGGTGTACTCGCCAAGATAGCGCAGCGGAAGTCAATCCACACTGAAGAAAACATTGTGTGCTACTTCAGAGGAGGGAGGGAAGAAAAGGTCAGCACCGCAGAGCAATCGAGAATGTTAAATTGATGACACCTTTGCATTACAGATACATGATGGTAAAGCCACAGACATTCCAGGTAGGCGATGTCGTCGAAGCCCAGTGCTCGATGGTATTTATGAGGAGTAACAAGGCAGGGTGAGGATGAAGACGATTCTGAGGGCATTGGCCCTAGTGAACTGCGATCACTCGTCAGTGAGTGATACAGACAAAGGTATCAAGGACAACATACTGATCAGACTTATCCACAGAAAGCCAATTTGGACAGGAGAAATGTGGAGAGTATGCCAGCTCCAGCTCATGCGGATGAAGAGAAAGATAGATTTTGAGGAAGATGAAGACGAGGATGAATATGCGGGCGGGCGCTAAAAAGACCAATAGGATGAACAAGGTGGATGACAATGAAGGAACAGTGAGATTTGTGCAGTTATATATGGCATGTGCTTATAGAACGACGCAAAGAGAAATTGACATTAAGAAAGGTAACAAACAGGGGAAACAAACAAAAAAACAACAGAAGCCACCAGCGACACAAAGAAGCAGCGATGAAATGGAGCTGTCGGGAGAAAGAGGATGAAGCCAGGAGAAAAAGGGTGCACGAATAGAAAACTCCCATGGCCAAAGCCCAAGGGGCAGAGTGAGATAGTCGGCAAACACCGCCATCAATTGATTCCACCAATAGAATTTCCCATGGGTCTTTCCCAACTGCATAATGACCAAGATATCCTATATTCATAGGACTCAGAACTGGCAGATCCGGATCAATATCTGATCTTTTTCAAAACCTGCAGGCCAGATCTGGATCCATCTGTGCTATGCCTTATGACCCACCAACCTTGCTTTTTGGAAGATTTGGAGTTCTCTACAGTGATACACTGTCTACATGTTCACATCCAGATTTTGTGATTTTGTAATAATACTATTTCATATCCATTCTATACTAGTGATATCTAAGGGCTATATCTGAGGCTTCAAGCAGATAGTCAAGATAGTAAGCTACTAGCCAAGTCAGGACTTAGATGTAGCATCACTATTGGATCAAATCTATCAGCTGGCCAGACTAGTACTTCACATGCTAGCAGAACTAAGTAAAACATGGTCACTAGCAGATGAGAGAAGTTACTAGCACCCCAAACCAGAAGCAGAGGACATAGATCTTGTGAGGATTCCATCACTAGTGAACTGATCTGGGCTTGAATGCCTAAGTAAGGTTGACTAGTCATGTGGCAATCTTGAAGCAGGACTTAGAAATGATTCAGTAAACAGATGAGCCTGGTGACCAGATCTGGCTAGTGCAATAAAGATCTATTACAATTGGCACTAGTATAGCTAGACTGCACCCTTGATCATAATCAACAATTGCTACAGGCATGGATAAATGACTATTCATTTATCCATGGCACTAGTGGAGTAATATTGGGTCAAGAGCATGGAAAGAAACCATTAGTGGAGCTCCTAAGCCTGCTAGTCAGCAAGCAAGCCCCTCTAGACTGATTATTGCATAATTATTTGCCATTTCTTGTGACTAGCCAAGACATTCTTACCAATAATATCTCTCTTGCCAGTTTATTTATAACTTTTGTACCTTTCTTACTAGTATATAAGTAGTAGATTAGGTGCACATGCAGGCTAGGCAAGCCATCCCTATAATTGTGACCTACTAGTCAGTATCTAATCCCCCAATTAAAGGCTTTTGTGCTTAACCTCAACAAGATGATGGCTAGTCACTAAGTTATCTATAGTATTGAATGAATTGAAGTGTCTTAGAATCCACTATTGTGTCCTGAACTGGTCCAGAGTGTTTCAAAGTTAGTTCAAGCAAGTTTCCAAAGTTATAGTATTAGTTCTTAGGCCAAAAGTGCCACTAGTGAGCCTAGGGTGCTACTAGTCAAGTGTAGATCACTTGTAAGAGTCAGTATAAGGCCAAGAGAGCCACTAGTTCAAAGTATTCTGAGTCAGACCAAGTGCAGTAGCTCCAAACCAAGTCACTATTTATTCAATTGTGCCTTAAGCCCTCACTAGTGAGAGTAATATCTTTGTATAACTCATTAGTAACAAATAAAACATTTAGCCCTAGCATATAAGTCCTACTTCAAGGTTGTGTGTTTAATTATTAATGTAAATAACAGCCACTGCATTCAATGTCCACATCTCTGAAATCATCCAAAGTTGGTGCCTCAGTTTGTGGTTGGTCAGTGTGCTGTGTTTTGAGCTGTTAACACAGCTGTGCTGGCAAATTATCTTGATTGGTGTGACACACATTGGTATGGTGCTGAGCATGATCAAAGCTTTGCTGGAGAGTCCAGATGGCCTACCCATAAAGTATCTCATGTCAGGTAACAAGAAAATCACAGATTCAGTGAGCCAAATGTTGCTTGTCCATTAGGCATGTCTTTACACTATTTTCTAGCTATTGAAGAAGTGGTCTGTGAGACCAGACTTGGTTCTCACCAACTTTTATGGGTAGGTACCTAGATTGGGTTTGTGAACAAGTGCTAAATTGCTCTCTAGTTCTATGGAAGCAATGGTTGGCTGCACTTTGAGGCAGATAGGCCTGAATGATCACAAAGAAAACATCAGAAGAGCTTTTTCATCATGCTCCACATACGTTGTTGATTGTGATCTGAATATAGTGCTGTTGGGATGCTCAGGAGAGCTGGTCATAAGTGGACCTCTTGTTGCATGTGGTAAGCACTTCTCATGATCCATAATCTAGCCTTTATTGATATATCACAGGCTATCACAACCTTTCTGATGTAACATTGAAGATGTTCATTGATTACCCTACTCCAGGATGTAAGACATACTTTACTGATGATCTAGGTAAGCCATTCCTCATCCACCGCATAATTTTCATGTCAATTATGTTACTCAGTTCACATGATGCCAGATCACTCCATCAAAATCATAGGTCATATTGACAGCCAAGTCAAATACCATGGAGTGCGCATTGAAATGGAAGGGATATTGTAATGCACTAACTTGGATTGAACAATGTTTGCCTCTAAACTGTCACTCGCATTCGGTGATTCAGTTGTGAAGAGAGCATTGCAATCGCTAGGTCAGAAATGATAGTCCTTAGTCTTGGAAGCAGGGAGTTTCTGCATGAAAAGTTAGGAGTGTATAACTTTAGCTGAAGCTGGGGTGTAAGACCACAGCAAGGCTTGACTAAATACATCGCTGTATTTACTAGTATGTACTGTCCTAATGCATCGCTGCCTTCTGTATCGTATGGCACTGGTATGGTAGAAGTCCTCCTGTGAATGTCAAGGCTTCAGTCCGTGTGGTGCTTAGTATAGGAGAAGCACTCATGTGAGTAAGAAGACTAGCATCCATATGGTGCTTGATATGGTAGAAGCATGTCAGTGAGTCAGAAGGCTAGTACCCATGTGGTACTATCTTCTGAGGAGCGTACATGGTGTCCTATCCATCCTGGGGTGTGACTTGTGTCAACCCATGAAGCATGAGGGAATATCAAGGGTAGGGCCCATAGAAGTATGATCAGACCTATAGGCCATCAAATGGATCATGCATGTGAGCGATGCAATCATGTGTTGATGTGAATGAGGTGCTCTATAGGTGCTAGAGCAATGCCTCATCCTGCAAGTACTTCGGGGAGAGGTGGTGGTATGAGTCAAAGGGTGGATTGCTGAGGTAATCTACTTCTAAACTCAGACTAAACTATCTGTAACTACTAAATCTGGCTAACTGAATATTACTATGAAGAAAACATAATCCGAGTTCAAAACAGGGTACACCCCATCAGCATGTGAAGGTGAGTCAGAGCGTGTGGGCAGTGTGACCAAGCAGGTCATGAATGATGTGGATCAGGTATGAGGAATGATGATGAGAGTCAAATGACAAGTTGCTGTGATAAGATAAGATAAGCAAAAAATAGGGGTGAATTCATGACAGATATCTTTGATACTCCAAGCTGCTGGCAGTGTCAAGAAGCTCACCGTCTCAACTTTCATCACAACCCATCCTGCCATGAGTGCACAGGAACTCCTTGTCAGTTTCTTTGCCTTCGATAATGATGTCTCTATTGTCAAGCATCAGTCTTCTATCCCTTCGTTGGTTCAAACAGATGAAGTGAAGGCATTGGTACAAGTGCTCAAAGCAGCTGTTCAAGTACAGCTTCTGGTTTATATGTGATCGGCATATATTCTTCCTGTCAAATTCATTCTGCTAAGCTTGAATGGGAAAATAGATACCAAAGTTTTGGCACATGTTTTGCACAGCTTGGATATGCAGGCTTTATTGAGAAATTAGGGTAGTAAATCTATTAAGTAATCATTTGCAAGAAAACTTGAGAGAACCAGGTTAATAGTGACATTTTGAATCATGGAAAAACTCAGTAAGTAACTTCTGTATTGAAGAGATGTGAAAGTTGTGGATCACTTGTACATCAATGAAACAATTTGGAATGATTACCTATAATGCTCCAAGTAGGAGTTTAATGGGCCTAATGGACATGCTTGAGTCCTGGCTGACAGATGATTAAAGAAGTGGAGATACTGTTAAATAATCATGTTCCATTGCAAATGACATTCTGTTACATCTAGTTTTTATTCATCTCTTGATACAATGGATGTCATGTTCAAGGAATCATCCCCCTGTCCATTTGGCTGAGTCTTGAGGTCATCTCCACAAGCAACATTCCCATTATTAAAATGACCGCCTTCTGGTCTCTCCAATGCCTGGGCCCTGTGATTATCCTTGCATATGACATTGCTCTCAATGTCAGTATCTTCCTGGAAGTCCATTAGAGTACTACCTCTGTATCCACTGCTTCTTTCTCTCCAAGCCTTGGCAGTCTCTGAGTCTATGCCAACATCATGTCCCTGAGAGTCAGCTAAGATGTGATGGCTATAGTCATCCTCTCTCTCCTGCTGGGATTCAAGGTCTCCTCTTGTCATTGAATCCTGCTGAGAGCCTTGATCTCTGAAAAGCCTCCCAAAGTGAAGTGAGGTCACAGCACTTCCTTGCCAAGAGTCATCAGGGCGAGCATGACCTGCTGCAACACGTCCAACAAGAAGTGTTGGAGCAATTCCCTATATCAAAATTTAAATATACAAACATGAGAGAAGAATATGAGCCTACTCTTGCAACTGCTGCTAGAGAATCAAAGTACTCTGACGTGTCATTGTTGCGAACAGAGAAGACTTGATGGAAGATTGTATATAAGATCAAGGATATTGAATAAAGAGCATATGATTCAATCAGAACTTCCATCACATGGTGATAGGTTTGAAGTCCTCTCCCTGTATGACTTCCTGCTCGTGCCACAGTGACAATGCGGTAGATGATAAGCAAGGTGCACCATAAGGTTGAAGCAAAGATGAAGGATGCATAAAGTGTTAAACCAAGAGGATAATCCTCTGCAAGAGATGTTTTGTATAAACCAAAAACTTTGAGTGCTATATCAACTTGAACTCTTGAGAAATTGACACCATAGAAGATTTGGATGATCTTACCAGTTGCAGAAACAACAAGAAGAATAGGAAGCAGGATAATTGACCACTGCTGTCCCCAGACTATCCAACAACGCCAAATCTACAATTGAGACAACATAAGCTATACTTAGCAGAATTAACATTGTTATACACACCATAATAGGTTCTGCCAGAACATTGGCAATAGTACTGGTGATAGCTGTCCCTAATGATGTAGTACCCCAAGTGCTATAAGCCAGATATTTGGTCCAAAGATTTTGTCCCTTATTAACAAAAACAGAGTGGCTGTGAGACCAAGAGAAGGCAAAGTTCATAGTAGTGGCAATATAAACAAGGATTACAAGGATGACCATAGTTTGTCCAATAGGCTGAGGTTTGTTTGTAACTATAGCATTCACTTCAGTTTGTATATCATAACAGACATATTCTACTCACAGACATTCCACAGTGTTACAAAAAAAATTCCAGTATACATGCCTATGCAGAGCTGTGATTAGGCTAAATATCATAGATTTTGATAAACATGCAAACCATTCAATAGAGAGTATAATATCTCTGAGCCCAATAAATTATCAAGAGTTTGATATATATTGGTTTTATCAGCATCAGTAAGACTTGACGGAATACTGGTCTGAGTGGCCATCAAGCTGGTCTGAGTGAAAGTTCGAAAATAAGTGGGGAGGTAGTCTGATTATAACACATCCCACATCTCTCATTATATACTTGTCATCACCGAGCCATCCATATACAGACAAGGGTACAGATCTGCTGCCAAGAAATTTTCGTAGGTTCTACGGCTGTGTTGTCATGCAGTAAATCATTCTCCGAGCGGACTGTATAACTGTCCCGGAATAGCCACGAGTCTCGCGGTGTTTACAAGTGACTCAAGAAAGCTTAGTCTCGATACCCATCCATAGGCTAAATTCGGACGCAAATTATGTTGGAGGTCGTAATGCTGAATTGAGTCATTAATAGATGTAACATGGAGCCAGTAAAGCGCACAGCCAACCTGATGAACTTGAGGAAGGATGCATAGCTGCGCTCCAAAGATGACGAAAGCTTAACCCACAGCATCTTCCGAATCAGTCTCAGGTTTATGGGAATAGATACCAGAGTCGAGGCTTCCATCAGTGTCAGGACCATCGCTTGATTATCTTCAAACCTTACTGTCAACTTCTGATGACAAGGAGGAATTAGCATGGCATCAACACCAATTGAGTTCGCTCCATCGACTCGCTCGCCTCAGAGATAGCTTATACCTATGCCCAGTATCCGGCACGTATCCCTGTCCTGGATGCAACACCTACACGCGTGGACGCCGGAAGACTTGCAGACCCAAGGTGCTGCCACTGTACGCACAGATGTAAAACGGGAAGGATGAGGCTCTGAGGGGATGCCGGGTGTGATATCAGTTCTGAAAGAAGCGTCGAAGATGAAAAAAAAGGGAAGCGAGATGTACTATTTCCGTCGAGGGCCGATTCATGCTATAGAATGCTACAATCTGAAGGGCGGTAAAGGCTATACGCCAAGATTCTTGCTCTAAAGATATCGCGGTCTCTTTGGCAGTTGCCCTCCAGCTGACACAAACTGGTCACTTTGAGGACGGGAACTTCAATATTGATTCATTCTAGTCACTGTACCCGCTTTTAGTAACATGTAGGCAAAAACTGAGAGTAGGAGAAGACACGTACATACTCCAGACGTATATCTACTGTCAACGACGAGGGAAATAATCAAGAAGATCGCTCGTAATGCCATAATTTGGTTATGGTTGGATGCGCGCCCGCGCTGTTGACTATTAGTGTCCAAAGTCTGGAGCACGGGCCGGTACTCTGGTCTTGACCACGACAACCAACAGTGTAACATCGACTTTATGAACGTTCGCATGTTTCGGCGACCGCGGACTACCCTGGATTCCCAATGCCCTCGATGCATATGCACTCCCTTTGAACGTCGAACGCTGAGGACATGAGAGAAAGAAAGGACCATAGAGCGGTGCGACGAGAGTGAACAGGTGAGTCAGTGCCCGTGGCGCTGCTGGATCTACATTGTACTAATTTCCTGGCTGTTGGTGCAGTTACCGTTCTCTGGTCAAACTGAGGTTTGCGACAAATGGGCGGACAAGAAAAAACGACTATCACGCTAACGTAGCTCGACCTACCCCGTTCCGGTAGTCTGGACTCTACCTCGTGGTGTTTTTTCAAGTCACTCCTACTTGTTTTCTACCTGGTAGCTGGATTCGGCCAGTATCGACCGAGAGAAGGGAACTTGGCCGTGGTGCGTCAATCTCAGCTGCGATGCTGAATCACACTCACAACGTTTTTATCACAGATATTGTCGACGCAGAACATCATAGAGACTGAGGCCTTGAGGTCTTGAGGATCGAAGCCCTCGGCCGCCTAGCAACAGCTCCTCATCCAAGCGCGTGTCCACTTCTTTTCTAACTCAGACTCTCGCTACCGTCTTCGCCAACAAACGCTCTAATGGAGGCCGCTACCCTTCACGCCGGCTCCCATCTACGAAGAAAAGGACAAGAGGACATGTCTTGGATATCAGGCCAGCGATGTAATCATCGTCATCAACGGAATCCAGCGCGTCATACATACGTCTTCCGTCCGATGGACCTTTCTCCAGAAAAAAGCATGCATCGGTGTTATGTATGAACATGATTTCTTGTTCTAGTCGCATCCTTGCTGCGTACAGCAAGTGAAGTCAAGGCATTGAGCTCTGGAGCTTCACACCCATGTTCAGTGGCAGCGACGAGTGAAAATGCGGCTGTTGTCGAATACGTGCTCCAGCTTCATCCAAATCCTTAGCATGTAAGCTGATATTGTAATGACGTCTTTAGGTGGTGATTAGAATTGGAAGTTCTGGTGCGTATTTTGCGCAGCTTGGATACGCAGCTATAAGCAGACTTCATTGGGGAATTAAGGCCGTAAGTCTATTAATCATTTATGAGAAATCCAATTTAGTAGCGAATCCAATGTATCAAAAGAGAACTAAATATTACAACCATCGATCCGTCCCGTATTCCCGTCTAGACCGTCAAGGATTTCAACGACGCCGCCACTGTCTCAACGTCAGGGGTGAATACGCCGTCGAAGTAGGTCTTCAAACCGTCTACGCCTCCGACAAGAGCACCAATGACGCCGTCCGGACGAACGACGACCGTGTCAAGACTCCTGCTCTTGATCACATAGTTCTGGTATGCATACCCATCCTTGTCTTTGAAGACAAGTTCGGCGGGCAGATCACTAGACTTGACCTCTGTGTTCTCCGACAAAACAACCACGCGTTTCAGGATATTAGCGGGATACTTCTTAACCGATTCCAGGATAGCCGTCTGCTTCTCCTTGTCATCGGAGAACAAGAGTAGGGTGTGATGCGTCGGTCCGAAAATGTCGAACAAGGTCGACAAATATTTGTCTGACGGCTGACCGACTGAAATCAAGCCCGGCGCATCTGGAGCACGGTCACCGCCACGTACAGTGCCGTCGTTTCCAGACCGGTAAGGGTCGACTACCTCGCTCGCGTCACTAGAGGTCTCGTCGACAATGATAGGACTTCCACGGTAGTTGACACCGAATTGGCGCAACTCGTACCCTCGCTTCCAGCCGTCAAAGTTGTCGGGAGTGCGCCCGAACGTCTTGTTGAGGAGTGCTGTGGTCTGGTCGAGCATGGAGGCGACGACGGGCAGACGCTCGTGGGTGTACGATTCCATGAGCGACTTCGGTGCGAGACCCTTCTCGACCATGGCTAATTTCCAGCCTAAATTCATCTATATCACATTTCGTATGAGTTTGAAATACGAGGTGCTTGTATTATTACTCACGCAGTCCTGGACGCCTGTGTTCATTCCCTGAAATTACGCTCAGTGTTATGTTTCACAATATGGTTACAGTTAGCGTACCTGTGCGCCGGTGGGACTGTGTACGTGAGACGCGTCTGTAGAACGCGTCGAGTCAATAAACACGCTATTCATTGATGGACTTCATACCTCCAGCAACAAACACGCGGCCAGAGCCAAATTTGTCGACCATACGGATGTTCGGTCTAGCACCCATTTAGTTTGACGATAGCAGAAGTAAAACACGATTCAACGTGCCTATAAGGACGGAGATAGATGAGGTCGCCAAATTCGATATCCGTACGTCCGCTGACTTCATAGAAGGACTTGATGAATGCTTCACGGCTCGAAGTCATCTCATCGCGATCAGCCTCTACACCACCACCAAGGTAATAGCACCGATCGTCACCGGGTATCTCGTAGGGTCGCAGACTCGCCCTAAAAGGAGCATTGTTCATGTAAGGACGAGGCAGAAATTATAGAGTGGGCTTACATCTTTCTAGATGCATCACCCCATACGTGCCAGATCTCGGATGTACCTTAGCGTATGCCATCGAGCAAAGAAAAGGAGCTCCCACCTTTCGGTCCAACTTGTTCTCCAAGTTCTTGATGTAAATATCTCCAATGACAAAATTTTCGGCCTCGCGACACGTTCCAAGGAAACTCAAGCCCAGCTTCTTCCGTACGAAGCTCGAGGCGCCATCAGCACCAACCAACCATTTGAATGTCGAAGTCTCTTTCACTTTCTCTCCATCGGCAGTGGTCTTGCACAGAGTGGCAGTGACGGAATCGTCGTCATGCTCAAAATCCACGAGTTCCGTTCCAAGTTCGACAGAGACACCGAACTTGGCGAGATGCCTCCGGAGAATGGCTTCATGACGATCTTGTCCGAGAATGAGAACGTTTCCCTGTCGATGCTTTAGTGGTATTCAGTGACATCTGTGGAGTGGCATACATATGGAGTAGCAGGGGTGTTGTCTTCGATTGGGAACATGGGCATTTCCCTCTTACGCGTAACACCGTCCTCATCGTACAGAATCAGAGTGTGGAGGATGGGCCCGGCTTTCTGGATGTCTTCCAAGCAGCCGAGGAGCTTGTAATGCTCTAAAGTTCGAGGCTGAGATGGAGTCAGTAGGTGAAAATGCTTTGATTAAGACACAGATGCTTACAGACAGGGCTGCACCTCGTTGGCCGATCTGAAATTTGGAGATTCTGTCGATTACTCGAACAGAGATACCGTTCTGGAGAAGGGCGAGCGCCGTCACGAGTCCAGAAGGTCCTGCACCAGACTAATCGCCCAGAGTACGAATTATTAGATTAGAGACAAGCAAGAACGAAACGGATAAGCTTACGATAAGCACTGTCGTTGAATCAGACATAGGAGAAAGAAGAAGTACTGAGAGACCCGACGAACTTCGTTCCGTGAAGCCAGTTATATACCATGCTAGTTGAGAGGGTGATATTTTTGGGCCAAAAAAGTCGGGCTTGGTACTTACCCTTGTCCCCGGTCTAGAGATGAACGGTTCTGTTGAAGGAGTCCTTATCGCTGCGGCCGTGACATAGGCGCGCATACGCGCCTTACGTCGATTGATTGACTTGTGCCTGGCGAATCTGTATAATCTTCTCCGTTAACGTTTAGAAGCACGGGAGGGAAATGCGATCAATGTTACAAATTTAACGCGTCGGAGTGAATAATTGATATGATTGATGATCGCATTTTTTGTGTGGTGAGTGGACAAGCGAATGCACAGAAAGTCCCCTGTGAGCATCCCCTGGAGGAGAGTCGACAGTGATCTTCAGGTGACGACGCCGCCCGACCAATATCGTTGTCTTGGCTCGAGGGCGAGATGCCAATCGAAAGCGTCAGGCGTCAATGCACGGGCCGACGTGGAGAGAAAAAGGAAAGGCGCGAGTCATACCTCGGGTTTGAACCTTCCTCAACTCTGCCAAACGCGGGGCCCCAGAATGTGTAGCCAAAGGTACACAAAAAAAGTCTAAACGATCGACCTCGGGTCATTGATTTGGATGTGAGATATGGAATTGGCCGTACCTATCAAAAGCTCCAGATAGCATCGTTCAGAATTCCATTTTCATTATCCTTTGCGAGAAATGGGAGTCGCTTGGAGGGAACAACCGAGGTTGGGTGAGTCGGGGGCGGGGGTAGATAAGCCGGAGCTTGCATATTACGAGATGTTTATAGCTCTGAGTGGCGTTCGCTACTTGGATACTTTTGTGGCTCCCAGCATCAAATCGCTATGCTAGCGCTGAATGTGATTCGACGATAAGTGGGTGATATGAACTTTGCGACACGATGCCCGCTGCTACATTGCAGGGCGGATGGCGCCAATACGGTATAGCGTACTCTTGGGCGGGAGGAGCAGCGGCATACTAAGACCAATACAACAAATTATACAATAGGCTGTAGGGTGGATACTGGAAATTCAAGATGTGATGCCAAGCAATAGCCGAAGAATTATAACGAATCTGAAACAGAACAATACAAGAGCGAAGAGATACCTGAAAACATGGACATAACGACGACCCTGGTTCCTGCAGAATATTCAGCTCTGGTCAGCGTAGAAAAGTTTACTATCGGAGGTGTTGGTAGACGAGACGATGATTGGTCCGGGAGAGCTTTCGATCACGGTGATCAATTTGATTGGCCGAATATCATGTGATTTACACAACTTTGCATCAACCACCCACAGGCTCAACTGAATGTCAGCCACCGCTAAGCTACGGCCTCAGCCAGAATTATTTCGAATTCGTTTAGTAGAGCTTATCGAGGAACGCGTAATACCAATGGAAACGGTGCCGGAAAAAGCGCACCCTACATCATTTCTATATTCATTTAATTGTGGAAAGATGTATTGTTCGTTACTTCTCCATTTCCCCGGCATGTGCAATCTCGTAAGGTAATATCCCTTCATATAATGTACATTTTTTACCTGCTAATGCCAAATTATCTAATTAATGTGCCCAGCTTGCTCGCAGGCCCGTAACCACACAGAAATATCGTATAGGCACTCTGTTTCGCTGTCGTCCAAGCTGTTTCGAATACAGAGGGCTCGGCACCGAGGCCAATACCACCATTTATATTTCCAAACTTGTACAGCAATCGTTAAGCGACGACGGCTCTCCTCAAAGTGGAGGCAGCGGCTGCCAGGTAAGTTGGCAGACCCCCGTAATTCTATCAAAGTCGGCCAAACTGATGTTCTCTACCAAACAACCCGCCAAGGTCACAACATGGGTTAAAACTCGACCTGATGGTCCATACGTTTTCGTCGTGACTTTCTGCACCTGCCAATGACTTCATCTACGAGCAATCTGGGCCACGCCCATTCGCGTACCTCCACCACTCCGGAGTCTGTCACTGAAACTCTGCAAGTTCCAGAGAGCCCCAATGAAAAGCAAGCTGGTGCTGAGGTACCAAAGGGTATCCAAGCTGTCAAGAAAGGTCGAGACTTCTGGCTCAGTTTCTTGGCCATGATTGTCTCGATCTTCTTGAGTGCCCTGGACTTGACTTCGGTCGGTACAGCACTTCCGACAATCGCTGACGCGCTAAACGATACAGAGGGGAATTACGTCTGGGTACGTAAATGCAGTATCAACCTGTATCATGTTCATGCGCTGATTATTGTCAAGGTTGGATCTGCGTATGCACTGTCGAGTACCGCAATCATGCCTTTGAGTGGCAGTCTATCAGATGCCTTTGGAAGGTACGCGTTCTTGTCTACAGTCCCTTGTGCCCTCTGACAGGTGTCATTTCACGATGACCACAGAAAGCCAGTAATGCTGGTCTCAATTGCTCTCTTCGCACTCGGGAGCGCTTTGGCCGGTGCTGCCCAAGACATGGTTAGTGCCGACTTAGTGTCTTTGACCGCAGTCCGACTGATACTGGGTATTTTTAGAACATGATGATTGGTGCGCGAAGTATGTTGATATGAGTACTTAATATCTACGGGTACGCGGGCTGATCATTAATTAATAGCGGTCCAGGGTTTGGGTGGAGGTGGAATCATCAATCTCGTCGAGATCTTGATTTCCGACTTGGTCGCTCTCTCGGAGCGTGGCACGTATCAGGGTATGATTGGCCTGACTTGGTCATTTGCTTCGGTACGTTTCACAAAATGAAGGAATGAGGTCTGTATACTAATTGTGTCCTAGGCTATTGCGCCTCCCATTGTGTGTAACAGATCTTTCATCCCTAATGGTATCTAATATCAAGTTCTTAGGGTGGCGCCCTGTCTGATAGAGGAAGAAAAGCCTGGCGATGGCTCTTCTGTAGGTGTCATTATCATGGAAACTATAATGGAGGCTCAACTCATCAACAGACCTCAACTTGCCTCTTACTGGTATGGCGTTCATCCTTGTCCTCTTCTTCTTGAACGTACGTACCCCTCCTGGTACCGTCAAGGAGAAACTCAACAAGGTTGACTGGTTGTAAGTAACCCAATCCTCGTGTCATCAGCTGCTGGACCTTGAATTCATCCAACAGTGGAAATCTTATCGTGATCTGCGGTACCACTCTAGCCATCATTGGCTTGACCTGGGGAGGTATCCGTTACGAATGGACCAACAAGCATGTGTTGGCCCCTCTCATCATTGGTTTCGCCCTGCTTGTGGCCTTTGGTTGGTATGAAGTCAAGGTCCCAGTGAGACCGACAGTCCCATCGGACCTACTTACGAACCGTACTACTTTGAGCGCGTGAGTTTTCCGGTATCCTGGATCAGCTTTGGTCAATGTACTGGCATTTCTCACTAGTATTCTCATGACGGCTATGCATGGTATCACGAGTATCTGTGCGTCGAGATCATCCTTCTTATCACTGGCCTCACACTAATCATTATATTCAGCCATTCTCTACTACTTGCCGGGTGAGGCCGTTCGCTCTCTCTTCATCTCATCTCGCTCATTCCCTCTATTCTAGTCTTCTTCCAATCTGCTTTCGGAGCGTCCCCAATCCGCTCAGCAGTTGATTTCCTTCCCAGCGCCCTCATCATTGCACCATTTGCTCTTTCCTCTGGCTTTATCGTTGCCATCACGGGAAAGTACCGTCCCGTCAACTGGGTCGGATGGGCCCTCACCATGATTGGTTTCGGCTGTTTCAGTCTACTCAAGGCAGACACCTCTACCGGCAAGTGGGTTGGATATCAGCTCATCGTGAGTGCTGGCAGCGGCTTGGTGGTATGTTTCTTTCACCTTTGTTCACTGCCCGACAATCTAAATTGGATCGGCTAGTTCTCTGCGCCTGTATTTCCACTCCTGGCACCCCAGCCCATCAGTCGGACTGCTGCCGCTCTGGCGTTGTTCGCATTCACTCGTGCGTTCACCCAAACATGGGGCATTACTATCGGAAGTACTATTCTCCAGGTATATACACGTTTCTGATCTCCCTTCCCTCGATTTACTCTGCCCTCCCCTCCAGAACAAACTGAAAATGAACCTCCCAGCATCCTACCTCGCCACTTTCCCCGCGGGACATGAGATCGCCTATGCCGCTATTCCAGGAATACCAAAACTGGCCGAACCCCTGCGTACCGAAGTCATGGTCGCGTTTGCGGAAAGTATGAAAGTGGTGTGGCAGACGATGGTGGGTATTTCGGGTGCGGGATTCTTGTTCAGTTTGTTGATGCAGGAGGTGGAGATGGTGGGTGTTGTTGATGAGACGTTTGCACTACAGGCGCGGCCGGAGAAGGAGACGCAGAATAATCCTAGGGATGCAGAGAAGGCTGTACCTCCCGTTGAATCGTAGTATGCTATACTATCCATGAAGTACTAAATAGAACGAGTTACGACGCGTACATGGAATTTCATTCATGGGTCGCCATTTTCGCTCAGGTTCAAAATGGCTTGCCCCGCAGCGTATGTCCAACTATCGGTCGGCAAAGACTTCTTATCTTTCGCTCAGAATACCTGACTAAATATAGGCACTCTGTACCACAACTCACTACATCTTTACGTCCAACAGCAAGAGCAGGGGCTATGCTAAATGCCGCTGTCACCTGAAAAAGGCTTTCACCTGCGTTTCGTAAACGGATAGTCCATGACAACAATTGAAAAAGGATGAGAGAAGTCCCAAGAAATTCGGAAACGCTGACGCGACCACCGAGGAGATTAAAAACAGGCATTGCTCACAATAATAGGTCTGAATTACGCTACGGTTACTTCTCAACAACAGAGCGTGATAGATACGTCTACGCTGAACCTGGCATTAATAACTCGAAGGCAGTGTTCAAGTCGTTGGGCAATGGGCCACAAAATCCTCGGCCAAGGCTAGAAACAGCGCTCTACTTGCCTTGAATCTCGGTTCTTTCATTTGTTGAGAAAAGATCCTGAATTAAGCGGATATTCCAGGAGCATCCTTCCAATGGACACAGCGTTGATACGACAACGGCGGTTTGAGGCAGGGCAGGACAGGACGGAGTTAGCGGAGATGTGGTCCGTTGCCTGCCGAATATCGTCATTCCCTAAATTTAGGTGCTTAGCAAGCACCACAGGTATTTGTTTTCCTCTCTACCACCACCAATACCAGCGCGTGTAGTTCTGTGCAGCTACTGCACTGTTTCTCTTCAAAGACGGAAAGCTTGTCGAGAGAGATATGAACCGGGAGTAAATTTAGAAGTTAACTCTGCCGAGCTATGGTTTATACTCGCCTGGCTGTGGCTGTTACTCCCGGATTTACTAGCACTATGGCAACTCTCCAGTGGCACAGTCGCACGAGTATATATGCTCGACCTTAGAGGTGTAACTGAACTGGCTCTTGAGCTCAAGCGACATAAACAAACTTGAACAAGTACGTCTTTCTTATTTTCACTGCTGTCGCCTCACGATATTTGCGGTTCCATTTTTTAGCCCTTGCTGGACAAGGATAACGAACATCAAATTTACGATTACTCACGACCCACGACGATTCTTTCAACATTCGATGGCTTCCAAGGCCATGCAGAGGGCTACTGGGACGACGACGCCTACTTTGAGAGGCTTGACGTCGCCCAAGTCCATTCTGAAACGGCCGCCACCTCTGCCCTTGTCGCCAAATCCATTCCCGTTCGCAGGAAGCGCCACGGTAGCCGTTTCGCCAAGCCTAAGGTCCCCACACGTCCATTTCCCTCCATCTGCTTCCCTCACATCAACCTTCGTCACCCATTCACCAAATTCTTACGATCGCGCCGCTATCATCGTATCCCCGAATTGCCTTGAACTTCCAGATCGAGGAGATAGGGTATATTCACCTACTTTAGGCGGATTCAAGTCCCAGGATGGAGTACTCACGTCCCCTTCGGAGGACACACCAGTTCCAAGTAGACGTCATCCTTGATGCTCCACCGAAATCCAAACGTAGATCAGTCCCTAGGCAACTGGATGTATCGCAAAGATCTCCGACAAACTTAGCGAAGGCTCTGAAGACCTACCCGCGTTCTCCCTACCCAACAGCTACATTTACCGGCTATGACGCTACCGAAGACTCAGACACCGCGTGTATCGGAATGCCTCGTCCTCAGAGAAGCAGCACTGTTTGTGGAGTGGTGACGCTTCTCCCAGTGAAGAAGGGCAAGAAGGAGGCCCCATCACCATATCCTTCCACCTCTCGACTCTCATCCCCATCAGCTCAAGAGTTTACCAATGAAGAACCCTCGACCTCGCTCCGTCAAGCGTTTTGGCAATCAGTCTCATTAAGCGATGAACAGGAACACGATGTGACGTTAACACCTAGATTCTCCGAACGGTTGAATCCGACATTTGTGTTTGCGACACAGGACGGGTATTTGTGGTCCCCGGGAATTCCCAGGCATGGTGATCATTCAACTTCCAGCCCCACGCTGGGAGACGATAAGGCCGCGTTGTCGCGGGTGAAGTCTCCAAGGCCGAATGACCCCGCCGCTGCCTTCCCTTCGTTCTCTTCTGTGCTTTCGTCGAGTGGGGCTGACGGAATCATTACATATCCACCACCTGTGATGACTGTGTTGGAGAAAAGGCCTCGAGCCTTGGCGAACGGTGGTGATGGCCTTCAAGTAATGTACCGTTAGTTGTTTTATTGTTTTTTGTGCGTATTAACGCACGTTGTCTATGTGACCGTATCTGCACATTGTTGTATTTTTCTTGTTGCGCCGCATGTCATGCATCGTGTTTCGTTACCGACAAATGGTTCCGTCCCATGACGTCAGCAATCGGTGTCGTCCAACCTGCGACAGGCCGAGGTTGAGTGATCCGTTGTCGCTCCAACAATCACAGCCGCGATGCAAACTTTCAAAGGGTATATCGTTGGTCCAAGGAGGATAAATATCATCCGTTATTGTCCTGCAAATCCGGAACCTGTTTCCAGATTTGATTCCGGTGCGCTCCATGGTTTCATGTCAGTATAAAAACACAGAAGCGGATGCGTCGAGTGTTGTGGAACCTCCATCAACACGTCTGGCCAAGTGCCTTGGCGAGTCTCTTCTGTCTGCCCCATAGCCTTCTCCGTCTTCTAACTCCTGTTCATTTTTAATACTTCCAGAGCTACGCGCTTGCTGGGAAAGCGTATTACCTTCCAGTACTGATTCTTCACTCTTGTGTGGTAGGTTTTCACTTGTCTGTCCCCCTCCTTCTCTTTATTCATGTCGACAGACTGGCTCGCCTGCCTGGACACTGTTCCGCAGCTAGCAATGCCCCGTCCAATCCTAAAGCCGTTGGCAACAGCGCGCGCTGTCGGATCTAGCACTAGCTCCCTAGCATTTCCAACTCAGACAGAGTCTCCACATGTTCATTTCCCCCCTACACCAGCAATCTCCTCTACCTATGCAGCCCACTCGCCGAATACGTACGACCGTGCACCGATTGTCGTATCCCCCAACTCATGCGAGCTACCAGAGCGCGGCGAGCGGGTTTACACCTCGACTTCTCCTAATACTGTCTCGCCCAAGGGGAGCTACTTCCACCCTCATGCGTACGAGGCGTGTCAGCCGGAACCAGAGCTTCCACCATCAATGCTCGCTGTCCCGGACCTCTCCATGTCAGCATCATCAGAGTCGGAGGACTCCGATGGATATGGTTCCCCGCAGATAGTTCCACCACCCATACCTCCTAATACAACATACCCGCCCATCCCACGGACTTGCTCACCAGAGGAGTTTAACCATGTATTATCGTTTCTTCCTCATAGGAAGGACTCGATGTGTAGTCTGGATTCGGAGACGCGACGGGCTCGGAGAGCGAAGACATCCGAGGCGAACCGGTCGGCGCGGAGCGCAACATCTAGTGCTTTCAGCGAGCCAGGGCTTGATGGATGTCTCGGTGGCTTCTAGCTGTATGTTAGATCAGTTATCATTGTCGCAGTAGCTTTGGCCAGTTAACTCCCGGAGCGACCCTGCAGTTACTTTACTTACCCACTTCGTCTATCGTCGAAGTCTCGTCAATCATTATTTACTCACTATGCTAATCAATGGAACTTCTTCATATGTCGCGCCCGTCGTGGGCTGTCTTGATTCGCCGCAGACGAAAATGATCCAAGACAGTCAGGGTTATGTTTCCTTCCTATTCTAGTTTTCATCCGGACGAATTCCTGCCCGAAGTCCAGCCGAGCTTCGGCTGAGCCAATCCTGTCCAGATTTGGAACTATTGATCGAACTTCATGTCCCTAGATTTATGCATCTTTTCCTGACTCGTATCGGCCGTTTTCATCGATTACCACCACTGTCGTTTACCAAGAACGCAACACGCGCAGGAATACGGAAAATCATGACTCTAGCTGACGAAATAGCGGAACAGACGGCGCTTTTCAATAATCTTCGCCTGCAGAATGCCGATCCAGCAGAGGTAGAGGCAGCAAAACGGAAACTGGGAGAGCTGAAGAAGGCGCAGGGGGTGTTAAATGCGAAGGAGAGAGAGAAGAAAGGCGACTTGGCTGATGGTGAGAAGAAGAAAGAAAGGATATTATTGAAGACGCCAAAGGTCACTCATTTTCGGCTATGAAATCGTACTGCATGCTTAATTTCTGTAGGGAACGAGAGACTACGGCCCGTCGGAAATGTTTTGCCGTCTCCACATTGAGCGTATTGTCAAAGACGCATTTGCACTTTTCGGTGGAAGCTGTCTCGACACGCCCGTCTTTGAACGGAAGGATGTCCTGACAGGAAAATATGGCGAAGACTCCAAGTTAATCTTCGATCTCATGGATCAGGGCGGGGAGCAGCTTGCGCTGAGGTATGACCATACTGTACCTCTGGCGCGGTGGCTCGCGATGACTGGTGGAGGTGGACAAGGGAAGGTGTGGCAGGTGGGCAAAGTTTACCGGAGAGACCAGCCGGTAATGTCCAAGGGGAGGATGAGGGAGTTCATGCAAGCCGTGAGTTTGCTCGTTTTGTTCATTGATGTGCGTTTATATCTCATTTTCAGGATTTTGATATCTCGGGGACGTTCGATCCAATGATTCCAGACGCCGAAATAGTCAGCCTTCTGTGCACGATTTTGAACAACCTGGATATAGGCGAATACACGATCAAGGCATGTTCCCCGTCTGTGAAAGGAAGCGGATGCTCATTACTAGCAGTTGAATCACAGGAAAATTCTTGACGGCATATTTACCGTATGTGGTGTGCCAGAAAACAAAATTCGGACGATATCCTCCGCTGTGGATAAACTAGATAAAGTTCGTGTTTAACCGTACGGTCATCTTTCCATATCTTACTTTTTCTCTCTAAAGCTTCCTTGGGCCGAAGTGAAAAAGGAAATGACAGAGGAGAAAGGTCTAGATCCTGCTGTCGCCGATAAAATTGGAGAGTATGTCAAGCACAAGGGTAAGCATCGTTTATTGTGTTAGGCATCGAATTTACCTTCGATAGGTGGTCCGGAGCTGTTGGATATACTCACATCAGACCCGACATTGATGGCGAACAAGAATGCTAAGGAGGGCATAGAGGATATGGCTCTTCTGTTTACTTTCCTCAAAGCATATAAAGTGCTTGATAAGGTGAGTACATTGTCCTAACAAAAGCGACTACCCACTCACGCTTCCTTACCAGATCTCCTTCGACCTCTCGCTTGCCCGTGGTTTAGACTACTACACAGGCCTCATCTACGAAGCTATCGTAGAAGCTTCAGCGCCTCCGGGGTTCAAAACCGATGCTTCTGCCGACTCAACACCCGCCCCAAAACCCAAATCGAAATCAAAACCAAAAGACGCAGGAGAAGATGAAGAAGTAGACGAATCACAAGTGGGCGTGGGGTCCATTGCAGCGGGAGGCCGATATGATAATCTTGTGGGCCAGTTTGCGTTGGCAGCAGCATCCGAGAGTAAGAGCAGCAAAAAGAGCGCGGCGAGCACACCTTGTATTGGTGTAAGTATTGGGATGGACCGGATATTCGCACTTTTGTGGCCAAAGTGGGTTGGCCTAGGTGAGAGGTGTAAGGATACGATGGTGTATGTCATGGCGGCGGGTGATGGGTTGCTTGAAGAGAGGATGGAGCTGGCAAGGGACCTTCGGGCGGAGGGAATCAAGGTTAGATTTTGTTGTCCCTAGAATGGACGGGTCGAGCTAATGGAGGATCTTTTGATTAGACGGACTTTTTGGCGAAGAAGAAGCCGAAGCTCCCTGCCCAGTTTGCTGCAGGAGAGAAAGATGAGGTACCGTTTGCGGTTATCTTGGGAGGCGATGAGTTGAAGGCTGGCCTCGTCACTGTTAAAGAGCAGAAATGGGAGTTCAAGGACGGGGTCAAGGTCAAGGTTGAGAGCGCAGACAAGGGAACAAAGGTAAAGCGGGACGAGCTGGTTGCATGGTTGAAGAGCAGCGATGTTTGGAAGACATGGGTATCATAGCGCTGTATTTGAAGCAGTAGAGCGTACGATACATAGATTAGACGCTTGAGTATTAATGGCAGGTTCGAATACTTGCGCAATGGTCTTTTAAGCAACAAATACATTCAAGTCTACAGTATTCCTCCCTATAGCCCTGGCGAGTTCTCGAGCAGTTCTACCACTAGTACGTTAAATACCCTGACCCGTCCTGGAGACGATACAGGTCCTGCGTGAATAAGAAAGATCTAGTCATCATCGGACCCTGATCCTGACCCTGATCCAACATCGTCGTCATCTGCAGAGCCATAAGCCACGTCAAGGATACCGGAGGGAGATTGCTCACCACTGGCGATATCGTCCTGAGATATGCTGGACTGCTGCCTGAGCTTTTCTAAACAAAGCCCGTACTTCCGTATCTTCGGACAGGTACCAGATCTAGCGCTGTTTCACCAAACTTGTCCCGTATCCTGGGAGACGTAAACGATAGCCAATGAAACCAAGATAAGAAGACACACTTAGTATCGGCACCAGCCTCCAGGAGACTGTTTACTACATGCTTCCTTAGCCCAGGGTGCTCAAGCTTGACTGCCAGATGCAGGGGCGTAGCCTTCTCGATACGGTTAATGGGGTCAACGTCGCAGTCTTCATGAGATAGTATATGTTCGAGCACATCTGTGGAACCGTTGGACACGCTTTTTCTCTCGTCAGTGGCGCGCACAAGGGCAGACGGTGATGCCCTTACGCGAGATGTAAGGCTAGATCTCTGATTAGTAGCAGTTCTTGCGCAGACGACAGACCGACGCACCGGTATTCCCCAGTCCATCCTGGAAATTGATGTCAAATCCACCCTCAGAGAACACTTCCATCATGAGTTCCTCGTTGTCAGTTCTTGCAGCCGCCAGGAGTCGCTCATCTGTGACCAATCGTCAAAACATAGAATACGGTGCGCAGGTGAAGGAAACGTACTGTTGCTGGCGCCGCCATTTAAATCTGCCATAGCTTGATGAAAGAAGATGTCAATGCAATGAAAGATGGCAAAACGATCGAAACGGGCAAGCGGACCGCCACGGGCCTACTTTGGATCAAGTTCTGTGTGAAAATCAGGATCTCCGTGAAATAGTCCAAGATCGATCTGCCAAAACAGGAAGATCCTGTTCTCCATCCTTCCACCATGTCTTCGAATAATACCGACTGGGACGCGTTCGAATTTGAAGGTGACTCATCAGATAGGTAGGCGTGATAGCCGTGGACTGTTCTCTGTCTGAGCCTTATTTTTTTAGTCATGGGGAAGTTATTGCAGTAGGAATTGCCGCTACTGTATATCTCGCACACGAAGACGACCAACGGGTTGCTATCAAATCGTCGACTACCAACCGTCGGTTCGCAAAGGAACCTCATGACATAATAAAAGAATGCCGCATTCTCTCTCAGTTATCCTATGCCAATGTAGGTCACCAAGTGACTACTAACATGTTAGCGCCGCACTCACGACAAAATAGATAATTCCAGTTTTATGGTCAAGAGATGATCCACACGAACACACGCTCGAAATATGCATGCCTTTCATTCCTTACTCACTCGAAATTCTTCTTTCTATCCCTTCGTTTACTCCTGACATGGGCAGCCAATTTTACACCATAACCCGCTCAATAATATTCCAAACCCTATCGGCACTTGCATACCTTCATTCATCGCCACATAAAATCGCGCACCGCGATATAAAGCCTTCTAATATACTCATAACCACCTCCGGGTGCGTCCAGCTAATTGACTTTGGCGTATCGTACACACTGGACCCACACCCAGAGGATATCTGGCACGAGGAAAAATACCGAATGTATTTCGAAGTATCTACCGGGTAATATCTCCTCCTCCAGTCTCCGCTTTTCTCTGACTAACAACCGAGCTCGACTAGTCCGTACCGCGCACCAGAACTTCTTTTCGGCGCACGGAAATATGATCCTTATGCCGTGGACATGTGGAGCCTTGGATGCGTATTTGCCGAGTTTTTCACTCCCCTCCTACCCGAAGAGAACAACGATGAGTATGACTACCCCCCGGAACTTTGCGACGCGAACCCGACACTCATACGGAACACCCTCTTCGACGGAACACGAGGCGAGATCGGTTTAGCGTGGAGCATCTTCAAAATTCTGGGTACTCCCACTGAAGAATCATGGCCTGTAAGTCCATCCTTCCCCACATTATCTCCTGGGTCCTCGGTAACGATCGGTCTAGACATTCAAAGAGCTTCCAGACGCGTCGCGTGTGGAATTCACGATTGTTCCTCCGGTACCTCTAGAGAGCGATTTACCGTATCTTCATCCTCATGATCAGACCCCACATGAACTCGGTCTTTTGCAGTCGCTCCTCAGATACCCTCCCTCCACAAGAATCACTGCCACCGACGCTATCGCCCACGCCTGCTTTGCGGATAGCGTACTAATACCGCCAGAAATACAAAAAGCCGGTACTAATTGCATACACCAAGCGAAGGACGGAAAGACAATCGGAGAAATACTGGCGGAGGTACTCACCAATGGTTGATCCCCGTACCCACCTATACCATTTACGACCTTTCACGCATGTCTGTCCATCCTATCCATTCATTCACAAAAAAATAGATGCGTCAATGTATATTATGGGGTCTAGGTTGAAATGATGTTTGTATCCATACTATTACATTATGCAAAAGAGTGTGTAGTAATCATGACCACGGGTTTGAACTATAATCAGTCCCGCCCGTGTTCTTTCTCCTTCCTACATGTGCGGGCATACTCCATGGATCACTAACGTTCGCAGGAGACGACGTAGTTATAGATCCATCCACACCGCCAAACGATAACCCCGCATCAGGCGGCGTAGCCAATGGTGACGTAAATGGATTCTGAGTGAGCGACACAGCTGAAGTCGAATAGGTAGGAACATTGAAGCCGTAGTTATTGAATGAAGATAAAGTTGTAGTTCGTGACGGAGGGTCTGACCAGCTGTCATTAACACCGAATGCCGACGACGGAGGTGGAGGTTGCGAGTATGAAGGTGGACTGAGCGGTGGAGAAACATAGGGCGATTTGGAAGGCTCAGTATCGGTATCAGAGTCATTGGCATCATTCAACGACAAGGATCGCGAGAATGCAGAGCTCATCTCGTCCTTCTTTGGTGGTGAAGGGCTACGCGACGTGCTTGGACCTGGAGTAGGGGAAGACGAACGTTTGATCGCCGGAGGCATGGATTCGGTGCGGTTAGTTGGTGGTGGAATGGTAGGCGCGACGATCGGCGTAGGTGACACCACCTGCTGCTCAGGCTGCTCGGATTGTCCTATCATCTCCTTGATGGCGGCAAAATCGAACCCAGCGTGCATAGGGATGTCCGGTCCGGGGGATGCCGTATCTCGTTGAGGTGTGGAAGGCGGCGTTGATACAGGCGTGGAAGAATCCATCCGCGGAGGGAGATCATTGTCTAGGGAATCCCTGGGTGTCGATGCTGGTCCCGAAGGTTTCTTCGAATACGACGAAGGCCCACCTGGCGGTCTTGATACGTGCTGGGGTTTTGAAGGTTTAGATTTCCTCGAAAACCAACCCTTCTTCTTCGACATATCTTCTTCCCGTACAACTACCCGATCTTCCGTGAATTCGGGTTCCTATAGCAAGAGCAGATCACATTTGAGCAACAAGACAGGAACAAGGCAAAGGATTGCATACCTCAGGCTCATCGAAATAATCCGCCGATACCGGGAAACCCAGCTGATCCAGAATCAGAGGCATAAACGCTCTGTAACTCATGTGCCCGGAAATTTTGTCAGTCACATCCACATTTTCTAATCCGGGCACTCCATCGACAGGCCTCAAGCCAGCGACAGTCCCAACTCCCCCACTCGTAGCCCGAAAGAGATAGTTGAGCACCCAATCGTTCCGTGCGAAAGCATTGACGTATCGACCTGACACAACTGATCGCGTCTCACACCATGTCTTGGACGACGCGGTGACGGTCGTTCCGAGAATGAAGACGTCCTGGACAATGCCGTACGCTTTCTGTTTGGCCAGTTCAACAAGGGCATAGAAGATGACGCGAGCGCCCAGGGAGAAGCCAATGAGAGTCGTGGGGCGAACACCAAGATGGCGTTGTATCAAAACATCTGCTAGAACACTGCCGGCTGCCTTGGCTCTGTCAAGAGCATTATTCCAGGGATTGTCGATGAGATAGCCGAGCTTGGTGAGAACTAATGTGCCTTCAGAAACCGAAAAAGAAGTAATCTAAGAAGATACACACTGATTGGCCATTGAAGGGCACTCATTAAGGCGGTCATGACTGTTGCTTGTAACACCGTTGCTCCGATTTGACTGAGGACTTCAGTGGTAAGGATCTTCAAAGCGCTTCCAGTCTCCCGAATCATTTCGGGCTCCCAGAGAACACTGAAGACATCGCCAACAATGGGGTCCAACACGCTGAAAGGCAGCCGAGGGTCATCTAAGGCGCCGTTCAGAAATCTAGCATTGATAAGAACACGATTGGTAACACGGAAGACTCGACTAACCCTGGAACTGTGATGATACAGTTCACCCGCTTGTTGTTATGCAGCGGAAGTAGATTGAACGTTCGAACTTGTTGCGTCCGGTTAATCATCCCTCGAACAGCGATACCGCTTCCTGTTAGTACACCACCAGTCGTGATAACGGCTGCACCTCCGGCTCCGGCGAGAAAACCCGTTGTCCCTGTTATCCCGATGGTGGTGAACGCTGCACCAAGGCCCACCCCAATAACTGGAGCTAAAAGCCCGGCAGATAGACCAATGACTAGTCCACCTCCAAGCGTAGCAAGACCCAACATCATGTATCGCTTCTTCCTATTAGCCTTTCTGCGACCGTCAATGATGTCCTCATTCTCCATTCTCTCCACGTCCTCCTGGATTTCCAACGCCTCAGTCACACGACTCTCGAACTTGACCACATCCAACCATCCGAGACCAAGCTTCAGGGCAACGCTTTCGAGGAGAACGCGCGAACGAGCATCATAGACGCTATCGGCGATGAGTATCAAAAATAGATCGCATAAGACCGTCCATCGAATGTCGAGAGTGACCCTCTCGTCTGCGGAAGAGAGAGTTGTAGATACACCGGGTATGGCAGATGTGGAGGTATCTTCGAGGACTTTGGCTGTTGTTTGAAAAGCAGGTTTGGTAGATGCGGAGGGTGATGGGGGTATGTCGACATGGGTCGCAGGTTGGTTGTCAGGCTCGTCTTCGTGAGATGCCCGCTGACGAGCTGCTTCAGGATCATACTCGGGATTGGCGACAGTATGCGTGGTCATGAGGGCCGGGACGAGATCCATAGGTAGTACACCATGTTCACCGAGACTCTCAATCATCTTCTGCTCTGTTCACCGTCGTTAGCTGGGAAATAGTAGAGAACATATATTTACCTTGAGTCTCGAGTTCCATATGATAATATAACCGACCCATTATCTTCATCGCCCAGAGCTCCATGCTTGCCGCCGCCGCCTTGAGTTCCTTGCGACGTGCCATCTTCATTTCCTGGGCCATCTCCCGACTCGTTAGCGAGCAGAGGCCGACGTACGCTATACGCTGGGCTTCTGTGAGCAGATTCTTGGTCGCCTGCATCTGACTGAGCGGGGTCATAGCCTTGTCTTCGTCGAATAAGTACCGGGTCCGTAGGTGCACGTCGTCGTTCTCGTCCTCCTCCTTCACCCGCAGCCTCGTGTATTCGTTTTCATTATGGTCTATCTTCGACCGCCATTCGTTCCCAAGGTCGTCGACGTCAATGGTGCCGATGGCATTAGCAGCATTGGTGCCCTTGGCGGAAGGTACGTAGTGGTATCGCTTTTGGTCTTCTTCATCGAGCCCGCCCTTGAGCTCGTCCTCCCGAACGACAGGCATATCCTGCCATCCATCGTCGTCATCGTCGAAAATGTTAACAGGTGCAGGGGCCGTTGTCACTGGCATAATGAAAGAGCCGAATCAGACACATGCCAATTTTAGCCAAGGCCGTCATCATCGCCTGACTTCTTTTATCCTCGTCTCACGTCTCGAATATTTATTAGCAGTGGGGAGATGCTAGCCTTTCTGTTCCCAGCTGCAGGATGTTTCACTTCACGAGTTGAGGTCTCTCAAGCGACAACGGCGAGCGTCGAATAATGAAGAATCGGACGAGGTGTGTTTCTAAGGCATGGGATTTAATGAATGTTGACTATATGCTGCAATATGTGCGAAATCCTTGGTGTAGGTTGTGAAGATAATAAGATAACATGAGCTCGGAGGTATTGACGGCGCAAGAGTCTTGTCGACAGCCTCAGCTTCCTTCGAACAATCCGCAACGCCTTCGACGATAACGGAATCTTGCAAACGGAAGATGGCGACCACCTGTTTCTCGTGGACTTTGTGGCAGGATGCGTATATGATGGACGCGTTGTTTCCATTCAACGGCAAACTCGATAAATGGTATATTATGCAGTCACGGCTATACGGAAAGCTAAATTTCTGCCTACAGCATCCATATCCAGGCTCATTGTGTACCAGTCCTGATCTTGCTGTCCTCCGAATGTCGTCGAGACATTTGAGTAGTACGCATATCCTTCCTCTTGAATACGGTTAGGAACTTGGATCACCAACAGGCAAATGTCGAGTACATGACCATTCTTCTGGTTACTAAGGGTGCTTGTCTTCACGTTAGCAGAGTTAACAGTACGATTTAGCGCCCCTGCTAAATGATGAAACAAGCCTCCCCGGCAGGCAAGTTGATGCTACAAGCTCGGTTAGTTGTGCTTGGCGTGTCCCATTTATTCAGATCCTCATGGTCTTTAGTTTGGTGGGGCCCAAATGCCGTCCTCAACTCGGGTATCCATGACCGTATCAGGGTCTCGAGTTGGAGAATTGAGACCAAGCCGTTCTGAAAACACACGTTTGTCAGGCATAGCGTGCTTTTTTGCCTCCGTGTCGTGTCTATTAAGCTTTCGTTTCGATGGTGAACCCGCTTCCTATCGAGATAGCCGCCGTCTAAGCTGCATTGCTATGCCATGAATCGCATTCGACGTCAATAAAAGATCTGAAATTCCTCGAGAGACATCGATAGGCCCAACAAGGTGGGTACTATTGTTTTCGTCTCAGGCAAATATAATAATATCAGCTGAACATTGAGATAGACACTACGCTTGAAGATATCGCCAGCTGTGTATAACCCCGAGTTTATCAGACAGCATTAGTCCTCATGCGCATTTTGATTTCCTTTTCAAAGGAATCATTTAATAGACTAGGACGATCAATATATTTGACGTTCCATGCTGGCAAGGGCTCGTGTATGCCGGTATTATGAGATAGTCACCTGTAACAATTGATTCCACGACCATACGGTATTCTGGGTCCATTCCCACTTCAGCTGAAACATCATAACGTGTGGGTCCACTCTTCATACTGTCTGTCGGTTCCGAAGTGGTTTTCATTCTGAGAACTTGATTTACAGGTTGACGAGCGCTGGAACCTGCGATAAGATCTGCCTTGAAGAATGTGCTGATCTCCTTGTCGATGTCAATTATGGGTTTTTGCCCTACCATATAAAGAGGACAGACCGTTCCCTCGCTCATTATTCTACTTTCTCCCGGACTTCCTTGATGGCTACCCAGACCGATATTCCTCCAAGTGTAACCGACGCCGAGAAAGCTTTGATTTTTTATGAACTCGATGATGACTTGAATTCCGTAATATTCTGCTCCCTACTGCACGGTGTGTATATTCATTCAACCTCTTTACCTGTCCTTAATCATGTTTGCATATAGGCATCTACACTGGAATAGCTGCCGTCACATTGGGGAACGTGATCTGTGAGGACGACATGTCTACCGTGTTACACAGACTGACTTGGACGGCACAGTTACGAAAAATTCTCGGCCCATCGGACGAGCCATAGTCGTCATTATAATCCTCCTCCATATTGGTACTACCATCGACCGAGCTCTCACCTGGACATACATACATTCTTTGTTTGTCAACCACGGACAGAGTCTTTGGATAAAATACGTGTTTTACCAGAATCCCGGCATGGGGATAACAATTGGAGCAGGCACCGCAGGCGCTATCTGTACTGTCCTTGCAGACTCCATCATGGTGTGTAGTATCTGTTGTGAAGTCTCCCTTCCGCTGACCGTTATTCAAATTGTAGATTTGGCGTTGTTGGATAGTCTGGGGACGACGTTGGTCGGTCATTCTGCCTCCAGTGCTTCTTCTTGTTTCCACGATTAGTAAAGTTGCCCAGATTTTTTAATTTGCTAATTACCCACGTCTTGATGCAGCGTTCAAAATCATTGCTACGTCCAAGCACTACGCTCCTCCAGATGGGTACATTCTTGGCTACGTACTCTGTTCATCCTTCACGCTTGCTTCGACATTATGGTGCACGTTGCTGATTATCTATCGTATTGTCACCGTTGTGCGAGCAGTAGGTGAAGTGGGGGGTGGACTCAGCGCCTACCGTCATGTTATCGAGGTCCTGGTTGAATCATCGGCACTTTATTCGATATCGTTGATCTTATTTGTGGCCTTCTATGCTCGCAATGACGCTACGATGTATTACTTTGACGCCCTGGCAGCCATTGCAAGGGTATGCTCGTATCATTTTCCTGTCTTTGCATCTCACGGACGTTGTTCAGGGAGTTGCTCCGACACTCCTCGTTGGGCGCGTCGCAGCTGGTCATGCTCGCCCGGACGACTCTTGGCAGGGAAGTATCAAGTCATCGCTCCGCTTCGGAACACATCCCGGAGGTCCGAACTCTCAGCAGGATATCATAACAAGTGGCGACCTTGAAGCACAACGGGAGACAGACGACTGGGATGAATTTGGCCATCACAGCTTGGTCTGGAGCTCCCAGGAGGATATTGCAAATGAGGGTGTCATAGTATCCCGGGAGGGACCAGAAGACCGTGACGGACATTTAACGGATGAGGATGTCATTCGTGGGCATTCTCTCGACGTCATCACGTTGGGCCTAGCAGATAGACCCAAGGACGATCCCGGTGCAATACTCATCGTACCAAGGGATTAATGGCAAATGCATTTCCCTTTTGAATCTGTATTAATCATTTTCTGTACCTAGTTTCAGTCGCTCGCTGTCTTTTGAATTAAGGGACTGGTTTCCTCTATGGCTCTAACTTGTTTCGATCCCAGAAGCTACAGTGATGAAATTGAAAGCTACTTTCGAATACACGATTGTACCAAAGCAAGAAAACAAGAATTTTCTGGTCTTCACGACGCAACTCCGCGGTGGCCTCCCTGACCCTGGGCAGACGTAGTTTTCCCTCGTATAAATCTTTTGATTTCACGATTCAAACTCTCCATTGTTGGTCTATCGCTTGGTTCATGAGACCAACATCGCGTCACCACAGCCCACAATTCATCATAGATATCTGACGGCCGATCGGGACGTTGTTTTCGACGTACTACCCGATTTATGAAGGCAAAATCATTCGGAATTTTGTCTAGAGGAGGTCGTCCCGTGTACAACTAATTCTTTCGTCAGTGCTTATGACAGGCTATGCCACACGCAGCGTACCTGGCATATGAGCATCGCAAATGAATATACGTCGCTCTCAAGTGTAGGGCGTGCGCTTGGTAGATGGAAATCCTGGGGAATCAGCCGTTCTGGCGCCATCCACCTTGTCGTACCAACAGCTGAGCCGTGGTCCTCTACTCAGAAGTAAGCACAGATCAATACAATTTGTCATCGAATCTTACCTCCACTATAGCAATAGGATTCGTTATCAATGAATGAGGAGATCCCGAAGTCCGCAAGGCGAGCCTTCTTCCTTTCATCAACAAGTATGTTCTCCTAATGTATCCTATCATCAGTCAGGATTTCAAAAAAGAGTTTGCAACCAACAGCTTTAATGTCTCCATGTGCAACACCGTGCGAATGTATCCAAGCAATTGCGCTCGCTACTTGGGATACCTGAATAACGGTGCCGCCAAATCAGTGAGGTTAGGTCACTACCCAGCGACTTCGGACTCACCAAGAGGGCTTTCCCGTGAGCGTTTATAGACTGCTGAGAAATGTAATTTAAAAGAGTGCCATGAGGCATCCACTCGCTGACGAGCCATATTTCAGATGCTCCCAAAGGAGATGATCCACCTGACTGCGACTCGAACAGTTGCTGTACCCATTCTGGCTTGGTCTTAATATCAAGTGCACCAAGAAATGGAACAATATAATCTGAACCAGTACGACACATTTCGCGCCAGGTCCACGCCTCAAGCGCAAATTTCTTACATAGGTGAGACTCATAGTAAGATAGCATCAGTAGTCACTAACCTCGTCCCAACGAGACTGGAACCTCTTGACAGAAACGGTCTTGGTCTCGCCATAAATACGACATGTCCCACGGTGAATAACAGCAGAGCCGCCACCCGAGACTGGTAATGGAACGATATCTTTGATGGCCTCGGGACGAATCAAGAGTTCATCTATGAGTTGATCCGTTCCTCCGAATTTATTCAGTGCTATTTCGATCAACTTTCGACTGTCGTCGTAGGACACGTTGTTCCAATGGCTGAGCTGTGGAATTTCAGGTCATGTGGCGCATATATCCAGGTAAAGAGCACGTACTCGAAGAAGACTAACCGCTGCCTTTGACTTATATTCGGGGGGTACAGCAGCCATTCTATCGGAATCACAGAAATGCTGCACGCTCTGGAGAACACTGCTCGCCCAGGCACGTCTATCACCGAGTCATTGGAAATATGCCACTACCGTCTGGAAAGCCTTCACCTTTGGAGCTTCCCTTGCCAATCATCTCGTGTACTATTTTCAGAATTACACGATTTATCTGCTAACAGATGGATTTTGTCCCAGATTATCCGCTCGAATATGATCCAGCGCAAGGCATCCCAAGAAGCCCACGTTTCAAAGCTTTTATATGCCGATTCGATTCGGGTGAATATGTCGCGCTTCTCGTCAAAAAATCTGCCTTCTTTCGCGCGCGCATTTGAAGAATCTAATGCATCGGCGATCTCTGCCAGACGAGCTTTGGAACTTGAAGAGATGATTGGTGACTGAAAATATTGTGAGAATTCTATAAATACCGATATTGATCACGTACTTCCATGTTTTTTAGGTTGAGAACAGCGTTTCTTGTATTCTTCTCTTCTCCTTCCTCGGAGCCAACCTGGAGCGCCGCTTGCGCCAGAGAAAGTACGTTACCCGCCCATTGGTCGCTGAAACTGCGATGAAAACCATCAAAATTATGCAAGACAGGAACCTACTCTTTTTCTTTCGTCCTACTCAGCACTGATATCGTACTCCAAATCGTCGGTTCAGACGAAAGCCACCAAAGTGGACCTTTATCTGCAGCATCCATGCAGATTTTCTGAGTCTGTTCCAACGCCCTTGATATGATTTTGAATGTATTCCAATTTGGCATCTTTGCGTCGCTAAGATTTTTTGCCGCCTGGTTGAGTTGGCTGGAGTATCTATGGTATGCCTTCGTCATTTGACTCTAGGACAAATGACGTAACTCAGAAACAGTCGTGTTTAGTTCTTAGTATGGCGCACCTGCCCAAGCTTTAGGCATTCTATCATCTTCAAAAGGTCAATGAGTTCTGTCTCTGCGTGTCGTATACGAGAGATTATTTTGTTTTCTGCATCAATCCGACTCTGTGATTTGTTATTGACATTGGGCACGCGTAGTTCACGTTTGACCGATGAAATTTTTTTCGCATTATCGAGGGAGAAATGGGGCCTTGCCACCATCGGATCTCTACGTTTCCCTTTCGTCCCACTGACATCCTTGTTCAGCCTATCTTCCAGTCGCCGTAGTAACTGGTAGGCGAAGTCCTATTGTGAATTCAACGCTCAGAGTTGACAGCACTGCTGAGATGTAAGAACTTGTACCTGACCAAATAGGAAGAAATCTGCATCGGGAGCTTCGAGTTTGGCCCTCATGCTCTTGAGTCGCTCTCGAGCACGACGTTCTTTGGTATCGTATACAGAAGAATGAAGTTTCATCATGATACTAACAGTAGCAGACAAGGGGAAGGGGGTTTGCTGTGTACACCAACGAGAGTACGAATAGCTTGGCGTGAACTGAAGCCTTGCTGTAGCCAGATGTCGAACTTGCCATTACTAGAACATCATCAATCAATCAGTTGTTGTCGCTTATTTTTGTAGCTGTGTCAGCGTGGAAGAATCTATTGGAAGCAAGAGCGCCTATCTTACAGTTCAATTTAAATACCATGCCGTTCACGCATGCCCGAAGCAACAGCCGCCATCGTGGGTCTGTCATGTTTGCCTTGTGCCCAGCACTTCTCAACCCAAGACCACACTCGATCCGGCACATCCAGCGAGATGACTACACCGTCTGAAGTGCCACGCATGGGTCGAGCAGGTCGCACCCCATTCTCCAGTTGGATAAGGAGAGCGCCAAAGGCTGTGCCCGAGAAAGGGCCTTTACCTTGATAGAGCTAAGATATATATTTGTCAGAACGTGAAAAGGAAGTGCGGAAGATAATACCTCGTAACAAAGGCACGCAAAAGCGTAGACGTCCGAGGCTTTCGAGACGACCATATCCTCATCGTCCACATCACCGCATGCCAGGAGTTCAGGCGCTTTATGCCCAGGAATACCACTCCCTGACCTCGGAGCCGATCTGGTAATGACACTCAAAGCGGCGAGGCCAAAGTCTGCTATCTGAGCGTGGTACTCGTCATCAATAAGCACGTTGGACTAGTAGAAAAAAACAGTGTCAAAAGACGGGAATATCATCACATTGGAAAGCGACGGCGTACTCCATATAGATCACCGTGGACAACACCAGTATCGTGCAGGTATGTCAAGCCTTCGGCGACATCAGCGAGCTTGAGCACAGTAAGTTATATCCAATGTCAAAGGCGCATGAGCGGTACTTACAAGTCGCTCGCAATCCAGTCTTTCAGGGCCCGCTTGTTGCCGGAACTTCATCAGGGACCCATGAGATCTGTAAGGCAAAACAATGCTAAGATGTGGCGAGAAAGATACTTCATCTACGCCAAGAACAGGAAGAACATTCTTGTGGCGGGTAGTGTACCACAAAAAAGCTTCCTGGCAAAAGCGCTGGGGAACGTTCACCATGGTTAAAGCTGTAAGACATCAATCGTGAGGTCCTCCCACCTTTCTAAGTAGACTTTGATTTTCGCGAAAGTCATCCACCCAGAATCGCAGAACCTTGAGAACAACATTGGTGCCATTGTATCGCGCTCGATAGATCCTAGCATTCCCGCCTTCACTGAACACCTGATTCTCATGGCCTTCTGGCACAATTAAAAATTTACGCGGCAAGAGCTTGCTGTTACAGGCAAGCTCTCGCAGGAGCCTGCAGCATCTCTGATGAAGTTTCAGGTTATAGAATTTGACAATGAGCACTCGGTCATTGATGAGCTTAACAAAACATTAGCAGGGTAACTAGTGGTCGGTTGTGTAGCGAGGACATACATGAAAGAATAAGTCGAGCATCTGAGCTGCATCGGGTCCAGTCAGCGAGGCAAAAGCATGGCTGAGCTCATGTGAATAGCATATATTCTCGATGCACTGGCATAGGGCGTCTGCGTCGGATGATTTATCAAGTACTGCGCGAGCATGAGATGCATTTTAGAGGATAAAAAGAGCCATTGCTACCTGAGGAGACCAAGTCTACTTGCTGCATTGTCCGCGAGATGGTCGTGTTACGTTGAAGCTGTTGAGATATTTTTATCCTTTCATCGCGTGTTACCTTCACGGTTTATTTTTGGTGCTCGTGTACCGCAGTGGCTTGTTCGTATCGTCTTCAAGTTCCAGGCCTAAAGAAAGAAAGGGACCATAAGCAGATCCTTCCCGCATACCCACGGAACATAGGAACCGAGTCTCTCCGAATGGATATTACCGAGGTTGACCTGGAAGCTTTCATACCTAGAACACCCCGAGTATCAAAGCGGTCTGTAGGAATTAAGAGGCATCGCTGATATATCCCCATCCTCAGAGAAAGCACCGGAAAACCAACCAAACACATGATACTAGGACGCGAAACACTTCGCACCGGCAGGCTCATGTTTTTCCTAAAAACACAAGATGGAGATATTGTTGAGGATCATTGGGAGAATATGCACCTACCGGAGACACTATGAGTTTCATGAGTAAGGGAACCCAGGGATTGAACAATTTATTTGGGCGCCGTGCCAGGGAGTCAGAGGCCAGGTCGCAGAATACCCGGGTCCATCTGATCCACACTGGAAGTGGCTGTGCATCCCGCCTCTTCTCCTCGACATTGTTGAACGAACGTTGTGCGTGTACTCCTTGTCTCGACAAAGCCCAAACCAACGAAATGAAATAGACACAGCCTAAATGTTGAATGTTGAAAAACAGACAGACAGTGGACTAGAGGCCGCCGACAATGGCTTCAGCGCTTAATGCGATTCCCTGAGTCTCCACAACCTCATGCTTCACTTCGTCACAGGACAACATGTCGAACATACTAGAAATTTACTAATGACATATACTGTTTGCTTTCTCGAATTCTCCGTCCTTACGAGCTCCTAATGGGCATGGAATTTATCGATTTCCTGTGGCCGTAGAGTCGGTGCGCTTCAGGTGGTCTCCCTTCTCCGAATGATTCTCACTAATCCATTGTCCCTAGTATTCTCGAAAAATTCTACACGGCTCGGCACGCCGTCTTTTTTTTTCTCTTCTCCATTATGTGAGCTCTTTTGCTGCCTATAAATTCAATGTGTCCGACACGAATCTCTCAACTGCTCCAATGTTGTTCAGTTTCTTCCTCTTCTCTATTCTCGCCTTTGTCTGTGGTGCTCCCACCTCGTTGGCTGTGGATGCTGCTGATCCTCTGGACGGCCTCGTAACCAGTATCAGTGTGACTATGACTGTACGTTCTTTTAACTGTAGGCCTCATTGAAAACTAACGTTCATGCAGTTGGAATCCCTTGTCACTAACCTCGCCGAGTATGTCATGCTACTATTTTATTCCTCCTAGTATTCATCCCCACTTGTTCTAGCCTCTCGTTCAATGGTACCTCTTTCTCCTTCTCCATTCACTGGTCTTGACGGCAACAGTTACCAACCCCTTACTCGTCGAGATCACCCTCGACCATGTCGTTGTCTCCGCGGGTACTGACTCCACCAAATATATCTCCTTCGACCACACCTTTGATGACCCCATCGTTGTTCCAATCCGCGGAACAGCGAGTTCTGGTGTCATTGAAAATGTGTCGCTCACTCAGGGTGGGTTGGCCACATTGAACATTGTTTCACAGGGGTCTCTTGACCTGATCAATCTGGACGTGAATCTGAGGCACGTGTTGTGTCCTGGTTGATGATTGAAATTTTGACCATGAAATTATTTAGGGAGGCGACGATTAATGGGCAATTGGGTATCCCAGTGAACGACACGGGACTCACGGAAAGCGGCGTTCCCACTACGTGCGTAGACTGATTCTCCCGTTGTCCCTGCCATCAGCTTATTTTTCCTTCGGCAGCTGGGATACTCCTTTTGACTAATCTGTTGTCTTCATACGCATTTCTTTCGTGTACGAAAGTTCCTTACGTATTCTGTGAACAATAATGTTTTATGTGTCCTCCAAAGGCAGTTTATTTTTTCGCCCTGTGTACGCTAGCTCAGGCAACCGCAGCTTGTTCTCTTCACTATATCTGTCTCCCTTGAACCTGCGACATGATCTATCGTCTCTACCACTCCGCCAATCTCTCCGTTGCTAGGTACGGGCGATCCAAATTGCAAAGACTCTCCCAGCAACATTGCACGGTTTCGCCATCTCGTCGGAGGGCATTGAAACGCCCTAATTTCTCTCGATTTTGTCGGCTTTTCTATTGAGCTATTATCTTACTTCAGCTCAATCTCATTGATCTCAGGATGCTCTGGTGAGGGGAAGGGCTGTAAATAGACAGGTCTATATGACCACATTCAGAAAGTGCGGCTACCCTCACTAAGAATTGCGGAGAGACTGGCTATCTCATGCGGTCCTACATAATCTTCTCATCGTGTTTAGGTCTCGGTGACCAAGCTGTGGCCGGGGCGCTGCTGTTCTGAGCTCGACTTTCGTAGGAATAGAGGGCGAGCTCCACGATGAGCGCGTAGGTCACTCCATTGTACAGCGATAAGCTGCGGGGCACCTTGCCGACTCTTTCTAGTGAACAAGTAACACCGAAGCATGTTCATGGACTGCTCAGATTCGTGCGTTTTGCGTAACCAATTGCTAATTTATTCACACTTGGCACTTGCCTTGCTAGTCATGTTAAAATACCCTTTGGCGCTGGGTTCGGCTCCTTTAACAGCGAATGCTGGCTTCTGAGCTGCCCACTCACCTGAAGGGGCCTCTACCGCTTGCTGCATTGACCACGAGATCGTTAAGGTTGCGAAGTTGCTGTCGAAGTATTATATTCCTCCGTTGTATTTTGCTTCATTGGCAGATTATTTTTGAGTTCGTGTGCAGTAGATTATTTGGATGCTTCCCGGCCTAAATAAAGAACTTGATTCGTGAATAAGACAAAGGTCATGAACTAGCCAGAAGCATCATATACCAAAGTCACCGATTTTCCCGCACGTCCAATGTTTGAAATTGGGAATTAAAAAATCGATGAAAACTGGACTCGTATCAGCAGTGATGGGGTTGATGGTCCTATGAATCGTAGAACCTCATGGCCAGACGAACTCAAGGACGTTCAACATGATGGTCTTGGCAGGTCAGCGAATCTAAAGAGTGCAAGGGTCGAAGGGCCTGTACTTCTGCAGTCTTCCACCTTTTTCTCGAGTATGAGATAATGTGCCGGGAGGGCTATGAGCTACGCAGAGAGCAATGAGTTCGAGTTTTTCTTTGTAAAGAGAGGAATACGGTTTTGGGCCGGGAATGATTCTTCCTCGGCAAATGCCGAGATGCCAGACAACACAGCCCGACGGCTGAGCTTTGAATTTCAAGTCGCGTCGGTCTCGTCCAATAATTGCCAGCCTCCTCCAGCCTCTTGTTCTGCGGTGGTATCTCTGGTATATGACTTCAGAGATATTCAGAAAACCAGCCGACAAAAAATTTTAAGCGACTGAACCCGCCTCTGTTGTATACTTAACTTGCGTTAAAAAATACTGGGTGAAACATCCCTTCGCCGTCAAACGAGTTCATTTAGTATGTTTAGCATATGTCACTAGGATTCCTCATATATTCACAACTGGCGAGAAAGATCGGTATTTCTAGTACTCAATAATGTATAGTCTGCCATCTGAAATCAATCTACTTTTGACGCCCCTTGATGTACTGAGCATAATTGAAACCGTGCCTTTCCCCATAATTATCAAGTTTCTCGCTCCTGAGGATACTAAGGCTCCAAGTCTTACCGTTCTATCCATCTGAGACGACGCTGCCGTCGGCTACGTATTTGGTGACCACTCGAAACAGCGCTAGCGTTTGTCGTAACAGGGAGTCTGAAATAGCTCAGGGCAGTAGGCCAAGACAATTACCTACGTTGCAATGCAGCCAGGAACTTTCTGATATTCGATTTCCGGATGCAGATGCTCTGACAGTCTGCGGTCCCAGTAATTGATTGGTAACCTTTCGTTGTGTCTCTTATTTTGTGTGTGTATGGAATGTAATACCATATAAATATAACAATCACGAAGGGAAATGACAAGGAAACGAAGCCATAGCGATAGCAAGCTCTAAGGGAGATCTTAGTGAACATTGAAAGGAATAATCGAGTTCGGCAACTAGTTTGATCGCGTCGGTCATCCTACTCAGCTATTACACGTAGGCCGCCGATATTATTTCGTTATTCTAGCTTTGTAGCTCCGAAAACACGAGATTCGTCCACGACGCACCTTCATTTATCCGGAATCGGGTTTACGGAGGCTACTAAATAAAATTTTCGTGATAGTATTCAAGACAAGGCGTAGAAAATGTCGTCACCAGTTTATACAAGTGAATAATGATAAATCTCTGGCTGTAATCCAAGGTTCGAAAATGTGACATCCAAAGCCTTGAAGCTTGAAACGTTATGAATATCTGACCCTAAATGTCCTTCGCAGCATCCTTCCTCAGGCAGCGCGGCCCAACCGACATAGAGCCAGAGCTGCGCGCAACATATCATCATCTGGCTCGGCATGGCGACGCACGGCGATACTTCCTCCCGGTCCCTTCGTACACCTTGGCTCGGTCATACTCCAGGCCCTTGGAGGCGTGATAGCTTCATCGGTCGCATCATCAGTCTCTTCTCCATCATCAGCCGTTCCCCTCTCCTTCTCTGCCATCCTGCGACGCGCACATGCCCACTCCAAGGTATGTCTCCGCGTAAGCTTGCCGAAAGCCACGTACTCCTTCTCTGGGGGGCTCGTGGGAGGAGCTGGGGGTGAAGAGGGCATGTTGTCCCATAGAGACGCGTCGCGATTTTGCTTCCGAGACGGTGTGCTGGGCGCATGGTGTCGCTCCGAGCGCGAAGCAATATGGTCGAGTGATGGACGCGCCGCGAGCTGCGACGCGTAGGGTTTGGGTTTGGATTTCGGCTTAGGTTTTGTCACTGGAGCTACATCCTCAGCAGCGTCGATGGGAGATGGTATATTATTCAATGATCCTTTGCGCTCCATCTGGCGCTTGTTTTGGAACCAAATGGTGACGGACTTAAGCTCCCTTGAATTTGATATGAGCACGACGACGGAAGCAAATTTTTCGCAAGATGATACACATACATTGCACCAGCTTTTGCTACACCATCGCGCTGCTCCCGCGACGGGTGGGAAGTTTGATGGAAAAGATTTTCGAGCATCATGAGCTGCACGCTGGTAAAGCGTTTCCGGGTACGTCTTGAGCGGGTGCTGGCGTTGCTTCCGGCATCGTCCGACTCAACACTAGTCGTCGAGGATGTCCGTGAGAGGGTGGGGGATATCATGGGCATGGGGTATAGATGTGGTAGAAAGAGGGAAACGGCAGGTGGGGTGATGGGACGTGAGTGACTTATATAATACTTTCCAATTCCAACCCAAACGTCGCGTACGCGTTAGTCACGTGCATAGCGCATTCCGTCAGCTTAGGTCAGCTTGATCCGTACTTGGAGGAAATAACTTGGTGCCGAATCTGAACATAATATTGAAATTGGTACATAAACAGTTAACAAATTTATTTAGAGGGGAATATAAGAGGATAAAACTGTGCTATTTTTAGTGCGGATCATCGCAAGCGCCCACACTCGCCAGACTCACCGTCGGGATTGGTAAGTATTACTCAACTATGTTTCTTTTACAAGTAGTATAAAAGCCTGTATGAAGAGCGGGACACCCTTGTGCGTTTACCTTCAAGGGTTCCCTGTCGCTTGATAATTCACCCCCTTATCCAACAAAAACTGACTCCATTATAAATATATTCGGGAATAGTCTCAAGCTCTCATCTGAAAAAGCTGCTCGCAAAAATACGTCGTGCTGTCGTTGAGATATGACTCACGAACGCTTGATGACCCACTTCTTGATATGGCATACTAGTATGTACAACAAATACCGCCGGATTCCAAGCCGGTGTTTCGCTGAATTTTCATGCTAAACTGGGTCAAAAATGTATTTGATCCCCCTGAAAATGCAAATCCGTGAATTTACTGCGCACTTGAGTTCAATTGCTTCCGTTAATTTACCGCCACGACTACTTCTTGCGTCGGATTTCGCTGCCTGCTTTCCTTTAGCCTATCATGCTTGCGAATCGGAAAACTACTTTCTTTTTGGCTTGCTGCTGGCTCGCGTATGGATGACTAATTTCTGGTGCCACATGGCTACTGTCCAAGGATTTGTTTAGAACATGTAGACTCAGACTGGCGAGACTCGTCCACTCCTTTTCAGCTTGGTCTCGTTCCTTTCTCTACCACCAGCAATCGCCTTTCGTATCCTTGAATTTCTTTTACTGTTTAACGGCTTCGACTCAACCAGCAGACGCGATAGCTTGATGTTGTTGGCGATCTATTTGATATTCTTCGTGCCCTTGGCGGTATTCGCTCAGGATGGCGGTATTTTCATGCAAACGACGAGCGTAGAAGCGGCAGGATACTCCTGCGATAGCACCCAATGCCGGCTTCCCCACTGCAACTGCGCCAGTACGAGTCCGCCTGGTGGGCTAAGTCCAGTGAGTGTCTGTTCATCATATTTAGCTTCTCTCTTCTCTCGCTTTTCCTGCCAAGGCGGCGAAAGGGGTTTTTGTCAGCCGCATCCATATAATATCTGGGATATCCTGATGGTCAAGGGTGAGCAACGGCTTGTCACTGCAGATAGGCTTTCGGTATACTCGAAAGCCTCACGCTGCGTACGGGTTTTCGCGACTTCAGCGTCCCGCATTGTTGGAAGATTCGGCAGTAACAAGTAGGATCTATTCGCTCCAGACGGGCTTAAGATATATTTGGGACGTCGTGCTGTCCCTCAATTTCCCGCCTTTCCGGAAGAGTATATCTTCGTAATCGTTTCTCAGGCTCACGTCCCTGCGAATGAAAAGACAGGAACACTTGCTTTTTGGCCATCAGTCTATCCTCCTGCTATCAATATCTTGAGAAGCACCATTCTCATCATTTTCTATTTCTAGGCGGATACCCCCCAATTTATCGTCTTCACTGCTGACGATGCTATTCAATCCTACACCCTCGATTCTGTGAACCAGTTTCTCGCCCAGAGACAGAATCCCAATGGTTGCCGTCCCAAGATGACCTACTACACGTCACTCAGTTATACAAATTACACGCTGGTGACAGGTGCACGCGATGTTCGTGATCGCGACAGATTTTATTAACGGATCATTCAGATTGGTATGTCGCCGGCAACGAAATTGCAGATCACACGTACGTGGATGTTCGTAGGCCCTAAACATACACTTAACTGTTTCATTCAGGATGACGCACGTCGGGAGTCCGCCAGACAACGAAGTCGATGGGAATTTGATCGCTCTAAACGCTCTTGCTGGGATTCCCTTGGCATCCATTAAAGGGTTCCGTGCTCCGTTCCTAAATTACTCAGTCGATACCCTTCGACACCTTGCGGATGCTGGCTTCACATATGATTCTAGTGCATCTGCGTCGATACCTGTTTCTGACCCCAACACCGATGCATACTGGCCTTACACTTTGGATTATGGCATGGCCAACAACTGTCTGATGGTAGAGAATACGTGCAAGGGACAACCCAAGCTTCCTGGCTTCTGGGAGATTCCAATGTACGCCATGTTTGATGACAGAGGTGTTAGCGGACCGCACTTGATGGATCCTTGGTTGTAAGCGTGGTTCAGCTTCTGGGTATAGATCGTAGCTAATCCGACTCTTAGGGACGTCGCGAATGGCAATAGTCAGCCGAATGATACTGCTACGCTGGAATTTATGAAGAATACGTTCAACGCGCACTACAATGGTAATCGGCAACCGTTTGGATTATATACTCATCCTATTCATCTCGCTGTAAGTCAACCTCGCTGTTCTTCCGCATCTTGCATACTCATCTGTTTTTTTTTATCTAGGAAAACTACCCTGGAGTCGCGTCCCCTACTTCAACTATTAATATGATCAACGAATTCCTCGACTGGGCCCAAGAACAGCGGAATGGTATGGCCCTGTCTTTCTACCGTTGATGGCGGTGTATTCACCCATTTTTAGTCTGGATTGTGTCTAGCGAACAGCTCCTTGCTTGGGTCCAGCTCCCGAAACCGATCTCGGACTTGAACGACCTTGATGCCCTGAAATGTTCCACGCCTGATGTAGACCCCTCGTTACAGATCTGCAACGGTATCCCGCAGAACGAGCAAGGTTTGTTGAGTCACTGTGCATTCTCTGATTTCCCCTTCTTCACCTGTGTACGTTGGACTGATCGCACATCATTGAACGATGGTTGACTGTTAATCCGTCCAGTATGGCTGTCCTGAGGTGGAACCGACCCCGGAAAACCCGAATCCTCCCCAGGTCGTACCTAGCGGTGGAAATGCTCGTTTCCGACGTGAGTGTTAATATACTCACCTCGTCCAGAAGTTGTCTGACATATGCTTTTTTTTCAAGTTCCAGCAAATTGTTCTACACCCTTCTGGGATCCAATCAAGGGCGAGTGTCTTTGTTCATCTGACACATGCTTATTCACCGATGATTCGAGATCCATTGGGGTGAGTCGTTCGGTTTTGTTGTGGAGTGCGGTGCGTCTAACTGGGCTGTGCAGCCTAATGGGGCGAATCTCACTGGCGGTGGGACGGGAGGAACTGCGACTACGAGTGCGACAGCGATTGCGACTACCACTGCGTATATCCCATTCAATGGAGCTTTACCTTCGTTACCCCCGGGTGTGATGCCCGCTATTGTTTTAGGGTTGATTGGAACCGTGATGGGTACCTTTGGGGTCCTGGCTCGAGCGTGAAGCGGTTTGGACATTCTTTTTTTTTTTTTTGCGATTATCACAGCATACCTTTGTTAGCCACTAACTCGAATCGACTTAGATCAAACTAGGATCGCTACTCGCACTTCGGTAGACGATACTCTAGCAGGTCAAAGGCGATAACAAGGCAGCGAGCAAACGAGAAAGTCACGAAGCAAGGGGTTCGATGTTAGGTAGATTAAACCTTAGCCGAAGCTGGGGTTTAGACCAGCTGAGGCTCTACTTAAATACACTTGGATGTGCTAATAATAGTACTGCGGGAACTTGTCCGTGATGATCGCATATGAGTAATCAGGCTGAGTAAAACGAATAAAATGAATAAATCGTAACATTACCCCCTCCTTAAGACTCATTCGTCCCGAATGATCCATCTGTTGAGTCCTCATCATCGGTGGTGGGGTTCGGGTAGTTGAAAGCTTCTTCATCGTCACTGTCCCAGTTTTCCGTTACTTTTTGAAGATGATTTACGTCTGATTCGTCGTCTGAAGGAGGATCGAGCATGATCGGAGGATTTATGTAGGGTCTGTTTTCCCGTCGAGAGTCTTTAATCTCTTTGGCGCGTCGTCGCAGGTAGGAGTCGCGAACTCTGGGGTTGTCGAATCGTGGGTCTATTTTCGGTGGAGTGTATTTCCAACACTTATCATCAGGGACTTTGTTGTCCCTTAGCCACTTTGCGTTTTCTTCCTGCAATGCGCGATCCATCAACTCAGAGATCTCCACTACGAGCCTTTGGAAGGATGATGTGGTTGATACAGGTCCGTTGCCTCGTCCGGCATCTGAGCCAGCCACCTCCCCTATCACGTTGATCTCTTCTTCGGAGTGTCCTGGGGCCGAGCATTGAGAAGAGTAAACGGTTTCTACTTCAGTGAGGCAAGGGGTAGTTGGGTTGTGATATTCGATAGGAATATTGGGTGGTATCTTGTGGTCGATACCAACCGTCTTTCCTTTGTCATTGACTTCCCACTGAACCTTCTGGATACGGGCTTCGTACTCGTTGATGAGTTGCTCCGCATTGGCCATGTTGGAGCGTTTTACCCAAGAATTTTCTTCTACCGGGTATCCTTTCCACTTTACTAGGTACTCAGTTATTGTGCGACGGGTTCGCCCGTGCCCCACGACTTTGTCTCGCTGCTCCACAATTTCTTCAATCTCGTATTCTTCCTCGTCGTCAATTAGTTCTGGAGGTGGCCTCTCGGGTCGGGGTTGATTGGGAAATTCGGGAGGGTGATACGGAGTCAAGAGGGATTCGTTAAATCGGTTATGAATTTTCCAACCCGTTGGGAGTTTGAGTTCATAAGCGGAGGTGCCCCTTTTGGCTACTATGGTGAAAGGTCCTACACGCCGATCTCCCAGTTTTTTGGCGGGTCGGGGGAGGTTTAGGTTGGTGGAATCCAGCCATACCTTGTCGCTGACCTGATACTCGACGGCTTTGTCCTTGTGCCTATCGTAGGCTTTCTTCATCGACTCTGCTGCCTTCTCCAGTGATTCTTTCGCCTTCTCCTGCACTTCTTGAATTCCCTGGACTAGTTTTGAGGCCGCCGGGACAACGTCGAGGCGTTGGGCTGTTTTGATGACTTGTCCGTCTCGGCCGAAGACTACTTTGTACAGGGAAAAGCCTGTCGCCGAGTGTTTTCGGTTATTGTGAGTAAAGGCGGCTAGTGGCAACCACTTGCTCCAGTCGTCCTGTCGGTAATTTACAAACATTCTGAGGTACTTTTCGATTTCTTGGTTGACTCGCTCCGTTTGTCCGTCGGTTTGGGGATGATAGGCCGTAGAAGGGTTACCCGTGACGTGAATAAGATGGTAGAACTCCTTCATGAATTTTGAAACAAAGATGGCCCCCCTATCTGAGATGACCTTCTCGGGCATCACTCCATACGGCACATAGACGTGGTCTCGTAGGATTTTAGCGAAACCGAGGGAAGTGATCTCTTCTGTGCATGCAATGGGAATGATCGTTTTGGAGAATCGGTCAACTATGACCAGAACGGAGTCAAACCCCTTCGAATTAGGTAGTTTGGTGATCATGTCGACTGATATGTGGGTCCATGGTCTCATCGGTATTTCGTTCGGATGGAGAGGGGCCTTCTTCGGGCGACGGTCCGCCTTAGTCCGTTGACAGACTTCACACCCTTTAACATAGGCCTCCACCTCCCGGCGCATTCGAGGCCACCAGTAGTCCCTAAGGATGAGTTCCTTGGTTTTCTCTACCCTGGGGTGTCCAGCGGTGATGTGATCATGTCGTAACGCTATGACCTCCCCCTGTAGCCATTGATCCATAGGGACATAAATGCGGCCATCATACCAAAGCATTCCCTGATCTCAGGAGACTCCCTTTTCGTGGTTGAGGGAATCCGAGATCCCTCGATCCCATTTACGGGGGTCGTGGGTGGCTAACTTGATCCTCTCGTGCAATTCTTCTTCTGTGGGCATAATTAGGGCCCGGAAGTGTTCTGCCTTCAGGACGACTACGTCTTGGTTGTCCCCTCTTCCTTGGTTGTGGTCCGCTCATCTGGACAGCAAATCTGCCTTGCGATTCTGGGCCCCCGGCTTGTGATGGAGGGTGAATTGGTACTCTGCCAATTCTGTTACCCATCGGGCTTGGCGTCGATTGAGCTTTTGGGGCTTTCGGAAGTATTGGAGATTAGAGTGGTCCGTCCAAATCTTGAAGTCCTCCCGTGCCCCCATGAGGTATTGGCGCCATTCCTCCAAGGCGATCATAATGGCAAGGAGTTCCTTGTCGTAGATTTCATAGTTCCGTTCAGTGACAGATAGGGCCCTGGAGAGAAAGGCTACTGGTCACCACTTCTCATTCTGCCACTGAGAGAGTACAGCCCCAATGGCCCCCTCACTCGAGTCAGCTTCTACTCGGAATTTCCCCTCATCCAACGGTATGGCTAACACCACGTCTTCTCGGAACAATTCCTTTAGCTTTTCAAATGCCTTTTGCTGAGCCTCCCCCCATCGCCATTCGACCTTCCCTGTGAGCGAGGTTAGGGGCTTAACATGCTTGCTATAGTCACGTATAAACCTCCGATAGAAATTGCAGAATCCTAAAAAGGACTGCAATTCTTGTTTTTTATGGGGAACTGGCCAGTCCAATAATCCAGCAATTTTTACTGGGTCCATCCGAATCTTCCCCTCACTGATAATCACTCCCAAGTATTCCGTCTCTTCCACTTCGAATTCACACTTCTCCGCCTTCAGGAACAGTTGGTTATCGCGGAGGATCTGTAGTACCCTCCATACGATACATCGGTGGTCCTCCTTCGACTTGGAGGCAATGAGAATATCGTCCAGGTAGACTGACACCTCTCCCGCAGCGATGAGGTCCTTGAAAATGTCATTCATCATCCACTGGAACGTGGCAGGAGAGTTGGTGAGTCCGAAAAACATCACCAACGGTTCGTAGAGGCCGCGATTGGTTCGAAACGCTGCCTTCCACTCATCTCCCCGTTTAATCCTTACATTGTTGTAGCCCCATCGCACATCCAGTTTGGTGAAGTACTTGGCCTTCTTCAGTCGGTCCATCAATTCTCCTATGAGCAGTAGCGGGTATCGATTTTTAACGGTCATTTCGTTGAGCTTTCGATAATCCTGTACCGGGCGTAGTTTTCCATCCTTTTTCTTGACGAAGAAGAAAGGCGACGCCATCAGAGATTTGGAGGCCTGGATACGACCTGTGGAAAGGTTCTCGTCGAGGAACTTATCTAGTTCCTCTTGTTTGGTGGGGTTAAGAGGGTAGACTTTGCAGTCGAGGTTGGCATTGGCGTTAGGGATTAACTCAATGGCATGGTCCCAGGGTTTTCGGGGAGGAAGCTCATCGAAATTCTCCTTGTCGAAGACATCTTTGAACTCACGATATTCTTCTGGTATGATCTCTTCAAAGGATTTCGTCTTTTTCTTGGCGTTAGCTTGGGCGGCGAGTTTGTTGGCTTTAGTCCCCATAGCTCGTACGTGAAAGGCTTCTTCAAAATCGATGACTAGGATGGTATCTCCCTCTTCATATTTGTCCCATCGGGAAGAGGGGTCCGTGTCGGGCAACGAAAAAGGAATCTTGCGACAAGCGCAGCGGGCGAGGGTAACGGCCCCGGTGTCCCAATCGATTAGCGGATTATGCCTCTGGAGCCAATCATGCCCAAGGAAGAGAGGCATGGTGCCGAGGTCTACCACGGCAAGTTCAATCCTCTCCACGTGGTCCCCGATCCGTAGCTGCACCTCAGCGTACTTGGTAATATCGCCCCCTTTGTTCCGAGTGCCGTCGGCATTATAGACCGGGACAGAACGGGCTGCCTTCTTGAGGTTTATCCCATGTTGGCGGACCCAGGCGTGGTCTATGGAACTTCCCGTGGCCCCGCTGTCCACTAAGGCCTTAAGAGCAAAGACGTCTTGAGTGTCTAAGGTTTCCAGCTGCACATTGATTGATACATTGCATCCCTTCCTCCCACGTATATACATGGGGGGTTTTCTCAGATCCTCCATCCATTCCCACCTGTCCCTGGCTTCCTTCGCCGTTTCCGGTTGCTCCTTGAGCGAGCCCCACAACTCGAGGGTCACCTCCCCGGTTTGTCGAGGGTGTATCCACTGCTTTAGGACGGCGAACGTGGCTGATTCGTCTTGGGCAAGTCGCAGCGCCCGACGAGTCCAATGTGTCTTAAAAGGCTCATAGTACATGTCCAAAATAGCCCTCTTTGCTTCGGGAGCCAACTTGGGTTCGGGGGTCACGAAAGACTTCCCCTTGGGTGTTGTGACTGGGATATCGGACCGTAGGTGGGCTTCTTCATCTTCGACTTCTTCCAGCGAGACACGAGATTTCTTGCCTTGAGGTGGCATTTGGTCACCGGGCCGAAAAGGGCCCCTCAGCAGCACTTGGGCACCTTCTGTCAAGGTGGGGGAGGAGGGCTCGCTGCCCTGTGTTCGGCCCTGGCCAAGGGCGCTTGTGCTCGGCGTTGTAACCTCCACTGTTAATCCATACTTATCCTCCTTCCTAACCTCAGCGGTACTCGCGGTAACTCTAGGCAGCCGCACACATATTGGCTCCCCAAGGGGGTCGACACCATTTGTGGGTGAGACCACTACTGAGTGCAGGTGGTCCCCTTGGTTCCCGGCCTCAGCTGCTTTGCCGCCACTGACGGGAGGAACAACTAGTGAAGGCCCGTCCGTCGGAGTCGTCGACCGTTTCTCCCTGCCGAGGCGACTGCCACCACGTCTGGCGCTGGTCTTGACTTGACCTGAGGCGCTTGCTGGGTTCTCCAGAACTTCCCCCATTCGGTCAAGCAGGGGTTCCGGAGGTTGGACAACCCCTCGGGGTTTATTGCTGGACGCAGGCTGCGTAGAGCGGCGGAAATCCCCTCCTACGCCTTTGGGTTGCTGCGATTCTTCCTTCTTAGTTTCTTCAACTGGTAACGTGGCGAAAAAGTTGGTATATTGTTCGTATGGAGTACCTACATATGTAGTATAAGTCCGGCTAGTAGTACATGAACGTGCACCAGATGAAACTAAGTCCTTGGCCGACGCCGTCGAATCGCTTATTTCGATGCCGGCTCATCTTTTGATGACTTCTCGTCCTTGACCTCTTCGATCTTCGTGTCCTTTCCTTTCTCCTCTTGTTCTGCCTCCGCGAGTAGTTGACGAAGTTGTTGAGCGGGAATCTTTTTGCGGGGTGGAAGTTTGACGGGGAGGCATTTCGATTTGTCCGTTGGGCATTTATGGTCTCGGCTCCACCCAGTGTTCCCACACTTGAAACACCGCTTATCGCTCCGTAGCTTGTCAATTTCCATCGGCTGTCCGGCACCACCATAGGTCGTTCCTGTGGCATCCTTCTTATCGCCACTAGGTCCTTGGCCTCCACCCTTCTGCGACGTTTGATTGCCTCGACCAGACCCTCCTTGGTTCTGAGAGGACTTACCGCCCAACCCTTGGGCGATTCCATATCGGTAGTTGGTGTCGATTCTTAGTACTCATGCCTTCCATGCTGCGTAGGTTGTGGGGCGCTCGTTGTCCCCATGCATAACCGTGTTTCATACTGTGGGGCGTATCACAGCTTCCACGGCTTCGAACATTTGCTTCTCGTCTCCGAACTCCTCGCATTTATGGGCCAACCTTTCGAACTTCATGAAGAACTCCACCGCTGACTTGAAGTCCGATTGATGGACCTTCTTCCATTCCTGCTTCCAGATGGCTAATTCGGCTACTTCGTGGAACTGGACGGTTATGTCATGGGAAAATTCTTCCCACGTGGGGAATCTCCAATGTCCTCTCGGGTCCTGGTAGCAATAGTATTGGTCGTTCCACCACTGCTTCGCTTCGCCCCGCAGATACCCTTGCACGAACGTAATTTGATAAGGGTTCTGCCCCTGGTCATTCATGGTGTAGTACATCGGGAAAACCTGGAAGTACATTTCGCAATGGTGGAGGAAGTGATTGATGTCCGAAGATTCTCCGGTGAAATACTCCGGCTGAGTGATCAACTTGGGTTTTACGTCATTCCACGGATTATTGACCGCCCCGGGCACCAATTGCCAGGGGGGAATAGGATCGGGTGGCAATGGCGGCATGGGTGGTACTGGTGGGTTAGGTGGTTGAGGGAGCGATCGAAGTCGTGGATTGTCCCCTGGAGGAGGATAACCTTCGAAGTTGGGGGGAAGCCCTCGACTGGTGGGCGGCTCCATCAGCGGCCGTGGGGGAACCGTGGATCCCTTGCCTTTGTCGGGGCGCGAGGGCCCTGCCCCTGCGTCCGCGTAGCTATCATCGTATCCATCGTCCTCCCCTCCTGCGCCAGCGGCGAAACTCATGGTTTCGAGGGGGTTGGGCATCGGTTGAGGGTGTCGATAGGGTTCGCACCCTGGTTGTTGGTTATCGGGGTGAACCTGGTTCCATACGGTTGCCGCCCTGTGCCAGGTTTCTACTTCCAGTATGTTCTTCATTAGGTATACATCGCCTATAAACTTGGCGTGTCGGTAGTCTTCTCCCACCTCGGTGAAAAGCCACTGCAGGTCCTTCTCCATGTCCTCCATCATGATCTCATACAGGCCGTGCCACGGGAGGAGATTAAAGATGGCTGGGACCGGGCTCGTCTGGTTGAGGAGAACCGCCCTTACTGCCTCCATCACCATCTTTTTGAGGGACTGGTTTGGGGGTCGACTGGGCATCTTTTGCCGCCTTCCTCTCTTGGGCGAGGCGGTCGATCTCCTTGTTTCTTCTCCACCTTCCGATATCGGAGTCCTCATCGTTGATCTCGGACTCGTACACATTCCATGCTCTTCTCCTTGCTTCAAGGTCTGTTCCGGCTCGTTGTACGTTTCCGGAATATCTGAGGGCAGCAGTGCGCTGTCGGTTTTCGACTTCGGCGGGGGTGGCGTCGGGTTCGAGGGGAAGGTCGTAATGTCCATTGGGTCCAAGAAGGGCGGCGATTTCAGCCCTTCAGATGCATGCATCATTTTCTCTTGCGGCGTCCATTCGGGCCTGTGCTTCTGGGGCGAGCCGGGCATCTCGTGAGAGCTCGAGCAACTCGACAAGGGTGTGGTAGAGAAGGGGCCACGGGCGCTGGTAGCGAGGGACGGGGTCGGCGAATGCTCGCCCTGCGACCGACGGTACAAAAGTGGCGATGGGGGCAAGGTCCCCGGCTCCGGCAATTGACCCAAGTTCCTCGGGGTTGTAATCCGGGAACTCAGCCCAGAGCTGCTGATCCGTCGGTTCAGCCCTGGGGACGGGGGATTGGATCGTGTTGGTTTCCGGTATGGTAGGGAGGGGCCGCTCGGGCGGCTCTCTGGCCACAGGAGCCTCTTTCCCTGTGTCGGCATAGACCCAGCTGGTTCGTGGGTACCAGGCGATGGGAGGCCCCCTGTTTGTAGGCCAAACAGGTCCATGGGCCCTTGCGTCATTTGAACGGGAGGTAGTTGCGGCAGAGGCCCCAAGGCTAAGCTCTCCGGGATCTTCATCGTAGTCATCTCCTGTCTCTCTTCGCTCGTACCTCCTCCTTTCGGCGCCCCAGTCGGCGTCCGTCCACTTCGTTCGGGAACGTCCACTCCAGTTGTCTCCGGTATCGGCTGCATCTTCCTCCTCGTCCGGGTAGAGGTCACCGAGGAGGTCTTCGAGTCGGACCCTTTCGAGGTCTGTGAGCTCGTCCCCTTCGAACTCAGTGTCAGCGCTTTCTTCGCCCTTGTCCACAGGCCCACGGACTTGTCCTCTGACTCCGTCGGTACTTGACTTGCCTTCGACTGGAGACTGGTCAAAGAGGCCTGGAAGGGGTGAGTCTCCTCTGTCGAGGAATATGCCCCGGGTGTCGGTGATATCAACTGACTCGGCAGAGGCGCTTCTGTAGGAGTCGGTGCTCGACTCTGAGGATCGCGAGCTGGACTGCGACGATCCATAGAGGGACTCTCCAGGTCCAGCGGGTGTGAGGGGTCGGCCATCGCGTAGGGTTTGTTGAGATGCTGCAGGAATGACGATTATGGGTGGAGGGTACGCGGGTGTGCTGGGCACGTAATGGAAGGGTAGCTGAGCGCGAACCCTTCTCTGTTGATGGCAGCAGCGGTGTAGTTGGTACAAAGAAATGGACAAGAAAAAGAGTATAAAAATTGCGGAGATTGCGGGAATGGCGTCGGACCAGGGCATCCGTGCGTGGATCTATTCTTCGTATAGTCCAATGGTTACGATTAACCATGCGACTGTTAGGACAGGATAGAGTTCACTAGTCGTGATCAGCACAATAATGGCTGAGACTGCGATCGCCTGGATGACTACTGTGATTGGCGTCAGTTTGGAGGATGGGTTAGAGTCGGACAATCCCAGTGTAGAGTCCTATAAGATAGGCCGCGAGTAGAGGGGCCGGTATATAGAATCGACACAGGAAAATGGTGATTACTACCCTTGTTAACGCTGCGGCTAACGGGTCTTGTAGTAGGAAAGGCAGGACCCGAAGGACGACTGCCGTGAGGATGATTATGGGATAGATGTTGGGCAGCGTTCGATGCTGAGCAACGTGGGGTCGAGCTTCGGCTAAATGTTAGCCACTAACTCGAATTGACTTAGATCAAACTAGGATCGCTACTCGCACTTCGGTAGATGATACTCTAGCAGGTCAAAGGCGATAACAAGGCAGCGAGCAAACGAGAAAGTCACGAAGCAAGGAGTTCGATGTTAGGTAGATTAAACCTTAGCCGAAGCTGGGGTTTAGACCAGCTGAGGCTCTACTTAAATACACTTGGATGTGCTAATAATAGTACTGCGGGAACTTGTCCGTGATGATCGCATATGAGTAATCAGGCTGAGTAAAACGAATAAAATGAATAAATCGTAACAACCTTTTGGAATTTATATCCTCGATTGGAACTTTTTGTATACGAATATTGTTTCATAGATTCTTAGCTTATACCTAACTTCAATTATATCTGTTTCTTCTTCCTCCGGGTATTGTACAGATAGTTCTACGATAGTACGCTACTAGAAGTACACCTTTTCGATAATACAGGTGATACATCATTTGATACGTTATGAACGGATTTTGTTAGGCCGAATGGGCTGAGACGGCTCGTCGTTAATCGTGGGGCCTTAAACATCATGCTTCAAGATCAAGCATCACCAAGCCCGCTCGTTGTACACTCCGATCCGCGTGGTTTTCATTGCGTCAAGTTGATCCGACCTCGACGCTTCCTCATCATCCAATTCACGAGAACACTCTTCAACGATGATTTCTCCTTCGGTGTTGCCTCTTCTCCAGTTGACTCGGCTCAGCTCGACGTTATTGAGGAGCCAGACGGTATCGGATCCGAGATGCGCAGCGAGGGAATGAATGCTGAACATGACACGGGACACGGCTATTGATGTGACGGTAACGAGGAAGCTGCCAAGACGGTCAATTGCCAGGTACTTTCGAGGGGCGGTGTTGGGTGCCTTACTTTGAGTACATGACAACGATGTTAAGCTATGGCGGTTCATCATCAGATGGATCAGGAAGATGCAAGACGAGGGTTTGTGATCGAGCTCACTTGAGGATAATTATCAAAGAAAGATCCGATAGATGTGAACCCTACAGAGACTGGAAGGTGTTAGCTAGATGCTATGGAGATGTCTCTTCGGGGCCCTTACCGAAGACAATGAAGAAGAATAGACCGCCGCTGTTTGGGATAAGGCGATCAGTGTTCGGTGATATCAGGGTGAGTAGTGAAGCGCTCGTACTCTCTGAGAAGACGTTTCATTACTGGCGCTTGTTTTAACGTGCGACGGTTCTGCAGAGCACGGAAGGCGGTCAGGATGTATAGAAGCGTCTGTAGTGTTTGTTAGTTGTTGAACATTATTCTCGTGATGGATATACACGTACATGCAGAAACAACGAAGGCAAGTAGATGCGCCAGAACATGGGTGGACGGGAAACTTGACAACCTAGAACTTCGAAATGGATGAATTCCGGTGAAGGGGGTATATCTGCTTGGAGGATTTTGACTTTCAGGGCGGCTACGATTGAGAATAACATCGAGGTAGTTAATGATAAGATAAATGAGGAGACTGTAATTATTCGGATCTTCTTGCTGGCGGAGAAGAGATACCATACTCGAAGGACGAGCATTGCTATGGACTTGGTTATCGACTGGGAGTGACCTGAGTTGGAGGAACGAACCTTGAATTATGGCAATTGCTGTTATGTTACCAACGAAGATAAATTCCAGCGCTGGAACACAACTTTTATACCAGAAGTAAGCGGCGGTATACTTACCGAGGTGGTATATCAGAAAACTTACAACTGTGGATGTCGTGAGTACATGTTAAGGCGACATTATACGTCGACTTACTTGCCCTCCAGGATGAGGTAAGGATAGCACTGCAAGATGTACAGTGAGCAGAGGAGCAAAATAAATGCAATGCTAGAGACGTGCCAATCATGTGAAACCTGGCCTCATTGTCAGCTATCCCGGCAAGAATGACGTACGGACTTACGATAGCATGAAGAGTGCAAAGTAACGATTCTATGCAAACACATGATCAATGCGGCTCTCACGTTCGACGGAAGAAGATTCCAAACCGTCAAAAACAACAGTCGTGAAATGGTCCATCTTCCGTGCCAAAAATATGCAACCTTGTGACGTGAAGGTGTGAAAAAGAGTGAAAGATGTGAAATGAGGTGTATCACCTCTTCATCAAAAGTTATCAACCACTGAGGATTGCACATTAATAAAAGCATGTATCAATCGAAGTGACTCGGACGTACTTCGTAAACTGTGCGACATGTGGTTAGAAACAGCTGCATGAGAGAGAAGATGTCCGTACCAAATAGTGAAAAGAAGGCAATGGAGACAATCCGGGTAGTTTCTGCTCCTGTGAAGGAGGCCAAGATGGAAGAAGATGAAAGTGAATCCCCCATAGACAGCCAGCTGGAAGATAGAGTCAGGATAAAGACGGTCTGTTCTACAGCACCAGGCAAAGAAGCCACCTAAGGGATGGGGATGAAGCAACTTTACAGCTGGCTACCCGTATTTATCACGGACTCGGCGGCATTCCCCTAGAAGACTTGGCGACAGGATTCACGGCACATTTATGAAACAATCGTTCCTATGCTGATGATATCTCCCAGCGTCTCGACGAGTCTCACCAGTTTGTTGCGCACCTTGTGTATATGCACCGGGCGGTATCATCTCAGGACAGTGAAGGGGAACATCGTCAAACCCGCTCAGCACTTAGACCGGTGGTAAATTGTCGTCCGTCGCCGGTGCGAAATCTTCTTGATTGATATAGGCCAAAACAAGCGCACAACAAGCGCAACTAGTTCGCTCAGCCTGAGTACCTGTGTCAATCAAGCAGTTGAAGAAAGAAAAAACTTGGTTCAGATGGAAAAGCTGGAACTTCTGGTGCACAGCTGACAGGAACACGGGGAAGAGAGGTAAGAATTTATTTTAGGATTAATCTAGATAGGCACTTGTTGATCTGGTTCCGTGAATCTAGAATTTCAAATTGCTTCCTCTTTCAGACGACGACCTTCTCTTCGAGGCGTTTTCCCTTCCTATCTATCACTCGAATACTGGCGACACCTTGAGCGAAGCAAGAAGTCATATATGGCACAATGGCACCGCAGTCCACATATGTACGTCTCCCATGTCGTTAGGCGGGAGCAATTCCAGCTGCAGCTCTCTTTCAGGATACCCAAGGCTACGAATTTGTGGACGATGAAAGAGAAATAATGATGTTCGACCCTAAGCGTAGGCACGCCTATCTTATATTGTACCACAGTCGCTCATCTCGCGCTCACAGAACAAACAGCCAGCGGCGAACGACGGGGGCAGATGAAACGTTCAGTGCATTCCCTGGTTGCGAATACCCATTTTGACGCGGATATTTAGAGAATAATGCAGTGCCATCAAGCTCAAGCTCAGGATTTACAGTGACGGCACAGGGATCGCCAGTGAAGAGGACAGGTATACGTTTCTGTTCTCTCCCTACCTCATTACCGCTCAAACATTACGTCGACACAGGACCACAACCACCGAAACGAGAAGATTCAGATCAATGGGTCGACGTTTCATTAAATAACTGCAGTAAGTTAATTACAATGACCATATTGCAGTACTCTTCATTCTACTTGTAGCACCTTCTCGAAACACAAACTCGCACTCAACGGGAGTCACGCCTATCAAAAAGGGCATGTCAACGATCCAGATATCGTCGCCTCAGGGTCCTCCGAAGGATGTCATTGGTATATACATTACACTTTCCTTTCATACATTCATTAAACGGTGCACTAGTTCTTTCCAGCGACTCGGAAGACGAGCCTGTAAACCCATTCCGGAAACGAAATCCATCTCCTCCCGATGCCTCTCCGTCGCCTTCTAAGATACGGAAGGCCAACTCTCAAACCGTTACGCCTTCCTCCTCACGCAAAGCGGACCCAATGAGTTCAATCTCTGCCAATGTCACGTTAACTCGACCAAAAAGGACACCTGTCTCCGGTCGTTCAACTGGCACTCCAGTAGCCTCCGGATCGTCGATTTCAGCGCCAAGATCTTTTCCCAAGCACACGCCAACTCCCATGTCATCTATACCTCTTCATACTTCTTCCATATCATCTCCCGGCTCTTTCAATCGCCCGTCGATAGGGAAATTCCCAGATGACGATAGTTCAGAATCTGACTCTGCAACCGAGTCCGATGGCTTCTTTTCTTCTCCTCGCCATGGCGCACCGCCCTCCTTCACTGCTCTCCGCCATGCGAGAACGTCTACTGAGGAACTATGGGCTAGTGTTGGTATGGATGTTGATGTTCCCGACGATACCAGTATTTCCTCGGGGAAGGGAAAACAACCTGTCATACCTGCAGCCGTTCCGGCCTTTCCTTCTGATGGCACCGATACGGAAACTGACACAGATATGAACACCTCGAGCTCAGATGCAGAGAGGTTGATGTCCCAGGGCTCATTTATCCACCATCTGTTCAAAGGCGGAGTTGAGCTGCCTACCAACATAGTTGCACATGATTCAGCAGTCCAAAAGTTGTTCGATGACAAGGAGATCTCGTGGGGCGTCCAATGGGAATTGGCGCGTGGAGTGTCGACAAACTCCTGGACGTGGTATGATGTCAAGGAAAAGCTCATTTCGTCGAATTCGCTGTGCGGCACGGATGAAGACGTCTTGTTTAAAGTCGCATCGATCATGAAGAACCGACCTTTTTTCAGTGCTTCACTGGAATACAAAATCGGGTTCGTACTTTACATCTAGCGTAATATTCTTCTCAATTTGAATGTCTCTTTAGGAAGCAGATGATGCTCGAGCAGCTGGCACTTATGGAGAACCAAGGTCGTGGCCTCGGCCCTATGAGAGATTTCCATGGCGAGACCCACTGGTATGGCGGACAAATCCAGCAGATCGGCCACCTCATCGAACTCCAGAAAGACAAGTTCAAAGTCGAATTGCAGCCATTGGAGATGCGCAAGTCAACACGTTTTGCGCGCTTTTTGGGCTCTCGTCGGATGCTGCAGATTCGCGTATCTGATAAACTCTTGATGCGCGCCGAAAAGCCCATCAGGGAATTCCTGACTCAAAAGTTTGTTATCTGCGGACGTGTCTTTGTTCCGTGGGTGCCAAAGGAAGGTTCTCTGTATCTTGTCGAGGGCAACGAAGATTTCGAGCGAAGAAGCCGAAGATGGTGCGGCGATCAGTACCGCTTGTCGTATCCTACTATTTTAGAATGGCACAATCCTGCAGCGCTGAATTCGAAACAGGCGCGTGTTGGTCCATAATAGCGTTGGCTATTGATTGACGTCTTGCTAGCCCATTGCGAAATATGTCACGAGGAATACGCTTGGATTGTCGACTTCGATTCCTGGTTTAATTTTTGAAGAGAGAAATATCCTGGAGATTGAGGACGAAAGTAAGATAATATTTGACTTGAAAATACCTTTTTCTGACATCAGCGATAGCCACTCCCGATTGGAACGGCGAAGGGAAACCTTCCGCAGATCAGCTCATGACTGATGGGTGCGGGTTTATCAACGAGTCCGCCCTCAGAAGCATAACTACCCTGCTCGGGCTTTCTGTCATGCCGACCGCTGTTCAAGGTCGTATCGCTGGTAGCAAGGGACTGTGGATACGCCATCCCAACAACTTTGATGAAGAGTACAAAATCTGGATCCGACCTTCTCAGAAGAAGATCAACTATGAGCGGCTCGATTATTCTCATCGCATTCTTGATATCGTCAGCACTGGGAGCTCATCGTCAAGTAGTGCACTTTCTTCCCAGACCCTTCTCAACCTGGCCTTCAATGGCGTGCCCGAAGCCGTTCTGGTTGAGCTACTAAAGGAAGGACTGAAGAGGACGGTGGATCCTCTCATGGAGAAGAAGGGCAGGTTCGCAGATGCAGGCCTTTGGGCAGCTGTGAACCATGCTGGTGGTGTGAGCAGTGCGAGGATACAAAGGCTTGCTGGAGGTCTCGCTCGGGTTCTGGGGTACGCCCGACGGGAATGGAATGTTGAGATTGTCTATGACGATAAACGGGACGGCGACAAGAAGGTTCCTGGTGATGATACAGAGGAGGAATTACCGCCCATTAGTACGGGTCGGAACGAGTATAGTGGTGGTGCGGTATCCTCGCAGTCTACTCATGCACATGTCCTGATCATGGTTTTTAGAACCCGTGTCTCTTCACGAAGTTGCCCTTGATCTTATCCAAGCGGGATTTACTCCCTCAAAGTCCCACTTTTTGCGAGAGAAGATCAAGTACATCATTGGCACGGCAATCAAATCGGCGATAGAAAAGTTCCGCATTCCGCTCCCCGAGGGAAAGTCTGCAGAGGCTTTCGTTATCCCTGGTCTATATCTCTTCCCTGTTTCGCTTGCTGTATTAATTGTCATTTTACAGATCCAACGGGTCTCTTACGTCCTGGAGAGATATTCTACTATTCTTCAAAGGCGATCCTGGATACAGAGACGAATAAAGAGTTCAACATCTTGGAGGGTGACGTGTTGATCGGCAGGTACCCACTGAGACTTGCGTCGGATATTCAGAAGGTAAATTTCAATGGGATTCTATGAATTAACTGTTGACGGTTTTGTAGGTTCGCGCTGTTAACATACGAGAGCTTCACGAGTACAAGAATGTAATCGTCGTCTCTATTCAAGGGGATAAGAGTCTCATGACACTTCTCAGTGGCGGAGGTTGGTGTCCCATCTAGTATGACTGGTTTACGTTGCTGATGCTATCTCTTTCAGATTTTGATGGAGGTAAACCACGTTTTTCAAACGTCATCGCTCAATAGCTAACCCTTTTGTTAGATGTCTGCTTCCTTCTGTGGTTGATGTCGCTCGTCCAAAATTTTCAGAACAAGCCATTGCGTCCTCCGCCAGAAGGTTTCATGCAAACACATTTCGAACGGGATATTCAGTCGGTCGCACAATTTCAGGAATGCGTCGAGCAAAATCAGCGTACCCAGTCAGACTTCGTGAACATCCTAATGACCGGTCTCACGAATGGGAGGGTTGGCTTGTATTCGACATTCCACGATAACTCTGTCCGAAAGTATGGATACGACAGTGATCAGTCAATCCTGCTTTCTTATATGTATGCTCATGTCATTTTCTATGCATTTATATTGGTGACCTTGTCATAGGTTCAATACTTTACTGGACGCTGGTAAAACCGGCCATCGATTACGACTTGAATCCTACCGCGACCATGACAAGAATTTCAAGAATCCGGGTCGCTCAGCTTCCGACGGGCGTCCTTTTATCCTGGACATACTGTCGGACGTTGGCAACTCATTGAGGGACGACATTCTGAAGGAGTATGAACAACACAGGGTTAATAGCGGATCTGACGCCGACCTTCTCAAGCCACTGCTAGACATCAAAAGACGCGTGGCTGCAGCAGATGCCGGTAATCCTCAGCATCAAAATGCGTGCGAGTTCCTCAAGCAAGAGCTGGAACTAGTCCAAAAACATGTCCGTCGAGCTCAATCTGAGTATAAAAAGATCTGGTGGGGCTCGGGCTCGGCTTCGACATTCTCTACCGGAAAGAACAAGAACAAGAAGGAAGGAGACCAAAAGGAGGATCAGGTACGAAAGGTTGCGGCCTTGTACGCGTCTGAAGTACCTGGAATCTGCATCATGTCGGCCGGGGAAGTTGCGCGCGTCAAGGCTTCGTTTGTGTATCAGGACACGTCTCGGTCCAACGAGAATTTTGCGTTCAAAATGGCGTTCAAGGACCTTTGTGATATCAAGGCAAGGGAGTCGGCTGATGGGGCTGCGGTTGTGACGAGGTCTTTGGATGACATGAAGTCGTTTCCTACTGCTGCGAGGAAGCTTATTGAGACTGGTTTGGAGATGGAGCAGCGTGTATCATAAATTTCTTGTTGATGGATCTGTATCGCATGTACATATATCTGTAGCATAGTCTTGTGTATATTGGTGTATTGTAGTAGGTTGACCAACACTCAGTATCTTGTCTTGGCGAATCATGACGGGCCAATAGAATTTATCGTATTAGTTCCTTCGAGTGTACTGGGGTGGAAAGTTTTCATGAAGACAGTGCGTAGTGTGACTTGTATTCCCTGGCTGTACGTTATCGAATGGGGAACACAGTAGATTAATAGGATGTAGGTAGTAGTACTGTATCACAAACAATGGATAGTAGGCCATACAACATAGTCCATAGCGATTTACCTCGCGAGGCATACGAGCTGGTATATTTATGCCGAGTCTGATGGATGGATAACAAAAAAGAACGCGAGTCGGCATGGGTAGTGAAAGCTCCAAAGGCATATCAAAGCAGATCTGAATCAATAAAGGTTAAATATCGTAGGTTAAAGCGCGTGTGATGGTACTACACTACGGCTGGGGCCAGTTTTGTCCGGTGGCGATGGCCATCCGTGGAGGCGACTGGGGCATCTCTGTACGAACAGACGAGACTGCCATATTCGTTTTCGTGAAAAGTTCCTCAGAAGGCAAACCGTACGACCGAGCCACCATGGATGGTGTGTACGCCTGTTGTTGTTGAAGAGCGGCAAGGAGGCTCGAAGACGCGGAAGGATTGTTGGCAGCCAGAGCATTGGCAAATTCGGCGTGATTTTGAGCTGAATCAGCCAGAAGGCTATCGGCGCTGCCATCGCTGGGGACCTGGCGTTTGTTGTGAGTATGAACTTTGAGGTGCTGGAGGAGATTATCATGTCGGTTGAAGAATTTTTCGCAAGCCGGGTATGTACATTTGAATGCTAGTTTAAATTATTAGTCAGTAATATTTTTGAAAGGTGGCTAAACACAAACTCACGTTTCTCGTGCGTGTGAATGGAGCGGATATGGCGCTTCAGATGTTCTCCTCGATGAAAACACTTGCCGCAACCTTCCACCGAACAAACATATGTCCGTTTGTCCTTCTTCAAATCCTCCGGTTGCAACACCACCGTTGTAGGAACCCTTCGACCGCGACTTTTCTTGGTAAGATTGGGGACTGGGACCGGTAAATTTGCGCGTGACCGGGGACCGCGACGCTCTGCGGGTGCATTCGAATCATCCAACCCATCCAGGAACGTTACATTGTTCGAATTTGGAGCGGGTATATCCGCGGAGGAACTGGCTGCAGAATTTTCGCGAGAAGACGGAGTCGGTGGTGGAACGCTGGCTGCCTCGCCTTGTCCTTTTTGAGAAGCGCGTTTACGATAGGTACGGGATTTCTTCGCCGGTGGAGGTGACTCGCTGTCACGATCGAGAGCGTTATCCTCGAGTACCCGTCGTTTCGATAAACGTCCCGTTCGTGAGCGAGTCAAGGGCCTGTGGGGTGGCGACGAGGCACGAATTTCAGAAGTTTCGGGTGCATTCTTCGTGTCGTCGGTGCTGCCCTGAGGTAACGTCTGAGTGGGGCATCTAGCCTTAGGAACCGCCAAACACACCTTTTCCTGCTCATCGCGCGACACGACGTCCTCTTCCTTGACGACGGAGGCCGCCTCTGCTCTATGATCAACGTTAGCCTCCTTTTCCGAACTCTGTGGGTCGACCATCGTATTCGCTGTTCGCTGTTCGAGGTATGCTGACAGGGGCCTCAGCTGAAAATTATATCGGTCAACAGTTCCTTCATCGTCGATGAGAGCTACGACAACGAATACCTGGCAAGTGACGGTGAAAAATTGGAGAAATAAAAGTGAGGAAGTGGTAGATGGGAAAGGAGCTAGGGGCAAGAAATGAGCCCCTGAGTCGTTGGGGATGGATACTCGGCGGAACCTTTTTTTCACGTATTGTTCACGTGCCCTCCGGCTTTCTCCGTACAATCACGGCATGCCGGACCGGCAGATACCCTTTCCACATGGACCGTGAGCTACCGAGGTAGATTAGTTTGCGCTTATTTACCTGAGCTGTATCAGCAGAGGTGGCCAATAAATCCAGTTTTCCAGTTTTCCGTGATAGACGTCGTTGAAAAAAAACTAGCCAGGTGAATCTGAACCAATTTCTACCTTCAAATGCTGAATATCTACTGAAACAAGGGTTGCCGGCATTCGTACCATTGTGTATCGTAAGATAAAGGTGCTTTTATGCTTCCCCCACCCAGGAATTCTCGATCTCTGCTAAAGCGGACTTAAACGTACGCAGCAGGTGTTCTGTCGGATTCTTCCCGACACCAGCTGCGTGTTTATGTTGCGTATTACCAGCTCTCATGAACAGCACCAATGTACTCAAATTAGACAAGTTGAAACAACCTATCGATGGTGAGCAGGGCTCCTCCGGGTGATAGAATTGACTGGTTACATTGTCGCAGAATGTGAATAATAATCGATGTTTTCAAGCTATTGACCTACACTCTTAAAATTACATTTCTGGGGAGAAGACGCTTCCCCGGCCGTTCATTCTTCTGTCGTCAAATCTGCTTCACTATTATGCTCCAAGATCATTCAAGCGTGAATAGGTGCTTGTTGATGATCACGCGTCCTATAGCCTATGTCCGAGTCGGACGCTCCTCCGGAACCCGACTATTGGCATTGCCCAGCTCGTTCTCTCCACTCTTCCGCTGCAACTCATCGACAGAATTTTTTCTAGTACTATTGATCGCGGACTGTCGTAGTGACTATCAGTACCAAGACGATACAGGCGCATATCAGCTACGCACCGCTGCGTTCTTTTCGGCGGCTTTAATCTCAACTTGTCTGCGGGGAGCTCTGCCTAAACGACAATAAGTATCCCAGTTAGTCGTCCAAGCAGAATATTAATGAAAGAACAAATTGAGAACAGACCAATAGGCATCTTTGGAGGAGCCATCTATAGCCAGGTTTTCATCAGCATGGGTCAGAACACCATATTCTTAGAAATTTACCTTAGTACGAGTCATCGATGCTAGGAGATCTTGCTCTGCAGTGGAGTAGTAAGAAGGGCACATGCCTCGACAGTCGGACTTTTTGCTGCTTCTTTGAAACTCCTCCTCAAGTTCTTCTCTCACGCTCGTACCAGTTCTATTTTTCATTGCTCTATGAAGGTTTATAATTCCTTTCGCACTCCATGAATAAGTATAGCCGCCGGCCCGGTAGGAGCTTCTACTGACGCCCACAACTACCACGTGGTCTTGGAAATCAGTCGTGCGTCCCTCCAATTTCCCCGAGAAATCTTCTACCATCACATGCGACGAATCGGTAGAACTACTTGGAATCACTATATAAACATGGGTTCTTTTTCCAACTGGCTACGTCGCGCATCCACCCCCAATGTTTCTCTTCAGTGCCACAGCTCTCGCTTATATCCTCACATGCCTCTTACTCGAGAGTCATGCTTGGAGCACATTTGTCGTCCCTCATACTGATGGACAAGATGACACCCCTGGTCTCATGGCATCTCTGGCCAACTTCATGTCAAACTCGACTATTCTGTTCCAGAAGGGAGTGACCTATAACATCTTCACTCCGGTTGAGTTCTCCAAGTTGACTAACGTAGAGGTCGCTATTGAAGGAAACATTACCTATCCTTCGGATATTGCCACTGTTCAAGGTCAGCCGCACCAATTATCAGAACACCGTTGTTAAAGTGAACTTCGTGCAGCTATTGTAGCGTCCGGTGTGAGCCTTTACCATTACATGATATCTCTTGTATACGTGCTGAACGCGTCGGTACACAGGATTTTGAAGGACATTGGTGTGTGACCGACTTGCCACGTCCATGTTGGATGCATTCCAAGACTTGTCAGGTTCTCATTTTCAGGCGGAGACAACGTAACATTGCGTGGTTCGACCGATCCTGACTGGGGCTGGGTGGATGCTCACGGCCAAGGAGTAAGTTATCCTATCCACCACATTTTCAGAGGTTCCTTATACTATCCCCAAGTGGTGGAATACCATGGAACAGACCAACCGTCCTCACGGCTGGTCCTTCAAGAAAGTCAACAATGGTGTCATTAGGGACATGAAAATCTGGAAGGTGCGCATCTTTCTCGGACGGAACGGTTTTCCTTCCGAGTCTCATCACATGGTGTAGCCAATCGCGTGGAACTTTGCAACTAGCGGGTCGACTAATTTGCATGCGTTCAATAATATTATCATGGCAGTGTCTGATAATGCTTCGGTATGTCTCCTCTTATGGCTAACTATCACTAAGTCGCGCAGACCTGGAAAAGGCTTTCCCTTTCAATACGTAAGTGCATTGTTGTATGATAAGTATATCGAGTATTGACGTCTCATTTCTATGTATCAGTGATGGTAAGCTAAAGTAAATCATGATGCGACTTGTATTCCAATTTAGTACAGGATTTTCTGCCGGTGGAACGAACATGCTCTTTGAGAATAATCACATCGTCAACGGAGATGATTGTATCACTGTAGGCAGTGGCGCGAGCAATATACATTTCCGGTACGTGAAACGGTGGAAGGCATCCATTGATTGATGTAACTCACCGTACTGCCTTCAGGAATTCATATTGCGAGGGTGGACACGGTCTCTCAATCGGATCTTTAGGAAAGAATGGAGCCGTGTCTGATGTCCAGGACGTTTTGTACGTGTTGGATTCTTGTAGAAGAGTTTCAAGAATTGAGTCTAGGAACAAATAGGATTGAAAATGTTACCATGGTAAGTTTCCGATCTTTCCCTACTTTAGATCCTTTACGAACGGTTCTTGATATTCAGAAAGACACACTCTATGCTGCACGCTTCAAAAGCTGGACAGGAGGGAACGGACTTGCACGCAAGTATGATTCTCCGCCAAGTGCCCTACTCCTGAGTCTGAGGTTCTCTTCTCTGCAGTATTACATGGAAGAACATAGTGTTCGATAACGTTCCATTTCCCGTAAGTCCACTTCAGTGAGTATGCGCGTATTTGTTTGATTATCATATTCTTCCAAGATTTATGTAACGCAAAAGTGAGCGCATCAAGCCTTTATATTCACATCATGAATGACGACGCCTTCCAGTTACTGGGATCAGGAAGTAAATCACCTACATATTCATCTCATTGACGGTCCCATCTCTGATTTTACCCTTAGGTCGGAGCACAACCAAACTCGACGGACGTTAACAGCACCCATATTGAAGACATGACTTTTCAGAACTTCTCAGGAACAATTAGAGAGTGAGTGCATTCTCAGCCCAGATGTACCTTGTCACGAAGACTCGTCGTTTAGCACTCCGTACGTCGAGGGCTCCTTGCGTGAGCGATCCGTGCTGGTATTATGTAGCCAATGCAACAGGCAAGGAAGTAGTTATCTTTGATCTGTATGCCGGTACTGGTACGTACCACAAGCACCCTCCTGATAGATATTCAATCCTTATTTCACTCTTAGCAACCAATATCGTCGCCAAGTCCATCTCTGCTACTAACGAAGACAGGCTCCATCGTTGATGTCATGTGTGATCCTACGACTGTAAGGATAATTCACCAACGTTTTTTTGCTCAAGGAACCAATAACTCTTATTCATAGGTGACGAATGACGTCGGATTCAAATGCTGGGACGGAGCTTATATTCCTACTACTGCAGGCCTCTACCGTAGCAGTCGTAGTGAGATAATACCATACAGTTCGAAACATGTCGGCAAGCCACTTTATTAGGAACAGCCTCCTCAATATCCTTGAGTGCAATAGATCCAATAAAATATTCTGGAGATATATAAGAGTACTAATATTCGTGGTCATGATAACGTTCCGCAAGTCCTGAACCAGTACAGTAAAAGTAATCAGCCGAATTAAAAGCCCAGCTGCTCAACAAAAGCTCTGCCATGTCGCATCCAGCATGGGAGCAGCAGCAGCTGCGAACCCGAACGCAGAATGATATGGTGCCGGTTGCGGCGGCTGTGTAGGAGGCACACCACCAAACTCGCCCAGAGAAGGTGACTGTTGCGCGAAAAACCCAAACCCATCCCCTCCTGAAAATGGCACCTCCGTTGACAACACCTCAGGCTGGGATTATCAAACAGGTTCAAATGGAACCCGCCGACAGTTGAGGTTCCGTATGTCTTCAGCGATGACTGGGTGGACGTTGTTAGCGGCCGGGCACGACGATGGCGGGGAGGGTTGCCGAGGCGATGGGGTATATGCAACGGTGGGCGTATCGGAATCGAATCGAAGAGATCAGGTGCGTCTTACCTCCCAGGCGATCTAGCTCGTCTGGAGGATAGATCGCCTGACTCAGGTGAAGGTGCTTGGCCCACTGCCTCGTGAGCTTTGTTTCCGCAGCATTTGGATCGTGTCCTACAACAACTGAGCAGGAAGCGCATTTCTAAAAAGTAGAGTCGCACCAGTGTGTTGGCCGCCGCGCGACAGTTCGGAGCGGCTTCCTCAAAGAGTTGAGCAACGAGGTCAAGTTCCTGGAGGGACGGTTTTGTCATCGTGGAGTTGGGCGCTCGTGTTACAAGGATACACATCACAATCTACTTCGTAGGTAAGTTAGACGGAGGGAGAGTGGAAAGGACGTACGGCGGCAGATAACGCATGAGACCATGCCAGATTAACTCTGTTTGATAAAAGAGGCGCGTAGGTCCTCAACATTTTTAGAGACTGCATGATCCTCCAGGCCGACCGATACGTCGCCATCACAGAGGGAAGATATCGATGACGCGCTAGATCAGTCCGGCTGGTCTTGGAGGGCTTGAGCAAAGTATACTCGATGAAGATTCAGCAGTACTAAGGTCGAATGATTTGAGCAGAACCCAAAAGGAATAGAAGCCACTCATACCTGATTCTTTCGACATCAAGACCATCCACCGCTGCATATAATGTTCCGGCCTCAAGACCTTGCTCCCATAATTCGTACATGGCCTGAATCGCAACGGGACAGGGAAGTCTCGGATTTTCCGGTCCAAGTCCAGGATGACGGCGTATGCGGGGACTTTGACTCCAAACGCGGCCCCCATCACAGAGTGCATGAGGGTTGCGTATTGCCACATCCACGAATGAACTAACCAAGTAAGTCAACCCGGAACAAAGAAGTTGAACAAACAAACATACATCCCGTCTCCCGTTCCCCGTCCGCATTGATAATCTCCTCGGTATCTTTTGGGAGTGCACAATCGATATACTGGGCCGACATCGACGGAGGTCGACCAAATAAAAAACTCTACAAGTTCAAATATGTCAGTCCGAGACAGACAGGTGATCGCGCATATGTCGCACCGTCCATGTATCGCATGCAAACAGTTGCCAGAAAATGCGGACTTCGACGCTGACTGGTAGTTTCCCCAAGCTGCCAGCGGGAGCTGTTAAGATCTGCAACCTTAACGTTAGCTGAAAGGGAGTCTGTCACGATCGAGGTACATACGCAAGCCGATCTAGGGGACCGGAGTTAGGAGGACCAAGGGGAAGGGGGAACGACTTACACTTTGACCCAATTGCACAGCGCATCCCATAGTTATCCACTCAGAATTTGTCCCCAAGGCTTCCCAGTCGCTGTAAGTCTCGTATTCGGTCAGGTGAATCTATAGGCAAGCTCAGCAGGTGCCGCAGTGGCTGTGAGAAGTGAATGAATCACTTACCATGCCCTGAATAGCTCGGAGAGTTTGGTGGTTGTTAATAGAGGATAGTCCTATGGCCGCCCGGGCTAAATAGTAATATTCCTGAGCTTCTACAGAGTATGCGGGCCGTTCTTGGTCGAACAACACGGCTAAGGCGAATACGGAAAATAGAAAGTAGAGTGTATGATGACAAGAGACCTGACGTAAATGACCTATATGGCCTATCATGAGAAAGTCAGTGACGGCGTGATCATCAGACACGCACTCGGCTCTATATATGCATGACAGAACTTCATCAAACAGCTCTGTACGGTCCACAGTAGAATATCTAGGAAGCAATGAGAAGCGAGCGTAAGGATACTATTGACTGAAAGAGCATACAGGTATTTTCCATGCTCAAGGTAGACTTCGCATAAACGCACTGCCTCAGAAAGCGGGGGTAGGAGACTGAAAATTTCATGCCCGAGGCTTTCGTCTAAAGGGTCGGCACAATTGGATTCTATAATTCGTTTTGATACGCGAGGAAGTACGAGTGTTGACGTGGATTGGGGCTTTGAGAGTGCCTGCAAGGAGGTTTACGTATAATGTTGAGGACATCAGAAGTGGACATACACGAAGTAGAAACTAGTAAATGAAGACTGAGAAACAAGGATAAGTCAAGCCAAAACAGGGGAAACGGACCTCGGAACGAGCTGTCTTCCCTAGAAAACTGGATTCACCATGACCCCCAATAGTCAACGTGCCTGTAGTATGCTTAACACATATATGCACTTCCAAAGTTACGCACTTACCAAACGCATCGATGAAATTTTCATCGTCGCCTCTGACTTGCTGAGGCTCTGTAGGGAATCCCAAGGAATGGATTGAGGATTGGCGGAAGTAGGAGTGGGTCCATTCGTAGTCGACGGGCCGGCCGACCCATTTTGTGTAGGCAGTGTAGACTGCGGAGACTTTAGTTGTAGCAAGTCGGTGCGTAGGAGGGGGTGAGGTTCTGAGGACACGGTCGACTGTAATATCTTGAGTAGCATTCTCCAAGGTCGCGAATGCGTGAACAGAGGTGCTCTATTCGTTCGTGAAGTTGTTCTGTATTCGCTAGGATCAACCTAGAGAGCTATTAGATATACAAGCTCTGCATGTAAAAGGACTCCTACCGGTTTCCTTTGCCGCTGGTCAAAGACCCTACAGACACATGTAAGCGTGCATTCGAGACGCATATAGTCACCTACCGTCCGGACATATTGAACCACAGCCCCGACTAACGCATTTCTCGCACGGAACCTACCCACTAGGTCAAGGTCGTAATAAGAGCATGAACTGCCGCGCATACATTCTTGTCAGCAGCGCAATTTCAGCCTTCGGCATTCAGAGCACGACGTCGGTCTTCAATAGGAATGAGCATATCGTACGTCCAGACACAGCAGAAAGGACACGCACACACGACCTGGTTTCCGTCGAGGCTTTTTCTCCGGTTCCTTGGGCATTATTCAACTCGTCTTCGGCCGCCGTGAAAGAAAGATGGAGGAGAAAAGAGCGCCCAAGACTCGAATTACCTAAAAGGGACGTTCTACTACGCGGTTAGACCCTTACAAATTCGTAAGAGACCTTCGAAATAGACGTACCGAAGAGATACCTTACTCCAGTAGCCTGCTGCGAGTGTTTCAAGGTCGAGTAACAATCCAAGGGGCATGATGTAGCAGGGTGACAAATCCGAGTCCATTTTCGACTCTCGCCTTTGCACCATCACCACCATCACCGACATGTCACAACGACGATGGACTTTGACTTGGAATCTCTCGTACACCTCGAACAAACGTTGGCCCTTTGTGATTGTTATATGTCGCGATGACTGCTGAGTTCGTCTTCTTCAGTTTCTACGATTCCGGCTATCAAGACGGCTTTGAGCATGGACGCGTACACGGCCTGATTGAAGGACGGGCGCTAGGACGAGAGAAAGGGTTCGAAATGTGGGAAGAGCTCGGATACTACGAAGGGTTTGCAAAGACATGGAGGGCGATATATGCGAAACAAGGCAAGGATGACAGGTCGGTCCGTGCATCCCTTCCCTTAGGGTATCTTGTTAACCTTATCCTAGTCGGGCGCTCAACCATATCCGACATCTCCTGGACCTTATAAACCAATTTCCCAAGGAAAACCCATCTGCATCGGATTCCTCATCTTCTCTTGATATTTCCCGAATCTTGCGGCAAATACGCTCACGGTATAAGGCGCTGTGTTCTACGCTGGGCGTCACAGCCTCTCTCAGAGTGGCTGACAGTGCAGATGACTCTCTGGAGCAGCCGGCTGCGAGGAAGCCTTCTGTCTGGCCGTTGGAGGCACCCGCACAACAGGACCTGAGTTTCTAAAGACGATTTCTTCTTAATTGGACCCCAAAAGGGTACCTTTTGGCCAGCTGGATACGCATATGACACTGGGGCCTTGTCACTGGGAAGAGTAGGACCCGTTTCCATCCGTTAGGAGACCCATCTCACAGAATATTATCAGGAAGGGACGAAAAAGATCTTGATCGGCCGGTTTACTGGGTAAGCTGTGACGCCTCCTTAAAGGCTGTTTGTATTCAGACATTATTCTTTAGAAAGCTGTACAGCGTATCGTTTTGTCGTTCTACGGGTAGGCCAGTACACGAGTGTGCTTCTGAATGCCTGGACTACGCAGTTCTTAATCTAACGCAATATTAACCCTCTTCTCGTTGCCGTGGGCCCACCACTAACGAATGAAAGACCCATAAAAACGAGTGGGAGTATCTCCGGCCACTTACGTCGTCCTGCAAATACAATAACTTCGAAGCCCCAATATCTCCACCTCTACGGAATAAACTTGGAGCATCAAGGCTCAGCCGTATACGTACTCAAGGAAACATGTATTCGGCATGATAACCCTTCACCATCCATTCTGTCGTCACAAGTATTGTCCTTCTTGCTGTAGCGGCTGAAACACTCCGTGTAGGGAGCCAACAACACGGAAAAACTGCTGGTTTCTACCACGACCAAACGGCGACAGAACCCTTTACTACACTTTTCCACTCCTTGGTTCGGTTCGTCCAAAACTTGTTGATGGACCCAGCGCTATTAATATCAGTGTGTTCCCATCACCTTTTGTGCTGTGGGAGCATCACGAAAGGGATCATCTCGGAAAGGATAGCCACGCAGAGACACCGCAGGTACGCCCATACAAGTCCTAGGATTTGGAAGACCATCTCCCCAAGTCGCAGTCTGCGCTCTGCCGCCATCAGATCGCTTGATAGCTGCTATGGAAGTGTGTGCCTTTCATTGCCCTGCCGTTCGATAGAACAGGGTCGGAGTTCAACAGACTGGAAACGGTGATACATGATCTCCCAGATGCAGCGAAAATGGACTGTTGCTGGTTTGTGTCAGTACGTGATGTATCCTAACATGGGCACTATGCATGAAGGGACAATGCTTCGTGAGGACGCAACATGTGTTTGGACAGCCATCCTGATTGATGTGTACGACGTCGCCATTTCATAGGTCATCCAGTAACATAGAGGCATATCATGCGCCAGTCATATAATATAGGTGGGGGATAATAGTTCATACAGAAGAAGTACACATACGTCCAAGCCTTCAGACCTGCATACTAAAACAAAACGAGACGAGAGAAAAAGTATCGCGAAATAGTTTATTATAGACCGAGGAATACGGAGATGTGGAGCTGTGGAGCATTTAAGAACGCTCGCCACGGAGGCGCCTGGCCAAAAGCGAGATCCTTAGGTTGGCTGTATTGATGAGTCAGTAAAAGGCTGAGTCATGATGCACCAAGACAACGTACATCGTCACACGCTTGGCATGGATGGCAGCCAAATTGGTGTCTTCAAAGAGCGAGACGAGGTACGCCTCAGCAGCTTCCTGCAGCGCCATGACGGCGGAAGATTGGAAGCGGAGATCGGTCTACGAGATTATGAGTACCAGCCGAACAAAAGAAGAACTGCGCCCCACCTTGAAATCCTGAGCGATTTCACGGACGAGACGCTGGAAGGGGAGCTTGCGGATAAGCAACTCCGTCGACTTCTGGTACCTCCTGATTTCACGGAGGGCAACGGTACCAGGACGGAACCTGTGAGGCTTCTTCACACCACCGGTGGCGGTCTATGATGTTTCATGATGTCAGTAACGACGGCGACGGCGACAGCAAGCAGACCAGCACGCACCGCTGCGGTCTTCCTGGCTGCCTTGGTGGCGAGCTGCTTACGAGGAGCCTTTCCTGCATGTCAAGTCAGCATCTGTTTCGATATTCTATGAAAGAAAAAAGTACCGACCTCCGGTGGACTTGCGGGCGGTTTGCTGCGAACGACGACGACGGCCACGTCAGCACAGCGATAAGGAGAGCCCTGAAGAGAAATACAGACCTTGGTACGAGCCATTGGTGCTTGAGGTCGCTAGTTGTCGATATATGTGCCGATTCTTGAAGATAGCAGCAGGGGATGCTGGTGGGCGGGAAGAGAGAAAGGTAAGAATCAGAGTTCCGATGTTGGTTTGAAACCCCCAACCCAAAAGCCCCTCTTTCTCACGCTCGTGCCACCGGAATTCCAGCCGTTTGTACTCGGGCCTGTGTTGGAACATTGCTCTGAATTTTTTCTGGTGCCTCCCTCCCACCATTCCTTTGTTTTTTTTGTGCTCAACTTTTGACTATACATCTTAGGTACCTCTTGTGATTTACCTGGATTTTTAGGACCTCATCTTGGTAGTGGAAAAAGCAGCTTGGTTTTGGGGCTCTCCATCCTTGGAACTTTCCACTTTGGGAACTTGCACCGCCACATCCTATATTTTCCATTACAATCTGTCTCTCGTTCTGGCCTTGGCCTCGACTCCGCGGCGCATGTATCTGCGATTGGGACGGCTTCAGCACATTGCTGTCAATTGTCGATACTTGGCCGAACGTCCCAAATACTTTTTCTTTTAATTTTGCATCCGACAGTACGCATATGTTGTCTGTCGTCGATGATCGGTTCCGGATTCTCACGCAATCATTTGGAGCTCGGAAAAGCTGTTTTTTTTTCTCTTCTGCGCAGTGCTGTCTGTCTTATTTGTGGAGAACATGATATCTGTCTCATTTCAAATCATCTCTGGGCTATGTTGCTGATGTGAAGATGCGGTGCGGAGCTTGCGCTTATGCATCCTCGTCGTGACTCAGCTCGATGTCGGAAGAATACGTGGAGACTCGTACTCTTACTCGGACTATACCAGCTGCCAATGATCCTCTATGTACTCCGACAATAGCCTAGTACCCGTTCTTTGCCTGGAATGGACCTTGACATCGGTCTTTCCCGACTGTATCTGCATATGATTGAACGACCGTTTCATTATTCATCCTAGACGAGACGATATTATTCAATTCCAAAACTCTTTTTTGGTCCATGTCCAAGGCGTCCAATTTCCGTCTTCTCGCTCCCATCATGCGAACAACGAGGCTCTCAAAACAAAAACTCACGGATGTGTGAGGCTTCTCATGGCTTCGTTATCGCACACTCATGCCAGATATGCTTTGCTTCTGTGTACTTCGTCATCTTTCGTAATACAGTCAGATGTACGTGAACGTCGAGGCAATGCCAATGTTCCGGTGATTCGGTATCGATGTACAAGAATGGCCATGGCGCCCTGTTTCGAAGAACAAATATTAACTGTTGGCTATTAAAAAAGGAGATCCTCAATATACGACGCTGATAGCGGCAGAAGACAGACAATTTCCGAGATCAGAAGTGCTCACTTCTCTTGATATCTCTTCACCATTCGTGCCTTCGCTTTAATCAATTGCCGCCGCACACTGAATATTCCCCAAGCTTCTGAAGCTCTCAATGATTTTTCCCGGAAGCCGCAGCTAGGACGTCGGTAGCGCAAACATCGAATATACACTATTTACCCACCGCCGGGGACAACTTTCGACATTCTTCTATCCTTCGGTTTCCACGAACATCATGGACGGAGGCCACAACTTACTCCGCGTCCTTCTCTCATTCAAACCAGTTTACATCCAACTGATGGTTCTGTATTGAAAAATCACAGGAAACACCGACGCCGACTCGATAACGACCAGATCTTTTGGGGAGGTTCAAGTTTGTTAGCGGGACCGAAGAAAAAAAGTTCCCCGAATCCCTCTAGCGCCACGTCAGGATCCAATGATTTCTCATCCACTACTATTTGTATAAACCGGAAACAAGCCTTCCGTATTTCCTTGAACAAAATCGAAGTTTTTAAGAAGCCTGTAGTTACGAGACCCCGCCTTGGTGAGCATAAATGGAAATACCGCCGAGCTGTTTGTCAGGTATATTCCCGTCCGGGCCGTTGGAGGCACGTGCAAACACAACTGTTGCGGTCAACCACGAGTATCGCACGAAGTCGCGCTGTGGGAAATGCCGTCAATCGATATTCGAGCACGACGCTAACTTCTTTTGAGCATTTGTGCTTTCCAACTGCAAACCACTAGCAAAAACGACTGTGCTTATCGTGTTTTACCCCTTCTTGTCCTACTAGCAAAGTTACGGTACCTCCAAGTTTCCGTGGACCCCCAAACCGATAGGCCTTGTGTACTATTGAAACGTTTGTGAACTTGGTGGCATGGTGCGTTAATGTATGCTTTAGTGGCATCCATGGCTATCTGCGGTTACCCGCGCAGCTGACTTTCAATACTTTTAGATTCGGATGAAGTAACAAGGTCAGCTCAATGGATTTTGGACGATACTCGCCTCCTCACGCTCGACGTGAATGCCCTGTCTCTCACCTTTGGTTGTTATCAAACTACCGAAGTGATCGTCTTTGCAACACCGGTTGACGGGCATCATGGAAACTCTGAGGCGTCAACCTTTTTCAGGTAACGTCTTCTACCATTCAAGTGAAGAAGCTTTCCTGACATGGTTATCCTCGACAGATGCCAAGAAGCTATGAGAAGAGATCTCTTTCACTTCAGGCGTCCTGATGAAGGGACCGTGGCAATCACACGGTCCGACCTTTGAATGTACCGTCGATGCGACTAGGTTCGTTCTATCCTTGGACCCCTACCCGTTTCGTCACCCACGAATTATCCGCCAGGGGAAAAGTTCATTCAAACGGACTGGTTCACCCGCTGTGGGTATGAATCACTTTCCAAAGTCATCCAAGCCTCAGAACATCCGGATGTTCTCGCTGACTCCTTCTCCGCTGTCGTAGCTAATGGTGCCTTTATTGAATTTGCCAAATTTGTACACCCCGGAAGTCGAATGTTCGGAACATTACCAATTCATTGCAGTCCACCTCGCAGAGGTATCTCTCCGACTACGTGAAAAGGTTCATGTATGACTTATATGCTTTCCTTAGGCGGGATGCTGCGGACACAGTGTCTTCACTGGCTTGCTCCGATGCGGGAAACGGTTCCGAAGCCCCGGTGCTTCCCCTCTAGCCCAAGGTCGATATTTTGATATCCTCCACTATTCTCCAAGATAGTGATATAATCCACGTTCGGACGTAGTCGTAAATCAGGGTACTGGAACATTTATACTAATGATGTATTCTGCAATCTCCACCTTGGTCGGCATCTCTTTCTACGTCGTATGGTCTAGTTCTGACCGATTTTTTCTCCTGGAACATAGCCTTCATGAGTGGCAGTTGCGTCACTACTGTGCCGTAGCAATCGAGGTAGTACCAAAGCTTTCATATAAGGTTGGGCAGTTCCCTCGTCATAAGGAACCATTCTCGATCTTGACATCCAGTTTCAACGTTTCTTCTGAGTCATCGGACCACCCTACCTTAGCTAGCTCTCGCACCTAGATTCGGGGTATTTCCTTATCTCTACACTCCAGCCGTCCTTACCGCGCCTGGACTTCCCAGCCTCGGAAGACACGTCGGTTATCACTGATCAGCATCTGAACCAGCTCACCCTTTGCTCTACGCTCGGCGGGGAACAGTGGGCTTTGCCTGCCTGCGAATTTCTGGAGCTGAATTTACCTGTAAATGGTGTCCTAGACATCGTCTCGAAGGTGACTTTGCACATGGTGTGCTGTATCCGTAACTTGGATTCTCTTCTGACGAGACTGGCGTGGAACCTGTTCCTGCTATTGACGACTGTTGAGGGACGGGAAGTTTCGATCGAATATAGATGCGCCGTATGGTCTACATTTCTGGTTAGTGGCGATTTCTGGGATCCTTCTGACGGTATTTGTGAGCTCGTAATAACGGTCTTGTTCACATGAGATATCTCACCGCACAGTCATTTCAAATGCGTACCGAGAAATCCATGTGCGCGACGGTGGTCATATGCGCGGATCATATAGCGTCTCCATCCTTCTCTATCCCATGTTCTGAACGGACTCCAAAGGCCTGGGTACTTGTTCCGTGACCCCGGGTAGTCAGGGATCTATAATGACGAAATGACGACACCTTATCATCGAATGAACAATCCGACAATACGAGCAAGGGATACCTGTTTCATGTGTTCATGCTTAATGGTTCGAATAATAACCCAGCCTCGGATTCATTCGATGTAGAAGGACAACCGATGACGGGAACACGCACTGCAGATTGCCGTTTTGCAACTTCCGCTTCATATCCGTGGTGAGAATATTGCCCGAGGTTGTAGATCAGGAGAGCGTCAATCAGTCCTATACCGGAATAATTGCATATGTCCGCAGCCAGAGCTTCGATCTAGTCCTGGGATGTAAGTACCTGTGGAAAGGAAACCCAAAATAGATTGGTAGCCTCGTGCCGTTACTTTTTGCCACGAACCATCAACATCAACATCTTTGAGCAGTGTTATTGAAGCTGTCCAAAGATTTCGAACCCAGGAGCACTCATCAGATGTTAGAGCGGTGACGAGATTTCATTATGCGTATGAAATGACTTACGAGAGGTGACGATGCATGTACGACTGTTTCTCCATGAAACCGCATCGTGGATTACAGCTAACGGACGTACGCGTTGATCAAGAATGAAGGAAAGATGACTCAGGCGAGCGATATCGTATGCATCAAAATAACTACGCGCCAATGCACACATGAAATCATGACTTTCGTATGGATATGAATGAACAAGAAGTCCTTCTGACTCAATGAGGCACCGCCGTACCGACTCGGATCAATGCCATGATAGGGCGAGCTAATCAATTACAAGAGGCCACCGAGAAGAACAGTAACGCATCAGACGTGACTCTGCCGTGATGGGGCGAACCAACAGGAACCAATCCAGCCGTGATGCAATAGAGTTAAGGTTTACGGTATTGGACAGGATAGACCGGACCCGTATCTTTGGTGGCGGGTACATGGGTAGGTACGCGCGACGGATGGGAAGATATTTTATCTCTTTGGAAGTATTCCAGAGATGACGGCTGCTGAGTCAAGTATGTTTAAGTTTAACTCAAACTGTATCAAGCCTCGGCGGCGATCATTGAAATAGAGCAGTAAAGATGTGCTTGACTTATTTATTGTTCTTCCTATTACACTCGTATCCATAGCCATGGTACTGGTTATGCCTAAGCGGAATGCCCTGAAAAGCACAAAACCTTGATTGTAATGGAAGGTCTTAACCAAGATGGGAGCTACCCGCAGGCGCTTGACCCCACAATACAGGATAAACGGGATCTCTGGTCAAGTAAAGCCCAGGGCCAGCGCGCGCTGGCATGACAACAAACAGCATCTTCCTCGTAAGGTCCACGCACTTTCTGGGTCTGAAAATCTATACCAATCTGGTCACCTAACGTATTTCAAACTTGTAATTTTTGATATATCTAAGACATACATACACTAATAATTTTTGACTTGTTCAGGTCTATTTACACTACTATCATCCAAGAGGTCGCACCGAAACTTTGGCCCAACGTGGCGTCGTGCAGCAGAAGTGGTTACCTTACGAGTCAGATTTGAATGAAAAATGGAAGATTCACCATGGCTAGTAATATGGACATAAATGTTTGCACTACGGGGGAACATGTCCGTTAAATTCGCACTAAACCAATACCGCATTACATCTCTCTTTGATAACAGCAACTGAGGGTGCAATCAATCTTCCGTTTTTTTTTTTCTTTTTTTTTCTGGCCGATGGTATTTCATAACTTCATGCGGCCACGTTTTACCCATTGATATCGACTCTAGGCGTCACCGACAACATCGCTAGGGTACACACATCCGTCGTTAATACCAACGAACCAGCTCGATTTCGAGGAAACCCTAGAAAATTACAAATAACTCGGGCCTTCTACATGTACCCGAAACCGCTTCCGGGGCTGGCTGCTCAGTTCATCCCTGCTGGAAGAAACGGGAGAAGGATAGACGGGGAAGAACGCAGAGACACGAGATAAATGGACGCACCGAATCTCAAGGACGAGAATGAAATTCGTCACTTGCACCAGATCTACGTCAATCTGTGGCGGCTAGCTCGGCCAAGACGGGGTGCCTGTGGCCTTGTGCCTTATATAATTGCACTGAAAGATATGAGATATTTAATGTTATTTGATTGGTCTTTATGAAACAACAGATAGAGCTTATGCGGTCATTGCGAAATGGGCGATGCTCGTGCCAGTGGCCACAGCTATGAGAGTCCAAAAAAGGAAATGAACACTAGATCATTATACGCCACGTGTTTATGGTCCATACATCGATCCTTGTCCTCTCTCTGTCCTCCATCTAGCCCGTCTCTGCTGATATATTGCGAGTTCTGGAGCCGTAGAGTACGGAAGTTGCACAGAATGTTAAGATGCACGGATCCTCGAATCTGCAGTGATTGTGGCGTAACTTCGGTATCAGAATCAGTTCCAAGGCGACGCATTGACTTCCGAAATCTATGTACCAGCATCATCTAACTTTATATCGAAGTTCTGACTGTATTTTTTCACGTATGGAGTCTCCACAACTTTTCCGATGCTCTGGAACTTTGACGTAGCGCCTTCGGTGAAGGAAACCCGACTGCACAGAACGAACCATACTTGTCGAATGATGTGTTCTTGGTGCAATAAGTGTTGCCGTATTTACGGCCTACACCCGGGGACATCCATGTGGCCCGAAAATTGCATGTCTGCCTGGCATTCTGACTGGTCGCAAAAGAGATATCAAGTACCCGATCAAATTTTAGCTCTTTTCTCTGTATCAATTCACGTTGCAGGGTATTCGTATCTCTTGGGCGCCTCTGTCGGGATCGTCGGGACCGAGGGGATCAATCGTGCGCAACCCGTCAAAGTGTCTCCGGAACATCAAATTGCATTGCAACCGGTATCCGTGTCAATCCGGCTGCCAGCGCGATAGTTCGAATTCAGTATTATCGTGTCGAACTCAGTATCTGCAGGTACACTCCTCCAAGGTTTGAAGTCTATTCTTTGGTTTTTTCTACGCGGTTGTGATCGTCAGATTTTGGGGCGGATGAGCGACTGATAGCTAACTCCGTTTCTTCCTTCTCTCCATCTTCCATTCAGGCATCGCTGGCGACGTATTCAATAGAAGTCCTTCTGAGTCCTTCTCAGGACCTTTGACAAGTTTCCCATTGCCAGTGTATAAATCTATGAGTATTTTTTCGCTATCTATATGCTATCGACATGCGGTATGGGGTATCGTACTAGGAGATGTCATATGTCCATCGAAAATCCCCCACAGATCTTATCCTTTGGACCGACCAACCTCCTTGCGTGCCTAGAAAACTGAATACCGCCCTTGAAAAAATCCGCACCACTGATCCTGACATGTGCCCCGCACGAGAAAAACCAAATTTAACGCACCCAGTGAGCGCCAATGTGACCTGACGAACGTTCACCTGAGCGGCGGGACGGAAAAAGCTTTGAACGCCAATCTTTTTAGGGGCGCATTCACACGGACGAAGTGACGATAACAATAGGGGGATTAGAGGGAGAGGATTTTTTGTTCCGTTCCTTTGCCCATAATTAAGTGATCGACTCCGAGCCACTAAGTCCGAGCCCGTTTTTCCTGAGCTGCAGTTTGCAGTGCTGAGACATGCTCTACGCGACTGAATATGTGTAGAATAAGAGCTGCAAATTCTCTATTGTTGTCACCTTTGGGGAGAACGAAGGCGGCGCTGACTGAGTAGGTCTGCTGCGCATCGTTGTAGGGTAAGGTCAGTTGAGATTTTCAATTCAGTTTAATGAGTAGGTCCCGTGCTGGGGGTTGAACGTTGAAGCTGAAGTGCGACACTGCAGTGTCCACCAATAGCAGACAAAGAGGGAGGTTTAGCTTGAACTGAATGTACTATCAGGAGCGTCGCTATAGTAGCATAGAGCGATCTTTGTGTAGTTGTTAAACATCCTAGGCGGACGTAACGAGGAACTGAATACAAAGCGGAGACGGAATACAGAGAAAGTCTAGAGTAAGGTTCCGCTCTCGGCATTTCTGAGACCTGCTCGACAAATTTTTTTGTGTGCGTCAACTGCAGTGTAGACAAGGAAGTGGCAGGAAAGGCATAGCTCCGAGGTACATTATTGAACAAACAAGAACGACGTCGACGGTAAACGTCCGGTGAAATAAAAGATCGACGAATAACATGTTTGGAGTGACATTGGCAGGTGTTTGGGCGTTGGTATTTTGCGAAGCGGAGTAATAAATTTAGATGAATGGGTATGAAATGCGGTGCCGACAGATAGATATCTTGGGGTTTGACGAAACGCGTCAAAAAAAAAAACATACGCAAAAACAAGAACCGTACCCATTGGAGCGAGGCACCGACATCAAAGAAGAATTTCCAAACTAGGCGCCGAAAGGTGAGATCATTTTGGGGAGTAGATCGGAGGATAAATCTGGAGATCTAACGAAAAGGGAGCGTGGAAATGAACGAAAGTGGACTGAGTCAGCTCGGAGCTCAGTTCACGATCGCGCGTGTGACAGATGCTTCCTCAGCCTGGGACGCCCAAGATAGCAGACTGGCACCAGAAAAACGGGAATGGAAATGGGGAATACGTAGTACGTACTGAAATAGAGTATAATAGACGAGTCGGGGAGGGCAGTGGGGGAACGCGCAAGGTAAAGTTCGACCATCCGCTGACGAGCTCGTCTGTTTTCGATCACTTCCGTGCCAAGGTCAGCCCCCAAGGTGAGTGACTCTGATTGGAAATAACCATGAAATGGGACTGAAATGCAGATTAGCATTCATTTACCCTTCTTAATCCCAGATTCGCTCGATTCGTTCCTGTTCCCTTCGCTTTTGGTCCTGTTTTCTGGCGGACCCGTCATTCGAGTGTCTCGAAAACTCGACATAATTGACGCAAACTACATAAACGTGGAAAGTGCGCGCGTCACCCTCGATTTAATCGGATTTTTCCCCAAATTTTTGTCAACAATTTTGGCTATTCTGGGCTTATTCCGATTATTTCTGGGATTATCGAGATTGCCGGCTTTTGAGTTTATTTCTCTTTATATTCTTGTTATATTGCCTTGCAATGCGACTTTTCCGTCCACTGCAAGGTCCCCCGCTGCCCTCTCAGATGTCCTCCCCGGTCAGCCCTACAAGCCCTACATTTACCAACTTCTCTGCTCCGTCACCGTATTCCTCTGCTTCGTCCGTCGACGACACCCCATTCGACACCGTGCACAACGACCGCGACCGCGACCAGGCCGTTGTACAGACCATGTCTTCCTACTCTCCATACGCTTCCAATGGCCAACCGCCTCTCTACCAGAACCAGAACGACCTCGTCTACCCTGACCACGACCAGTACTACCAGTCGACGTCAATGATGATGCCATGGACATCGCCCGTCGCGAAAAAGCAGCAGGCCATGCAAGGGCAGTACCATTCTCAGCAGCAGCAGCAGCAGCAACAGATACCGGCACAGCAACTGTCTATATACATTCCCAACGGTCAGCAGCAGCAGTCGCCAGTCATTCACTCGCCTGTGCCCCATCACCACAGCCAACAGGGCGGCCACTCGCAACAGAACTCCCATCATATTCTCGACATTGACCTCGACGAGTGGCATTCGCAGCAGCACCAGTACTCGCATGCTCAGTCGCATTCATTGGCCATGGCTCAGGTCCATCCCAGTCACCCATATCCACGGGTCAAGCAAGAGGATCTCTCTGCGCTCTATCCTTTGAACGGGAACGGGAACGGTACGTACGGACATGGCCCAGCACAGCAGCAGCAGACTTCATCCCATTCCCAAGGACATATGTTCGATCTCTCGGCGCACCAACAGCTGCAGGCTCAGCCCTCGTCGTCTTCGTACAACCTGCTCAACGCGTACTACCAGTCGCAAGGCCAGCATTCCGCCCTGGGGATGCACGAACGTTTCGTGCATCCCTCGGAGCTCTCCCCCGCTGACTCACCCGCCTCGCCGCTCGAATTCCCTCAGCGGCCCGACGACACCGCAAACCCTGCCCAGGGACAGCCACTGCAACAGCAGATGACTGTCGGATGCGATCCGCGCTATGTTTCCGGAGACCTCGGCGCAGCAGCCACTGCAACGAGGGACGACGCGCACGAAGAGGACGCAGAGGGTGACGACGACATTGACGCAGAAGGCGAAGACGAGTACGTAGACAAGGAAGGCGCCGGCAGTAAGGATGACGACGCGTATGAGGATGACGAAGACTACAACGATGCTGACTACGACGACGACCGGGACGGGGAGTACGTATTACGTCGAGGAAGACGCTCTTCCGGCGGTTCTTCGAAGCGTAACCTACGTACGCGTACGGCTGGAGAGCGGTATAACCCATACCAATACACTTCCCCGTCTCCTTCGGCCTATCCAGAGACTCAAGACCAGATCGGTATCAGCACGCGTTCGAGACGAACCACCTCAAATGACTCGTCTTTAACTTCGACGACATCGTCGTTAGACTACTCCCTTTCCTCTTCTCGTCGTAGGCCTCGTCCCTCGGCGAACCTCCCTGTACCCGTTCCAGTACCCAATCTCACCAAAAAGTCTCGCGGACGACGTGTACCGACGGTTGCGACCCTGGACCTCAGTCCGCGACGTGGTGGTGACGGAGACTTCCACACGGCCACTGGTAAAGGTGCCAGGGTCCACTTGTGCAAAGTTCCTGGTTGCGGCAAGTGTTTCGCCCGCGGCGAGCACCTGAAGAGGCATGTCCGTAGCATCCACACATATGAAAAACGTCAGTCTCCTTTCATATGTATTTCTTTGGTGACATTGACTGACCTCTTGTACTTTTTTCAGCGCATAAATGTCCATACCCTGGCTGTGGAAAAGATTTTAGTCGCCACGATAATCTCGGTCAACATATGCGGGTTCATAAGGATTATCGGGGTTAATGCCCTCTTCTTCTGCTGCTACTACATTTCATCATTACCACATACCCCCATAATTCACTTGGATTTGGATTTTGGCTTAATTCTCTATCTCGGGAAAGTTTTTTCGCTCGCGACTTTATATGCGCGGGTTATTTCTTTATTCGTTATTCGTTTCTTCCACTGTTGTTGTCATTGTACATTCTCCCGCAATCCCCACGCAATTTTTAACATAGATAAAACCGTTATAGCGTATCATACTCACCGGCTTATTACTTAGTACTATAATCGTACGCCCTCAGTGTTTGTTTCTTATTAGTGTACACTGTATTGTGGTTTTATTATCGGCGGCCTTTAGCGCCTGCGGACTTGAAGCGGAACTCCTGACTGAGATTTGTATCCCTGTGCCACGTCTGAGTCGGATTAAATGAAGGCAGTACAAGAAAAGTGCATTAATGACGGTAGGATAGTGTTACAGAATGGTATACATGGTCTGCGATGCTGTAGTTAGTATCGACGGCGAGATTTACAAGTAAAGATCACTTACAAAGACCGAGAACAATACAAAAGGTAGATGGTAAGAGCAAGACAAGCAGGCTATGCGTCATCCGTCATGATGGCGAAGAACTCTTGCTCGCTGATCTCGCCGTCCTGGTCCAAGTCGAACTCGTCGATCATTGCTTGCCTACAGAGACAGAACCGTCAGCCAGCGAAGCAAATCCAAGAAGGGAGTACCCACAATTCATCGTCTTCCAGCCGGTCCCCAATCTCCTTCGCCACGCGCCTCAGATTCCTCAGGCTGATCTTTCCGGTATTATCATCGTCGAAAAGCTGAAAGGCGCGCCGAATCTCATCATTCGGGTCCCGTGCAAGAATCCTCTCGCTCACTACAAGTCGGCATGAGCAACCCCTTCCACCCTACACAGCGCCGAAATCCCACTCACTAATTTTATAAAAATCCTCATAATCCATGAGCCCATGCCCCGTCTTGTCGTTATCCCGGAGGATCTTCAAGACCTCCGCCTTCTTCAAATCAAACCCTAGCGCACGCATCGCGACTTTGAGCTCGTGGTAATCCACACATCCGTCCTTGTCAGTATCGAACAGCTCAAAGGCCTCTTTGACTTCTTGTTTTTGCTCGTCGGAGAGCTCGGGGCGGTTGTGGGTGCGCCGTTTGGCTTTCTGGGCGGCGTTGGAGGCTCCGTACATGGTTGTGGGGAGGGAGAACGCGTTTGGGGGCTGCTTAATAGGCGCGTTGGGACGTGGTAGAGATTTTCTGATCGGATAATTTTGGGCTCATTGTTCGCCTGATGCGGAGTTGGAATTGGGGGTCGGCAGGTATTGTTCTTGTGGGTGTGCCGGGATTCCGATTTGGGCTCCGCATTGTTCGTTTACGCGCGGCAGCTTTGTTCGTTGGAGCCGGCATCTCTCTTGCCGTCTGTAGCTCTTAGCAGTTTTATTACTCGATTTTGAGCGAAGGCGGAGTAGTATGCATACTTAGCCGCCGCAAACGCCACCTTCATTTCCGTCTGTTTCTTGAATGTTTGAACTTTGTATCGAACGGGTCGAGCTAGAGCATATTGGTTCACTTGACTTGCGTGTTTCAAGGCTTTCCCAGAACAGTTACATGGTCGTATTTACCTAACCGCCACCACAATGCGCATGCATGCACACTTGCAGCCGTCTCTATTGAATGGTGATTATCAAGTACAGAGCGGAATGATTCGGCGCGCTGCTGGTTCATATAGCGACAGAAATTCCGGGTCCTTCCGCTACGAGCATCTTTGGTATCGTGACCGTTCCCCCTCGCGACCCTCCAAAAGTACCCTCGTCCAATACTGTCCAGATTGGGATGCAGTGACATCGCGGAACCGCGAATGATCTACCCAAGATTTGGGGTACATTGTGGCGTTTTTGCATTAGTAACTTGTTTTGGACAGTCAATTATGCAAATACACAAGGCCTACGTCCAGGATAGAGTTGGGACATAGACAGAGTAGGCAAGTTGAAGGAACGTGATGGTGGGTGTATTGGTAGAGCTGTCGGAAGGAACATTCAACAGCGGGAAGCCTGATGAAGATCCTTAAGGGAGGCTCGTGTCCCTGCGAACGAAAAGAGTGAGGACGAATGCTATTATTCCTTTTAGCTCGAAAATATCTCTGTCAAGACAATTAGTTGGTAAAACACATCGAGGTCATCCTGGCCTACACGCGCGGATATCATGCACGCTCCAGGTCCAGCCCTCTTGATGCTGAAGAACACTTGGCGTCTTGTTCAAAAAGAGTTTAGCACATCCGTGATTATAACCCTGGCGCTGCCCTGAGAAACCAAAATAAAATATGGGCGCTGGTCTCGCCCCGCCAGCCAGTCCGACAGTAATTTAGTGTGACAGTCGGTGGGACTTGAAAATGAAAAGTTGACTGCCTCGAGTCGGTTTGTTAACCATAGTTGGCTTCACTGGTGGGAGACTTCTGTTATGAGTTATTTAAAGCCAGGCTCGAGCGACGGTCTCCATTAATTTCTGGAGGTTGCCTTAGAATATTAATGATGATGACGTCGGGTGCTGCAACTGAACAGTTTGATATGGCATCGATAAAGCTATCCACCGTCATATCGATTGTTCCAAGGGTCATCCAGAGTATTAGGTGTCCACTTTGGTGTAGAAGAAGTTCGCCTGACCGACTTAGGCGACCCTATGGGCTTCCGCATACGGAATACGCGTATATCCGTAAAATCCGACGGTAAGTGTATCACAAACAAAAGATTGCCGCCGTATCTAAATATTCCAGACAGAGCCTTGTACACTTTCGCCTTGCAGCATATTCCGACCTTCGTGCTCTAACGGTCAGCGAAAAAAGAAGCAAAAAGGCACTGATTATCCAATAAGAAGGCTCAAAAATGCCTCACCGCTGATTGGCCGAGCCGGCAATTCACGTTCCGCGTATTCCCACGATCCTAGAGTTCCCGAAGGCCACAGAGGCATTTTCCTCCAACCAAAAGCCCAACGGTCGCAATAATCCCTTCGTCATGCAAGCTGCTCTCCGTCTAGCACGCCAACAGCATCGATGCCTCGCGACGACGGCAAACCCTGCTCACGTTCTCGCAGGCTCTACGAGCGCTGCCGCACCCAAGCGACCCGTCATTCCGCTGTCCAATGTCGAGGCTCAGTGGGAGAAGTTGACCTCGGAGGAGAGGTCGTCGGTGCATGACCAGCTCGAGGTGCTGATGAAGAAGGACTGGAAAGAGTTGTCGATTGATGAGAAGAAGGCTGGTGCGTTCCCTTTTGACGGTCTAGAGCTGTAGGGGCGGGTCGTCTTATTTTTGCTTTTGAATAGCTTACTACGTTTCGTTCGGCCCGCATGGTCCCCGTACACCTTCGAGCAAGCCTGGAGAGAACTTTAAGGTCTTTTTGGGCACTGCTGCACTTCTTGGCATTACCGGTCTCTTGTTCGTGGGTATTCGAGCTATCGGTATGTCTTTTTCTTCGCTACATATACCTCAACTTGAGATCTTCTCTTCGCAGCACCTACTCCTCCCAAGACTATCAACAAGGAATGGGAGGCTGCGATGAACGAACGCGCCTTGGAGCAAAAGATGAACCCTATTACTGGTATGTCGCTGTTCCAGACGCGTGGCAGTAAGCTTGACTTTATTATAGGTATATCATCGGAGGGGTACAAGGGGAAGGGTTTCGTCGTTTCGAAATAGATATCCAAGACAGGTTACGACAACCAAACAATCATACATTCCTCTCGAACATTCAGAAATGCATGACTCTTGGATATAGATTTGGCAAGTCCGTCCGACACTAAAGTTGGACGCTTTCTTTTTCGTGCTTGTATGCTTCTAATTGCCTCAATCAACGGCATCCCGATATTTCCCTTCCAATGCCACGCTTCCCATTTTCAATTTGGCTGTCGGCTATGTATACATGTGCGGCAGGACGCTTTTAGCTCCAGCGCCTGTGTTGCTTGTGACCGTGGCATGTCAAATTTCACCAGTTCCGTCTGGTAATCTTTTCCCCCTCCCTTTACTGAAGGAGGTTAGCAAGTCCTCTGGCTTTAGAAGCCAACACATGAGGAGCTGGTGTGTTATTTGCGGCCATCGGTCCGTATTCGTGTTCTTTTTGTTCAGATGTGACCGTGGTCTGCCGCCGTTTGTCGCTGACACCACACGTGAGTAATTTTCTAGCACACGAATCACCTGCTTTGCGTTATACCACTATCTAACGACTCCTATGTGCTCTATAACTAACCTTTTAGACTTTCAAAATACAACGCTAGTCCTCGTGGCATGGAAACAAACTTCCTCATCACATCACCTGAGCGAATTTGTTTCTCTCCCATTTTGATTGACGTCCTGGTACGGGGTAGTCACAATATGTCGGGGTGGGGATTCAGCTGTCGTGTTGGACGCTGGTTACTTTTTGTAGCCCTGATCTTTGCCTGCGACTTCTAGTGAGTTTTAAACACTCATTTGAAAACCCTCTTTTTTCACCGATGGAATAGGCTACGCACATCATCAGACTGGTTTGGAAATTTTGATCTGATGGGGAATGTTATTGTATGGTACTGCACCTTCACAACATGCCCTGCTTCAATTTCGACCACGTACACGTGCGACTAGGCGGGCATTTCTGCTCTACTCCATTAGCTCTCGTCCTACTCAGAGGGACTCGATGTCTCACGTTGCTGTTTGCATGTAATGCCTCTTCAACTAATCACTGCGTTCCTCGGTGTCTTCCAACGATTTTGGGGTCCCTCTCAGTGCTACTTGTGGACGAGTGCTTCCGTATGACTGGAGATCTCGGTCACCGCCCTCCGACCCTGACCAAAGAACAGCGATCAATGGAAGATACTAAGGGAGGGGGGAAAGTTCCTCTTCTGATCGAGGAAGGTCCGGTAGATGCGAATCATTCTTTGAACCCTGATTATGGGCGTCTGCTTGGCAAGTTTCCCAAGGATCCATATGTTCAAGCATATGCACATACTGTGCCGGATCTTCCAATTAGAAGAATACGCGAGGGTTGCGCCATTCCAGCTGTCTTTCGTATCACAGCTGTAGCCTGCTGTAATAAGCCGGCTACTGACCATATCACCCTTTCACAGCCTGGACGGACCTTCTGTGTTGTCACATGGAGATGGCGGGCAAGTCGGTGGTCTCGGTTCTATACCGGAGCTTGGACCTCGACGAACGATTCCCGTTCGCTTCCCTCCGAATTCAACATACCGAGTGCGTTTCGAACTTAATAATTCGTCCTTGCTTAGCTGTGGCGCTCTAGCCCTCGATAATTGATTTCATTATTCTGTCAAGCCCTCCAAATTAAAAATAAATGGCTTGTCAAGTGCATCTACATTATTATTTCTCTCCGGATATATCCTTCGCCTATGTCATGCTTCTCGTTCTGAGCGCTTCACCCCGAATCTGTAATTTGGCTAGGCACACCTCGTTCTTCGTTTCGTTCGGGGATATCGAATCGATGCGTTTCAAAAACCACTCGTCAAAAGAGTTGTATGTTAGAGGTTCGTTAATTGCCGTGATCAGTAGTAAACGTGTCTCGCCTCAGGCACCTCGGGAGCTACTACCTTCGACTTTGGAGAGACAAAAGACCTCTAGTCGAGTAATTTGAAAATTGATAATTACTCTGATGTTGTGCGGCCTTTGTTTCCGTTGTTAGTGGGTCCTACTCTCCACCTGATCGACCTTCTCATCTTCCATGTTCCTGAAGCCTTGATGTTGTTCCTTATACTTATCATAAACGGAATGCAAGCGACGCCTTGATGAGCGGTGTTCGAACTTTTTGGTACCTTATAACGTACAACTGTCAGTTTCATCTCGTCTCGTTCAGCCCACAAGTCAGGATGGCCACTGGTACAATCCAAACAGACCGCGTCCGCGTCGCCCTTCTATTCAAGCGAAAAGAAGGACTCACGCTTGAGGAATTCTACACTCACTGGTTCGAGGGTCTCTCGAAGATGCTCCTCTCGTCTCCCATCTTCCTGGATAACGTGCTCAAATACGAACGGGTGAGGTCAAACTAGGTCTCCATAATTCCCCGTCTAACATATGTTGTCAGTTGCGTATTGATAACGAGACTGCGGCAATGCTGAAAACCGTAGGGTTTGAGCCACCGGAACAGTGGGATGGAATGGCTTTGCTAGAAGCAGAAAGCTTCGAGAAGATATTTGCTGTACGTTTCTTGTTTTATTCTGCTTGAGACGACAAAATAGTACCTGACGTTGGCTGCGAAGATATTTGAGTCGGAGGAGTACAAGACGGTTATTGGTCCTTACGAGGACCAATTCTTGCAAAGAAAGGCCGTTCAGATCTTCCCCCTTGAAATTTGCTGTGTTCTTGGATAAGACCGAGTCGAGTCGACCGCATCTATAATTGGATCATACCTATAGTTATTCTTGGTCTATTTCTTCCGATTTACTTTCGGTGGTCTGGAAATAAGTAGCGGGTGCTGTATGACGCTCAATATAGAGTGGCGGGCGGGCGGAAAGGCATATAAGGAGTGGTTTAGAATACAGATTAATTACTTCTCCAAAACTAACAAGATCATCGCAGGTAACATAATACACAGTAATTAAGGCTCCGGGTTTTCGTTAGTATCAACGGACGTCCTCTGACTGTCCCACACCGACCTACAAGCCTTGGTCTTTTGCAGCATCCGAGTCATCCGAGAGGGCCATGCTGGTATTCTTCTGTTTACGGGGATCTCTCATCTCATGGCTCTCGTACTCGACACTTATGAACACCTGTTGATCTACATGAGGGTTGATCCTAGAGAGATACAAGGAAGTACTTACTCCCTGTGACCGAGGCGTGGTATGGCCCTATAACGGACGAAAAGGCGGCCGTCATGAGATTACGACGAAATTGTCGTTGAGAAAAATCGTACCTCGTTGCTATTCCATGGCATGGTTAGAGCGGACGGTTCATCTCCGATATCCTGGGTGTGGGGTCGGCGCTGTACACGGATCGTTTACAGTGAGAATCAGTAATTGTAACAGATACTGTATTACGCACAGCGTTAAGACTCGAAAGCGCTGAACAATTTTCAGCGTCATCAAATCCAATAGCTGTAGAGATACATACCTGAGTTCGTATACAGTTTGGGTAAGATGAAAGCGACACCTAGGAGGGAGCTGTTAGCTTCGAATACAACAAACATTGAACGGTCCGCACAAAGATAATAAGGCTGCCTCTGCGAGAAGCATAAGCAAGGAGGTAAAAGTATTTGGATTGAGCACTTGCCTTCACGCCGAGAATTAAACCGACGTCAATTATAGCAATGGTCGCAGTAAGAAGCCCTATCGAGTATGTTAAACCTTTCAGCGTGGGCCACAAAAAGTAGAGAACTTGCCGTTTTGCATAGTTACTAACAACTCCGACGCTTCAGCATAGAGCAAAACATCTCAATTCGAACGAGAACTCACGTCGAATAATTCTATTCAAGATGCGATTCGTCCGTCTTATGGAACCTTTCGCTCGCTGCAAACATATGGTGATAACGACCGCAATGATGAGGTCCCCCAGTGCCGCTGGAATGAGCCACACGAGAGAGGGCGCGTCCAGTTTATTACGGAGCTCGTTCCAGTCAACCGAGTCGATGACTAAAAAGCCGATTATGCTTGTCGCTACACCGCCGGCCGAAGACGCCAATGCGCATAAAACGATCACACCGACGATTACATAGTTCCTATAATCGGGGAGTTTGGTCAGAAACGGCACTTGACCATTCGATGAATATACAGCGTACTTGGTCAACACCCAGATCTTCCATGCAAAAAAGCCTTGAACCATTCCTGCCATGATGCCCGCCAGAAGAGGATCGGTTGTGGCGGTCCAGTCAGCTGTGGAAAAAGTTGTAGACTAGGTGTTTGATTGAAGGCTTTGAGAAGTCACTTGCCTTTGGTAAACGCGACGAGATTCCCAAAATTGTCGATCAGGAGTTTATAAACCCTGCAAAGAAGTTACAACTAGGAAGATGCTCGCTGTTGTTGCAACAGCTCGTACCACATAAGCACAAAAACCGTGTTGAGAACGTCCAAGGCAAAGAGAACCACGACGAAGACCTTTAGCCAGATGTTGTCCCTTGAAAAACGAATCAGAACATGTAGTAGAAAAGGGGGATTATACTGACTTGGGGTAACGGTCGAAGTAAATGTACAGCTGCACAAACATGGCACCCAAGAGAAGGATGCTCAGGAATACGGCTAGAAGGAGATGCGAAGCTCAATCCAACCACTCGAGGGAAGATTTAAAAAATACACTTACATATAACGACCCCACCGAACGGGTCTGAAATCACACTACTCATTTCCAAGGCGAAAGGGGGGAGGAAAGGGAGGTACTAGCTGCACTTGTCTGCTAGGCCATTAATAGTACGCTGCTTAGGGAGCAAATAATACGTCTGAAACCTAACACAGCACGGGATCTAGTACAAAGGTAAGGTCGCATGCTGAACTCTAAAAAAAGGCTTGATGAAGGTATTGTTCAAGAATCAAACTAGCCAAGTCCCGAATTTGAAATAAGATCCCGATATTGCCGCGGTTGTAAGCCGCCGGCGCTCACAACTGAGATACCTCGGGCGGCTTGATTCTCCGCTCTTGTGCTTGCCGTTGATCACATTCACATTCTTGAGCAACTACGTCTTTTGTTTTGCATTGGACTCTACATTGTCTCTAAGTACTACAGCCCACATATCATCAACGTCTATAATGCAAAGTGTATCTGAATCAGCCACCATTATATCGTACACCCTACACAGTATAATAGCGTACTACAGAGAGAAAGGTGCGACCAGAGAAAGGACAAAATGATAAGAAAACATTCGCGGCTCTGAGAGAGAGAGAGGTCAGACAGGGTTCCGACGTAACTCTCGGCGACTCACATGGTCCAACGCCCTCATGTTTGGGGATATCCTCTGAGGAGACAGTAGTTTCTGCATCGCGACGATCCGAGTCCTGATGCCTTCCATATTCCACGTTGACGAACATCTACGCAGACTAGGTGATTAGCTGTGAGTTCGCCTAGTCCAATCCGAATAATACTCACTTGTGGTCGTGCGGTGAGTGGAGAGGCGTGACCCTACCGTCCCGGAGGTGAGATGAAGGTAAAAGAATTTCAGTTAGACAAACGTACCGGGCTACTGCCCCAGAAGCCGGATACCATACTCAGAGATGTTATATCTTCCCCTATATCGTTGTGTTGGATGCGGCGCTAATCATCAATGAGCATACTGAAGGATGTTATCATGGCACCGCTACTCACAGAATTGAGACTAGACATAGCTTTGGAGTGTCAGCCTAAAGCGACCTTCAAGGGAGATGACAATGCTCACCAGAGTTTGTGTACAGTTTGGGTAGAATAAAAGCGACGACTAGGACCAAAGGATCGAATTAATGTACATGTGGTCATTAGGTCGAAGTACGTACAGAGATAATAAGGCGTATCCTACAATCCAAACGTCAGGGCGGTCACATATAAGATTGCTTAATGCATACCTTGATAGCAAGGATCAAAACAAGATCAACCACAGCGATAGTTGCCGTGAGGAGACCTAGGACTCGAATAAGGATAATCATACACCTTTATGAGCATTCATGGACTCGCCGTTTTGCATAGTCACTACCAAAGCATCAGCCCTATTACTCGTCGCGGAAACATGAAAAGAACTCACGTCGAATAACCCTGTTCAAGACCCGGTTGGTCCTTTTGAATGGACCCTTGGCGCGGTGCAAGTAGACGGTTATGACGATAGCGATGATAAGATCAGCTACCGCCGCCGGAATGAGCCATATCAAAGCCGGGGTATCTAGTTTGACGCGCAGTTCGGGCCAATTCATGGTGTTCCAGACCATAAAGGCGATGATACTGGTAGCAAAGCCTCCAGCGGAGGACGCTAGGGAGCAGGCGCATATAATGAAGATGAAGAAGTAGTTTCTGAACTTTGATGAGCGTCTTAGCAATGATGATTCGAGTGGAACGCACTTGGTTAAGACCCATATTTTCCAAGCGAAGAAGAACTGGACCATTCCCGACATGATACAGGAAAGGAGAGGGTCGGTTGCCGCCGTCCAGTCCGCTATGGAAGAAAGAAGGTCAGAATAGAAGGTCCCGTCAATGAGAGGAGGGATTGTCACCTTTGTAGAAAGCTTCGATATTTCCAAAGTTGTCGATTAGCATTTTGTAAACCCTACGGAGGAATCAGACATCTCATCGGCGGAAAACGAGGGGTTCTACATACCACGCAAGCACAAAGGCGGAATTGAGGATGTCCAACGTAAACAGAACCAGGACGAAGATTTTGACCCACATATGATCTCTTCAGAGACAAATCAGCGTATGAAAATAGGAGCTACCAAATCGACTAACTTTGGGTAGTGGTCAAAGTAAATGAACAGCTGCACAAACATCGCTCCCAAGAGGAGGATGCTCAGAAATACCGCTACGGGTAACGGTCACTTTTATCGTATAGAATATGAACAAGGATACGTACAGATGAGAACGCCGCCGAAAGGGTTAGAAATTGGACTGCTCATACTCGACAGTGGAGGGGGGTTGACATCAGACAATAGCACGTCCTCACAACTATTAAAGGACTGCCCAGCGATGCCATATTAAGTATAGGCAAAGATCAACTGTAAATACGTTTGAAACTGGGGTGTCATTTGATAGCAAGCGTAAGGAATAAATTGCGGATCCAAGACACGAGTTCTTGTTTTCTGAGACAGGAATGTTCGGTCCGGGCGGTGTGCGGGAATTGATCGAGTCACCGAGGACACGAGCCGCGGCATCGCCGCGGCAAGTGGGGTGTTCCACTCAAGTTTTACCTGCTAGCCGCCGCCGTAGGCTCCCTATACGTCCGTGCGATCGATATATACATGTCTTTACCCTTTACTGTCCATTAAGTACGTCGAACATCATCCATTCCGCCGGGTTTTTCTTAGGCCTCTCCCTCTTTCTTCTCCTGAGTAACGTGTTGAGATGTGAACACGAGCGGACCTACCACCGGCGGAGTTTCCCTGCACACTGTCGTCGGAAAACTGGATAACTGGAATTATTGGTCTTACTTGATGTTACGAGCACCTTCCGGAGGTATGGGGCCCGTAATGTTGATTGCGGCGGAAGATATACCGCAGAGCCGAAAGTATGCCTCACCCCATGAGGGTCGCAGAATGCCATGTAGCATATCTGTATTAGATTCCATTACGGACGGCGGAGACACTGTTTCTAAACGAGCCTTCTAACGATTCACCGTCAGAAAAATCCCCGTAACCTAGAGGGAAGCTTCATTAGCACGCAAGAAACATAAGCAGTGGCACGGATGAACAGGAATCAGTGTTGCGAAGCAAGCATATGTGGTTGATCTCATACCGCCCCCGCTGCAGTGAAGTCCCACATGTCGCGCTGCCGCCTGAATCATCCTTTGATGCGTAAGCAAAAAAATGCAATGTAAGACTCTGCCTTTGCCAGCGAGCCATGAATCTCAAGGACCACGTCAGCCAACTAACAAAGAGTCGCGAAAAATGTTGGTCCAGCCTTACAATAAACACCTCGGGAAACGAGTGAGGATGTATTGGGTATTTAGACACTTTTGGGCTCAGGCGGTAGCAAACGCAGGTTCTTTGACCACAGATGAGGGGCTCGACTCTTTTACTAGAACATCATCGAGGGAGCTATGAAAGACTACGCTCACCTCAGATTCAGCTTGGTAGTGGGCCGCCGCCGATGCGGTACTGCAGCCACGGAAACGAAATGCTTGGCCCGAGCCGAGCCGTCGGGTGGTTCGGTGACCTGTCTGACCACGGGAAGAGGTGTCTGAGTACGGGTACTTTATGTTCCGTCCTGTATCTCGTGACTACTGTTGAACTCTGAAAAGCGAGAAATGCGCTACAGAGCATTCTGGACGATGAAAAATTGCCTGGACCCTGGTGCCCTTCTTGTAGAGCACGCTTGTTCACCGATACGCGCCGGTATCATATATAAATGTCAGAAAGATAGCGAGCCGTACAGCTGCCATGGAAGTAGCACGGCTGTAAGTGAAGCTGCCAGAAAGATGCAGTAAACCGTCCTCGTATGGTTTTTATTGACGTTCCTAGGGCAAAAGATCGCGCCTTCTTTCAAAGAGGCAGTCCAGTTTCCAGTTTCCGAGCCCACGTCAAGTAAAAGGTGAGAATAGTGGCAGTGGTTGAAGTAATGGGTCAAGCCGCTGATGGGACTGGCAAGGAGAAAACGGTGTTTACGTCTGCTTGTCTCGGAGTAGTTACGATCACGTGCATCCTTAAGAGGGTTTTTTTGGACAAGGATGCAACAATGATGGATCGGTATTCAAGTAGCCGGGACGCTAGTGCAGCAATCGTGAAATGTTCAAACGCTCCCTCAACTTATTTGAGTCTCCTTCAAAATGTAGATTTGCGAGGTAAACACCAGACACTAACCCTCTATACAATATTACAGCTTAAATAGATTGTCAAAAATTACACGGAGAAAATATCGTAAACAGATCATCATCCACTACGCCGTCGACTGGTGCACGAGAACCTTGTTATCAATGGATATACCTGCAAACAAGAGATCAGCAAGGTAGTAGGGAGGGACACTCAAGAGGAAACACTCACTTTGCGTAGCATTGTTCGTCTTGTAAATTCCAATGAGACGTTGACTGAGTTCGAACATGTCGTTCCTGCGCAATCCATTAATTATCATCAAAAACAGTAAAACAGCTACCCACCGAAGAGAGATAATGATGAACTGCGCGTTCTTTGTCCGGTCTTTGATGTAATTAGCAACGATAGACACATTACGGAAGTCAAGTGCGGCATCAATTTCGTCCATGAAATACAGAGGCGTGGGCTATGCACACTGTCAGTTAATGTGAGAATTCATGAATAGTAACATACCTTGAATACATGGAGCGCAAACACCAAAGCAAGGGAACTCAGCGTTTTCTCACCACCAGACAAGTTGGATATGTTCTTCCAGCTCTTTTTCGGAGGCATGACACTGAAAATGATGCCTTCGGAGAAAGGATCCATGCTGTCCACTAGCTCCAGCTCGGCGTTGCCTCCAAGAGTGATCATCTAGCGTCGAGGTAAATAGATACCCAGAAAGGAAGATAGAAGTATTCACCTGATACATCTCCTTCAGCTTCAAAGAGATCAAATTGAACCCTGCCATAAACTCGTCGAGTCGCTGCTTCCTTAGACGATCGTACTCAGCCTTCTGTTTGTCACGTTCTTGGGTGACAAGTTCGACATCGCTGGCGCGAGAGAAGAACTCTTCCTCCTTCGCTTTGTAATCGTCCAGAACGCCTAGGTTGGGCTGGGGTTTCGAGAGTTTCTCTATAGCGAATGTTGGTCAGCATATAACCAATACATTTTATCGTACTAACCTTCAAGCAACTGGATATCAGCGACCATATCTCGCTTCCGGAATTGGGACAGCTCCTCGTTACTATAGATGTGAAGCTGGGTTCTAGGATCCTCGTCACCATCTTCACCGCCTTCAGGATCAGGCTTAACACTGTGCCCGCGGCTGCGGCGATTTGAAGCCGGTTGATGAGAACCTTCACGACTTTCGTCAGCTTTGCTATCGCCGTCTTCGTTTTCGTCATCATCCTCATCGTCGTCGTCATAATCACTAGACCAAACATAAGAACCCATCACAGGAAGAAATGATGAACAACGAACTCGATTTCCTCCAGCTGAAGTTCGTCATGCTTCTCTTGCCAGTGAATGATCACACCTTCATTCTCCTGGAAGGCTTCTTTCGCAATTTGAGCCTTATGTTTCAGTTCAGCCTGCCAACGAAAATAGGTTTTTCAGAACCAATAGGAGCATGATGAGATAGAGACTATACCTCTCGTTGAATAAAGCCCTGGACCAACTCAAGCGTCTCATCCAGCTCCTCCTTGAGTTTCTGAAGGTCGTCTGCCATGGTGTCTTCGGCTTCCTTGGCCTTTGCAACTTTGGCGCTCAGGTTAGCCACATATGCCCTCACTTCCTCGAGCTCTGCGTCCAGATTCTCCAGTTCCTCCTCGACTTCTTTCTGCGAAACAAGGTTGGTATCGAGCGATGCCGTCAGCCTAGCAACATCATTCTGCGCTTTCTTCTTGGCAACCTCGGCTTTGGTGATCTCATCGTTGGCAAGACCGAGGTGAAGCTTGATGCCGTCAACCTTAGAACGCTGCGCGAGGAGTTTGGCTCCGCCTATCTCAAGAATTCTCTTTTCGAGTTCTTTGATAGCAGCTTCGATCGTGCTTGATCGCTCTTGCAACTTTTTGAGATCCGCGGTGTAGGTAGCGATGTCCCTCTCAAGCTTAGCTATGCGAGTCATGTCACCATCGTCAGGTTTGCTCTGGGCCCTTAAAAAAGAAACCTTGTCAACATCGTATCGAGTCGGTTCAGAAACCATACGCACTTCAGCTCACGAACCCGTTTCTCAGCATCAGCTATACGTTTCTTCCCATTCTCGATATCCATGCCCAACTTCTCGAAAGACAAATCAATTTCTGGTCCAACCTTTAGCAGACGATCGCGTTCAGTCTCTGCTTCACGGCTTTCTTGAGTGGCAAGCTCTAGCTGCTTCCTCGCCTCCTCGCTTTCACGTTCGTAATTTTTGAGAACATTTTGGGGGACAGCCTCAGCAGCGAATTTGGAGCTCATGCCACCTCGGGCCGGTTGGCCACCTCCTCCCATAGTACCGCTCATATCTATGAGCTGACCAGACAGAGTAACCACACGGTATCGTTTACCACCGAAGGCGATGCGGTTGGCTTGTTCCATATCCTTGGCCACAAGTGTCTCGCCTACGCCCTTGTAAAACGCGGGTGCGAATTTCGGGTCCTTGGGAGTAATGAGATCAAACAACCTCGGCACATTCTCGGGTGTTGGCTTCTTGCTCATGTCAAGTTTGCCAAGTTTCTCTAGCACCAAGATCGAAGTACGACCTGCATTTTGCGACCGCAGATGCTCGATACAGGCCTGGCCTTGTTCGACTTTGTCGACGACCATATAGTTCAAGTTACCACAAGCGGTGGTGACAGCAACGTCGTACTTGTCGTCGGCGATCTTGCCAAGGTTTCCTAGGCGACCCTACGATATCTCAGTGAACAATGACACAGAAAGGGAAGAAACATTATATCTTACATGGAAGCCCTGAACGCGTCCTTGCTCCGAGAATCGGGTCAAACATTCAAGTACTCGACTCTGAGTCCGGCTTTCAGCTTGAGATGACTTGGCTTCGTCAACCTTCTGACGAGTGGACATCGCCTTGGCTCGGCACGATTGAACATTAGCTTGCGCATCCTTAGAAGATAGTTAGGTGACATCAATCGTAGCACAGGTTCAGCGTACTTGATAACGTTTTTCTGCGGCTCGGAGCTCGTTCTGAGCCTGAGCCTTACGTTGGCGCAACTGTCCTTGCTCTTGAACCTGTTTGAGAAGAAATAAGATCATCGAAGGTCCGGAATGAGGTGCGATTATACCTTCGCAGTTTGATCAGTGCGCAATTCTGCCAAAGATTGTTCTGCATCCTTGCTTAGATCCTTGATACGTTCCGCCTTCTGGACAAGGGCATCCCGCTCGCTCGTTGCAACGTCGATTTCAGCTTGTTTAGCATTGAGTTTGGTCATCCAAGGTTGGAGTTCCTTCTGCTTAGTCTCAATCTGATCGTGGAAGACCTGGGTCTTGTCTAGTGATCACATATCAGAAATGAGCGTAGAAAAGACTACGAAGAAAGGCACACCTTTGAGGCCTTCGGTAATGCTCTCAAGAACCTTCTCTTCTTCGAGCAATGACGCCTCATACTTCTCCACGCTGCTCTTCTCCTTCTTCATCTTTTGAGTACTATCCTCAATTGCACGGCTAGCAGCCGTCTTGGCAGCCGTTTCCTAGAGCAAGATTTTAGGAGCTGGCAGAAACAGGAAGGACTACACGCACCTCTGAGATGGTCTTCGTCACCTTCTTCAGCTTGGTACTCGCATGCTTCCTACGTTCCTTAAGCCCAATCTCGCGTTTTTCGTGGTCCTGCAGATCCTGGTTTGCAGCGGCGGCAGCTTTTTGGACTTCCTTCGAGGAAGTGAGAGGCATGTTAAGACAAGGCGACTGAAATAGCTTACTGCGTACGCTGCCTCGCGTTCCTTGTAGTGTGTCTGAAGTTGGTCCAGATGCTTGCGGTCGTTAGCGTTGCGTTCAGTTTCCGCGAGCACGGCCGCGTCGCATTTGTCCTAGAGTGAGTTGGCTATGTTCAGATACCATAAATCGTCGGTCAAAGCGCTCACCATCTCTGCGCGCAGAGCCCCTTCCTTACCGAAAGCCTGGGCGAGATACCATTGCCACAACCTTGATTCCGCCCTGATATGCTCATTTATGAGTTTCTTCCAGGCTATGGCCTCCTTCCGCTTCTCATCCAAAGAGTTCTTCTCCTTCTCAACAATCCGAAGGCGATTCATTTTGTCTGACCGTTGCTCTTGCAAGTCATCGACCTTTTGAAGAGCTTCGTCTATGCCCTCTTTATATTTAGAAGTACCTATAATATCCTCGAGATACTCGAGAAGTCCCTCTTCGTGTTCTGTGCCTTTGGGTTTCATCTGAGCAATCGACTCGACCTCACCCTATAAATAAGAAACATAAGTTATGGGTCACCTATAATCGCAGAGAAACGAACCTGAAGAATTAGGAATCGATTGTGGTCCAAGTCTATGCCGCGGCCTTTGAGCAAAGACTGAACCTCTTTGAAGTTACTTGCCCGTCCATTGATCTTGTAAATACTATTGTTCGTCTTAAACGCCTGACGACTAACGACGAGGTCGGTATTAGGTACAACTTCATAGTCGTCGGGGCCAGGCTATGCGAATTATTCATTAGGTGGGTCTTTCTCCTCAGAAAGCATCACATACCAGATCTATGATATCGCGGAAATGAACTTCAACACTACATTCATCTAAATCTGGGTACCGATCCGAGTTATGAATAAGCTCAGAAAGTTTCCCTTGCCTCATTTTCGTTGCGCGGTACCCAAAAACGAAAAGCAGTGCGTCGATAGTGTTAGATTTTCCAGAACCATTGGGGCCTACAATGGAAGAGAAAGACTACGGGAGGCGTTAGACTGCGAAAAAAAGAATATACGGAACTGAAATGAACCTTATGAAAGGGACCGATTTCCTGCCGGCCGGCGTAACTCTTGAAATTCACCAAAGCCATTTTGTGAATGACGAGACGTGTCTGTGGACCTTGTGGTTCTTCCAGCTGCGTCGCTGGAGCCCGGGAAGCAGGAGGTGCTCTGGAGATCTGATCCAAAAGAGATCCTTCTGCCTCAGGAACCCTCGTCTCTACATGCACACTAGGAGGACGAGACGATGATGGTTTCTCAGCTGTATCTTCCTCGACCTCGATCTGTTGAGGCGGGGTGGGAGAACGGACTCGCGCAGGCTTCACGACCTCTTCTTCCTCTTCCTCCTCTGCTATGTCTTCGACAGTAGGTTTTGAAGAACGCCGAGAGGATGATGGATTACCCGCTGACCTCCGGCTATGATCTTCAGGAGCGTCTTCGACGGATGAGTCCATTGCGCGTTCGTCATCATGCTCCTCGTGAACGTGTGTGGCACGACGAGATTGGCGTGACGCTGGCTTGGTGGATTTCCTGGTTGCTTTGACGATAGGCTTCACATCTTCTTCTTCGCTATCTGCAGCAACCGACTCGGATGCCCGAGAGCGTGAAACTCTCGTAGACACGCGAGAGGGCGGCTTGGCACTGGAGCCTCGAGTCGTCCTGCGAGTCGGCTGACTATGTCCGTCAACCTCCATCTTCGCATTGTCGCTTTTCTTCGCCAAGCCAGCACCAGCCCTGCCTTTACGTTTCGGCTGCTCCTCTTCACTCTCCTCTCCCGATGAATGCTCCAATGACGGCCTAGCCTTCTTTACCGGTGGTGTATCGGAATCGTTCCTTTCATCATCTGTTTCGGGAACTTCTTGAAGAGAGGTCCTGGTACGAGTGGAAGCACGAGACTTGGTGGATGGGCGTGCCGATGTGCTCCTGCGAGATCTTGACGATTGGTTCTCCTTTTCCTCGGCGTCTACATTGATGACTTCGGCGGGCCTCTTGCGTTTCAATGGTGCTGGTTCTGCCTTTGCAACAGGCTCTACGGATGCCCGGGTGCGGGAGGAGCGTCGGGGAGGCATTGTGCCTGCGATGGTGGTGGTGGCCGTCTAGTTCGTTGATTTGCGACGCGTCGATGTCACACACCACGCGACATGTTACAGTCACAGGACCCAGGGATCTGAGCCGCCTGACCAGCAAGCCGGCTTTGTTATATATTCGCGGTACTCTTATCTCTAGGCTGGAGTGAGAAGGCCAGCGACAGATGTAAAAGTAGATCATTTCTTGACGTCATAAGTACTGGATACAGCACAAACTTAGGACATGAAAAACTACGGCAGCAGGTCGGATACTACTTGAATGCCAACACCTCTAAGATCTAGTCTATCTAATCAGATGCTGTACGCGATGCAAACGTGTTTGTTAATACAAGAGACCTAAAAGATACTGCCAGAGAGGGCCATCAGTATTGCATAGGGTGATGGGTCGAAAGAGACCCACCATCAGAGCAATATATGAATCTCACACCTTCTTTTCCTTGGTAGCATCTCTCCAGATCCCTGCAGCATCCTTCTTGCGCACGGTGAAACAAGCAATACCCATGTAGTTCGTGATGTCGTTGATGACCAGCGTACAGAAACGGGCGTAGGTAAACAATGATATAGCCAATGTTCCGTATACAAACCAGGCTGTACTTCCATGTGAGTACTGGATAATGGGCGGCCTATTGAAGAGAAGGATCAAGATGAAGTATAAGATTAAGTGGCAGCAATTGGCGGTACCTTCCGAAGAGCCTAGGCAGGTTCGCATCTATAGCCCCGATAATACTCCATATCCACATCCAATCCCAGACGGGGAAGGGTGTGCTCGTAACATGGGCCAGGATCATTCGTCCTACTTGATGGGCGAACTGAAGGCCCCAAGCACACAAGAACGGTACAAACAGACTCGAGTTGATAATGGCAGAACTGTGGTATGCAGGGTATGATAGCCAGGCTATTTGAATAGCCGCGGCAATGGGGTATGGCAATAGAAACAGTAGCGGTCGAAGAGTGGACTTCCCAGCTGCCTTCATCGCTCGTCGAACATTGAGATAACTAGACCGCGTCAGATCCAGTTAATGCATAAACGGACAACATACCTCGAAACAATGTTGAACGCCAGGCCGAAGGCAGCGAACACCATAAACGTTTCGTTCAGTCCGACGTTGGGTATCTTGGAAAACGGCGGAAGGTGCTCAATATGTAAAAATGTCAGGATGCCCTTGTCCCAGAATGACGGCCCTGCAAAGAGTTAAGAGCTGCGATGATTCAGTAGACGTGGACTTACCAAAGAAGCCCGTTATGAAGTAAATGGTGACAATCATCAAGATACCTTCCACCGGACCAGAGAAAACGCCAAGGAAAAGTTGACCTGACGCGAATCAGACGAATATGAGTAACGAATAGTATGCACTTACCAGTATGATACTCTTCCCATGTAGTCAAATAGAAGTTGGCCAGGGTTGCAACTTGGGATGCGACAGTCCACCACGAGCGTCCCAGATTCATGGCCTGGGCGCAAATGATGACCTCCAACTGACAGCAACTTCAAAAGGGGCAAGAGCGGTGACGGTCAACGATCTTACCGTCGTGTTGAGAGCGTCACATCCTACAGAAGAAATGAGAATCAGTCGGAACAGATTCAAGTCGACGCGCACCGTGATCGAACATTTCCCCCAGTGGACCCGCCATTCCAGTTCTTCGTGCTTGTTTTCTGGCCCGATATTGAGTTTGATTACCATCCAAAAGACATGACATACCCGTCAATAGCATCAAAGCTCTGATAAAGAAAGAGACCTATCCCCCACCTAGAATAACAGTCAGACGTTGTAGGAAGCTGGAAACAAAGTAACACTCGCGTAAAATATACCCAGGATGGCAGAGCAGTAGCGCCACCCTTTTCCGTCAAATAAGCAGGATCGTAATATAGCATCGTTAAAAAGTTCATGAAGACTATGCATAGTCCGGAAAGCGTAATCTAGAATATCCATTATATATAAATAATCATGCAATCAAAAACAACTGACCGTGTTTGGCGCAACAGTCATAGGCCACAACGTGACAAACCAATTCCAGAATGGGTTCAAGACATATCGAGAAACCAAGGACCTATTCCAGCAGTCAAGATTACTTCGGATGGATGACGGACAGAAATACCAACTTGTCTACTCCTTTATACGTGTATTTTTTCAGGTTTTCAAGCGACTGTTTTGGAAGGTAGCCCATGTCAATGCGCCTCCTCTAGCACGTACTGGGTATTTCAGAGGCGCAGAGGTCCCAGGCGAATGACACAAACGACAGTGATTGGACGGAAACGGGCAGACGAAACCTGGTGGAGGATGAAAAAAAAATCACGCCAATCGGCTTGTTTATTTCGGTGGACATCGGTATCTACCATCCGGTCCGGACATCCGACGCACGTTGTTCCGAGTGCCAAGAATGTCCAACTCCGAGTGCCCTGACAGCTACTTTCCTTCTGCAGCTTTCACTGGCTTATCCTCCTCCAGTGCAGGACGATTCGGTGTCCCTGCCGTCGTACCCGCATCCACTGGTAAAACTATTCCTGTAATCCACTTCGCTTCTCTGCTAGCCAAATAAAGAATGGCATAACCTACATCCCAGGCGTTTCCTTCAATTTTCATGAGATTTTGATTGATGCGTGCCTTCCGGAGCTCTTCGGTCATTCCCATTTCACGAACCTTTTCAACATAGAACGTGAATGTAGGTATAGTTTAGGCTCGGAACGCGTACCATAGGCGTGAAGACCATACCCTGAGGAAGATATACTAAGTAACGGCAGTTTGCATTTAGAACTTGAACGGCTTACCGGGGCGACGCAGTTAACACTAGCATTATACTTCAGCCTGATAACCTTGTTCAGGATAAGTTCGCTCACCGAATCAGTTCGGGTCCATGGTGTGCAGCCATAGCACGCGTCAGCTGGATGATGGCACCCTTGGATGTGGGATAAAGAACTCCAGGATGTCCACCCTTCACTAATGTGGATGGCAAACCGCGTTAGATCCGGTTCAATAACAGATAAAAGAATCGTTCACAGCCAGATACGGAAGACAGATTCACAATCGAGCCGCGTCCGACCTTTCGCATCTCAGGAATAGCATAACGAGACATGAGCACCATGCTGGTGACCTATATGGATGTCACAGCGAGCTCATGCAAGCATCTGGTGACTTCATGATAACTCACGTTGGTTCTGAAGTCCCTGTCCCAAGCCTCCAAATCGACATCCACGACAGTTCCACGCGCCGGGCCCCCAACGTCAACACCCACTTATCACTTCAGCGGCAGACCCGCATTCAACATATTGAGTATACTTACCAATATTTACCAATATATGTACGGCTCCGAAAAGAGCCACCGTGCGAGCTACGGCAGCTTTACACGATTCCTCATTCGTCACGTCGCATTCGACCACTTCCGATATGCCGCCTTCTGCTGTGATCATTCGTTTCGTTTCCTCTGCCCATTCTGGATTGGAGTCAAGGAGGGCGACCTTGGCGCCTTGTCGCGCGAGGAGAATGGCCGTGGCGCGTCCATTTCCTATTTCACCTAGACTCTGTGTGAATATCGCATATTTCGAGATGGGAATGCTTCTGTCAACCTGACATTCGGGAACCAGCCCCAGTAACGATTGCGACCTGGGACGCTGCGGTGAAATTTGAACAAAAGGTAGGTCGAACAATGCATACATCACCATGGAGCTGGAAAGCGAGCGGAGGTTTGGAGGTTTGTTCGTCAATATCGATCATGAGGGTAGGATGGGAAAGACCAGAGAGTAAACTGCTAGCGGCAGCTATGTGAGATTTCGCTAGCTAGATACAGGTCATAGGATCAGGCGTAGGGAATAAAAGACCAGGTCATCCGCAGTCAGTTAGCGGTGGAGCGGACTGCTTATTCTTCGATTGCCACCATCAGAAAAGCTAGAAGTTGTTGGAGGAATCACAAGAGCGCGATATCCCTTCATCTCGGACCTTTTCTTATCTATCGCATGCTTGCTTTCTGCAATAGCCAAAGAACACCATCTCATTGGCTCTGGATAAATTTCTACCTGACAACAGACATTGCGATCATTAGAGGACGTATCGGAAATCCTTCAGGTGGAGGTGTGAGAATGAGATGGACAAGTACGAAGAAGGTTAGGCGTACCGCGTTCTCCCATTCCGTCTTGTCTTGCATTCCCGCTTCTTTCGACTTCGCGATATCTGGAGGACCGTAGACGCGATCACGACGCTTGTTGAAGCCGAGCATGCTATGTGAATCGCGATCAGTGGAAGAAAGATATGCACGGTAAGCGAAGAGACTCACTAAATGAACAGCACAATTTGGCATACAAGTTTAATCTAGGACGGTTAATTTCGAGCCCTGCGAAGTAGAGGAACGGTATTTACGCAGTAACCGGCTAATAGCCCAGCAGTAGCAGATGGCTGATGCAACGTGGAGTAAGCAGTGTATGGCGTGGAAAAAAATGAGAGGCTCACATAGAATGGTGCCTGAGATTGTTTGCTGAACGAAGGTCAGAATGAGTGCATATGCCGTGGAGAATGAAATAGAAATCTCACACAACAAATGGTCCCGCGACGTTTCCAAAACAATATGCGGTGCTATTAATATTTAGAGAAATAGATTGAAATATCAGCGAAGTCCTTACAAAATAGTGGCAGAGGCCAAAGTCTGGGCAGTCGCATCATGAGCATACGGCATCTCTTGACTCGCTACTACTTACCCGATGCGTGTATCCACCCATATTAGACGATACCATGACCAGGCCGACAGACTACAGAAACCATCAGTATTTATGTATTCGCTGCATATTCTAACACTCACGAATCCAACGGACTGGCAGTTGACTAGCCAAAATGATACTAAACGTTGCCACACATGTTCACGGGGCAAGTATGCCATGCAGGCAGCCGATACTACGCAAATAATGTTGGCAGCCGTGGCAGCCATGAGACGCGCTGCGAAACAGGTTAACTACTAGCCAATCATCCGATTGGACGACCTCTTACAGTTGCGAACGTTCAAGGTAATCACACCTCCAACGATGAGAGCTGCGATTTGTACCATGTCACCAACACTAGGAAAAGGTTACTTTAATGGGATATTCGGATATACGATGATCTCCCTACCTTTTGAGCACAGTTGTCTTCGTCGCTGAAGATGTCATGTGAAGAGCATCCGCAAAGATAAAAGGCATACGTACTGGAAAACCCCATATCCTTGCTACGTAAGATGGGTTAGCAGGATGCCCTTCATTCATAGCCACATACTCACATAATGATCGACGAAAAATTGCTAGATATGAAGGCCTTCAGTCAATGTAATCCACGCAAAAGCAAAAGGTCATTACCTGACCACGCCATTCGGTATCGCAGCTGCGAATACAGAAATAAAAAGAATAATAATCTTCGGATCCGTAGCAGAGACCAATATCTGTTCTTTCTTGAACTTCCGGTTCTTGATACCAAGTTGATTGCCGGCGACACGCTGTACGGCCAGGACGCGATACTCGGGACTGAAGAAATTTGCAGAGGCCTGCACCTCGGATGACGAATGCTATACTAGCAATTACCAGAAGATAACATACCGGCGAATCAGGAAGCAAAAAGAAAACAGCGATAGCCCATGCCATAGTCACGGAACCTAGGATGTAGAAACTACAGAGGCGTGAGAAAATTCTGGTATGAGCTTGAGGATGCCTACATATATTGCCACTTCTCTGGACCGGCACGACGGTCACTAATCGCAGAGATTCCCGCTAGTAATGTATAACTGTGAGCAACGATGCACGGATTAAAAGGTACATACTAGATACACTGTGAACCATATTTAGATTCTATATTAGCAGAGGTCGTACATTTTGAAAACGCACTAGCTTCCGATCAAACCGCCCCAACCTTGAATTCGAATAAAGATGTTGGTGCGAATGTCGCAATGAAGGATAAACGCACCGAGACCGGAATACCCTAGAGCACAATGAATAGCGAATACACACACCGACAAAAAAGAAACATACAGATGAATTGACGGAGAGGAAGCTCTTGCTGGTGATCATTAGCACATGAATTACCTCGACGCGAATCCTTACTCTCGTATACCACCATCCGCTTTCAAAGACATGAATTAGAGCTAGAAGTAAATCAGGAGAATCACATACGTCATTAAAGTCAAACAAGGCGACACGAACGCCTCAAATATGCCCAAGAAAAACCGATTTATCATGGCAGTTCTGAAGTTGGTGCACCATACCACTATGCAAGAGATCAGATATCGGATTCATCGGGAAGAAGTAGGTTTGGTCTTACTAGTAAGAACACACAGACCCCAGATAAAGACTGCGCATGACAAGACTCGTTGTGCAGGATATTTTCCGATAAGAACTTGCGCCGGATATCTAACAGAAAATAAACTCGCAAATGCTGACGTTAGAAGCGAGAAAACTTACTGCGCTATCGCATAACCAAAGTATACCCTGCAAAATATTCAAGACAGATTGAAACGAGCGAAGATTGTTACTTACATGCTTCCGAGCCAACTGCATTCAAATGGTAGTGAGACTATACCAAAGGGCCATCGTTACACGTACTTGAATTGATTACCGCGAAGATTTAAATCCGTCTGGAAGCCAAAGAGATTGGCATAATTAAGCGCGGTTTTCTGAAAAGCCGAAGTATCAGCTGCCTATGTAACAAAAGCCACGGTGACCGTACATCCAAAAACTGCAGGGTCTGAGTGATCAAGAATATCGGGAGAATGATGAGGTCTATTTTCCACCGAATGCGCCTATTCTGCGCAGAGGTGATCTCGCTATGATTGAGGCCTTCCTTGTAGATGGTATATCCGACGTTGTTTGTCTCATCAACTTCTTCGATAGGTGCTGGGATATCAACATGGCGGACTTCACTCTTCTCCTTGTCGATATCGGTTGAGTAAGACGATTCTGTGGCCATAGATGTCGAGCGCTGGAGGGTCGTAGCTTCAGCCATGGTGCACGAGAAGCCACGTCTATGTCTAGTTTATTTATATCCGGCCTTAGGCACACGGAAACATCACAGGACCAGACGAGAGTTGTTTGGGTTCATATCGGAGAATACAGACACCTCAGCAGACCCTACATGAAAGAAGGATCTCGCGACAGTCGGAAGTGATCCACAGAAAGAACTCAACCGGATCGTGGAACCATCGAAATGCTGCAAGATAAGGTCCGTCACAGGATAAAGACTAAACGACCTCCCATGCCATGCCTGACCCTGTACTTGCTAGTCCTCCAGCTGACTGTTGTTTAAACTGTTTCCCCCATGAAGGGGTGCCCCGAGGCAAATGGGCTCGAATTGCGGATATCGAAACTTACGTCTCGAAACCAGTACCCGAGAGAAATACAAAGCAGATCATCTTGTATTTTCCAGACGTATGGGGAATCGACATATTCGTGAACGGGCAGCTTTTAGTCGACTACTTTGCCAGTCAGGGTCAGTTGGGGGTTCGATAACAAGACGCGTTGGCTGACAAATCAACAAATCCCAGGATTTACAGTTTTGGCTTTGGACTACTTCAGGGGGGTAAGGACGATAGCTCTCTTTCTTTGTATTGCAACCATATGTCTGGATAGGACTCCGTACAAAGGCACCGTAAAAATCGTCATGACCGCACCACCAATCCGAACTTCGATTACGAAGCGTGGAAGCAAAAACACACGACGTTTGCTGATAGCAATGTACCGAAGTGGATCGACGCGGTAGTTGAACAGTTCGGTACGATTCCAATCCCTTGAGTATCAAGAAGCGCGCACGCTCACTTGTTTGCAGGTGGTCCTGATATGCAATATGCAGCTGTCGGTTATTGTTTCGGGGCCCCGTATGTCATGGACGCGCTTCTAGAGGGGTCACAATTTTGTTCGTTTGCTGAAGCGCTGAAGTTCCAAAGGGTAATTTCTGATATCTCCTATTGAAAGGCGCGGGGGCTTTTGCGCATCCTGCTTTTCTCAAGGAAAGCCATTTCTTCGCATGCGCTAGTGAGTCGACCTCTCCCGGTAGGCTTACTGCGGTACGAAATCTTATATCGAATGCTCGTAGAACCTCTACTGCTATCTTGTTCTGAGGTAGACCATACCTTTCCCGCAGAGTCGCGACACAGGGCAGAGGATATCCTCAAGGAGAAGCAAACGCCTTACCATGTTCAGCTGTTCTCTGGAGTAGAGCATGGATTTGCTCTCCGCGGAGACATGTCTGACCCATATCAAAGTGCGTAGCATTCCAATTTCAGTGTTCATATCAGTTTTCATGAATAAAAAGGGTGGATCAAAGAGGAGAGTGCTGATGCCATCGTACGGTGGTTCCGTTTCTGGATGACATCGGGGCGCAAGTAATGGCTAGGCTGACGCAAACGGCGTCACATATGTGTATTTCATGAAATTAATTTGATCTTTCATCTGAATCGGCCTCACACCAGTTCCCTGGAACGGAGACGGCACTGTGGTAATCCAGTATCGAGAGAAAGAGCCACAAGAATCAGGCTTGCCATTTTCCGCCGTATTCTCGTTCTACAGCTCGTTCCAGTCGCATGCGACTTACATATATAGCAGCGGCTGTCGAGGATATCGAGAGGAGCAGTCGCTCATGTCCTGACTATTGACCTGCTCGTGACACCTCCGATAATGCATTGTCGGAGTGGACCCTGCCATACGATGGTAAAACGGATAGGGGAGCTATTTGAATCTCCAACGACTTGGAGCATGGAGCCCGAGTGAGATGGCGGAAGGGTTCGGCCGAAAGGTCAGCACGTCGATTATACGGAACTCTGGACGCAAATTTCATGTTACAGCACATCATCTTACGTGTACACCGTGTTTGCTGACTTTTCTACGCCATGTCCGTACTTAGTTCTGGACGCCCTCTATATGTCCGAAAACTCCGACGCCTTGTTCGAAAGTCGTACCTAAGCGTGATTCCTGCGCCGTATGAGCGTCTACGAAACGTTGAGTCCTCATCGAGCCCCATATTATTGAGACTACCTGGAGGCCGGAACGGCTGAGGCACATTAACACCTTTCGGAGGTGTCTCGCGCGTCCAGAGCTACATGGTCAACACCAGGTTCATGAAAAATGGGAGCCTTATGGACCTAAGCAATCGGTTTGGTCGGCTTTATGATTATTTCTGTCAGTCTGGCTGGAAAATGTATGAGCCATGAAGTCTTTATGGCAACATTTCTTCAGGGCCAACGTCTTTCTCAAAAGACCATCCGAAGATTGCAATCACTCGCGTCTGTTATGCGCCTAGGTAGGCACAGGTTGCGCACTCGGGGCCGATAGTGACATTCTCCACAATTATGAGCGGCAAGATGGTGACGGAACGTTATGACCGTAATATTTGAGATGATTTGCTCTTCCCTGCCAGATTTTCATCAGGGTGCTGTCTGTGATGTCACCTCAGCAAACTTATTTTTCGAATTATGGGCCGTAAGATACCATGAACACGCGAAGAAACTAGATACAACTTTCATTATTCGTTGGTTGGACAAGGGTATAGGTAGAGTCGCGCGGTCGTCAGGTCCAGTGGCGTTCGTGCACATGTGTGTTATTAGCAACCGCGCCGGGTCGTCGACTGCGAACGGGTTCGAAATTAGTCGTCAGAATTCTCAAACGGCGGTAAACCCGATAGAACTGGCTCTTTATTGAGCCTTCCTTGATCCGCATATGGATATCAGGGCGTGACCACCGGGCTAGGAGTCGTATGGTAAGTTCAACGGTTCTTACCTGAAATGTACTGGAATGGAGCCGTAAGGTTCGTGCTTCCAAAGCCGTGATTCTCGCAAGCATCATTGGCCAGTAGATGACTCCAGCGCATGTTCACTGCTCTCCAAAAGTGAACAACCACATGCTTTTCATACAGATGGAGACTGAATGTACTCTGGAACGTAATCTCTTCGGAAAATTGATATTGAGAGAATCCCGGAATCAGAAACTATCTGATAAGATCAGATAGGTCCAGGTTCAGTGACGCAGGCCAAGATTAGGCAGAAAATTATCTGATAAGATGCGAATGCTTGAATTACCGATGTAAAAAAAAAGCCCCCGAGACAAGTACCACAGTCCTGGACGTACTGGAAATCATAGACGGCAGCAAAGATGGATTCTTCGTCGCCAGATGAGCCAGTGCGAGCGTTACCCCCAACTCGTATTCCATGTTTCTTCCCTTCCATCACCGGTGTTGCCCAAAACCCGCTCACAGTCATCACATTCGATGTTTCCGCTTCGGCTCCTGCATCAGCAGATACTCTTGCCTTCGCTACAGTTGTGCGCACGTTGATAGGGACGACTGGCGAGTTCGCGTTCAGGTTTCAAGACGATGCTTGCGTTATCGCTGAAGGAAGAGACGAGCAAGACGCGACAGAGCATTTGGTTACGCGCCAGAATTCCCGGGTGACCGGGCTAGAAGCTATCGAGGTTCAGCTGTCTTCGTCGTCGTTGACGACGGAATCCAAGGTGCGCGCAGGTCCCGTCGCTGTGGCCGACGATAATTCCCACACTCACGTGCCTTCGCAGACCCTCGCAGTTGCACCCGTTTTATTCCATCTCCACATTAGTCCCTCGTCTCTTGTCCTCCGATTCTCCGAAAAACATATTCCGAATTCTCTTGCATGGCGGTTGCTACACCTGTATATCCAAGAAAGCGGTATTGCTGTTGCCAGTACCAACGACGATGAATTTTCTCTCGTAAATCATCCGCCGCAGGGCTTTCCGTTCTCAAATGAGCGGCCAGCTCTTCTCCACGGTGCATTCCTCCAGAAAGCCGCTGATAATCCGGACGCAACGGCCGTTGATTTCTTGGATGCTCAAAATGCGCCTCGTCGTGCTATTTCTTACCGCCAACTCGACCAGCAGTCGTATAACATTGCCCGGATTTTGCGCTATTTGGTCCATGAAACGAAGAGTATTATTCCATTGGCACTACCTCCTTCTCCGGAGCTTTATGTCGGATACATATCGGTCCTACGCGCAAGCTGCGCGTTTTCGCCACTTCCGGGTCTGGATGCTGCACCAGTTGAGCGTATCGTAGAATTGGTGCGGGACGTTCGTGCACCAGTCGTTCTTGGGATAGGGTCTCGCCCTGAATGGATGGATGCCGTCGAGGACGTGCATTGGGTGGATGTAGCATCTGCTGTAGCACCCGAAGAGGCACCGTTGGAATGGGAGCCACCCTGCGAGTCAGACCTAGCATATGGTGCGTGATAAATCTCAATACTTGGAATAATTTATTCATATTTCGGTAGTTCTTTTTACTTCTGGGTCGACAGGAAAACCCAAAGGTGTCCAGATTACCCATTTGGGGGCCGCATGTTCAATCTCGTCCCATCTCGCAGTTCGCGCTTTGCTTCCAGGAACTCGCTGGTTCCAGTTTGCTGCCTCAACCTTTGACCCGGTAGGTAGATTCCTACTCTCTGTTATCACCCTTTCTCATTCCTTCTAGTCTCTTATGGAGACGTTTATGAACTTCTCGTCCGGCACGACGATATGCGCTGCGAACCGTCAACGTCTATTGACAAATCCGGAAGCTGTTCTTTCAGAGCTCAGCTGCTCTCATATGATGGCTACCCCAAGTTTTGCAGCTATGCTGCGTCCCGAATGCATAGGGTCGTCATTCGAGCTTTGGACCATGGGTGAACGCCTTTCCGAGCGCGTCATTGATGCATTCAGCAGACCAGACCAAGGATATGTCCTATATAATGCTTACGTGAGACCTATCTTGTGGGGGGTAGATATCCATACTAATCCAGCGTTGCTCAGGGTCCGACGGAGGCTGCTATCAATGTGACATTGCGTCTTCACCCCCGTAATGAGTCTGGTTCACGCCTTGGACCACCTATATCGACCGCTTCTATGATGATTCTGGATCCAACCGAACCCGTACTTGTGCCGCTTGGGTTTCCGGGAGAGCTGGGCTTAGGAGGTCCTCAGCTGGCGAAAGGGTATGTCCATATTTTCCATCATTTTGCTTGTACTCATATATGAGTCATAGATACCTCAACATGCCAGAACAAACAGGCCGTGCATTTGTAGAGATTGATGGCATTGGACGCGTGTATCGCACAGGTGATCGCGCACGCATCGTAATCGACGAAGATGGTCAGTGGTCCGGAATCGAATACCTCGGTCGCATGGGAATGGATCAGGTAAAGCTTAGTGGTAGACGTGTGGAATTGGGGGAGGTATGTATTTGCCATCATATTCTAGCTGGCCGGGACTAAGGTTTTTTATAGATTGAGGCCATCTTATCCGCCGTCCCTGGTGTTCAATCAGCACACGCCGTCGTTCACAAGTCTGACTCTGGAGCCGAACAGCTTCTTGCTTTGATTACGCCGGAAGAAAAGAGTCTTATAGACGAAGTGGGCCGCGTTGCTGAAGCTCGCCTTCCCGCCCATATGCGACCTGTTGGTTATTTCCTTGCGCAGACAACCCCCAGGTCGACGGCGGGAAAAGCAGATCGTAGAGCTATAGCGAAACTCGTAGCGGCGCTCTTCTCAGGATCTCAGGCTAATGATAGGGTTATGGAGGATACTGGAAGTGAAGTAGATCCTGAGATCCTGAAGACTGTTGTTAGGCTGGTGGCGGAGACTGCCGAACTTGACGAGGCCTCCATTTCGCTCAGCAGTAGCTTTATCTCTCTCGGCATCGACTCCCTACGTGGTGTCCGTTTCTTGACTCTTGCTCGTGAGGCTGGTTTCAAAAGTTTAACCATTCTTGATGTGGTTCGTGTCATGCCTTTTCTTGACGCATGAGCTCATGTAATTTCTATCAGCTGCAAAACCCGACACCAATGTATCTTTCTCGAAAGCTCATGGAGAGCCAAGACCAAGATACTGATACCAATGCTCCTACGAAGCACGTTGAAATTTTGGAGAAGTTCGCAGCCGAAGCAGGTCCCGCCGTACGGCAGGAACACGACCACGTGAACCGGATCACGCCGGCTACACCTATGCAAGCTAGTTTACTTGCTCTATACCTACGTTCTGAAGGACAGTCCGGGTATATTAATCATTCCGTTTATTCCCTCAAAAAGGAAGTCGATTTGGAACGCTTCAAGCAGGCATGGGAGGCCGTGGTCCGCCACAATGCGATATTGCGCACTTCGTTTGTCCTGGTTGATAACAGTACTATCAGTCCATTTGCGCTGGTTTCTGGTGAAGAGTGCGACATTCGCTGGATTGAGGACTTGGGAGAGGATGTCGACGTTTTAATAGAAGACTACGTTGAGCGCACACCCAGAAACCTGTCCCTTCGCCACCCATGGGCAGTGGCATTGATGCGCAATGGTGATTCCTCTGATGTTAGGTTTGTGCTGACGCTTCACCATGCGCTTTTTGGTGAGTTTTTCATGTTGTAAATCAGTCGCGCACTCAGCAAGGATCATAGATGGTGCTTCGCTTGCGCTCATGCTCGAGGAACTGGCTATTTTATATCACGATCCCAACGCGGTTGTTCCTCGGGATGATTTCAAGAATGCCATTATTGATGTTCTCAATGCTGATATGGATGCGTGTAATGGTTACTGGGTTGAGGAGCTCAAAGGTGACCCATCCAAGACGTAGCATGTTTCATTTTCTGACTATTGAACTAGATTTTACTCCTGACTCTTTTCCTGATCTCACCGGCCTTCGGCAGTCCGCTAAGGAGCCGGGATTCCATGTATCGACGGTGATGTCGTCGACGTCCATGTCTGACCTTGCTCGCAAGGCTCGAAAGCTGAATGCAACTCCATTAGCCGTGGTACAAGCTGCGTGGGCTAGCATTTTAGTATGCAATTTTTCTCCGTTACTTGCATTCTATTGATATCTGGGTAGCTTGCTTACTCTGAGTCCGACGCCGAGGACATCGTCTTCGGTAGCATTGTTGGCGGTCGTACGTCCGAAGCTCTCGAGCACACGGTCGGTCCCGTGTTTACTGCGGTACCTGTGCGCGTTCGCAATGTCACAGGAGCCACTACAGGCGACCTCTTGTCCCGGCTAGTGCAAAATAATGTCGACAGTCTGATTAAGCGCCACCCTCCTACCGCCGTTCTAAGCGGTGACAATGGTATCATCTATGATACTACAGTTGCTTTGCAGCAGTTCGGACAGGGGGCATCTCAGACCGAGTTATGGACATCAGCAATATACCCAGCTATGGCCACGGAGGTAGAGCTGACATTTAGTAGTATTTCTATATGAGCTGACCAAAGTGTTCTAGTTTGCCGTCGTCCTTGAAATTTGGCCTGAAGAAGGGGACTTGATTCGTCTTCGAGCAACGTGTTCGAACAATGTTCTCATCCCCACAGCTAGCGAGAACATGTTACAACAGTTCGATGATATCCTCAGGAATATTCTAGACAGACCAACAGACTTGCCTTTTTTGCATGCTACATCTGGTGTTCGACACGAGTTGCAGGCGTCCATCAATCCAATGCCAACGCTCCAGTCAGTGTTGCCTTCGACTCTCATCCATCATGAGTTCGAACAGAATGCCCGGTTACAACCCGACGCCCTGGCTGTTTGGTTTAAATCTGACTTGACGCACCCAGAGAGGGACATACGCTGGACCTATGGTGAGCTTGATCGTCGAGCGAACCAGCTAGCGCACCACCTGGTCAAGACTTATGGCGAGCTCTACGACACACCAATTCCTCTGTGCATGGAAAAGTGTCCTGAACTCTATGTCGCTATACTGGGCGTGGTTAAAGTTTGTTGATTCACAGTTAGTCTTGCCGTATTCCTTCTGACGCTTTATCTAGGCTGGAGGTTGCTGGTGCCCGGTAGACCATGCTGCTCCAGAGCTACGCCAGAAAGACTTGTTTCTTCGAGCTGGTGGACCGGTCGTGCTGGTTGTGGATCAGGAGGCATGCCGCGAGTTACGGACGGCTATTCCCGAAGGACTAGATGTTTTAGCCCTTGACGACGTGCGATTACTTAACGAACCTGAAAATGCGCCAGTCGTCGACACTAGCTCAGCCCATTTAGCGTATCTGATCTGGACAAGTGGTACTACCGGTGCACCGAAGGTTCGTGACTTCCTCTGACGCTCGATTTCGTCACTCAGTGTATGCCTTTCAGGGCGTGCCGATTGAACATAGAGCGGCGGTGCAAGCTCTAACAGTGTTGCAAGAAGCGATTCCATTCAATTCTCCTGGTGTTCGGTGTTTGAATTTCTCTGCATACACGTAAGCATAATTTTTTCAGCGACACCTTCCAAAGTCTGACATTCGTCTCCTAGGTTTGACGTCTCAGTAGGTAAGGCCATATTTTGACATCAAGCTTAACTGAATGGACAAAGATTCTTGATGTTTTCTATGCTCTGGGAAAGTCATGTGGGACGCTTTGTTCTTCTAGCAAAGACATTCTTGTTGGGCAGTTTGCAGACGTTGTCAATAGCTTCCAAGCAACGCATGCATTCGTACGCTGTTTCTTCTACGGACATGCCTGACAACTGACGAATAATGTGATCAAGTTGACTCCGGCGTTTATGGCGCAGTCCACATTGAGTGCCTGTAACTCACTTGAAAGTCTTATCAGCATCGGAGAGAAGCTGCCGGATACTGTAGCGGATGCTTGGTCTCGACCAGGAACAGTATCGTTGAACACATACGGTACGCAATCTGCACGGTCATGTCTTCTTTTGTTTTGAATACTCTTTCAGGTCCGGCGGAAGCCACTATAATTGCGACATGTAAGGCATTCTAAAGGCGTTATCTTCAAGGTTTTTAATGCTAGAACAGATCGTCGTTTCCAACCGAATGAAACTACCAAGGCTCAGAATGTTGGCCTTCCTATCCCGACTATCAGTTGCTTTGCCGTCCAGAATGAACGTGTTCTACTTCGTGGCGCTGTGGGCGAACTGGGTACACCTACTGTCTCTGTTTAGCTATATCAACCGGCTCATCATGATCTTTCTTCGTGCAGCTCTGGGTGGCCATCAAAATGCTCGCGGATATCATAACCAGCTTGATATGACTTCGAAGAAGTTCATCAACCACCCTATCGCCGGGAAGATCTATTTGACTGGGGATATCGTTCGCGTACGCTCTGCGCAACTAAATATGCGTATATTGTTGACCGTTACTGTAGTTCCTTCACGACGGTACGTGCGAATTTGTGGGTCGAAATGACGACTTGGTGAAGCTGGGTGGTGCGTGTCCCTTATACTGTTGTGAATGTATCCCAATATCCACCAGGTATTCGAGTCGAATTGTCCGAAATAAGTGCAGCACTAGGTTCTTGTCATGCTCTCGCGCGAGAGGCGTCCACGATGCTCCTTTCTAGACCCGAGTAAGTTTGAATCGTACGTCAATCTGTCATGTATTGACCCCATCAAACGTAGTCGTCCTCAAAAAGTTGTCTGTACCTTCATCTCCGCACCCACCCTTGACAACGATGGAAATGTGTGCACTGACCATGAAGCCGTTGCGATTGCCTGTGCTGCTAGGAAGCATGCAGATTTATCTTTACCCGTCTTCATGCATCCGAAGTACGTATCTTATGGCTTTTGATATGTATTTGACTCACATCGCATAATCAGCGTTATCGTAGTGGTTCAACACATTCCACATACTGCATCTAATAAGGTGGATAGAAAAGCACTAGGAGAATATTATGCTTCGATGGATATTTCGGCATGGGAGTCAGCCATTGCTGTTGCCATGGGCGACAACGACGACAAAGCCTGGTCTCACAACGAGGAAAAGATCAGGAACGTGCTGTCGGATCTTACAGATACACCGCTTGATTCTATCAGCAAGACTACTCGTTTTGCTGCGCTGGGCATTGATTCGGTAAGTCCATATCCGCTACCTTTTGTTTGCAGCTAAACGTAGCAGATCCGCGCCGTTCAACTGACCTCGCGCCTCCGTGGAGTAGGTCTTCCGGTCGCTGTCAGTGATATTCTACGCCATCCGAGCACCAAGCAACTGGCTAGAATGGTCCTGTCTAGCGAAACGGACGAACTGCCCAGCTCAGTGCCTATATCTGCATGGTTCGAAGAGTTCGACTCGTTATGGCGACCACATGTACAACGTACTCTTCAGGATGTGGAGCGTATCCTCCCGTGTACACCCTGTAAGTCTCATCTGCGAATCAACGAGTTTGGAAAACTTACGAATAGCTCTTCTAAGTGCAAGAAGGCATGTTGGGTGAGACGGTAAAACATGAATCTGCATACTGGTCCCATCGTCTCTTTTCGTTTGGAAGGGCCGTCGATTTAGACAAACTGTTAGAAGCATGGACGGACGTTGCGACCCGCACAGAAGCCCTAAGGACGGTTTTTCTCCCTGCAGCCGCTTATTCCGTTGCCGGCACTGATACAGCCCCTTCGCCGTTAGTGCCGCTTCTTTCTTTGTGGTTGTACCGCTAATTCTTTAATGTCAGAGTGTTCATCCAAGCGCTTCTCTCGCAGCCGCTCGTTCATGCTTCTCGCCAACGATGCAATAGACGAAACGTAAATAATGATGCAGAGCAAATTGCTCGGAGCATCGTCGTGTCACGAATCGGGTCACAGTTACCACCTTGGTCGCTCACTATCTTCAACACAGACAACGACACTCAATCTTGGTTAATGTTAAGCATACACCATGCACTGTACGACGCAGATGCCATTGGGCACCTTTTGGCTGATGTACAGACTTCCTATCAGGGAGGCAGTCACATTTCCCGCCTACAACTGTCGGGCGCTCTGTCGCTGGTGTCTGGCAACACTGACCCAAAAATGTCTGATGTTTTCTGGCAGGATGTTCTTAGCCCGTTCGCTGACGAGGATGCCAATTTCTGGCCAAACCTGTCTTCTGACGAGGATTCCGGCCGCAAGACTCGCTTCTATTCTGCTTCCTTCGAACCTGACAGGAATGACCTTGCTCATGCTGCGAGTGAAGTCCAGTGCTCCATTAGTCACGTCTTACAAGCTGCGTGGTCCTACGTCTTGTCCTCGTACCTTCGAACAGATAAAGTTGTTTTTGGAGAGACGCTCTCTGTTCGCGTAGGAAATGCCAAGCTGGCAAGTGCAATAGCCCCCCTGATAACTACCACTCCAGTCGCCGCGAGCATCGTCGGAAACACCTCACCTCGGACTCTCATCAGTGCTATTGCCACCCTGTCTAGCCAGTGCGTAAACTACAGATTTGTTTCACTGCAACGACTCCGTCGAATACTTCAGAAGCCCGTTCGCCAACCAGTCTTTCCGGCAGTCTTTGTCATATATTCTGTGGATGAAGAAGCCCCCTCGCCAACTATTCCAAGCTTATGGGCTGACTGTACTGATATCGCGAGCCTTGGCGTGGAGCACCCTCTGGCAGTTAATGTTGCCGTCATGGCTAATAAAGTGGTTGTGAACGTACTAGGAAGTAGCGACTTTATGTATGTGTCACGCATATTCCCGGTGTTGACTTTCTGACCAAGCAACAGGGCTTCCAAACAAGTAAAGCTACTGGCAGATCAGTTCAGTGCGGTGTTGGAGGTTATGTTAGAATCCTTGGACAGACCACTTTCGAACCTATCGCCTAGCCTCAAGGAGCAACATCTCTCTGTGTTAAGGTCGATCCCCGTCCCGACTTTCTCGAGTTCATCCGGATTTGAACCTATCCAATGGCTTTCAAAGCGCGCGCTCACTTCTCCAGATGAAGTTGCCATTTCTATTTATAAAGCAAAGAAAGGCACTCACTCCACGTGGACTTTCAGAGAACTCGATGAGGTTCGTCGAAGAATGTCACCCGTAGTTTGAATTAATTCCGTTCTAGGCCTCCAACCGCATCGCTCACTGGATTCGTCGGGGAACCACATATCTAGGTGTTATTGCATTGTGTATGCCCCAGTGCCATGCAATGTTTGCTTACCAGTTCGGGTGCGTTCTCATTGTCACTTCAAGATTCAAGAAGATGCGACTGACGTCCAAATGGTCAGGATACTGAAGTCTGGTTGTGTAAGTCATCGTTCTATCACTTTAAACACTTTGGCCTTAGAACTGTGTGCCAGGTTTATCTTCCCATTGGATATGAGATTCCTGCCTTTCGCAAGAGGTTATTGTTCCGCACCGGAGGTGCTTCTTTAGTTTTCACTGTGGCGAGTTGTGCAGAGGACTTCGTTTCTATTGAACCTGCAAGGATTGTTGATATCGATGATACGCAACACGCGCAGCAAATCTCCGGCTACCCTGTATCTGCACCGGCATATTCGGCCCCCGAGGTTGTTTGTAGTGAGTCTATAGACGTGATTGATCATAACCTCTATTCTAACTATCTATCGTAGTAATGTTCAGAGACGGACATCTCAGTACTTCTCGCCCTTGCTTTGTTTCCTCGAGTAGCTTGGTTGCTTTGGTCGAGGCATTTGCTTACAAACTCCACCGACACCACTCGCTCAACGATGCGGGAGAATTCCTGAGCTGGTTACCCCTATGTAAGAAGGCAACATGTTTATCAATTTCATGCTTGTTGACATCTGAGTCAGCATGCGATGGTCATCTCCTCGAGCTCTTATTGCCATTGCGCACGGGAATGGCCATAGCAAGTGTTTCGCGCGTTCTTTTACAAGACGACTGTCCAACAGTCCTCAATAACACCGGTGTCACCCATGCTATGTAGGAGGACATTTGTTATCTGATGTCCAAACTTATTTACCCTCGCAGTTTACTCCCCGCTTGGCTAGAGCGCAAAGGCGTACGGCCCTGCGATGTACCCAGACTACAGTGCACGATTTTGACTGGTCAGTAGCTGGACATTCTACGCTTCTTCGTCCTCATTTTCTCCCTTACAAGGCTATCTTTCTCATTCTCCTCTCTTGGACGAGTGGACTGGATCATCCGATATAACTGTTCTGTCGGTAAGCTTGTATATTGCATTTTTTGGTACATGCTAACCACTCAATCAGGCATTCGGACTCAGTGGTGAGTCACCTGGTCTTAATCATACGCCCTGACCAAGACTCGTGCCTTCAGAAACGGCGGGTATCTGCTTTATGGGCAAGTACTGCTCCACGACAACAAACTGGAATGTTGGGAACATCGTTAGTAACTATGCAGCCGTCGTCCTCCGTGCCGAATCAATACAACCCACACTTCGAGGCGAAGAAGGAGTGCGTTCACTCTCAGATTGCCAAATGCCTCTACTAATCAGAGTTAGGAGCTATGTTTGTCGGGAAAGTCAATATCTCCCGGTTACCTGCCGGGTTCTGTGGGACGCTTTGTCCTTAACACTCTTTATGGACCTATCCTCAGAACAGGCTTCGTAGCCCGTGTCAGGGCTGATGAGGTGCGCTACAGTTTTCCTCTCGTGATCACGTTCTTAACTCGTCTATGACAGTCGGTCGACTTGCTTCGTCGTGATGAAGTATTCCTGCGAGAGCGAAAGCTCGATCTTGCCGAGATTTCCGAAGTGGTTTCTTCTCTAGCTCAGCAAGGTTTAAATGTGCACACGCTAGCACTTGATCATCCAGAGGGATTACAGACATACGTTATCACGTTCATATCGCGTTCAATGAACGCCGACCCACTTTTGGGCTCGTTGCCGAATGTTTGCACAACAGATGCAGCACTAGCGCGAGCTCTACTCTCTACTTGTCGAAGCCGACTACCCCCGTATCTGGTTCCCGACTTGATAATTCCCTTAGACTTTATCCCCCTTGCCAATGTTTTCTCTTCGCTGGTCGATCATAAACGTTTGAAGCATGTGTTCATTCGCTCTTCTTTGGCGACTCTAAGTGGTCCGGGCGAACAGTCGTCTGTTTCACGTCCTCTTACGGCACTCGAGAAAGAGATATGCAGCATCATCAGTGGCATTACACAGGTTCCCGCTGACGCTATGAATGCCGACACAACGACACTGGAACTAGGGATCGATTCACTCAGTGCAATTTCTTTGAGCTTCCAGATGAAAGCGGCGGGCTTCTTTGTTCCTCCGCATGTCATTCTCGCTGGACCGTCCGTATCTAAGCTTGCTAAATCATCGCGGTCACTCGTCGAGGACAGGAACTATGTATCCACATGGGAGATGGAGACTCGTCTGGAGGAACGGATTCGGAGTCGTCTTCCGGATCATGACATCCAGCTCGTCCAGCCTTGTCTACCATTACAGGAAGGGCTGGTGGCTCATACGCTCAATTCGGCTCAGCCCATTTACGTCAATCACTTCGTCCTACGTATCAACGAAGCAGATCTGTCTCAGCTTCGCAATGCAATCAATGAGACAATTACGGCAAACGACATCCTGCGAACCTGTTTTTTCGTCGACGATAGCAACGTGGTCCAAGTCGTTCTTTCCTACGTCTCAAGCATCTGGAAGGTTGTTGAAGTGCCTGATGACGAGGATCCTCTGGTTATTCTTCGCGGAGATATGGGTGCCGTTGAACTCGACGTGGTGCAAAATCTCGGGACCCGACCGCCCATTCGGCTTGCATTATATTCGTCGAAGGTCAAGTCGACATATCTTCGTCTTACTATGCACCATGCAATCTACGATGGTATGTGGTTAGCTTAGAGGGAAAAGTATCAACTTGACATGTCTTCTGCATAGGTGAATCGCTGCCAATGCTCCTGTCAGAGATCTACGAAAGATACCTAGGGTGTTTTACCCTCCAACGACCTCCGATTAGTCGCCTGATCGGCCATCTTGCGCACCAATCACAAGAGTCGGCTCGCTCGTTTTATTCTGATTACCTCGATAATGCTCCCAAGCCCGCCCTCACTCATACATATGGCAACCTTGAATCCAATCATCAAAGACACGTTCTCGACGTACCGTTGTCTGTTCTCGAGCAAACTGCGCGCGCTTTGAATATCAGTCTTCATGTTCTGGCATTATCAGCATTTGGGATTGCACTAGGGGAGCATCGGAAGAGCAGTGACTCTGTACGTTGTCGGGACAATTTTAATCTATTCCTTCCTCATATTTATCGAAGGTTTTCGGTGTCGTTCTCTCGGGACGCACATTACTCGTCGACGGAGTGGATAACATGCTAGGTATGTCTCTTATTTCTATTTGATATCTTTTGGTGATCTCTACCACCCTTCAGCTCCCTGTATCACCACTGTACCCGTCCGGGTTCGTGCTGTAGACGCTCAAATCTTTGCCGATATCGCGCGCCAGGTTCAGGTGGACCTGTCATCTGTGATGGAACATCAGCATACTCCTCTTCGTTTGATACAACGGTGGCTTGGTTCTGGCGAGCAACTTTTTGATACGCTATTTAATTTCAATCGCTTAACAACATCCCCGTCCTCGTCCCATAATCTCTGGTCAGTACTGGAGAGTAAGGCAGCCATCGATGTAAGCTATACACTCCGTTCGTTGCCTATGATCTATGAACTCATCTTAATCATAGTATCCGTTGGCTGTAGCGTTTGAATCTAACCCAAGCGAAAACACTGCCACTATCCTCGCTGGTTATACGCCTGGCTTCGGCTTGAGTGCCTCTGTCACTTCCCTATTGACCCGTATAACCAATCTCCTTATTGATCCTAACCAAGCCGTGATGCCAACATTGTCTTCACCGTCCACTCAAGCGCCAGTGGAACGCCCTTCGTATGACCCTTCGACCTGGTCGTCTCAAGAAATTCTAGTTCGGGACGTAGTTGCCAAACTTTGCAACGTAGATCCGATTCTTATCACCAAGGACGTTTCTTTCATTCACCTCGGAGTCGATTCCATCACTAGCATTCGCCTTGCCCAGCAGCTAAGAGCTGAAGGCTTCACTGTTCCTACATTCGCCATCATGCGTCATCCTTGTATAGGGGAACTTGTGAACTACGCTAACGAATCTTCCGTGGATGTGTCCGAGTCCGCCGACGCCATTGTAAGTGCCTTCAAAGAACTTCAGGCGCAACTTCGTAGCAAGTATGAGCCTTCTATTCGACTTCTTGCCGAGGATGACATAATCACGGCAATTTTTCCTGCAACACCTTTGCAAACAGGAATGCTCACCCAGACAGTCGCGTCGAGCGGTAGGCTGTACATGGGGGACCACGCGATCGAGCTACATCCGTTAGTATCCACTCAGCGCCTGAAATCTGCATGGGAACAAATAATTGCGTCGACCGACATCTTACGTTGCTCGTTCCTTGCATGTCCAGAAGGCGATCACGCTTGGATCGCCGCAGTTCATAGTAATGTGCCCATACGCTGGACGGAGTACTCGCTTTCTTCCAATGCAGAAATCCGCTCAGTAGGTCAGAAAATTAAGGATGCAGAAGCGATTCAGGATGGGCATGCGTTTGAGGTGCCGCCGCTATCCTTCCACCTTATATGTGCTCCAGATACGCGAATTTTGATCGCTTTAATTCATCATTGGTGAGAGTTTTTTCTCTCTACCGTATTTCGCTACTCACATAGCAAAGTCTTTACGATGGGCTTTCTCTGCCTTCTATCTTCGATGATGTCGCTGCTGTATACCGTGGACTTTCACCTTTGAAGCGTCCACAATTCCCCGAAGCCGTACCGTTCATCCTACACAGCTCTAAAGACGAGTCAGACTTTTGGCGAAGGCGTTTATCGGAGTTCTCTTGTGCGCCATTAACAAGGAAGCAGGCAACTACGGCACGTGGACACCTCGCTCGAACTCTACTGAGCCTTCCTGAAAGCGCTCTCAATTCAATCAAAATGCTGGGTGTGACTGTCCAAGCCGTTGCTCTTCTAGCATGGTCGGTGATTTCCTGAATTCTCTTTCAGATATCTTATACTTCCTTAGGGGCAAAACATTGGCTAGTATCACTGGTTCACCGGATGTAGTTTTTGGACAAGTCGTCTCTGGTCGTGCGATTGAGCTTGACAACGCATTGCATGCCAGTGGTCCGCTTTTCAAGTGAGAGCCATTTCCTTTGGTCTAGAAAATTCCTTAGTGTTAATATGACCGTAGTACTATTCCATTCCGGTTCACGTTATCCGAACTGGCTTGGACAAATGCCGAAGCCGCTCAAGCGCAGCATGTGTCAAACGTACAAAGTGAACCTCACCATCATGTCCCTCTTCGTATTATACAACGAAAGTGGCGTGCCGACGCCTCCACCGGAGAATCGCTCTTCGACACCTTGTTTGTATTCCAGCAACACACTGGAGAACAAAGCCGATCACGATTAGATTTGTGGGCTCCATACAGCCTGTCGAATGACGCGTCACCAGCCGAGGTCGGTCTTCCTTCTCGATTATGTACCTGCCATGCTAACTTGTTTTTCTTAGTATCCTTTGAACCTCGAAATCATTCACGCAAGTGACGTTCTAGAGATTAGAGCGGGGTGTCAGTCTCAAGTCTTTTCTGAGGACGAACTCAGAGGCACCCTTGAGATCCTACGGAAAACCCTTGAAAACATCATCCTGAAACCTTCGGATAGTGTCCTGAGCTATCCCCCCAACCTCAGAGAGGTAGCTACTATCTCCCAGGAAAGCGCCGTGCCTTCACCGTCTAAAAGTAATGCCGATGAGCGTGAGCCTACTCGGGAATTTTCGCCGAACGAGGCGGTTTTACGCGATATCTTTTCGAACATCTCCAGAATACCTCTCGAACGCATAGGATTGCACGCACCGCTTTATGCCCTCGGACTAGACTCCATTGCTGCGATTCAGATCGCATCTAGATGCCGAAGTCAGGGACTCGACATCGCAGTATCTGACGTATTTGTGGGTGAGACGATTGCGGGGATCTGTAGGAATTACGAGGCATCTCAGAGTTCTGCTCATGAGGCGACGTCTACGAGAGAACTCGTACAAGAACACGAGCGCACGCAGGCATTAGAGCTCCTGGGTCTTGGAGACGAGGACATTGAGGAAATGCTCCCTGTTCTTCCTGTATGCTTTGACCAAGGCTGATTCTTCTATATTCGGAAGCTAATGTTTTCATTTAGGGTCAACACTATCACCTTTGCGCATGGCTCAGCTGCGGTGGCACGTTTTACGAGCCGGTGTTCGTATACAAGCCCTCTGAACAGCTTGACGTTGACCGACTACGTCAAGCATGGGATGCTCTTCGGAAACGCCACAGCATCCTCCGCACCGTGTTTGCTGCGACTTCCTCTTCCAATGTTCTCCAAGTTGTTGAAAAGAACCTTCCAAAGAGCGATCTAAACTGGACCTTTGCCGAATTTGACGGGGATTTCGAGCAGCACGTCAAAGAGCAAGTGCGAATAGAATATCGCCGGCCATCGACCTTATTTACACCGTCAGGCCGGATCAAGCTTGTAAGGGTGAGAAACCAAGACGCGGTGTTACTCGTGCTCCATCACGCTACGTACGGTAAGAGACGACTATCCTCAAGAGTGATAGCCCCTGTTGATGCATTATTTCTACTAGATGCCTGGTCTGTCCCTCTTCTGGTTGCAGATTTGTGCGCATTATACCAAGGTTTCGACTGCAAGAGTGCTCCAGACTTTACCGGGTTCGTCAAACATGTCTCTAATATGTCAGATAAGGCCGCCGAAGCCGCATTTTGGCGGGACTCGTTGAAGATTAATGGCTCTTCACTTCTGGAACCCAAGCAGACTTGTTCAGATCTGAAGCAGGTGTTTGTGCGAGCTCCCGCTATCATTAGTTCGACAGACTCGTTGCAGTCGCGCTGTCAAGCCGCTGGTCTTGGCCTTCAAGCCTTGGTGTTGGCAGTCTGGAGTCGTGTAGGTAAGAGCTTGACAGGACAAGACTCTCCTGTGTTGGGCGTGTACCACACTAGTCGTGCGGCCTCCTTCGACGACCTCGAGAGGCTTGCAGGGCCTTGTGTCAATATTTTGCCTATGTGTATTCCAGCAGCTGGTCTCGGTCAAGTCGGCGACGTAGCGCGTCAAGTTCAAATAGATCTCGGAAGGCGTACTGCATTCGAGCAAAGCGCCTTACCGGAGATTCTTCAGTGGGTTCAGCACGACGGTCCGCTTTTTAATATCTTCATCAATCTCCTTTGGCATGGCAACAAGATCCGGACGATCTCTCAGGATTCGCTTCTGCGGATTTTCCCTGTACGCGTGTTTTAATTTTTGTGTCATGGACAATTCGCTGATCGTTCCTGCCAAGGTTGGGGTGCCTACTGACTATGCTGCTCAAGAGCCTTTCGAGCTTCGGTCGTCGGTCGACGCATTGGATCTTTCATATCTTCCCAAGGTATGCGCGCAGACCTTGTACTACCATGAATTAGTTCTGATTGACGTTGCTAGCATGGGTTGTACATTGATGTCGCTTTGAATGCGGAAACGAACACGATTGGAGTTGCTGCTCGCTGTCATGAAGCTATCCTGAATGAGGAAGAGCTTCGGGAAGTAATTGGTAGTTTCGCGGACGGAGTAAAGGCTGCTATGGACGAAATATGATCTATTATTTAAAGTACGATAATTATTGGAGAAATACAAGGTTTCTTGTGTCAGTTCTTGACTTGCGTCAACTGACCGGGCTTTGGGTGTGCACGGAATCGCATCTACGTCGCATATCAACATACCAGGTCTTTAGGAAACGATTATCCATGTTTTTGAGTCGGCTGGAGAATTTACGTATTGGCAGCTTGGCGGGTATGTAAGGTGGATACCAAAATGCCCCAGGTTTTTCCGAAAGAAATTGGCGAATACGTACCTAAAGTAATGATGAGCTATGGGTTTGAGCCAAGGACAGGACCCTTAAGCCCGGTATGGCGGCCCGGAGGTACATTTTGACGCGTCAGTTCTTTTCCGTCTTTTCCACGTTTCTGTCACTTCCCCCGCAGCGCGATCACGATGGCGGTTCTTGTTCAGAAATTTGAACGACATTTTTCGGGCCCCCTTCTCAGGTTCGCGGAGTTTTACCCATCGGTGTCTCCTCGGAGTCGAACGTGTTCGAGTTCGAGTTCATGATCAAAATAACGACCTTGGTCACACGACCGAGAAGTATCCGGTTGCTACTGGATATTGGCGTTTGCTTTGCCCTTTTTTCTATTGCTTGTACGCTCGGCGACACTCTTGCAGGCTACGCTTAGCGAGAAACATCTCCAGATATTCTCCGATCCCAGGCCCGTATATAAACTGCGTCTTTTGCTCCAGGATCTGAACCAATCCAACTCACTACGACCAAAATGTACAGCGTAGCTGCTCTCGTCGCTTTCACTCTCCTTCGTTCTGTCCGGGGCCAACAGGTTGGCACCTACACCACAGAAACCCATCCCACTCTCACCGTCCAAGAATGCACGTCTGGCGGTAGCTGTACCACACAGTCTAAGTCAATTGTCCTTGACGCTAACTGGCGCTGGCTCCACAGCACCAGTGGCTACACGAATTGCTACTCCGGCAACGAGTGGGATTCTTCCCTCTGCCCTGACGTCGACACTTGCACGTCGAACTGCGCCCTGGATGGTGCAGATTACTCCGGCACTTACGGTATCACCACCGACGATGATGCGCTGACTTTGAAGTTCGTCACTGGTTCCAACATCGGAAGCCGTGTCTACCTTCTCGACGATGAGGACACCTACCAGATGTTCAACTTGAAGAACAAGGAGTTCACCTTTGACGTCGACATGTCGACTCTCCCTTGCGGCCTCAACGGAGCCTTGTACTTTGTGGAGATGGATGCAGATGGTGGAATGTCGGAATACTCCACGAACGAGGCTGGTGCTAAGTACGGAACCGGTTACTGTGACACCCAGTGCCCCCACGACCTCAAGTTCATCAACGGAGAGGTGTGTTTTCTTATTTCTGTTCTTTTCTGTTCTCACGCTCTCTCAAAGGCCAACGTTCTTGACTGGACTCCTTCCGAGACTGACTCCAACTCCGGAACCGGCTACTACGGCTCGTGCTGCAATGAGATGGACGTCTGGGAAGCCAACTCCCAGGCGGCCGCCTACACTCCTCACGTTTGCAATATTACTGGACAGCAGCGCTGCTCCGGCACCGACTGCGGTGATGGTGACGAGAGGTACGACGGAGTTTGTGACAAGGATGGCTGCGATTTCAACTCGTACCGCATGGGGGACAAGACCTTCCTCGGCACCGGTCTAACAGTTGATACCAGCTCCAAGTTCACCGTCGTCACCCAATTCATCACCTCCGACAACACCACTTCCGGAGATCTCGTTGAAATTCGCCGTATTTACGTTCAGGACGGTGAAATCATCCAGAACTCCGCTACGAACATCGACGGCATGGACTCGTACAACTCCATCAGTGACGACTTCTGCACCGCCCAGAAGACCGCCTTCGGTGACACTGACTCCTTCGCTAGCCATGGTGGATTGGCGGTGATGGGTGATGCCTTTGAGTCTGGCATGGCTTTGGTGATGAGTGTTTGGGATGACCACACTGCCAACATGTTGTGGCTTGACAGTGACTACCCTGCCGATGCTGACGCCTCCGACCCTGGTGTCTCCCGTGGATCCTGCTCAACAAGCTCTGGCGCACCAACCGATGTCGAATCCTCGGCCGCTAGCTCATATGTCATCTTCTCGAACATCAAGTACGGCGATCTCGGATCGACCTTCAGCAGCTCATGAATGTCAGCCTTTCTCCTCTGTTTCCACTATCGCGATGCTCACTCTCATTCTTTAGGTAAAACGTCAATATTTGGCTTTAGTTGCTTTCGTTTTTATTTCTTCTTGTCAGTTTAGATGTCTCTATGGGTGATACTGTATTGACGTCCTTTTCAGATTATCTATCGCTATTTTCACGTTCATTCGTCTCCTCTTGCCGTTTCAGCTGGTCTGATTAATTGTCAGTCATTGTAAGTAAGTTTCTGCCCAAACTCTTTGCCCTTCCATTGATCATCATGTGTCAGATTCTTGCACATCGTTATACAATGCAACAGCGCTCGATACATGCTAGAACAACCTAGATACAATCTACGCTGTAGAAACGAATAAGAATCTTTACTCAATCCCCAATAGTTAAGCAACTTAAGCTCAAGGCTGTAGTGACCTGCGGGTTACGGAAGATAACGAATGTGTCATCATTTCTCACATCCTTAGCGCGTTCATTACTAGTATGTTATATTTTTACGTTCTGCATTGCAGGTTCAACACCTCGTATATAATTATGCCCAATTCTTGGGTGTACTCATAATTGCGGGAAACGGCCCGGGAATCCGGTGCACGTGGGGAGGCTCTGTTCAGTCCGGATGAGCGGGCCGGAAGGAATGAAGCAATTCGCTGCTCGACCAGTCTTCACTGTCAGGCAAACAGCAACAATGGGCGCCTTTCACTTCAGTTGACATCTGTGCAGTGAAAAGATTGCTTCTATGCTCCCCCCGCTTCCGCCTCGACTAACATCCCACGGCAAGGCGTTTCCATTGATTTTGTGTTGATTTTGCCAGTTCTTCGGTCATTCAACGCCCACCACCATTTTTTTCCGGAAAATGGAATGCAAAAGATCGTGTAAAACTCAAGGACACGTACCCTGAGCGTGAAGGTGATATCCAGTCAGCGACAACGATTGAAGCTTCAAGGCTTACTGGGCGGCACGATCAATGCCAGCAATGTTCTTTTCAACAGCTCGAATCCATGGCAGTTCCGTCCATGCAGATCTGCCAGTGACCAGACCCACATTTATATCGAGTGTACCGACCAAGACTCGTGTGTATGGCTCCGAAAGGAACCATCGTGCGAGTTATGGCAACTTTATACGAATCTTCGATTTTTATTCGTCACATCGCACTCCGCCACCTCTAACAGTTGCGTCAGTAATCAAAGAAGCGCGCTTTCTTCGTTTCAATGAGGACAAGCAAACAGTGATAGGTCTGTGAAGGTATGCGTCATGGGATAGGTTGCTGGGAACCACAGGATGATGTCTGATGGATCCCATGCACATGCACTTCAGGCATGCCTTTTGTTTCTTCCTTCCTGCCACCTTAAAGATCCCGCATTTCGCACGGAGCCGAGTTGATCCCGACGAGGAATTTGAGCAAAACGTAGGGTCAAGATTCAGATAATTGAAATAATGGTGACTGAGGGTTTCAGAATCTAGGTTGTTGGAAGAGAACTTGAAGTGGATGGCACCGGTAGCTACCCAAGCTCAAGGTCACCGAGGGATACGACCCGCCATGGTGTGAACGCTTGCAATCAGCGTTGGCATTTCGGTCTTTTTTCTTTGTCAAGCAATCATTGACGTCCTTGTTCGCTCCTGACGCGTCGCCGGCACTCTGCCGTTATCTTCTCCTGATACCGCGTGCTGTTGTCAGTCCATCGGTCCACCGGGCTTGTGACGATGTTCTTGTTGGTCAATTCAGTATCAAAGGACATATAAGTTCGTCTAACCCTAGGGGACAGTGCTATCAACCTATGTCTTCCACAGAACGCCTTCCTTTTCTCCCACCGCCTCCCAATGCCCCGAGTCCCCTTGGCCAGTACAGGCTCCTCTCTCCGCGAGCGAGCATTCGTGTCTCGCCTTTCCAACTGGGTGGAATGTCCATTGGTACTGCATGGGGTCAAGGAATGGGAAAAATGACAACGGAATCAAGTTTTGAGCTTCTGGACGCCTTCTATGAGTTAGGTGGTAACTTTATAGATACGGCGGTGAATTAGTGAGTATTTGCGGAGATACCAGACGCGATACTCATTTATTCTACGCTCTATAGTCAAGATGGAACCTCCGAAGAACTCATAGGCGAATGGATGGAACTCCGAGGTAACCGGGACCAAATGGTGATTGCTACCAAGGTGTGCCTCTTAACATTACTAGAAAAACATCAATTTCAATTTAATAATTCTAGTACAGCGGTCCTTGGAAACTTCACGACAATAGTGTATCCCAAAAAGTCCATTACCTTGGAAATGGGAGCAAAGCCCGACACTTGGCAATTAATGCTTCGCTAAAGCGGCTACATACCGACTACATCGATATCCTATACGTTCATTTCTATGACTGGGAGACCAGCGTCGAAGAGTTGATGACCAACTTGCACAATCTCGTGGTATCTGGCAAGGTATTACATCTTGTGAGTTTCGATTTCCTTCCAGCACAAGTAACATTCGAAACGCTCATCACGTACCTATCATAGGGTATCTCGGTAAGCCTTTGAAATTGAAGACCCGGGCGGTCAGTTCAAACCAACTTATGTAGGATACTCCTGCATGGGTTGTCGCAAAAGCCAATCAATATGCTATTGACCATGGAAAGACTCCGTTCTGCATCTACCAAGGTCAATGGAATTTGACGGAGCGATCGTTTGAACGTGAGATCATCCCCATGGCTCGCGACCTAGGTTCGCACGTCTGTTATCTGCTTGTATAGTATTAGGACTGACTACGGTTTCTAGGTCTCGCTCTCGCCCCTTGGGGTGTTCTTGGAGCAGGCAGACTCCGTACGGACGCGGAAGATCAAGCACGAAAAGAAAACCTTGCAAACGAGCGAACAGGATTTACGCAGGACGGTAAATCAGAGCGAAATGAGGCCGAAATCAAAGTTTCTGCTGCCCTTGAGAAAGTCGCCAATGAAGTTGGCGCGAAGAGCATCCAAGCAGGTTCGCTCGGTCCTCATCCATCCCTGAACGAATGGATCTGAAGAACGCCACAGTTGCCATCGCATACCACCTACAAAAGACTCCCTACGTCTTCCCAATCCTGGGTGGTCGCAAAATCGAGCATTTGAAGAAAAACATCGAAGCATTCACGATTACATTGTCGAAGGAACAAATTGATTATCTCGAGAGCGCTCTACCGTTTGATCCTGGATTCCCGAACTGGTTAATTGTGAGTAGTTATTTCTTGAGCGGGTTGGTGTTCTGATACTTACCTCTGTAGGGTGGTGGTGCGGGGTCATCCTCTATGATCAATTCCTTTGCGCCGGTGTCTGTGTGGCCCAAGGCGGAAGCTATCAAGCCCGCCAAGTAGGCTAATGAAATAAGACTCTACCCTTTATGAGGTGTGCCCGACCTCGGTCTTTTAGTTATTCGATTCCGAATCGTCGGAAAACATTTTGATAGCTTGAAAGAATACCTCCCCGAACTTTGAATTCCAAGGATAAGTACAGACAGCGCGGCTCATATAATGCAATGTTACGAAAGACGGGAGCGCGACTGATAGAAAGGACTATCTTGGCGAGCCTTCCAAGCTGTCAATCCAAGCGCGCAGTTTTCGTGAAAACTGAACTATTTTTGTTTCGTTCCACCCCCCCCCCCCTTGACAAGCACCTGAGCGTGCAAACAGGCTGAAGGCTCGCGCACAACACCGATGCACCTGTTGCGAGCTCCGCAGTCATATCAATTGAATCGTTTTGATTCAAAGAATCAATCAGGAGCTGACTTCCAGTCAATGCTAGTCTCGCTCTAGAACGAGGGAGGTAGAACTTTTCAAAACGAAACGTTGCTACATCTTCAAAGCGCGATAGCCATATATAGTGAAAGGTGTACACATATCATCCGGGACATTAAGGCAAGATATTAGATAAACCAAAGGACAAGAACGTATCATCTTCGAGAATGGCAACACTGAAGATCCATCAAGTGGCTCGTAGCCAGGGATGGATAAGTAGTTCCGAGGCCGATTCCCGATCTTCAGGGCGAAGCCGCAGCATGCGAGAAAGAAGGTCGGCAAAGGCATCAGGCTCGTCCTCAGGCTGCAGCGAACATCGAGAATCCAACAAGCCACGAATGGAACAAGCGCCAACATTGTATCCGTGAAGCTTTCCTACATGGTTCAATCATAAAAGCGAAAAGTATGGTCAAAATGGGCAGGCAGCGCATACCGGTTTTATCGAAGAACCTGTCACTGTATTTGCCACGGGCCAAAACGTCGACTGGGAAAAGCTCAAGTCCGTTCAGGGAGACCATTTGTTCGAGTATGTCGTCATCTCGTGACCATTTAGATGTTTCCGTTGGGTTGAAGAGCCAGCAGTATGTGACGAGTTCGAACGCCTGTGGTATACCATGAATTAATGTGTCTCACTTGGCCTTTGTGCCATACCAAACAGCCCAAGCTCCATATATCAGCGGGTGGGCCATAGGGGATTCCAAGATAAACCTCAGGTGCACGTAGAGCATACGGTTGTATGACTCCATTGAACGGCTCTTCTATGTTACTAGCTAACTATGAGTGAAGAAAGCAGAGGCGGTATAAAATCGGTAAGATGCGCACCTACACCGAGGTCGGTTATGACAACGGCTGCTGAACCCAAAGATACTCGAGAAAAATCGATTTCAGTCGAATGTTCAACATTTCCCGGGTCGGGTGTCCCTTGCGTCTCTGCAAGACGCAGGAGAAGATTGTCTAGTTTTAAATCTGCCCATGATCAGCAATTGCTTTTCATAGTGAACAGTTTACTTACCTGTATGGACTATTCCACATTCACGATGAAGGAAGTCTAAACCAACTAATACTTGTTTAATAATCTGCCTGCACACTCGTACGGGAAGCTTGTTCGGGTGAGCCCAATTCATTACTTGTGCGACAGATGGACCAAGACGCTCGAGGACTAAGCTGCCGTGAGTTCCGTGGATGCTAGATATTGGAAAATGTTCAAGCATGTGGATAACATGTGATTGCTCAATGGTAGCGCTCTTATGGCGAACTTTTTCAAGGAAGAGTGCCTCGAGCTGCGAATACCTGCCCGCATCTGTCGAGTCTGAACCAGTAATTTTTATTACCACGTCATTTTCAGTTCTAAGAGAGACATGAGCTAGACACGTCGTATCGTACAAAAGAAACGTACTTTGAGTCTTTAGAAAGCCAAATTGTTGAGCGTCTTCCAAAGCGTTCTCCGAGCCTGCGGATAAGAGGATATCGTTGGCGGAGGATGTCGCCTTCTTTAGCAGGGTGTAGGAGAACCTGGGGTTGGACGGTCTTCAATTTCTCAGTCGAGGTGAAGCCAGTGAGAAAATGTCGTATGCGAGAGAGCATGAGTGGCGAAATTCAAAGCCGATAACTCCGACATCCCAAATGGGACTCCCGCCGATCCAGCGCCTCTTCTGCCCCTCCCTCTACGACCTGCAACGATTTACAGTATCATTCGAATTCCTAACCTTGGATTTTACGTGTCGACAGGAATTCGCAGTTGGGGTCAGAATCATGGACGAGTGTACAAGCGTATTTCCGGAACGTATCTTCAGAAACGCTTAATATCACCAGAGTGTCGAGCATGACCAGGCCTCTTAAATATTCACATGTGGATCTCCAACCTTTCGGCGGTGGATGAACACTGCGTTATTCGTTCATCAAAAGCCTGGGAACTATTTGCTGCTTTCACTGACCGGGTACACCGCGGCATGACCTTGATGCTTTCCACCATCTCGCCGTCCACCCGCCTCGATTGCCCTCAATGACCAAGGAATGGTATGTTTCACTTATAATAATTGTTGCTATATGTATTTGAGATGTTTTCACTAACCCTGTAGTCCCGTAGCGTTGCTGTCACCCACTGCACCCTCCAATGAGGTTGCGCATCCAGCAAGTGATGTTCTACTCCCCCAATGACTCTTTGCGAAGAACGACGTCGACCATGACGAGCGTATTTATCACCGCCCTCCAATACGCCCGCCAGCACGCCGGCCAACCGCCAAACCCACCCCCAACGCCGCAAGCATCCGCATGGAGCCCAACCAAAATCGCAATGAACCTGTGAAATTCAACCATTAGACGACGTCCAATTTGCCTGAATATCAAAGATCTGTCGCAATCTGATAGTGTGGGCCCATGCACACGCTGAGAAGCCCAACTACGAGGTTGACGATGACGGCGACGACACCATGCAGGAGGACGAAGGAGGTTCTTTTGTTAAGTATGGAGTGTAGGACGGCCTGTAGATGGCGTCTTCATGGCTGGCAAGGCGCAGGAAGGGTGGGAGTATGTGTGACCGGGAGGGCAGGAAGAGTTCGGGATCCCGATGGTGGCAATGGTAACTTGCTGTGTCGTGAATGAGTCACGATACTAACGTCGCATAAGAGCTGTTCGTTAAGTCGAGCCGACGAAAGGGTCTACTTCCGACAGTTTTGGAAGATCTTATATCAGCTCGTAAACGTGCGAAAGCAGATTTGAAGACGAAAACATACATTCAAGCGCGCTGTGATCGATGGACGGTAGCTGGCCCTGAAGGCCTGAAGGTACACCATCCTTCAACTGTTCCTTCAATGACTATTATGCTGATCTCTATACAAGATCAGTGCCAATTCCGTCTACGGATTTACTGGCGCTACCATATCGCTATCGGCACACCCATTTTCGACCCTGGGGAATTCAATGGTGCCATCCATTCCTCTCGCAAACCCCTCTTGATGACCAGTAACGTTGCTGGTCATGCTCCCGCCTCTTTCACTACTCCTCGCATGTGCTGCAACCGCCACCATCACCACCCTCCCATCACCCATTGCAATCCCCGGCCCACCACTACCACACTAACACTTGCTCGAATCTCTCGGTCTTGCAGCAAAGGTATGCATCGACGCATACACTTGACGCTTGGATACATAATTCCGAGGATGAGCTCGTCGACGTGGTACATGTTTTCGCTTATCTTTCTGTGTCTCCTCGCACTGGTTGCTTAGACCTGTAACCGATCGTCCTCGAATGGGAGGCAAGCTTTGATCGTGCTGGTATCCGTCTCGCTGGTAGGATTTGGGGCTTGTACAGAAGGGAAGCACGTCATGAGGGGTTTTCAATTGCCTCCAAAAATGACAGCGGATCTCGTCCAGCGGTAGCCGTATCTGCCTTTCTAAATTCTTACTGATATCTTAAACTCATAAGTTCATACTTACTTCTTCGTCTCCTTTCTCTTTCCTTGTTTCATTTGTGTTCAGTGACGAGTCGGAGGGTAATGTGTACATAGCGGAATCGACCAATTCATCAGTCTTTCAGTAGGTTAACGCGAAAAATGAAAAGTGCTGCGATTGGCTGACTACGTTATACAAGCAACTCAGCTAGGTAAAATAAGAAGTGAAGTAAGGCGAAAGTAAGTAAAAGTGACCATAATCATAATCATAATAAAACGCCCTGAGACTAAAGAACTTCTTCGTCAGGAGTCATCAGGTGAGTCGACGCTCTGCGCTGTAAGTATTGCATATGAACAGGAAGAGAGACCCGGGTAGAACGACGAGAGATGTGCGAGCAGTCATTAAGGGCAGTGTACCCCTGTACATAACCCCATATACGTCCTGTGAGTTGGACAACGACTGTATGCCAAGGTTGGGCCAGCCTACAGAGGAAACGCTCCCGTACGGCCGGGACCAAGCGGCATGAGAGGGAGCGAAAGCCTCAGCGCGTCACGTCTTGCCAAATTAGCGCTGATCGGTTGGCAATCAACCCTGGTCTGTGTTCCAGTTCATCTGATGATCTTGTGATGCGCCACCCAAAATTAATGTCCATTGGCTATAGGAACAGATCTGCCACACGTATGTGGTGGACCTCTAACTCTAGTACTTACAGCTGTTTGCATACAGCTTGACAGTAGCATGTGTTTTGCATGAGAGAAGAGACCAATTTGAACTTGGTCATAAACCATGGTTTACGGACTTGGAGACGCGTTTATGGCTAGTTTATGGCGATCTCGGCAATCTCGGAGGCCCTTGTGTGTGCTTGAAGTCCCCAAAACACGGTTTATGACGAAGTCCAGGCCTTCTTCCATCATCCACAAAAACGCCCCTGACTGTCAAGCTGTATGCAAACAGCTGTAATTGACCTCGATAAAAAGGTTTCGAAAGACAGACCCAATGGCGACTCTGGCGAGCAGTCGCAAATGTCGAATTGGAATAGTTTTCTCCCTTTTGGATGGCCAGATCTTCAAAGGTCTTCAATCCCGGAAGCTTGTGCATGTCAGTAGTAAGTATCGGGGGTCTAAGAAATCTAACCAGAGACTGTGATCTGTCAGTGACGGGTTGTTGAATCCTCCGAGCAGAGGAAGATCCACCGGTCGTGACGCGTTTCAAAGGCAAATGCTTGGAATGTGACAAAGAATGCGGAATACTAGTCTGGCTGGAGAAGGGTAAGGAGCGTTATGCAGCGCGTTTATGTGGGTCAGCCGCCAAAAATTTAGACCAAGGCTCCCTGCTCACCGGATAGTACTAGCTGTTATAAAAGCCACCATCATAAAGTGAGCGCTCATCCCTTCACACCATTGCATCCTTAGACTTTGTCAGTGTATAACCAGTCTAACAATGGCCATTTCTTCGCCTGCCTACATTTTGTCCTCCAAGAAAGGTGTCAGCGCCTGCCTTGACCTCTCTTTGAACGTCATTAAGCCGCCTCCTAATGGAAAGCGCGTCCTTATTGTTGGTGGTGGTGTCACCGGTCTGACGTGAGTGTTCACTTCATACTAAGGAGACAGTAATACTCAGCCTCCGTTCTCCCAGGACTGCCTGGGTTTTGATCGATGCCGGATACGACGTGACTGTCGTCTCAGAGCAGTGGGCACCAGCCACCCCGCGTATCACTTCTCAAATTGGTGAGTCATACTTGTTGGTTACAGGTTATGTTATTATAGATCTAATCACGACATAAATATAGCTGGAGCGTTGTAAGTTCCTTCGTAGGCTCTGACCTCTGAATATTTCTTAATGGCCTTCATTCTACACGATAGGTGGGAGTATCCTCCAGCTGTTTGCGGTAAGTCAATGTTGGTATACTTGGTCTTTCTATCTCACTCATCTGTATGAAGGAAGCCACATTGACGTGCATTCACTGGCGTCTTCCAAGGGATGGTCGTTGACGTCCTACCATATTTTCGAACAGCTGAGCAAGACCTTGCCTGCTGTCAAGATGATCACTTGCCAATTTCTTCTTCGGAAAACCGATCGAGAGCCTTCCTGACCAACTGAAGAAGATGTGCGAGATTAAGGCCTCGTCCATCAAGGGATTTGTTAGGGACCCAGACTTGATCTTAAAACATGATGTCAACCAGGATGCCGGTGTTGTAGATGCGTACTCTCATTTGGCACCCGTGATCGACACGGACGCATACATGGTTGAATCATTCTTGTTTTGCTTCTCGCGAATTCAACTGATCCTTTCTATACTTGCATTGGCTAGGTGTGGCTTCGCGACCTGGTGGAAAAAAAGGGAGCCAAATATGTGACCCGACGCATCGACGGAGACCTACTGGATTCTGAGGTCGAGCTGCTCCGGACCTACGGTGCCATGGCTATTGTCAACGCAACAGGTCTCCGTTCTATTGAGGCTGCAAACGACAAAGCCTGTTATCCCTTGCGTGGTGCTTTGATACGTGTTGTTAACGACGGAAAGCGGTTCCCCAAGGTTAACGAAGCCTTAGTGGTGACACACGACGACAGGCTTGGTACTGACGTCGAAGACATTGTCTTTATTGTACCCCGCAACGAAAAGGTGCGCTACATCCATTTCCTTGCTCTGTTGAATCCCACTTGCAACCTTGGGCTCTTGATACCCAGGTTCTCATTCTCGGTGGTATCGCTCAGCCCCATAAATCGGAGTTGACCTTGACTATGGATTCTCCTGAGATCGGGCGCATGCGTCAGCGTTGCAACCAATTGTGAGTTGTTTTCTGACCTGTTCGGGTGACAATGTTTACTTGCTGAACGTCGCGCTACCAGTGTCCCCGGGCTCGAGAAGGCGGAGTACGACCCAGAAGCGCCTCTCGTTCAAGGCCTTCGACCGTTTCGTGTTGGGAACGTCCGTGTTGAGCGTGAGCTCCGGCCCAGCAAGACGAGCGATGGAGTGAGTCGTATTGTCCATTCATATGGGCAAGGAGGGTCTGGATTCTCGTTCTCCTTTGGGTGCGCGATTGAAGTGTTGAACTTGATTGACCATGTCGCTGAAGTTGCGGCCGCCGAATTGAGGATGGCCGTAGAGTCTGGCGACATCGTGCAGAGCAAGCTGTGAGCCGTAGTTGTGTCTGTATCACGACTTGTTTTAACGACCGCATCTAAAATCCTAACTGTCTAAATGCATGTGTGTCTTGCGGGACTGACGGTTCGAGAGGGTACCAAGGAGGGTGAAGATTGTCTTATTATGTTCATTGGAGAGTTGGTATATACCGAGACTTCAGTGACTGCTGTGCCCAAAGATACTCGAGAAAAATCAACTTCCGTCGAATGTTCAACATTTCCCGGGTCGGGTATCCCTTGCGTCTCTGCCAGACGCAGGAGAAGATTATTTAGTTTCAAATCTGTCCATGATCAGCAATTGATTTTCATAGTGGACAGTGTACTTACCTGTATGAACTATTCCATATTCACGACGAAGGAGTTCTAAACCGACTAATACTTGTTTAATAATCTGCCTGCAGATTCGTCCGGGAAGCTTGTTCGGGTGAGCCCAATTCATTACTTGTGCGACAGATGGACCAAGACGCTCGAGAACTAAACTTCCGTGAGTTCTGTAGATGCTGGAGATTGGAAAATGTTCAAGCATTTGGATAACATGTGATTGCTCAATGGTAGCGCTCTTATGGCGAACTTTTTCAAGGAAGAGTGCCTCGAGCTGCGAATACCTGCCCGCATCCGTCGAGTCTGCACCAGTAATTTTTATTACCACGTCATTTCCAGTTCTAAGAGAGACATGAGCTAGGCATGTCGTAACGTACAAAAGAAACGTACTCCGAGTCTTTAGAAAGCCAAATTGTTGAGCGTCTTCCAAAGCGTTCTCCGAGCCTGCGGATAAGAGGATATCGTTGGCGGAGGATGTCGCCTTCTTTAGCAGGGTGTAGGAGAACCTGGGGTTGGACAGCCTTCAATTTCTCAGTCGAGGTGAAGCCAGTGAGAAAATGTCGTATGCGAGAGAGCATGAGTGGCGAAATTCAAAGCCGATAATTCCGACATCCCAAATGGGACTCCCGCCGGTCCAGCGCCTCTTCTGCCCCTCCCTCTACGACCTGCAACGATTGATAGTACCATTCGAATTCCTAACCTTGGATTTTACGCGTCGACAGGGATTCGCAGTTGGGGTTAGAATCATGGACGAGTGTACAAGCGCATACATTCTGAAGTTACGGCAGCGATGAGTATTTGGAGCCAGTTTCGTGTTCTGCAAATTAGTCTATCACTAACAGGCCAGAAGTAATGTTTTGTTTTTGTTTCAAAAGCACCTGAATTTCTGTCCAGTATCCTCGAAGGAAAGAAGAAAAGAAGCACAAGTCATTTATTGATGGCAATTTCCACCGGAAGTAGCCGATTGAGGTTACGTGTTCAACGTTCAACATCAACCGATATCCTTGCTAAGTGTCGGTAGCGCTTATCATCGTCTGGTCCTCAACGCCAAGTAATTATCAGGCTTATTGCTTTCTTAGACCGACTTATCTGACGTCTCTGCTTGTTAGAATGCCAGTATCAGATCTTCCACCAGAGATTCTGGACGTTGTTATCGACGAGCTGCAGGAAGACAAGAAATCCCTGCTGCATGCATCCTTGGCATGCAAGACTCTCTGTCCCAGGACCCGCGTCCATCTGTTCTCTGCCGTCACAGTATCAAGCCGCTACTGCTGTGATCGCCTCCGCGAGCTGATCACCGTGTCTCCAAAGCTCGCCTTGCATTTTAAAACTCTTGAAATCATGATCATGTACTCTTCAGACACTTATGCTCCTGAGGTTTACGGAGCGCTGACAGTCATCGAATCCCTCATCAATGTCACCCGCTTGTCTCTTAGCTCCGGACACTGGCAACATATGCCGGATACTGTTGTATCGAGTCTGCAGTCCCATTCCTACCGCACCCTCGACATATTCTCGTCCTTCCGCTTCAGATCCATAGGCGAGATCTGTTCGCTTGTGCAAAATTCGCCTAATTTGCAACAAGTCCGCATCATGTCTGACAATCCCAGTATGAGAGAGGAGTGCAATTTGAACCACTCCCTTCATTGCACTCCTGCTCTAGTCCTGTTGCACATTGATGACTGTTATGTTAATTCGGATTCTGCTGGGAACCTTCTGAAGTTGGTTATATCGCCCGGACCATGCCCATTTTTCTGCAGTAATATTCATATCCTCAGTATAGCTCTTCCTGATAAGACTCGCACTATCGTTCCGCAATTAAATCAATATTTAGCTGTCTCGCGCAGTTCTCTCAAACATCTTGTCGTGAGTCATCTGTCAGGTATACACTTTTTAAAATTGTTACTTCCCCATATTTACTCTCGATTATAGGTTTCCGGGACGTATCTTCAGAAACTCTTAATATCACCGGTGTCGAGCACATTACGGTCAGAATCTTGGACTTCGAGTCGACCCCTCGTGATCAGGCCTCCCGGATATTCACATGGTGGATTTCCAACCTTTCAGCGGTGGATGAACACTGCACCATTCGTTCAGTTTCCTTCGCAATCATGTCAGTACATCAGCCGGAAGGGCATCCTGCTTTGGATTGGGAAGACCTATGGATGAGACTGGATGAGTGTTTGGCTTCTTACAAGATGGCTTTGTTGAAGCGCGTCGCCGTTACTTTCGAACCGCGACCATCGGAATGGGATACGCTCAAGGATCGAATGGAGGGCAATTTTCCGAGGCTGAAACGACTCGGTCGTGAAGTAGTCTTCGATGCTACGACATGAGTCCTGAAGTTATGTGTAGTAAAGTCGACGGATTATTAGTGTAATTCTTGTTTCCTTTGACTCTCGGTCTGCTCTGACGCAATTTGTAGTTTTCTACGTCTCTGATACTACTAAACACCGTCTCCAATCAACATGGAGCCCAGACCGTCTATTTGGGCAATGCGAGACTAGAATTTCTTGGTCAGATTCCATGGACTCTAATACTTTACAGTGCACGTGTACCCTCCCCTAGGCAGTCCAGAAAATGAGATAGCAGAGATTGTAATGCTGCAATCGAGGTCCGGATTATTTATCCTCGCCTTACTCTATGCCCTACGATGATTAAGAATCGCATGGAGGTCAACATATTTGCACCATAAAATTTCAAAGAGACTCGAATGCAATCACAAGCTATCTTCGCATCTACGCGTCGTCGCAGTTTGAGTCAGAATTATACCTTAGTCGACAGGCACCTATGTTCTGAATTTACAGTAGTGTGGTACTCGGAAAGGGGTCGAGCAGGAGCTGCGATTATTTTCCCTTTTCTTACTCTGCAGATGAATCTGCTTGTGTGTCCCGTATATGGAAGATGACCGGTTACAGGTCTAAGTACCTCTTTGCCCTGCAATGATTAAGAATACCATGGAAGCCAATAGACTTGTGCTATTCGAATTCCAAAACTTGAATTTTACGCATCGACAGATTTGCAGTTGGAGTCAGAATCATGAATGAGTGTGCAGGTGCATACATTCTGATCTTACGGTAGTGATATTTACTTGGAACCATTTTCGTGCTCTGCACGCCGGTACCGCCACCGCCACGAGTATTTGGTCGGACGATACTCGGCACCGCACACACACCAAGGACGACGAGACGAGGAGCAAGAAGATAATAGACTTGTGCCTGTCTGGTCAATGTTCAGCTTTATCACCATAGTGGATGCGCAGGGGTAGAGTTATAGGCAACCGATGGACGAAGCGTTTCGAGGGTACGAAGCTCAGAGCCGGGGCAAGCCACGGGCAGCGTCTCTCCGTCATTGACAGCATTCATGGATCGTTACTATCCTAGTCCTATAGTTCCGACAGCGTATGAAGTCGGTTATTAAAACGGCAGTCCAAGGATGATGTCGCAATCACTTGTGGAAATATTGTTTCCGAGTCAATGTTTTTTGGCGCATGACTTCACGACGTGGGACAGAATTTCTTTGACTTGGACACTCCATATTGACTTAGTTCTCTTCCATTCCATGACAGTCGTCGTGGAGGTCTTTTATACCGCCTAGCTTTGTATCAGTCATTTTCACCAGACGGTCTTCGTAAAATATACCATACACTTTATTATATGCACCTAAGTGTGAGCTAAGTACAGGTCCAAATGAGTCTTTAGCAGGTTTACAGAGTTCACGGAGGGAAATGATTGACGAAAAAAGGAGCGAGACAATATTTGGTGATACCAAGGATGGAGAAAACTACAAATTGCATCCGGGCAGACTGATAGTCGAAGGAAACAAGATTTACACTATCAATCTGTCCACTTTACACACAACACCAAGACTCGGCGCTCATCCAAGACTAGTTCATGACGATGCTGTAAATTTGGTCAGGGCAGGTTATAGTCAACAGACACAGTACTTACGCCACCGATTTGAGCACTCAAAAGTATGGGCGATTATCGTATCCCATAGCATTCAATGATACTTCACAGCCAAGCTCTTTCAGCCCCCGAAATTTGCCCTCCATGCGAGTCTTGAATGTATCCCATCCCGCAGGCCGTGGATCGAAAATGAACGCAACACGCTCCAACGAAGCGATCTTGCTGGAGGTCAAACAGCTATCCAGCCTCATCCACAGGTCTTCCCAATCCAACGCGGGATGAGGTTTTTCATATTTCGGCCACGTCCATATGATTGTAAAAGTAATCGAACGAATGGCGCAGTGTTTAACGTTCACCGCTGAAAGGTTGGAGATCCACCATTCGAATATGTGGAAGGCCCGACCACCGAGGGTCATTTTGGTGCCCTCGATTTTAACCGTAACAAGCTCGACGTTGGAAATATTGAGCGTTTCTGAAGAGCGGTCACGGAAACCTATGATCGAGAATGAATATGAGCAAGTAATGGTTAAGAAAAAGTATGCGCACCTGGGGATGGATTGTTGAAATGACTCACGAAAAGATGTTTGAGAGAACTAGGCGAGAGAGCTAAATATCGACTGACATATCGTGGGACAGTGCTCGTATCAGGAAGAGCTATATGAAGTATACGGATATTACTGCAGGAAAATGGGCATGGACCAGACGGCAAAACCGACTTCAGAAGGGTAGGTTCAATGATATGCGCCGTGGCTGGAGCGGTGGTGCGATGAAGGGAGTGGTCACATTCTGTGATACTACTTTGAAGCGCCAAGCGTACTTCCTGCAAGTTGGGCGAATTTTGCACTAGTGAGCAGATATCGCCTATCCTTCGGAAGAAGAAAGTTGGGTCTATGCTGAGGATGCGATAAGAATAGGACTGCAGACATGACACAACGGGAGCCGGCATAAATTCCCAGACTCCTCGTATGAGGTATAAGTCGGTGATATTGGGGAGAGATCCGATGACTGTCAGCGGTTCGTAAATCGAGAAAGGAAGATCAGGGTTAAGGCTTATTACGATTCTAAGAGATTTGAAATGCAGGGCAAGCTTTGGAGACAGCGTGATCAACTCGCGGAGGCGTTCACAGGAGCATTCCCAGCTTGACAGTAATGCGACAGAGAACAGATGGACTCTGGTCCTCGGACAAAAGGCCTTGCAAACCAAGGATGCTTGCAGCAGAGATTTCTTGTCTTCCTGTATTTCGTCGATAATAGCATCCAGAAGTTCTGGTGGAAGATCCGATACTGGCATTCTAACAAGCAAAGATGTCAGATAAGTCGGTCTAAGAAAGAGATGGGCCCTGACAATTACTCGGCGCTGAGGACCAGACGATGATAAACGCTACCGGTAACTAGCAAGGATGACGGTCGGAGTGCAACAAGCACAAACGTTGGACGCGTAACCTGTCCGGGGTCGTGACCGTTATCCGGGGAGAGCGGACCGTAATCACGTGAACCTTAGGGCAGGCTTTCGCAGGCACTACCGCCACTCGCCTTACTCTATGCCCTGCAACAAGTATGAATTATCATGGAGGTCAACATATCTGCACCGTCGAACGTCAAAGAACCTCTAATGCAATTACAAGCTATCTTCCCATCTACGCGTCGTCACAGATTCGCAGTTTGAGTCAGAATTATACCTTGGTCGACGGGCGCGTACATTCCGAATTCACGGTTGTGTGGTACTTGGGAAGGGGTTGAGCAGGGGCAGTCGCAATTATTCTCCCTGTTCGCACTCTGAAAATGAGTCTACACGTGCGTCCCTTCTCCTTTCTTGTCTTCTCAGGCTAACTGGGACCGGACTAGGAAGACTACGGACAACTTCAAAGACCTTCACCTTGTGGTCCTCAACTATAACAGAAGTTGCTCATCTGAACCTCGGACTTTTGACGTGGTATGAATAACAAGATCAGGACCAGCATACATGAGATTGCCTCTGGTGCCTATGCTACCCCTCACAACTCGGAGAGAAAGGGCTATTGGTCCGTGGTCGATATTCATTCGAAAGTAAAGTGTTTTCTTCATCCGGGGACTGGAAATTCCTGTGGTGTATACGGTACCGACCGAGCTGGATATTGAGTTTGGGGGTTTGGAGTCGCCGCTGAATAAACTTCCGGTATGTTACTGGTACATCTTTTTCTCTTTTATTTCCTTTTTGATTCGTCTTTCAGAACTGCTTTGTATCCACCATCAGTGCCACCTACTACATCATGGTCTCCTGCGCGCGTCTGCGAGTTTCTCACCCACGAACAGGACTCGATGGCGTACTGTATCCCTCTGGCATATATCTGTACAGATCTTTCAAGCAGGCTCGGCTACGCTCTTGTATGAGGAAACCGACGCTATGCGTCTTGGTTCGTTGGATTCTGTATTGTTTACCCAAGCTAACGGCACTTGATAGGGCTGTACCAAGTACGTATCGATGGAGAATCCCGTGGATATTTTTGTCTCCCTTCCGAAATACCCATTCTATGTTACTTCTCTTCAGTATGTTGGGGTGCCGGGTGATCATCATTCTCGCCCCTTCCCTGGTCGCGTATACACTAGGACCTGTGCAGTGTGCGCGCTGGACTCAAAGCGGTCAAGGATGAAACATCAGACGGCGCTGATCATCTTTTCAACACTGGAGCTTTTTGCTATGGCATTGTATACTATATAACGACTGTGTCGTCTCGTATGTTATCCCTACAGACCACCCCCTTCGTTGTTATCCTACCTTCACCCAGTCTTCTGTGATGGCCAGTCAGATTGGTGCTCCACCGGATCTTTCCGACGCCGATAAAGTTTATATATCCACAGAGCTCGACTCTGCGCTGAATTCACGAATTCTCTATTCTCTACTGCTTGGTGAGCATATTAGTTCGTCTAGGAATAGGTGTCTAATTATGGCTGTACATAGGTCTATACACAGGAATTGTCGCCGTCACGTTGGGAAGCATCTGTGAGAGGAACACGTCTACCATGTTGTTCAAACTGAAGTGAATGACGCAGATACGAACAAGACTCGGCCCGTCGGACGGGGCATGATCGTTGTCATATTCCTCCTCCACATCGTTACTTCCGTCGACTTCATCACCGACTGGGTATACATCCGCACTATTTTTGTTGGAAATGGACAGAGCTCTTGGGCAGAATATCTGTTTTATAACAGTAACCGTGTAAAATTGACCGTGGTGATGGGTGTTGCGGGTATCATCTGTACTGTTCTTGCGGACACCACCCTGGTATGTGCAACTTGTGCTATTCTCTCCAGCTTACTGTCAATACAAACTATAGATTTGGCGCTGCTGGATGGTATGGGGACGGCGCTGGCCGGTAATTTTGCCCCCCACTCTTTTCCTCATTTGCACAATCGGTATGATCAACTTGATCTTCTAGTTAGTTTGCGAATTAACCCCAAGGCTTCGTGCAGTATTCAAAAGCATCGCTACATACAAAGCCTATGCCACGATAAGCGGGTATACTCTCGGATTTGTGCTTTATTCAGCATTTATCCTTGCTACGACTCTATGGTGCACTCTGCTCATTATCTACCGCATCGTGACCGTCGTACGAGCAGGAGCTCAAGCTGGACTAGGTGGACTTGGAGCTTACCGCCATGTTATCGAGGTCTTCGTCGAATCATCGGCTCTTTATTCCCTGTCCTTGATCGTATACGTAGCCGTGTTTTGCTATGACACTCCTGCAGGGGCTTACATTGATGTCGTAGCGGGAGTCGCAAGGGTATACCTATGTTCTTCAGCTACTACTTATCATCTACTGAGTCACGGTCGTTATGTAGGGAATTGCACCGACGCTTCTCGTAGGGCGTGTCGCAGCAGGACATGCTCGACCAGATGATTCCTGGCAGGGAGGCATCATGTCTTCGCTTCACTTTAGTACACGTCTGGGAGGACAGAGATCCCAGCAGGAGTCTAGTGCGACGAGCGATGATCCTGAAGCTCAGTCGGAGAGAGGCGATGAATATGGTCGTTGCACAGTGGTGGCCTCTATTACCGACTCCGATGATAGCCTCACCCATCAAGATCACCGCGAGATTCAGCCGAAGACTCGATCAGTTGATGATTCTAACACGGTCATCATCGTATCAAAGGATTGACGTCCGTTGATGTGCATTCTATTTACCCCACTTCCTTTGTCCATTTGCCGGACGGTATACCTGTACCTTTGGAGACTGGCCACCCCTATTCTTTCTCTGCTCGACTGACACATAAACCTCTTGACTTTAGATTTGATACGCTCTACGGCTGTCGAGTTGTAGCCTTGTAGAATACAGCACGTCAATATTCGGCTCATTCCACTTTAGCAAAAGTACAATTCAGATCTTCGTTCGACGTTAAGCAGGAGGGAGAGAAAATGATCAAATTGAAAGATGACCGGCATTTGCCGATACGAGGTTGGTCTTTGCTTGCCAACCAAAAGCAAACTCAGTACTTACTTCCACAAAGCAGCCGAGGACACAACTTCACGATGATGATGTATGACAACAACAAAGTAAGACGCCTCGTGAAGCGATGCTGAGGGTGGGGATAATGACGAAGTCATTCATATCGAATTCCTTCTTGACGGAGACGCCTGAGGCCAAGCCGATGGGCGTCAACGAAGACTAGCTTGAGACTAGCAGGAAACAAGCATCAAAATCGGCAAGTCGGCCTCATCGAAAGGAAGGATATGAAGAACTGGAGGTACCTCGAACGTGGCCGGATCCAAATCAACTAAACTGTTCGAGTGGGATAATGCTGCGTATTCTCTGACGTGTAAGTATTGATATTTTGTCTTCGTATTTCATTAAGGCACCAAGGCATTCCACCCCAATCGATCGTTTGCTTATTTCACAACTTTTTAGGCTATCCTCTATACGGACCCATTAGACTGCAATCAATGGCGATAAAAGGCGTCTTAATGTTCACTATTGCAGAGATACTCCTTTTCGTACTGAGCATCATTCAAAGACATGAACGAAGGACTCCTTGCAGTCTGTGTTTCTGATTTCTCACTAGCAGCTGAATTTGAAATTCAAGTCCCCGATGACCGAAGCCCCTTGGTAATAACCACCGAGGCACCTAGGTTGTCTTGTACTAAACGCTTACACGCCGTTAGGGGTCTGATATTTGCTCAGCTAGCCTCGGGTCCCCTACCCGCCTACCCGGATACACGGGTATACTCATCCATTCTTAGACATTCCTCACCCCGAGGCCTAACCCTCGAAAATGCTTATAACGAGCCTGTATCGGTGCGTCGTTCCCCAAAATATTATGGAACGGACTAACAGCATGCATTCAGCAGCCTCTACACGAGCTCCTTCCATCCAAAATGAGGACGCCCCGACGATGTATTCGTCCCAGTTCACGGACGGGTCTGCTTCGATGAGAGCGTCACGGTTCATGTACATGAAGGTCGTGGCCGTTGGGACGCTGGCTGTGACTATCGTGATGTTTTGCGTCTTTTCAATATATTGGGGCGCTCTGTGGAAGATCCCAGCGCATAATTTACAGGGATGGGTTGTGGTGAGTGGTTGTTCCTTGTCATCTTATCTGTTTCTTGATCTTATTATCGCGACAGGACTTTGATGGGTCGACGGTGGGAAACGCGGTTGTTCAAGGTCTTCTGTCTTCGTCTTCAAAGGTGTCTTGGACGGAACGGCCATCGAGTGACTTTTCCGGCAGTGCAGGAGAGGTCGCTGATCTCGTCGTCGATCAGAAGACATGGATCGCTGTTGTTAGTACGTGTTCTTTCTGCTTCGCTCTTGATAATTGCTCATCAGAAACTCAGTCAACTCCAACGCGACAATGGCTCTACAATCAGCATTATCAACAGTCAATTCTTCATATGACGGTACGGAAGCTATCACAGTCTATGCTGTCGAAGCGCGGAACGAGAATGCTTAGTGAGTAATCACTCTACCTTCAAAATCCCATTTCCTTATACGTCTTTTCTGCAGTCGCTCTCTAATCCGCCCATCCGTACAAACTTCGCTCGCTGTCATCACTCAAAGCTTTGCCCAGTCTTTTCTTAAGCAAGCCGGGTCGTCGTCGCCCGACGCTTTGGCTTCAATATCCACTGCAGCGCCACAAATCTTAACGGAGCCTATCAGCTACATCCTCAACAATTTGCGGCCTTTCGACATACCAGTGTATGTCCATTTCTTGTGCATTTAAGCATAGGTCTGACCGCTATGCAGAGCTAGTGCCGTCACCTTTGTTGGGCTCATCTACGTACTCGTATTGTCGTTCTTCATCGTGGTACGTCTTCCATCTCAATGAATTTTATTTCTTCCCTGACTATGCCTGTCCCACATAGAACTTTTGCTCCGTCGCTCGTCAACAATCTGGTCTAGAAACAGCGTTGACGACAGGCTCCCTCATTAGAGTCAGATTGGTCTCGAGTTTCATCGCCTACTTTGCCCTATCATTGTTCTACTCCCTATTGAGTCTGGCTTTCCAAGTAGACTTCTCCAGAGTGTGAGCCGTAGCTTCTTTTCTCCCTCCCGTTTCTTCTCCTGAACTCCAGCGATACAGACTGGGACACTCTGGATTCCTCGTTTTCTGGATGGCTAATTACGTCGGCATGTTAGCTGTGGGGTTGGCACTCGAGGCAATGGTAACAGTTATGACGCTGAGATTCGTCCCGTTCTTCATGATATTCTGGATTATTGGTGAGTAGTCCGTGCTTTCATCCTATGACTTGACCTTATTAATGTTGTCTTCGTCAGTCAACGTTGCAGTGTGCTTCCTGCCTATCGACGTCCTTCCGCATATATACCGCTACGGATACGCATTTCCCTTCTACAATCTGTCCGGCGCTGTGAGAACTATCATCTTCGGGACGAAGAACGAACGTGAGCACCCATTTGTCGCATGGACTCGGAACGATACTGATGGAGCTCTGTTAGTTGGCATGCATTTTGGTGTTCTAATAGCATGGGTGGCGGTTTCCATGATCACTCTCCCACTGTTCCAGTGGTTCATGCGAAGAAAGCCGATGGCCGAGTCACAGCAAACGCAGGCAATAGTGGAGAAAGCGTAGGACTCGATGCATAATATCGTTTGAATTATTGTAGACTTATAATTATCATACCTGCTCCTAAGCCCAAGTATTATTATCATCATGTCCACGAGCTTTCGAAATATCTTAAGAACACCACCAAGCTACGGGTCTCCACTAGTCACGGTAATTTTTGCATGACGACTCCTGCGCCTCTCCATACCGATTCAAAATGTTCGTGAATCGTAATCCTTCGGATAAAGGGCTCCTATAAAACAATTGACCGATCACTGTTGCCGAAGAATGCCGCCGTGTAAAATCTACCACCACCATGGCCGCCCCCTCCGAACATCGAGCAGTCGCTTTGGCCAAGAAACACGAGGACTATCATCGACTTTCAATAGAGTATCAGCGGAGATTCGAAAGTTCTCCGGTGGAAGGCAATAGGACAAAAATACCCGTCAAGCAGCAAACACCCATCACCAGTGCTCTCGATAAAATACAGACCTATCCTTTCGTTTCGTTCACTCTGGGGCCATCGGAGACAAAATACAATCTTGTAGACCCAGATGCTGAATGGGACGATACTAGCAGTTTCGGTGAGCTTACTGCACCTGATGTAGGAGCTATTCTTGAGGCATCGCAACCTTCATCTTTCGGGAAAGGTATGCCCCCTTCGTCCACCCCTTTTTGTTCAGCATTCGGACATCTTCCTCCTAGGTGATCAAACCGTGTATGATACAAATTATCGCAATGGACGCGAAATACCGGCGGACGCGGTGAAATTTCGGGAAGGTTATGAAGAGAAACTCTCGAGCAAGATAAAACGGGTTTTGTGTTCGACACTGTTCATCGGGAAAACTGTTAAATTGGTTTTCTACAAGTTGGCACTGTATGAGAAGGGAGGGCATTTCAATTGGCATCGCGATTCTACCCATGGGGACAACCATCACGGCACGGTGCTAGTCGCTCTCAACACATCTTGGGAGGGCGGAAGATTCCACCTGTGTCATAATGGCGCAGAAACGCATTTCGACATGCATCCGGTCATTGAAAAAGACCCCCAGACGAGGACGACCACGTCCATTTCGTTACGAGTTGTTGCCTTCTATACTGACGTCGAACACAAGGTCGAAACTGTTACTGAGGGCGTTCGTTTGGTGCTGCAGTACGATGTATTCATCCAACAAGAAGACGAGTATCCCGAATATCAATACCTCCGCATACCAAATTCGCAACTCTTCACTGAGCATTTCGAGCCCGTGGCTGATGCTCAAGGTCCGAAAATATTCTATCCCGCCGCCCTGAAAGATCTGTCGGATGCTATATCAGATGCTCATGAAAGGGGGACAGGCGAAGTTTCAATTCCTCTCCGGCATCTGTATAGACAGGCTAGCATTCGACCAGAATATCTAAAGGGAGTGGACGCCGTCGTTTACGAGAATCTTTCTCAGACATTCAAAGTGTCCTTGTTGCCCATTCTTCTCCTGGAAACAGTCTTTGGAGATGGTGGGGTCATGACGGCTGTTGTCAAATATGACGGAGAATCAAGTCGGAACGAACGTTTATTTCAACCAGTGCGAAGGAGATATAGGAACGAGAACGATTCCGATACAGCTTCAGAGGGGGAGCAGGGACAGAATCTGTCAAAGAGGATCTCCGAATTCCATATGTCGGGATGTACTGACTTGTTACAGATCAGTAAGGAGGATTATCAGGACCATGCTGGCAATGAGCCTCAAAATGGGAGCGCTAGTTATTTCGGAGGCGGGATGTTTATATGCGCCAAGGATTCGATGGAGTAATGTCGTGCAGTAGCCATGATTTACTGTCTAAACGTTAAAAAGAAGAGACGTGACTTCCAAGTGATTTGATTGGACGACCGGGTTCCGGGACGTTTTTGCCGGGTGTCGGTGAAATGACTCCGACTTACATGTTACACTGCTTTCTTACCTTCTACATGCAGACTACCTCACTTGACGCGTCGAAGCCTCGTACGACTGGAATTCCTCGAGGATCCGAGTCTTTAAGTCCTATCTTGGGCGTCGGAGACAAAATTGGCTCTGGAGACACTTTCATTATCGAGAATTTGCTTGCAGACGACTTGGCTGACATCGCTTTCGAGAATCTGAAGAATGAAGTGCATTGGCATACTATGTTCCATAGAGGTCAGCTGCTGTAAAGGTCAAACTGGCGCTGATACGCTAAGGGGATCATGAGCAGGTGATGAAGTTCCACGACTGGTTGCTGTAGAGGGAGTCATTGAAAAAGACGGCAGGTTTGTTCAGAACACGTCTCTACATGATGATGATCTAGCTGAAATTTTTGCCAGTATCCCACTCTATCGCCACCCTGCCGACGAATCACCTCCTCTTCATCCATTCACACCTACCGTTTCGCTCATCGCCCAAGCAGTCTCAAAGGTAGTAAATCACCCGGTTAATCATGTTTTGATACAGCACTATCGTAGCGGGAACGATTACATCTCCGAGCACTCTGATAAAACAATTGATGTCGTCCGGGGTTCCAATATCGTGAACGTCAGCATCGGTGCCCAGCGCGTGATGTTTCTGCGCAGGAAAAAGGATCTCACTCCTACAAAATACGCGCAGCGTATTCCGCTACCGCATAACTCTATGTTTGTTATGGGACTTAACACAAATCGCGAGTGGCTGCATGGGATTCATCGAGACAACCGTCCCGTAAAGACTAAGAGCGAGGTCGAAACTGCTTTTGGAGGCGAGAGAATCAGCTTGACGTTTAGGCGTATCGGCACCTATTTGACGAATGATTCGAGCCTGATCTATGGACAAGGAGCTGTCGGAAAGACGAGGGAGGAAGCAAGACCAGTGATTAACGGGGTACCCGAGGAGTCCCAAAAGTTGATCGACGCGTTTGGAAAAGAGAATCACGAAAGCCTGTTCGACTGGGATGAAGTTTACGGGCAGGGATTTGATGTCGTGAATTATACAGTGTGATATCCACGGAGTTCTTGTCGTGTAAATAGATGTACATCTTTAATACCTAGTTTCAACATTTCTCCAAGCTTCCTCTCCACCATTTTCAATCATCCATCTCGCAGTATCGACTATCGTCTCCTCCGCGGATCTGAACTTCATGTCAAGTACTCTTTCAGTCTTGCTGCTGTCGATTGTAAACACAGGCATGTTGACCAGGTCCGCCGGTACAGAAGGCAATAAGTGGGCACGTTCAGGAAACTCCTTAGCGAAGATCGATACAAATTCCGAGGGGAAAATCGAAATATTAGATGGGCCCTGTGATATTCAAGTCAATTGTATCATAACAGGCCACACTGACTTACCAGAGCAAATCGATGCCCATTGGCCTCATCTTTTTCGATGGCGCGCACGAAAGCCGTGCACAAGTCTCGCAGGTCGACCAAGACCTAGCAGAGGAAGTCAGATGAATATATCAGAGAGAGTAAGCATGAGGTTCACTGGGCCTCCAGATGTAGTTCGGAAGTTCCAGTCCGCGCGAAAAAGCACCCCAGCTAGCCCTATTGCATTTTAATTGATCGGGAAGAGCAGAGAGAGCAAAAACTGTACATTGGTTAGAACTATTGTTGATACCGAAAGGATCATGTCCGTGTGCCGGACCATAGACGAAGCAAGGTAGCATATTGATAAGCGCAAAATGAGGGTTAGTCTCTTTCATGAACTTCCAAGCGGCTTTGTCTGCTAGCTTCTTTGACGTGGCTACAAGTATCCTGAGGTCAAATGGAAAAGAATGGCGGAGTCAAGAGAGATATACTGTAGGCCAACAAAGGGTGAGGTGCATTCTTCCCACTGGAATATTTTGAATTCAGGAGTTCAGGAAGATAAAACCTTCCCACTGACTATTCGTAGTCGCGAGGGTTCCACGACTCGCCGGTTACGGGTTCGGTGTGATTTGGTATAGAGAAATCTACCGCGGCGGCGATAGAACTAAATGCAAACCCGTTCAGAGGCTTGAGACGGCAGACGTGGACAGCATTACCCCTCACCTCACAGTAATAACCTTTTTACACCTAGCATACTTCGCGGCTGAGCGAAGAGCGCTGACTGTACCATTGATATTAGGGAGAAGAATGGATTTCTCATAGTCCTGTCGACATAGAGAATTAAATATCACCCGTCTCATCGTGAAAAGGTGCAATACCGCACCTGAGAAACACCAGAACGCCAATCAGGGAGCTGGGCGATAGTATGTATGAAGTAGTCCATGCCCTCGAGGGCCTGGTCGAATGCCCCCTCTGCGATAATGTCGCCTACTAACGCACACTCCAGCTTCCCTGAAGCTGCATACGGGACAAAGGACGGTAAGGCTAACCAAGCGTCTGCCTTGATCTGTGTGCGTACAGTACCACGAACGTGGTATCCGGCTTCCAGGAATGCGAGCGCCAGATCTGTAGCAATAAATCCATTGACACCAGAGATCAGAATGGAGAGAGGCATGTTGGAGGATGATATCAAAGATGTACTGATGGAGCCTATCGCCCCGGTGTACATTTATTACGTCGTGGTTTAAACAGCCGATGAGACCGGCAATCCATAGTTGATTTCAGCCGCATTTCGGGGAAAGGTATCATATGTCACTGGGAAAGGTTTAGTTTGTGGAAAAGAGACATATCGCATTCAAAAGGCGTATTTATTTAATGCCTACCCAGATAAACATCATAGTCGAGTTTTCACGGGCAGGTCAGTATTAATAATGACGTCTTTCCACGACTCCAATACTTGCAATCTCTCGGTAAGATCCTGCTTGACAGCATCGTAGCAATCGGCGCCAATCTGTAGGCTTCGGGGAATGAGTTTGCCTGAGGCAACCCCTTGTCCCTTGACGACATCCACGATGATCTCGACTAGTATGCGGGTGTCACCACGTTGATTTCCATCAAGGGCTGCATCCCAATCATTAATTAATGTCGGAAATTCGCTAGAGAGAAATGATCGCACCTATGAAGATATCATTCATGGCACCAATTGTAGGCTTGTAGTCTTCAATTCGGCTGACGTATGGTGACCGATTGTTGGGATCTATGAACCTCGTTCGAAAATATCCAGGCTCTATGTTGATGCTACGAATTCCGAAAGGACTGACTTCCATGTCCATAGATTCTGATATGCCTGGATATTCGAAATCAGTATCAAACAGCTTGGCATACGAGAAGAATTTCATACAGACCTCTGATAGCATGTTTGACTCCTGCATACATGCTTAAAGCCGCAGCACCTCTTTATTAAACATCAGAAACAGGCACCAAAGACTCGAGGAAGATAACTCACTGCCAACCACACAGCGACCCGATCCAAACGATCATGCCAGATTTTTGTTTACGCATGTAGGGAAGAAAAGCGCGAGCAACGTTAAGGGCACCAAAGACGTTGACACTTCAGTCAATCTCGTAAGACATCGGAATACACAGCAAGTAGGGCAAATACTCGAATTGATCGTAGGTTTCTTCTGGTCTACGAAAATATCAGCTAGTAATTGACTACGAGATTTAGATGGCAAAACATACGTGAGTTCCTCAGCAGAACCGCAAGTAAGATAAGCACCTAAGCATGGTTCAAATCAGGATACACTTCCTTATAGTTGACTCGGAACCACCCACCAGCATTATTGACAAGAACGTCAACGCGGCCATGCATCCCAATAGCCTTGATAGCACATTGTGCCAGCTCTGCAGGCGATGCAGTCACATCAAGCTCTAAAGTATTAGCGCCTGCTTTTTGGAGTTCGTCTAGTTTATCAAATGATCGCCTACGTCCAGTGGCAATAACCTTGTCCCCGCGTCGAAGAGCAGCAAACGCGAGTTCACGACCGATTCCAGACCTGAAGCCAGTTAGCAGACTCTCTAGTAACACATAGTATATTGCCCACGATGTTCCGGTGATAATCCAAACGAGGGAACCCGTCATTATGTTTGCTGTAACCTGTTCGAGTCCGAAGCAGATGGGAGCACGAAAGTGGCGTTTTCCTCATGGGACTAGTTGCCGGCCATTCTCCCTTCTACGCTCCGTCGGACATCACAAAAATATTGCCTGTTTGGTATGAGGGCTCCACATGACTTTCACTGATAGCGTCGCAAGTTGTACATTCGGATGATGGAAAACGACGCAGTCACGCTAGCCGGCCCTTAAGTACCTGACAGAGTCCGATTGCCGCCGAGTGAATTGGCGAAAAGTACTTGCTTGCTCAAAAGTAGAATAGCCTCAAACGTGAGTTGAATTTTCGTATTCTTTCATTCTCATTAGGCTCTATGTACCATGGACCGTAATTTATTTATAATTTTTTTGCAGCTAACAGAGCCTAGAGGAAGACTGGCCGCGCTTTGTCGTGCGCATGCGAGCCACGGAAGTCAAACGGAAGTTCAGCTGCGACCTCCGGTGAGCAACCCTGAACGATATCTGGTGAGTACTGATACATTATGATGATAATTATATTATTTAAACTTTCGTAGGTATGTTTATTTTGAAATCAGAAGGCTGGCGAAATAAAATTGTATAGTTGTAATATATACCACAGCCGATACACTGCATTCTCTGACAAAATGAGCTGGTCAGTGCTTCGGATATCATGGTGGGCCATTATATTGACATGCACACTTCAAGTTGCTTGACCCCGGAAAAGTTCCAGGTACACGCTAGTACCAATTGACGCTTGACAAGTCGCGCCTACCACCGGCAAGATCCTTAGTGACGGACCGTTCTCGTACTCCTTCATGAGCACTAAAGAAGCCTTGTGATCCTGGCGGCCCTTAAACTGTAGTCGATAGCGCTGATGGTGACTGGCCATAACGGCAGCGAATAGATACTTCTCCCCAGTCTCACTCTCTTCCAGCGAATAAACAGGGTCAGAGTATTCTAGAGTGGCCACATGAAACAAACGAGTACCGGTACTGTCCATGGTTCCACCGTGATCCGCGTTGCGCTAACGCGCACGGCGTCGCTTATCAGCACCATTTACGTTACTTGGTATTCAATTCCTCCGCTTAGCGATATGTCGAACCTGATGTATTTTCGAATGTGGGAACAGCGGCATTGGCGGACTCCCACGGGAGACTGCGTTATAAAATTGGCCGTGTCGTTTTCACCTCCTGCTCGAAGCCTCGACATGGGTCAATATGATCAATCCTTAGGGTGAGACTTTTAATCAGCTTTTTCGACAATTTCATTCCAAACGTTCACGTCTAGAGCCATACTAATCGGGTCATGGTTCAATGCCATGTTCTACATGCTCGAGTTATGGCAGGTTGGCTGTACGAGAATGCGCACTTCTGTAGCTGTCTTACTCTTTTGCCCAGGGATACATATTTTTTTCCACTTTCCGTGGTGACACCGTCATCATCAAGAGCATGGTGTTGATTAGTCTTCTGGTTGATACACTCGGTACAGCAAATAACTGCGCATGTATATATCTGGTACGTCCGCGCCAATCGCCGTCGACTTCTTCTAATGAACAAAAAGTACACTGTCACGCACTGGGGTAGGTGTACTACCTTCAATCATGTTCTTTCTCCTGATTTGTTTCAGGTGACATGGAGTATATCCTAGTGCAGAACTGGGCAGTTCCTGCCTATGTTATATTATCTGGAATTTCCGCCTGTAATGTGCAGCTGTTCCTTAGCTATAGATTTTGGACTTTGTTCGTGTTTCTTGGCTCCTAGGTTATTTCGCAACTGACTTGACCTCACAGGGCCAGGAACCTGCTCGTCACGATTATGCTCATGACGTTTAGCTTCGCGTCACTCGGTAGAACTTCCTTTGAAAGTTATAACATCCTGATTAACTCCAGCGATAGGTGGCGCAATCGCGAATGGAATCACGGTTGTACAGCATAGTGACTATGCAGAACGAAACTTCAACATCAAGACAGTCACGTAAGTGGTATCCCGTATACGTGACTCTGATGAAAGCTGTAGCAAACATTTCCGTTTAGAATATGGCTTGGTATGCGACATTATTCCACTAGGAGCCCACCTCATTACAATCACAGTGGCCAGTGCTGTTGCCGACATTTCAATAGCGTCTGCACTCATCTTTCAGCTTCGATCATCTAAACCCGTCTTCAAAGAGACTAAGGCGTACGTTGTCTATTTTTTGATGCTTCTTTGCGGTGGCTCAGGGTGCAATGTTCTCGTTATTTCAGCTTGATCCGTCGTCTCACGGTAATGGCGGTTAAGACAGGGACCGTTACTACAGTCCTGTGAGTTTAGTATCCTCGTATCCCACTTCTTGCTCTTACATGCTGGCGATCGTAGCGCTATTCTTTGTCGTGAGCTTTCGACATCTTCTGGTTTGTTATGTGGAGAGCTTATCGGCGTTCGTTGCGACAGTAATTCTGTATCTCGTAAACACCGAGAGTAACAGTATGTGTATCGTCTTGCTATGCGCTCTTTAGCTTACCGCTACGCCACAGTCACCGTCGGCTTTGGTAAATACACATTTGGACATTTAGCTTACCAGGCTGAGGATGTCTAGGTTTTTGTTTGGGACGCGTTTATGCTCTAACCATGTTGTACAACTTGAACACTCGTGTTAAAGGTCGCCAGCGTACAGACACCACTGTCTATCCTCAGGAAGGTGGTAGCGGGGGATTTAGCCTGAGAAATATAAACAGTTCGGATTTGGGAGGGATAAGTGTGCAATTTTCTTGATTGGTCTGCCTCATGCTCATCGTTTTCACAAGGTGTGCATCGAACAGCTATTGTACGGATCGATGGGTCCGAGGGGTATGGAGTAGGTCGTTTCCTTTGTTATTATGAGGAAACTGAATGTCCTTTAATTTTCCATAGACAGAGACTAGTAGTGCTCCAGACGTCGTGCGCAAGGACTCGGATTCGAGGGGGGATCCAGATGATAAAAATGGCTCTCCGGTGTGACGGAGAAAAACCATTGACAATGAACTTCATGCGATGTTGGCTGAGACCGTGTATGTATAAGCGAAGACCCGCATCAATGACTGTCGCCGTTCATTTCTCGCGACTCATCTAAGTGGTACCAAAGTTACCGGACATTAGCATGAAAAGCATGGATCCTCGATACATACCCGCCTTCCCTGGGCGAAGAACGGTAACGCCAAGACTATAACCTAGACAGCAAGAACGACGGTGTTCCAGCTGAGAAGGCGGTACAACAACTTGACGATGTAGTCAGCTGTGCATGTGCAAAGTATATATCAACTACAGTACCCTAGACCCGCGTCTCTCAGAACCTTCATCCGGGAGCGAATAAGGGTCGGCTCCGCAAAGATATGCGCAGTCCCAACACCCAGAGTCAGACTCCTCAAAGGCCTATGCGAATACATCCTTTCTTCAATGACATCCATCACTCTGGCCTCGGTAACCGCCGCCTCACAATCATCCCTCTTCCGATATACGAGCTCCAAGTCTTTCAGATGCGGCGTCCTCCTCCAAGATCCTCCTAACACGCGACGACGAGATCGAGCAATAATCATCTTCCTGCCCAAGGTCGCTCTCCCTCACTACTAGCTTCTCCAGCCCAGGGATCTTCCCCACGAGCTCCGCTATGTCTCCCGATTGGATAGGGACACGGTCAATGATGAGGTGGCGGAGCGAATCTCCGGAGTACCGGAACAAATGTTCAATGCAGGACGCATCAAAGCGGCGTCGGGACTGCTTCCGGGGTCCGGAGACGAGTATGAGTGTCCGAAGATTGGGCAGTTCCATGCGCGACATTATGTCCGTTAGCTGGATAGGCGAGCATAACACAGATAATGTCAAGGAAGTGATTCCGGTGTGGCGGATGCTGCTGGTAGCGAAGCGATTGTGCCCGTAGATGGTCGTATGAGGTATGATTGTCAGGTCTGTCGCGTTCGGGAAAGAGGCGACAATGTCGGGTGTGGTAAAATATAGCATCATGTCCTCTAGCACTAGAGTACGAATTTGGGACGCGGGGAAGGTGGTGGAGTCTTGAGCGAAGAAAGGCGTCTTAGAAGCATGGACAGTCTGGAGTTTGGCGGCGGTGGAGAATCCGGGGAAGCGATGAAGGTGGAAGGAGCTATCGGTCTCATGAACACTCAGGCTCTCGAGCATCCCCATGTCTATGCCGGGAGCAAAGAGGTGGTGGTATGAACAAGTAGGAAAATAGGCCCTAACCTCTATCGTACGCCATCGATGCGCGTGCGTACGAAGGAGGGTGATTAGAGGTTCGAACCAGATTACGAAGGCGCGCATAGTTTCCCTATTCACTGCACCGGATTGGGAATAGAGAATTATGGACAGCGGGGATGTATTCGAGCGCTGGAGATAGAGATCCACGATGTCCTGCCGCTTTTTGAGCACTTTGCGAGGCTGGACGTCGATTGGTATACCGATGGTGGACCATATGTGAGGAAGGCTGAGACTAATGTCCCTCCACCTCGAGCACACCATCGATAGACGAAGTATGGTGTGAGGATGCTCTGAAAAGCAGCATTGTTCAAATATTTGGAACAGGAGCTCGGTGGGCAAGTCGAAAACCCGTGCATCCGGAGGCTGGCCGCTGATAGGACATACGAAAGTGAATTCGTCTTCCTTTCTAGAGCGGCGCTTCCTGGATCGAAAGAGGCGACCCTTCTAAAAATCATGTTAGTCAAAGAAAGACTATGGGAAGGATCAAGGACGTACGGTAGTCCAAACATCGATCTTGATACTTGGTCCAAGATTGAGCAATGCGCTCGGAGCCACTGCGTTCGTGAACTGAATCCAGGCAGACGAAGATAGACTAAAAACGCTAGAGCGACGACTCTTCTTGCGCTTTATGTCGCCCTCAGTGACTTGCGCCCATCGACGGAACACAGACCACGGCGCCATCATCCGTGGTTGGTAAAAGGAGAGATAGAGGAGCTACGCCTCTCAGTGTAGTATGCCTTTTCTTAACTTCTTGAATTCTCGTAACAATCTCGGGGTGCTGCAGTTCCGGTTTCAAAGCTCCAAGGGGATACTATTGATCGGGCCAGTTATGTCGGCATCTAAAGCAAAAGATAAGCTAACTCAATTAGCATGATAACGGAGGTAGTACACGGACTCTTGAAAGATACAGATGCTGTCAGAAAGATGACATTACATGCGAGGTATCACTCTTCCAATGCAATATAGGCAGTGGATAAACCGAATTCAAGACGAGAAGGATGCATTGAATCGCCTGTAGCATTCATTTCTAGCTACACGGGGCCGCTCCATTGCGGACATCATGGTAAGATATGGTCCTGATGGAGATAAACAAACTAGCAAAGGGGTGAAACGCGTGACGACATACCAGTAATACGTTTGCTACTCTCTGCTTCAGAAGTTTCAAAAGCGTGAAACGTTGAACGATGATGTCGTATATACATATTTTACGGGCGGAGATGTGGCTACAAACTGTGGGCTGTGAGCGCTGAGCAATGATGGTTTCTAGGAAAAAGCCAACCACGAGCAGATTCTTACCTGAGGGCGAACATATTCCACGACCACTGAGCTTCACTCTACTGTTTCAAGGCATTAGGCTCGATCCATCATATCCACTTGCACAGATTTCGAAGAAAAATTCCTCGACTCGAGGCAGGCAGTAGCGGAGATCCATGGCAGCGATCCTGTGACCACAGGTCCAAGTTACCTGCCAGTGAAAATAGCACTCGTGAGACGGTGAAAGTATTGTCCGATTCCAGCGACATCGCGTGCTAGGATGGCAGTCGGTATGCGCGTCGAAGGCATTCTTCTCGGCGACATCATGTGCTGATGATGATTATATTGCTGGCCTGATGCCGAGACACGTTCTCTTGTCCTTTTCCTCGTGTATGGCAGCCGGCGTGAAGGATTACAGTTCCTTAGAGTATTTGTTGTTGAAGACGTCAAGAACTAGCGAGAGTCTGAGTTAGGAAAGATGTGAGTAATTACTGGCAGGCTGAGGGCTTTGATCCACACCTTCTATGATGCCGCGTCGACAATATCTGTAGTAAAAACGTGCTTAGTGTAATTTAACATCGCAGCTGAAGCTGACGCTCCACAGCCAAATTCTCATCTCTCGCTCGATATTAACCGAGCCTGGCTACCAGGTGGAAAAATGAAGGAGTGGATTGAGAAAATTCCATGAGGTGTAGTTCGGGACTGCTCAATGAGGTCGGTCGAGCTACTCCAGCATGATAGTCGTTTACTCTTGCCTGCCCGTTTACCTCGCGAGTCGAGGTTTGACCAGAGAACAGTAGCTGCACTAACAGCCAGTAAATTAGCAATTTGTGCTTCCGCTCCGTGAACCCTGACTCACCTGCTCATTCTCGTCGCACCGCTCTGTCGCCCTTTCTCTCTCTCGTATCCTCAGCATTCAGCAGGAGTGCATGAGCATCGAGGGCATTGAGAATCCAGGGTAGTTCGTGGTCGCCAAAACATGCGAACGTTCTGTTGCATTGTTGATCGTCGTGGTCAAGACCAGAATACCGGCCCGAACTCCGAACTTAGACACTAACCGAAGTCAACAACGCGCGCATCCAACCAATGTTCATTAGACTCCTGCTCACAGTGTTACAGCCTCACAGGCCATTCCAAATTGTTTCATTATTCTGATCTACAAGTCATCCATACCTTCATGTTTCTCATGTTTCATATCGAGATTATGGAAACTGCTTGCTAAGTTTTTTTTATGAAAGACAAGGCACAGAAATGGATGTCACTGCTAAACAGGTTTTTACACAAATGATTACTCAATAGATTTACTGCCCTAATTTCCCAATAAAGCCCGCATATCCAAGCTGCCCAAAACACGCGCCAAAACTTTGGTATCCGTCTTCCCATTCAAGCTTAGCGGAATGAATTCGACAGGAAGAATGTACGCCGGTCGCATATAAGCCGGAAGCTGTACTTGAACGGCTGCTTTCAGCGTTTGCACCAGCGCCTTCGCTTCATCCGTTTGAACCAACGAAGGGATAGAAGACCGACGCTCGACAACAGAGACATCATTACCGAAGGCAAAGAAACTGACAAGCAGCTCCTGTGTACCCACAGCGGGATGGGTCGTGATGAAAGTTGAAACGGTGAGCTTCTTGACACCGCCGGCGGCTTGGAGTATCGAAGATATCCCTTCCGTTTCGATGCGCACTCCACGGTATTTGACTTGGCTGTCGATACGACCCATGATTTCGATGGAGTGATCCGGCATCATGCGAACTGAGTAACATAATTGACGTGAAATTTACGCGATGGACGAGGAATGGCTTACCTAGATCACCGGTACGGTACGCCGTACACCCTGGAGTAGGGTAATCGATGAACACCTTCGATGTTACGTCAGGAAGGTTGTGATAGCCTGTGGTATATCAATAAAGACTAGATTATGGATCATGAGAAGTGCTTACCGCGTGCAACGAGAGGTCCGCTTATGACCAGCTCTCCCGGGCATCCCAACGGCACCGTATTCAGGTCACGATCAACGACGTATGCGGAGCATGACGGAAAAGCCCTTCCGATGTTTTCTTTGCGGTCGTTCAGGCCTATCTGCCTCGAAGTGCAGCCAATCGTCGCTTCCGTAGGACTAGAGAGCAATTTAGCACTTGTTCGCAAACCCAATCTAGGTACATACCCATAAAAGTTGGCGAGAACCAAGTCTGGTCTCGCAGACCATTTCTTCAATAGCTAGAAAATGGCGTCAAAACATGCTTGATAAACAAGTAACATTCGGCTCACCGAATCTGTGATTTTCTCACCACCTGACACGAGATACTTTATGGGTAGGCCGTCCGGACTCTCCAGCAAGGCTTCGATCATGCTCGGCACCATACCGATGTGCGTCACACCAATCGAGATGATGTGCCGGCGCAGTTGCGTTAACAGTTCAAAACGCGGCGCGCTGACCAGCCGCGAACCGAGACACCAGCTTTGGACGATTTCGGAGATGTGGACGTCGAATGCGGTGGCTGTTATTTACGTCAATGATTGAACATACAACCTCGAAGCGGGACTTACACGCTAGGGCTAAACGTTTGTCGGTGTCGGGGTTCGTAACGGGCTTTGGTAGAGCACAGAAGGCGTCCATGGCCCAAAACAATCCTCGATGGGTTAAAAGGCAGCCCTTCGGGTTCCCAGTGGTACCTAAGAAACTATGAGTCGATGATGCAACGGGTCAATTATTTTCATATGTACCAGACGTATAAAGAAGATACGCCAATGAAGGCAGAGTAGCAAGGCAGATATTGCTATCACTGAAGTCGGACTCTAGTTGCTCCATGAAAGCCGTCGTTATAGGTACTGCAACATCGCCAAAGATGGATGCATCTTCGGGAGCGGCGAAGACCCGGCGAGCACCACTATCTTCTACGATAAAACGCTTTCGCTCGGTAGGTAGCTCTGGGTCGATCTAAAGTAATGCGTCAGTGGCATTCTGTTTACTTAATTAACACACACCGAAACGTAACACCCTCCAGCTTTCAAAATGGCAGCCATGATGATGTAGAAATGAGGTGTTCTCGGGCTACATAGAGCTACTTTGTCCTCTATATGGATACCGTTCGCGACTAACCAGCGGGCGAGAATGTTACTCTGCCGATTATACTCGCCGTAGGTCAGCAGGAAAGGCGGCTTCTCCATGGAGGTATAGATTTCGTGAGCGATGGCGTCCGGACGCTTTGCCGCATGGTCGAACAACCATTCGAGGACGAGATGTTCACGATCCAAATCACATGTCCGTGGAGCGCATGAAAGTAGGGGCGAAGGCAGGGCATTTTGTGGCATCTTTGGAGGGGACTTGGGGGAGCTGATGATGGCATCGAGGGTTACGCCAACTTGGGCAGCAAGGTTTTCGATTGTAGAGGCACATATCAACGCGCTGTCCGCAAGGAGATCAATTACTACGGAAAACCCGTCGACGTGGGCCCCGAAGATGATGCCATTGGGCAAGAAGGCGTCATCTCCGACGTCCCGCACATCCCACACAAAAACCGCGCGGACTGGATTCTGCTCATCAATAATACCCAATTCTAGTCGCGCGTCATCTAAACACACTTCTTCGTCGACACAGTCAGCCTGCGTGCTAAGCATCTGGACGAAACTAGTCCACGTTGGTGCAAGTTCAGAGTCCAATCGAGCACGTATAGGGCGCAGTAAGACGCCTTCAGGATCTTGTAGATACGCGGTAGACGTTTCTGCGAAGAGATAGTCCTGATGGTCCAGGTATCGCATTAGCATGCTGGCAAAGGCGGCGCGTAACTGAGATTGTGCGGTTGGTGAGAGGCGTCCATCAAGAGAGATGAGGCGCTTGGAAAAGCCAGGGGAAATCTTGTGCGCAATGCTACATGGTCCCGGCGATGGAAGACGACGTAGAGAACCGAGGTCGGGGAGAGGATGGAAAACGTAGCTTTTGAAAGAAGCCATGAATTGAGAGTCGGCATCTGGTTACTAGGACGGTGGTTTTTATTTGACGCTGCAAGGCGCATGTAGCATGCTGGGTAGGCAATGACGAATGGGCGAACGGGGCAAAATGCGGATCATTTAGCGGCGTGGAACCAGATTATAGAACACATGTGGTATCATATCAGATAGTACCTCGGTCTTATCAGATAATCTTGGCATCTTATCGGAGAACCCACCCGAACGAAATTTCCTGGAACTCCATACTTCTGCAGGGTGGTCGTCTTGCGGTACTCTTTCTCCACTACCATGAACGACTTGTGCGCTGAAAAATCCTTTGGACCTGCGTCGCCATGCAGACATATGGATCTTACACTGGGATTCCAGTTCAGGTTAGTTTTGAAGCGGTTTAAATGGAAAACACGCTCACTCTGCTTTAGATTCATGTCGATTCTTCCTGCATCGATATTCATCTTCTGTGGCGTATTTCGCGCTGCTAGCCTTGCGCGATCTCCTGAAGTTACTCGCCGCGCAATAGACCTGCTTTCGGCCGTAAAACTTCTTCTAGGCACCATACTGGTGGCAACCCTCGCGGTTACTCTTGCGTATGTGCCACGAGATGACTGGGGAAAGTGGGCCACAGCTGGATACGCCCTTGAGCTCGTTGCAGTGGTGAGTATGCAGAGTCCGGAAGAATCTAATCAGCTTATGTCAGCATAGATTTGCCTGATAGCAGTTTCCTACCTTCACCATACTCGCTGCTTCGCGCCTAGCACTCTCATTGGACTGTATCTTTTCCTTTCTGTGCTCTTTGCTGCAGCCCAACTGCGAACGTATGCTACCGCTAGCTCTCTTCATGCAAAGTACTTTGCGCCGTTTGTCGTGTCATTTGCCGTACGGACGTGTTATTTGGTCGCCGAGCTAGCCCAGAAGCGAAGATTCCTGCGAGAGACAGATAAAGTGAGGATATGCGCGATTTTACTGAATATTACTCACGGTATCCAGCCCACGGCACTAGAGACGACCTCCTCATTACTGTCGAGGCTCTTCTTCGTGTATCTCTATCCGCTTCTCCTCGGAGGATTCAAACGCGCCTTCGACCTCGATGATCTGGTCGCCTTTGGTCTGCCACCAATCTTGTCTGGAGTGCCGGCATGTGCAGCACTGACCAAGGCTCTTCCCCGCTCCAAAGACGCGGCTCGTATCCCGATATTCATTCCTTCCATGAGAGCATTCCTTTCCCAATTCCTCGCGCCCGTCGTTCCCAAATGCATTCTGATAGCCACGACATTTACCCAACCGTTTCTTGTGGAGTCGATGCTCTCTTTCGTAGACTCCTACAGCGATTCGAACGGCGCACGCGACGATCCAGCTCATGGCTGGGGCTTGGTTGGTGCATATGCCATTGTATACCTGGCCATAGCATCGTCCACCGCCCTTTACTGGGATAAGGTGTATACGATGGTCGTCAGATATCGCGCGGCTCTAGTCGGTGTCATATTTGACAAGTCAATGCGGCTTTCGGCCTCGGTAGCAGAAAGGTGAGGGTCGTGGTACAGCGGTGACCTACATGTGCGCCCTCCTGCCTTATTTGTCTCTTGTTGCTGACGTCATCCTCCTTAGGTCTGTTGACGTCGAGCGTGTATGCGAAGGAATCGCGTTCTTCCATGAACTATGGAGTGCTTTTATCTCCATTGCAGTCGCGGCAGTTATTTTATGGTTCAAGGTACACTAGAACTAGTCTATCAATTTTCTGGCTCTTAAATTAACTATGTACTTCAGGCCTCTTTCGCGATGATTCCGCCTATTGTGATTATGGTCGGATTCTTCGTCATCACCAGCCGTATCGGAAACCACGTCGCGAAAGCCCAAAAGCGCTGGATGGGAAGTACTCAGGATAGGCTAAAAGTTCTGGTATGTAATGATATTTTTTAATCGACACATGTTTTAATATCACCACTTTTCAGACCTCAGTTATGTCACAAATCATTCCAGTAAAGCTTCTTGCCGTCGAACCGACGATGCCAAAGTGGATAGAACCTGTCAGAATCAGAGAAATAGGTTATCTCAAAACCTTTTAGTGAGTGCCTACTTCCTTCCTTTCCCTGCAGTTTCTAATGTACCTGTTTTCGCAGTGCACGGCTTGTCATCGTAGGCGTCTTATCGTCTGCGACCATCAATTTCGCTGGCATTGCCGCGTTAGGGACGTTCGTTGGAATAAAATCGGAGGATCTTTATCCAGAGACCCTGTTTACTATATTGACTGTGGTTGTGAGTGTGTTCGCCGATCTAACAGATCAATACCAACGCCAAGGTCGCAGAATCTTGTTACTCTGCCCATCAGCACTGTTGGTAACTGCTTCCCGCTCTTACTCGCATCATACGCCAGCATGAAGCGGATAGCCGGGTTTTTGTACGTCACGCTAAGGATTGTTCAGAACGTCTGCTAACATGTCACTGGACAGATCACTACCCGAGAAGACTAGTTTCATCGAGCAAGGCATTTCGACAGACTCAAACTTCACAGACGATGAAAAAAGCGACCTCAAACATCAATGCGATATTTCTCTCAGCACCTACAATCCCTCTCGGGTGACGCTATCACATGCAACAATTGCCGCGGGCAAAGACGGGAAGGCCTTGATATCCGACTGTAATGTATCATTCGATATCAATAGTGTGAGCATGGTCGTAGGACCCGTTGGTGCCGTACGTTCTTTATATTCTGACTACGTCAGTCGCTACAACCCGGTTTTTTTAATTAGGGAAAATCGATTCTCCTCAAAACTCTTCTCGAAGAGACTTACTTTATAGAAGGCGCGAGCTCTAGCGTCCTGCCCCAAGGCCGAATAGCATACGCACCTCAAGAGGCGTTTGTATGGCCTACGACCGTGCGTGGGAACATCGTCCTAGACAACGAGTTCAACCCACAGTGGTACGAGGCGGTGGTGGACGCCTGCGCTCTACGCCCTGATTTGGTGCGTATGGCTAATGGTGACATGACCGAGATAACCCCCGGTTCTGTTAGTGGTGGACAAAGACAACGCGTTGTAAGTGTTACCGCTGTTTTCTTTCCGAGTACCCTATTCATGATATAATATAGTCCTTGGCGAGAGCCGTGTACGCCAAATGCGACGTTACTCTACTCGACGATTGTTTTTCGGCATTGGTGAGGGTATTCCCAACGGTGCTCGCATAGCATTTGTTATATTGGTTTTAGGATTCCCATACAGCGGTTTCCGTGTTCGCTAGGCTTCTTGGTGAAGATGGTTTGTTACGGGGAAAAGGAAAATTAGTCGTGCTTGTCACGCATAATTGTATGTTGATCTTACACGCCTCTGTTTTCTCACCCTTATGCTAGTCACAGTGCAACACCTTGCATCCGCTGATCATATAGTTATCCTCGACTCTGGTGCGGTCGTTGCAGAGGGTAGTCTGTCCGAACTACATGACAGAGACCTCGATGTCGCTCAATACATCGGACAGAAAAAGGAAGAGGAAGATGAGGACGTGGAAGTCCAAGAAGAAGCAAAGCCCAGCAACGTTCCCACCAAAGAGGAAGAGACCAAAAAACCAAGCCAAGCAGCCGAAAAAAAGGTCGACGAAGAAGAAAAGGGTGTTCGTGGTTCAACGTCATGGCCGACTTACAAATTCTATATGAAAGCAGTGGGTGTTTCTTTACACAGCTCACGAAATGTACGCTTAGATTACTGTCTTAGTGCGGTTGGGATAGGCTGGCGCTCTGCTTGACATGTCTTGTCATTTACACCGCGATGCAGATCGGTCTGCAGGTGAATGCACCGTCGACCCGTTCCTCTATCTAAGCTCTAACTTACCCATTTAGATCCTGCTTAAACAGTGGTCCGAAAGTAATACCACTTCGCATGGGCCTTGGCTCGGAGGCTATGCTGCTTTTGCCGTAACCTGCTTCCTGACATCATTCATGACAATGTGGATGTACACCCAGCTCACTGTTCCCCGCGCCTCCTTGATCATTCACGCTCAGCAGTTATCAGCCGTGCTCGCTGCTCCAGTCACATACTTCCAACGCACGCCTTTGGCGAAATTACAGAACCGATGGTCAAGTGATATGTTCATCGCCGACTTCGCCTTTCCGAGAGCACTACAAGACTTCACATTCACGGCTGTCTATGTTGGTATGTTAAGTGGATTTTCGAAGCTCCGTGTTTACTTACCGGTTGTAGTGGGAGCGGTAGTTCTCATTTTGATTGCCGTAAGTAGAAGAACCTCATCGTTGTGATTGAAGCTAAGTCTCTGGTTCAGGTGCCTTGGCTTGCGATATCTATCCCAGTCTTAGGTGCTGTTTATTGGGGCCTGCAGAAAGTATATCTGGTAAGGACAGGAACACGTGGTTTGTGAGACTCGTTAATTTAATTTTACAGGCTACCTCAAGACAACTGCAACGATTGACTTTAAGCTCCAAAACACCGCTGTACACGGCTTTTACCGTAACGCTGTCTGGCCTGACGACGATTCGGGCCTTCCATTCGGAGAAGCTCTTCAAGGACATGAGCATATACCATCTCGACCGATCTCAGGTCCCAATGTATTACCGTTACGCGGGAATCCGATTTTTGTAAGTCCTTCATATTTCATGGAAAGCTCTTTGGTCTAACACCTTCCGAAGACGCACCTCGTTGAACCTGCTCACGGCTTGTGTTGCCATTGCCATTGCGGGTCTTGCTGTGGGGCTACGAGGCTCTACCTCTGGAGGCTACCTGGGTGTAGCGCTCTCCCAGCTTGTCAGCCTTGCGCAAAGCCTTATCAATTTGCTCTTAGCGTACACTCGCGTTGAGAATGGAATCGTTTCGGTGGAACGACTCTTCGAATTGGACGGCCTTCAATCTGAATCACTCCCTGACAAAAAAGGTCGACAAGAACCTGGCTCCAAATGGCCCGTTTTCGGTTCTATTGAATTCCGCAACGTTGGTCTGCGATATGGGTCAAAAGCATTTTGCTTTTCGTGCAAGTTGAACGTTGCTGATACCTCGTTTTCGATATAGAGAAGGCCTGGATCCTGTTCTTCATAACATTAGCTTCACAGTCCAGGGTGGCGAAAAGTTAGGTATTTGCGGACGCACAGGGTAAATTATTCCTATCGAGATGTTGGAGCTACCGTTGATGATCATAACAGGAGTGGAAAAAGTAGCACTGTTTTCGCGCTACTCCAAGGACTTGGCGCGACAGGACTTTGTACCGGCGAAATCTTTATTGATGGTATTGACCTAGCGACTGTACCTCTCGAGACGTTACGCTCGGCCATCAGGTAACGGTGATACCGTTACTTCCATCTATTAAGCATTAATTATTGGCGCATCTAGTACCGTCTCACAAGACCCTTTCCTGCTATATGCAAAGATGCGAGACAACTTGACCCTCGGATGTTCTACGGCGGTAGAAGACGAACAGATATGGAAAGCCCTTGAACTTGTCGGGATGCGCAAGCTTGTCGAAGGTCTTGAGGGACAGCTTGATGCTATGGTCTCTGCTGATGGACTCCAGTTTTCCGCTGGAGAGGTAGGCCCTTTCTTGGTCTTGAATGTGTCCTATAATTGAGGCATGTCTCAGCGTCAACTTCTTTGTATAGCCAGGGTCCTCTTGCAAAAGCGCAAGATCGTAGTGCTCGATGAAGCTTCTTCGAGGTAAGATAGCAATCATGGTCAACACACAATTTCTTAAATTGACTCCCCCTGTAGTATGGATACTTCTACAGATCAGCGACTGCTGTCTGTGCTGCAGAACAATTTGCGGGAAGCTACAGTCATTTCAGTCGCACATCGCATCTGTGAGTAATATTCCCTCGATTCTATGGTCTTCTAGTTCAGCTAAACGCTCGCGTAGCTACTATCGTGGACTACGATAAAGTCATGGTCCTTGATAATGGCCGTGTCGTGGAGATCGGGTCACCGAAAGATTTATTGCAACGTCCTGACTCGCTTTTCTACGTGCTTCATAAGAATCAGGTTCTCTGAAAAACTGTGACCAAATGACGAGATTGTGCGATCAACCATTATTATAAAATACTGAAGAATAGATGTGTTAGTGTTTATGTAGTTGATTGATTTACTTGAACATATACCCCATAACTGCAGTAATACACGTTGAAAATGCCGGAAAGTCGTGCAAAGCTGACGAGGGTGCGAATGGTCTGCCGGTTAACTCAACTAGTCCTTCCTGAAATCGCAAAGAATCTGGAATTGAAATTCTACGCTCTCTCCACTTTATTTAAAACTGTGTCAACATCCTACTGACTACTTGGTCTAGAAGCTGTTGGCTCCTAGAAAGTAATTCATGTTCCTCCATCATATTTCAACGCTGGCGTTGTTTTACTTTGCATTAACATGACTAAAGTCCTCTAGTAGAGTGCTGAACCAATCACCCTTGCCATAGTAGATAGGAACACCTTAGATCAATAGAAAGCGAAAAAAATGCGCCCAATCTTTGATACTAGCTGTGCGCTCCGTGCATGCCCGTTGCGGTTAGAACTTATATTTAAAACAAAGCGTTAACGCTGGGGTTCGTACACGGATGTTGACTATACGTTAGATGAGGAAATAAACGGGTTGTCTAAGCTTTGAGGGCATGGGAAATCATCGTCGCCGTCGTCGTAGTAGTCGTCGCACTCAAGTCGCACTGGCAAGCGGTCCCTAAATGGGTGAAGGTTGGGCCGGCCCGATCCTCTGCTCCTTTTCCAATGGCTACGATGACCACCAGTGCCGCCCTTTTCTCAGATTCTCGTCAGGATAAGCGAATGCCACGGAGGACACGAAATATCAAGTTCAAGTTTCAAGGACTCCGATGGTGTGCAGGCGCATATATTCCATTGCAGATACAGGATTGTGATGGCACGGCGTTTCCCTGTTCTTCGTGCTCACTACGGGTACGTCTCTCTTGGCTTCTTCAAGGGCCTCGATTTTCTCAATCATTCACCAAGGATGTCATCCATATGGATCCAGCATAGGAGGACACTATTGGCTGATAAACTGTCGTCGAAAATTTCCAACGCAGAAATGTTGAATACAACAGTCGCTGTTCTCTTCACACACCTTGTCGGAATTGAAGGTGACGCAGTACAGAGGATCTAGAATATGTTTTGGGGGTGCCAGGCATGTGTAGGCGGGCAAGAAACAAAGTCTGGAACGAGGAGATGTCACGGTTTGAAGGGCATTTCTGTCGTGACGACGTAATCTCTGAAAGTGTGTGCTTTATCCTTGGTGTTAATCTGCAGCCTTCATTTTCTATCAGGTATCACGCCGGAGAATCTGTATACCGAAAAGGAGGCACCAAGACCGACTTCGTCAGCTCTACACGTACTGGCGACTCATCTCTTTCTTCAACACCATCGTCAAAGAACAGTTCAATATGTCTCGTGCTTTTGTGGCGAAAGAAGCTGGGAGAGAGCTCTTGCGAGGTGATATTCAGAGACAAGAAATGAGGGAGTGTAGCTTCGGTGACGAAAGCACTCATCGGACATATCTATCATGTTACATGTATGTATCCTCACCTTCAAAACTGTAAGCGTACTTATCATTCACTAGGAAAAGAGGCTCAGAGTTCCATACAATTAGCGTTAAATTATCGCTGGTATTCACATACAGGTAACCTGCTTTTCGTGATACTATTTGACTCTACTAAATCTGCATCTTCAAGGAGAGATGGCTCCAAGGAATGTCCTCAATAACCACTTGCACATCCTTCTTCCTCAAATCAGTGACACGTCGGAGAAATCGCGCACCAACCCACTTCTTGACGGGAGTTTGAGCGCACCACAACGTAACTTTCTGTAGATGTCCTTCCTCGCCGCGAGATTCCAGCATCGTAACCAAAGCCTCAGGATCGACGCCCTTAACGTCACAAGAAAGGGTCCTCAGAGCGGGAAGAAGGACCGGAGACTCTTCCCGAATCGTCAGCTGCTCCGAAACGGACTCCTGGTATTGATACAACGGTATCGAGTCATCTCCTGCTAGTATCAACTGCTCCAGATTCGGGGTGGCGTGCAGAAGCTGGACAAGGGATGAGTGGAAGCGGTATTTGCCTTGGACGAAGAGATTCGTGAGGGAACACCGACTCTGGTGGATGAACGCGGCGATAGGAAACATGTCGCTTAGAGTGAAAGAACGAAGTCCTAGGCATTTGAGCTGGGGAAGTATGAGGTTGGGTAAAGCGATCATATAGGGATGGTTGACGACGAGACGTTGTATGCCGGAGTGTGTTAGTGGACTTTGGGGAAGCCATTCTCTTGGAATATCCTCGTGTGCGCGATTCAACACCAGTGCGAGTTCCTCGAGATTGGGAGCGAGACGGAGCAGTTTGAAAGGATCCGCCAGGAATGTCTCAGCTTGGAAGCGTACTAAATGAGGCTGCAAAGCCGTGAAACCTGCGAACGAGGCTGCAGTCACCGGTTCTTGTGGATCTCCCGCGACGGAGTATTGCAGATCTAGGTGACGCAAGAGAGGGACACGCCCGACCACTTCGCTGAGCCGTTTGAAGCGCTCGGGATCTGAACATCCGATCCATCGAAACTCCTCCCATCGCTTGCTTTGTTCGAGGAGCAGGGAAGTGATGGTCTCGTGCTCTTTGGGTTTGCATTTACCACAGCCGCCATATAGGATTCGGAGAGGAGAGGAGCCGGAACGACGGAGCCATAGCTGCAGACGGCCGATGGGGTTCTTGATGTGGAGCCAGTAGGAGCCGCAGTTCGAGGGCACGCTCAGTTCGGACCAGAGACGGGGCAAGGAGAGGGCGACGGCTCTCCATCGTTGACATACTTGACTATATGCCCAAGGACCGTGGTGGTGGTCGTGGACTGCGGGGTAGTTGTTGCAGCCATCCGGGCCCGAGAGCGTGTGAAGGAAGATCTCGCCGATTATCTCGAATGGTAGACGGCGTATCGGATGTATAATCTTGGTGCAAGTCCTGATGAGTGCGCGCAGTACCTTTGCTTCTTCCCGAGATTGAACGACGTCAAGCTGGGGGCCTTTCCCATGTTCTGCGAGGCGTATCTCGGCGTCTTGGATGACCAAACGGATCTCGTTGACTTCGGAGTCTAGGGGTTGGTCGTTTGTCCAGGTGAGGTGCGAATACGGGACGTTCGTCTTGGGAGTAGGGCACGCCAGAGTCGGACGGGACTTCCTCAACTTTGGCATAGTAACAATGTGGGATGGATGCCACCATGGAACGGTATAAATATCAGTCATCGCTGGTCTTGTCCGGTCAAAGCGTTGCGGTGGTCCAAGCAGTGGCGGCGTGTCTTTGTTCAAACAAAGCGGATGCTGTCCTGGCCTGGTCAAAGCATTGCTGATGGTCCCCGTGGCGCCCCCTGGCGATTCTTGTCCTCTGGTATGGCTCAGCGACTATGGGCATTGTGATAGCGCAGGGGAAACTACGTCGTTGTCATGACTATGAGATGACCGATTCCAGATGTCGCGACCAGCTACCAAGTTCCCATTGTGCAAGTGCGGTTTACTCCTTCAGGGTGCTTCCTGCTGAAAATAATAGCAAGCACGTCAGTGAGTTGAAAAGCAGTCATCATGTGCAGAGGGAAGCTTACCCAATTACAGGTGACTGTCGTACATTACGTGATGTCTTCAGCCTCCGTGCGCTGGCTGTCTATTCGTTCGTGCGAATACACTATTAGCATCGTCAAACCTGTGGAAACGAGCAGACCCTTTCTATACGGATGTACATAACACTAGCCGTGGACAAGTTTTTGCAGCGGATAGCACAAAGAGCAAGTCATGGATGACCTTCAACAGTCCGGAAAATGTTCTGTCTAAGGATGAGCTCGATGGATCCCCGTATAACGGAGAAAATGACATTATAGAAGTCCGCGTAGTAACGAAGACGGCTCAAGGACGAAGGGTCGATGTCGGGATCGCTGACGCGTACCCGTCACGTGTTTTTTCAAACAGGTTTTGCTCTCATTTCAACAAACACTTTTTTCTACTTGGGTTCAATCACAATTTCTGATGGTACTTGCAACATCGCCCTCCGGATCCGTGTATTGCATCTACTAGAATGTAAGTTCTCAACATTTCGCTGAACCGAGCATCTCAACTGTATCAAGTCAGCTTCCGCTCGAAAACAAAACTTGTGTAGGGCAAGAAACATCACTTGCATATATCAAAACAATCAGTGAAAACATCGACACAGGGTTATACATCTTGGTTGTAAGTCTTATATCTAGAACCAGTCAGGACCATTGCTGACATTTTGCGATAGACATGTCTACTACTACTATCCAGGACGATTATGACCACCTGTACACGTGCTTGGAATCGGATACCCTTCCTCCCGTCCCTACCGTGACGCATTCTTTTCAAGATCCCGAAACATCATGGCCCGAAGAGCCAAAGATGTTTATGTACCGTGCTTGGGCTTCGAACGCCATGCCATATCAAGGCTTTTTGCCTGCCAAACTCGCCGACTTCTTTTGTGGTGATCTGTTCAAACCCTTGGAATATGGAATGTCTGATCTGCCTCTTGTTTGTCTTGGTCCGGGACAATGGGGTTTAGACAAGAAAATGGTTGAGGAATGGGCGACCCTCGAAGAATTGTTATTATGCTTCAGGGACATACTGGCTGGTCAGATCGTGCGTCAACGTAGTCTGGGCCATTGCAGCTTTCCATCACCTCATCGTTACGGTTATCACCACACTAAAACCACTAAGAAGGCCATGAGACGCGCTGCAGCTCGTTCTCGCGATGCCTTCATTTTCATGGCCGCTGAAATTTCGTATCTATTGGCCCTCGCTTCTGCTGAGATTGGGGGATACAATCTTAACAGCTGGAACACGTTATTAACTGAAACCGTTGGCAGTGGATGGGCGGCTCTTGTTCGCCATTCTTGGTTAGTTCAACACGATATAGGGTATTGGGCTCAAAGAGAGTCCACCTCACGAAGGGTCGGGATCTTCGTTGATCCTCGAAAATGTAACTTTGCGTATTTTCTCAAAGCCTATCTCGCATTCGGAGTACCCGTTTGGATTGATTGGGGACCGCTGATCAATCCGTTCCCTGCTTGCGACCCCGAATTGCAGACCACTTACAAATTTTTGCTACCTCCGAAACATATCAGACCAAGAGTGAAGGCACTATCACATTTTGCGGAGGGTACATATGTTCTGGAAAAGCACAGATGGCAGTGGAAGTTTTGCGACGAAATGTTCGATTTGGAGTGGAACAAAGTCGGTTCGCTTGCTTTACCACGCAAAGTGTCTCGCATCTATCCTTCGGATGATGACGACGAAGAGAAAATCAACTACGAACCCGCGTCTATGAATTCTACGCCTCATGTTTCCCCACGGCAGAGATTAGGGGAGACTTGGGTAGATTTCTTTTCTCGTCTCGAAAAGGAAACAGAGCTGATGATGCAATACGAATCCCCTCGAGATGTAAGGAGGCGCGAGACCCGAGATTCGAATGCTAGGAGGCGATGCTATCCCGAAAGGATGGCCAATGTTTTCGTTTGGAATGCCGTTGACGGTAAAGATTACCTCGTCAGGTGCCATGTACCTCACGATCGTGTCGCCGATTTATGGGATTTCTACATATCGTCCCAACGACGATACTCCTCTTTCTGGGACGAATGGGATTTGAATCACGAGTTTGATCCTTCTGCTTTACAGGATGCAGAAGAGGAAGAAGAGATTCACGAATCGGACAATATACCTGGTCCTTCTGTGGGGCCAGAGCTGCTTCGGCCGGTGAAGAGTAACCGTGAAGCGTGGGAAGCGGCTTACATCGAAACATTCAAGCCCAAACTTCAAGGCATGACGCCAACGCAAAGGGACTGCATGTCTTTGGAAGCGGTTGTGCGGTACCGCTTGGGGATCGTTCTGGCTTCGTCGCCCTTACCGGAGACTATCCTGACCGCTGTGGAAAAAGCTCAGGTAGACAAAGGCTTGAGATTGATGGGGTGTGACAGCGCAGCGAGAGACGAACACTCTCCTTTGAGTAGTAGAGCCATATTAACCTTGATGGATGGGTTTCAATGGCTACGCGAAATAAGGTCGCCTGGCGCGAAACCTTATATTGGTCAGATCCCCAGAGAGGCATGGGACGTCAGTTTAAAATGCTCTCAACGCCTACAACGCGAACACCAACATCTTACAGTCGTAGCTGTGGAATCCTGGGACACATCAATTGCCGGGTACGAGATCCAAATGAAGGGTGGAAATGAGACATCGTACAAACTTATCCTGCCCCGCGCGGCCGATGTGTTGTACGTTTTCCGCTTGCCGTTTGTGTTATGTCTCGACGACATTGTGGAGGACCTTTGCTCCCACGGAATTCCATTCATATTGGGCCAGATAGTAGACAGAGATATGCCGTTCTCAAAGCCAAAACTTCCCCCTGTACCACCCCTGTACAGGCCCAGTCGATTTGTACCAGACGTGGATGACTTCAAGATGTACCTTTGGAGAAGAGGAACATTGTTCAGCAATCTCTCCGTGGTCAGAGCCGCATTGATGTGCGGAGGAATTATCTGGCGCATTGCATTGGATCATATCGGCGATCCGAGCCTCGTCTTGTCTGCATTCGATAAATCAGGTCCCTGTGATAAAAATATAACCCGGTGGAAGCCAAATCTCTCGCATAAAGAGCCCTGGGTAACTTGGACGGAGACCCTTTCCTCGAGCGAGGAAGACATCATATGCGGGGTTTACAACATTGAGAGGAGCAACAATCGACCAACACAAGTCTCGTGGTTTCCCAAAATGAAGGCATTTCGTGATTCTGGGTTAGATCTAGGTTTTTGGTCTGCCGACGCTGAGAGATGGTATATTAATAGGGTGAAGATGTATGCCTCCGGCGACCCCAAAGCAAGGTGCCAGGGCCACTCAGACTGGAGGCGTAATCTTCGCTTATGGATAGGTGCTTCGCAATTGTATGAAGGGATGGAGATCGTCTCTAGGCGCTTCGTAGACCGACATTTTATCTCTCACTAATACTGTTCACACTCAATGGATGCTCGGGAGTCTTTGTTAAGGCGTAAACGTCTTCGCGTAACGACTTCGGTTTTCAATATGCTGCTGAACAAATGACACAAACAATCATAATATTTTGTATATTCTTCGACAAGTGAAGATCTTGGTACGGGCCAAAACCCTTGGTTCGATGTGACCCACGTCGTGCAACCTCAACCCGAAAAAGGCCATCACAAGAACTGTTTCGAGGCCATGCAAGGCAGTGTCCAAGAACGTTTCCTAGACTCGAAGCTGTTCGTGTTCCCGTAAACGCACTTAGGCGCGCGCCAACTAAACCTCCAAATCCGTTCAAACAATGATCTTTTCGCATCTCGAGGGGACACAATATCTCACGATAGTCTTAGCGCCCCCTCAACCAATCATTACGTTTCTCAGTCTCTTCTTGGTCTCTTCCGTAATTTAGTAGTCCGCTGCCACCGCATTCCTTCATCCACTCTGATGCGCGAAACGCCGAGATAACGAAGAGGTCTTGGTCGGCGTATATACAAACCTCCATCTCTGTCGATGGGATGTTATTCGTGTCTAATGGAGGATACGAAAGGAGACCTATCTGATCGCGTAGATGGTGTAATGTGTGAATATGAGTCACTGTTTAAATCTTGATTGTGACGGCGTCCGCTGACAACTTTCGGAGTCTCAGGGTTCTACAAGTTTAGTAGCATGTGCAGATCATGCATGATCATGCAGAAGTTCTCAGCGCTAGCTCCAATCCGAAGAATACGTGAGATTCACATCGTACCTGCTACTTTATCACATGGAGATGGCATGGTCTACCATTATTTCCATTTTTCTCCATACGAGTGCAATTCTATCAAACTAAGTATTCATCATGATCTATCATGAAGCGGGGGGCCATCGCAGGGCGTGGCATATCCGAGTCCTGAAGACTTGAGGGGTGGGCTGCCCTGCGTGGGCGTAGCACAAGGCCTGTTGGATGGTGCAACGAAACAACAATACTGAGCAACTGTCAGCAGTTGCGCATATAATATCAAACCAGAAATATACGGTCTCAGTACCACAAATAGTACATCAAGTAGGCAAATATCTAGTGCAATCGTCGCCGATAAATTGACCTGGTCGTCAAGTTAAACACCTTGCCAGATAGTCAGCTTCCAGCGAGTGGCGATGAACACGAAAGCTTACCATTTAGTTAATAAGCAAGGATATATATTGCTTGCATAGCTAGAGTTGGATAATTAGCATCAGACTCAAATTCAAAGGCGAAGACACGTACCTAATACATGGGATAAACGGCCTACACCTCTAATCCATGCAAGTCAGCCAAACGAAGAAGAAACAAAATAGCCGACACTTACCGTGACCTTACTACCACCTTTGCAGCCTATGGATCTCCTTGCTACCCCTCCAACCTCATGCACATCGTTGTATAAATCTTGTCGAAGCTGCTGCTGCATTCGGTACTGCATGTCATCCTCATCATCTCGTCATGTATCATGCTTGCGAGAAGCGGAATACTAGTGTAAATGGGTACTCTGTTAGCGAGCACAAAGGAAAAGGAGTGAGGCCACACACCCAGACCCTGCGTTTCCATCGTGAATCACGATTCGATCCCCCAAGAACTTCATCTACAGCCATTGCCATATTCGTGTATGGATCCTGAAGAAAGAATTAAGGATTAACTTGAACTGAACAACGGAGGGCATCCCACCTGGCCAAAGTGGATAGCCGTTAACAAGGGGCATACAATCGCAGATCTAGAAAAGATCGGTTGACTAGTCGCTAACAATGCTGAAATATTTGCTTACCTTTTACACCCTGAGCCCAGCCATTGAGGTCAATATTCAATGCTTGGTGCTCGACATCATAAGAAGAAGAATTCTGAGGTCTCAGCAATGAATCTGCAAAATTTTAGGAAGACGAGACGTTGTGATAAGAAGTAGGAGCTTACCAGATTTCGCAGCCTATGGATACCCACAGTTCCCGTCCAGCCTATCACCGTGAGGCACCCGGCGACAGTCCACATCGTGTTAGGCTTTGATAGTGCATTTTGTGTCATTGGTGCGGACGTCCCCATTATTAGCAATTGTCGTTGCTACCTCGAGAAAAATTGTGGCTGAAGCTTGGTGAATGATTATTGATAGTATGAGTGATGGATGAGTGTTATGGTTTCAGCATAAAATAGAGGCGCAGGTGTATACGGTGATGACCATATCTCCTCCCACAGAATGGTAGAGCATTTCGGAGAACCACTGTGAATCGATACTCAAAAACGCAAAGCAAGAGGCAAAAGAAAAAGGGTGCCAAGTGTAACGTGTGACAATACCGCGCAGATGATTCACGGCATCCACGGCACGGGGAACTGTCGGACTATCACTATCATGCACCGCCACCAAAAAGCTCAGATTAGCATAGACCGAATCCTGTATACACAGGACTCGGAATCTTCCGTTGACTTTGCATCTGGCCTGGGCCTGTCCCTCCGGATGTATCTTTCGCCATGTCACTCTCACGTTTCTCCTGAACTGATTGATCTTTTTCGGCCTTGTTCTTCGCCCGCCCGGAGACGTGGAATTGACAAGTTTCAAAAATCACTACAACAAAGGATGTTCTGCTGGTCCTCAGTCAACTAACCTGTAAATTGGGACATACTTTAATTCGCTCTCTGTTTCTGTTACCTGCGCACCCTGATCTCGGTTTTATCGACCATCTCATTTTCTGTGATGGTACATCTTGATGTTCCTCCTTCCCGGAATGCGGAGAATGCTCTGATGAGCGCTCTTTCAGAAACTTTCCCACTAAGGATGGTATATAACGCACACCTTTCAGTCGCATCAAGTCACACCCTGCTCAGACAACCACTCAGACTCACAGATGGCCACTGGTACAATCCAAACAGACCGTATCCGTGTCGTCCTTCTCTTCAAACGAAAGGAAGGGCTTACGCTTGACGAATTCTACCAACATTGGTTCGAGGGTCTCTCGAAAATGCTCCTCGCATCCCCCATCTTCACGGACAATGTCCTCAAGTACGAACAGGTGAGTTACTAGGCTCGTTCTCTGTTCACCGTCCGTCTGATAGACGTGGAAGTTACGTATTGACAACGAGACTATGGCAATGCTGAAAACTGTGGGTTTTGAGCCCCCAGAGCCTGAGTGGGATGGAATGGCTTTGCTGGAGGCAGAAAGCTTCGACAAGATATTCTCTGTATGTTTCTACTCTAGTTGAGGACAATCAAACGGCGTCTGACGTTGGCTATGAAGATATTCCAGTCGGAGGAGTACAAAACGGTTATTGGTCCTTACGAAGATAAATTCTTGGAAAGAAAGGCTGCTCAGATCTTCCCCCTGAAGTTTGCTGTGTTCTTGGATGAAACGAAATCGACTGGGCTGCACCTATAATTAGATATACCTGTAGTTATTCTGGTCCAGTCCTTCCAATTTACTTTCTGCGACCTTGAAAATCCCGGATGCCATATGGTGCTCAATATTGAGTGATGGGCGATCATATGTAAATTTGAAAGGATCCGAGACCTAGTCTAGAATACAACATTAATTATCACTACCAAAAAAACCATCACATGTAGCAATAATTAAAGCCCCTGCCAGTGGTTCTCGTTATTATTATCAGATATTTATCTGATTCAGCTTTGCACCAACTTGGCCTTTCAGATTGTCCTAATCTTCCGAGTCCGAGGGGGCCACGCTGTTATTCTTCTGGTTGCGGGGATCTCTCATCTCATGGCTCTCATACTCAACGCTTATGAACACCTATTGATTGGCATGAGGTAGAGCTAGGGGGAAACAATAGATTTGAACCTACTCCTTGTGATCGAGGTAGGGTATGGCCCTACAACAGATAAAGACCATCGTCAGATGATGGCAATTACTTTTGAGGAAATACGCACATCGGCACTATTCCACGGCATGGTCATAGAGGCCACTTCATCTCCGATATTCTGAGTGTGAGGTTGGCGCTAGACCGTCCAGAGTGAGTATACAAACACCGATTACAGATCCTATCTTTCGCACAGCATTAAGACTCGAAAGCGCTGGACAACCATCAGTGTCACTGAATCAATACCCTTAGATAGGCATACCAGAGTTTGTGTACAGTTTAGGTAAGATAAATGCGACACCTAGGAGGGAATGGTTAGAATGGTCGAACAGAAAAGAAATCAGAGAGCCCGCACAAATATAGTAAGGCTGCCTCTGCGGGAAGTGTAAGTATGAAGGTATGTAAAACAACTCGGTTGAACACTTGCCTCCACGGCAAGAATCAAGCCTAGATCAGTTAGGGCGACCGTCGCAGTGAGAAGCCCTGTTGGCAACATCAATCCTCTTGGCACACGCCACGAAAAAGTATGGGACTCGCCATTCTGCATAGTCACTGTCGACTCAGACGCTTCAGCATATAGCAAAACCGTCTCAACTGAACAAGAAACTCACATCGGATAATTCTATTCAAAATACGATTGGTCCGTCTGATAGAACCTTTTGCTCGCTGTAAACATATGGTGATAACAACTGCGATGATGAGGTCCCCGAGCGCAGCTGGAATGAGCCAGACAAGAGAGGGCCTATCTAGTTTATCGCGGAGCCCGTCCCAGTTAGTGGAATCGATGACTAAAAAGCCGATGATACTTGTCACTATACCGCCGACTGAAGATGTCAATGCGCAGATAACGACTGCGCCGACATAATAATAGTTCCTACAATCAGGGACATCGATCAGAAGCAGCACTTGATACTGGACCCGACGGATGTACGACGTACTTGGTCAACACCCAGATCTTCCATGCGAAAAAACCCTGAACCATTCCAGCCATGATTCCCAACAGAAAAGGGTCAGTTGTGATGGTCCAGTCAGCTTGGAAAAAAAGGTATAGGCGTTCGACAGCAGTAGGCCCCGAGAAGTTGCTTACATTTGGTGAATGCGACAAGGTTCCCAAAATTGTCGATTAGGAGTTTATAAACCCTGTGAAGAAGTCAAAACTTGAAGCAAGCTAGTTGTTGTCGCCATATCCCATACCACATAAGCACAAAAAGAGAGTTGAGAACGTCCAAGGTAAAGAGAACTATGACGAAGACCTTCAGCCAAATATTGTCCCTTGAAAAATGGATCAGAGGATGTTGTAGAAGAAGACGGTTATGCTGACTTGGGGTAGCGGTCAAAGTAAATGTATAATTGCACAAGCAAGGCGCCCAAGAGGAGAATGCTCAGAAATACCGCTGGAAGTGCGTGCGCGGTTCAGTCCGGCCATACGAAGAAGACTACGGAGTGTTACTCACACATAATGACACCCCCAAAGGGGTCTGAAATTACGCTACTCATCTCTGGGGCGAAGGGTGAAGGGGAGAAGAAGAGTAGGAATGAGAGATACTTGGAACAGATGCAATAAATATTATACCAGAAAGATAGATCATCATCGTTTCAAGATGATCATCTTCAATATAATAAGACAGGATTCATTCTCAATTTTATACAGCGCTTGTTGGCCTGATTGTGAGATGATGAAAAACTAGTGCTAGGAAAAATTGGTGTTGGGCCTGTATGAATTACACCCTGTCAAGAGTGGCACCGTTCGTGCTAAGTATCATTATCGTGATAAGTCCAGCACGTCGTTGCTCACCTAGGTATAAGAATACATTCACACAATTACTGAAGAGAAATAGCTATAATCCATAAGCGGAGCAAGGAAATCAAATCTCCGGGAGATCTCATCGTGTCTTCCGGTGTCCGCCTAGAAAAGATGTCCGGAGTCTCAGCGCTATGTACTTTCCAAGTCTTCATATGCGTCTTCTATCGCCTGTAAATACGGGCATGGGTGTCCGGGTTGAGCCATGCCCGAGTTAAAGATGCTGGCACCTGACGCCCTGGTCCTATCAAACCAATAACGATGAGCCACGACAAGGACAGCGAATCGGTCTCAGCGGCATGTGTAGATGCCAACACGGGATGATATTGTCGCAAAAATAGCAGAACACGAGGAAAGCATATGCTCAGCCGGTGATTCCAGGAAGGTGGAAGAGAAGGGAGTTGTTAGTTTGGATACAAGGAGGGAGCAAGGATTGTGCAGTTCGGCTACTTGAGTCACTCAGGAGTTAGCCGTCTCGCCGTGAGTAGATCGACAATCTGTCAGGCTTAGACAGTATTGAGTGGACCAGCAGACGCATTCCATCATGCTTCCTGGGGAACGTAAATGTACAGCCTTCAATTCTCACCCATTGAAATCAGTAACTCATCGAAAGCACTGGTTGTTCGGAGGATGGTACAGTGTGCCGGTGCTTCCAAGGAGAATGCATAGAAGGAATGAATGGCATCGCCATGAGCGCGTATACTGACCCTGATGTTTCCATAACGCACGTCATGAGATCGGGTGTGCGAACTCTGTGATGGGGATAGCGCCAGGGTCCAAGAAACAGGTATCTGAGTCACGCCAATACCTTACGTTCGCAGTCCATCAACACAGAAGCAAGCAAAGTGCACTAGTAAACTGCCGGGCCGATGAACTCGGAGAGGAATATACTTACAGTTACCTCGCGTAAAAAATGGGCGAAATCTCAATTCGCAGTTTTCCAAATCTGTCCCAGGTTCATGAAACCGATGGCTGCTGTCGCGTGAGCACTTATATCTACGGATTCGAAACATACTGTCAGCTTGTAATGAACAAGGAGGAATAAGCCATACCAGACCATGCGAGCACCAAATCGAGCTCATTCCATCGGCTCGGCCACCTGAGAACCTACTTCCCAATATCCCGACTCGTATACTATCTCACCTGGATCCGATACGCCGCCGAGCTATGGATGCTGAGATCCAAAGCACCATACGCGCGGCACAAAAGTATGACAGTAACGACAAAGAAGTATTGTAATCGCATTCCAGAAAGCAGGTCTGAGAGAGGGTTCAATGTTGAGCCAAGTCGCTCTGAGTCGCTTTCAGTAAAATGTAAGCAAGCTGGAACCAAAAAGTAGAAACGTACTGCAAATGTATATTTGCTATTTACGAGTGGAAGGGATTCCTGCCAATAGAATCGTACATCGAGGATGTGAAACCAGCTGGGACTATAGTTTGACGTAGTGGCTTAAGAGACGTCGCTGTACGAGCGGTTGGTGAAAATATCGGCTTGTCGGGCCGGTACCTGCCGGCAGTCTCATCCTTTCTTTTTTTTTTTTGGTGGAGCCTTATGAATCCCACAACCAACAATGTTAGTCTGAGGTTCAAGCTGGTTTTTGAGGAGTTTCACCTCTATTTTAGAGCCACCCCAGGGAAATGCGTTATGCACTTTGTGTGGGACTCCCATCATGTTTATGATATGGTATACCCACTAAAACCCTGGGTTGCCTTATCCAATTGTCAGGCAACTTCTCTTCATTTTCTAAACACCCGCTCCATGTGTGGAGTACTATTTTAGGGTTTAGATTATGTTTTCCATTTTTCTGCGTCTTTACTATTTGGCAGTCTAGCGATAGTCGTTGATTGATGCAGGATACCCAGCGGTTATGGATTTCTACTTTAGAATGCCATTTTGTTTCATCATCTTGTTTGCTAATTCTCCATTCACAGCGAAGTCTCCATATTAGAGCAGCAGATTCTGATATTAGAATATGGTATAACCTGTTTTTTCCGGCAGTCTCATCCTTGACCGCAATGATGAGCTCTGTGCTGTATTCTTCGCATACACGACAACCGCCGGACGGCTTCTTTGCCATATAGCTTGATAACATAGACGCTCAACAACCCAGTAGCCATGGGCCACTGCCCATGAACTCTCTTAAGTGCTGAGATTCAAGAGGGAAAGCGATGGGACGAAAATATTAGAGAGCAATGGCAAGAAAATAAATAATTACGAATTACCTGATGGCATAGCCCTACCTAGCCCATCATTTTCAGCCGTGGACAACATCCTATAGGATTTTCTCAAAGCATCTCCTGCTGACTAGGTTCGGTTAGCATCAAGCGAGAGAAGAATTCAATTGGAATGCATCTTCCTCAGATGTAGCATTGACCAGCACTTGGCGTGCAGCTCTCGCAGCTGCTATTGAGGGGGAGCATCATGGAGAGCGTGGATTGGAGCCCTCAGACGGCAGCTCTTAAGGACAAACCCTTACTTCGACCCCTTCCTTAATTCAAGTCACTGCTAGCTCTTCACCGTAATAGTGATCCCTACCCTCCAAGCTGATTGCCATAGCATTAAAGGATGTTTGTTCGCACCAGGTCGGGACATCAATGTCACCAGGAGCTCGAACGGCTCCGTGGAGATTTTTCATTCGTCATTAATCTTCCTGTATCGAACCTTGGCGGCCTGACCCAATATTTTCATACTCAAATGACATACTCTTTCGCATCAGATCCGGGGCCCATAAATTGTACCAAACTCGCCTTGGCCAGTCCCGGCTCGGAGGTTCAACATTCCTGTTTACCTGCCAAGACGTCGCGATCAATGCTCGCAATTTCGTTCGATGTATCCGTCTATTCTGAGGCCGGACAGACTGCGAACAGCATTGGCATTCTGTTAAGAGATACAGAAGGAGGCGAAGGGAATCTATCCTCGCGAGAGCAAGGTTGACGAGAATCGAGGTCGCCGTTTATATACAACCAGTAAGCGCAATTACCCATCCTTCATGTATCTTGACGTCCTCCGGGAGCTGAAGTATCGCACATTTGACCTTACCTCCGCTAATTAACAGAGCTTTTTTCGTGCGCTATTGTATTGACGGTCAAGGGATGGTAACAGACTCTGACTAGATGTACTTTTCTAGGAAGGCTCGATTGTACGACCGTCATAGAAGGCGGGAATTAGAACTTGCAACTCAAGTTCGACAAACTACGCGAACGACACATCTAGGCGCGAGCTAACCAAAGCTCTGGCACTTGAACAAAATTCATGGACGGGCCCTGAAACAGCTGGAGTTTGATATTGGCGCTGTAAGTAATAATGAAAGAGAACGGAAGGATATCCATGGTAGTGGGGATAAAATAGTAAACTGCACGCACATCCAGACTTGAACATGTTAGCGACGTTACATAGCATTCAAGACTACCTCACAGCCAAGCTCCTTCAACCTCGGAAAATTGCCCTCCATGCGAGTCTTGAATGTATCCCACTCCGCCGGCCTCGGTCTAGATCTGAAAGTAACCGCAACACGCTCCAACAATGTCATCTTGCTGGAGGTGCAACAGGCATCCAGCCTCATCCACAGGTCTTTCCAATCCAATGAAAGATCTTCTTCAGGTTCAGGATGAAGCGATATGATTTTAAACGTAATCGAACGAATGGCGCAGTTTTCATTCACCGCTGCAAGGTTGGAGATCCACCAATCTAATATATGGGAGATCTGATTGGCCAGCGGGGATATTCGCACAACCGTGACCACAATCTGCTCGATGCTGGAGACATCAAGTGTTTCCGATGACGCTGTCCGAAAACCTGTAATCGCGAGAATAAATACAGGCAAGTAGCGATTAAACAACGTATACAAACCTGGCCCGAAATGGGTTACGCGAATATGTTTGAGAGAACGGCGCGAGCGGGTTAAATATTCATTAAGACATTGTAGAACAGTAGTGCTCTCATGTTCAAGAGCGATACTGAGTGTATCGACATTAGTGCAGGAAAACGGGCATGGACCCGACGATAAAACCAACTTCATCAGGGTCTCAGCAGAATCCTGAGAGCCATCGATATGTATCGTCACTGGGGCAGGGGTGAAATGAAGGGAGTGGTTCATGTTACATTCCTCTGTGATCCCACTATTAGAACACATGATGCGTGCTTCTTGCAAGTCAGGCGAATTTTTGACAAGCAAGCAAATCTCGCCCATCGATCTGAAGTGGAAGTGCTGACCTATGACGAGGGTGTGGTAAGAGTGGGACTGGAGACTTGACACAACAGAATCAGGCATAGCGTGCCAGCTTCCACTGCTAAGAGATAAGCAGGTGACATTGATGAGGGATTCAATGACTGTCAATGCTCTGAAATCCACAGGAGAAATATAGATCGTACGGAATGTGAACTTGATCTCGAGAGATTTAAAATGAAGAGCGAGCTTCGGAGCCATGGTGATCAACTCGCGGAGACGATCACAGTCGGATTTGCCTCTCAATAAGGCAACAGAGAATAGATGAATTCTGGTTCTTGGATAAAAGGCTCTGCAAGCCAATGATGCTCGCAGCAGTGATTTCTTGTTCCCGTGCAGCTCGTCGATAATGGCATCAAGAATCTCTGGAGGGAGATCCAATAGTGGCATTCTAGTATGCGGAGATGCTGGACAGCTAGATTGAAGAAAGCAGATAGAGTCGAGACCCTGCTAATTACTTTGTGGCAGGGAGGACCATACAGTAATGAGGCTGAGCGACTTCAGACACGTCTCGCAAAGATGACGGTTTTAATGAAAGATAACCGGTTAGTAACCGATGAAGGTCACCGAGTAATTGCCGGCTACTTCCGGATTTGAAACCTCCATCATCGCCGCCCAAGCCTGCAAGAATAAGCCGAGATTCATGATGTGCATATTGACTTTGATTATTTGGGCTAGCAACGAAGCCGGCCACCTGGCTTTTTCCGACTAATGCTGTGCCATGGCAACGCACCATGTTCGATATTATCTCAGGGGAGGCAACCGTGCGCCGAAACCCTAACATTGTTCTGTTCAATCACCGCCTTTTGACCGTAGCATAGGGAATGTCGGTACCACAACCACGATCGCTATGTTTCAAAAATGTCCTATAGAAAAGTCTCGGACGTTCACCTTTTAGTAAGGCTTCCTCTGCACGCGTTTCGCTTCTGGCTGCCCTTTATATTTGGGGGTAAGTTCAACAGTCTCGTCCTCCCCCCTTCCCTCCCGCGCGCTCTTAATCCCGTTTCATTTGACATGACAAACACATCGGACGGGCTCAATATTCTCTATGATATCATTAGATTAACTTGCCAAACTTTAGTTTATGGTGAGCCCTCCTCTCTCCTGGTCGAACAGTTCATTAAAATCTTAACACGTAGGCATGTACATAATCATCATGCTGGTCTGCTCCTTTGTTATGTTGTGCGTTGTTTTCTTTTACCAGCTTCTTGCTTTGCGACTGATAGCGTTGTAGGAAAAGAGGTCTTAGAGGGAAATCGCGTATCTTGCTGTTCTGCATACTGGTTTTCATGTTCTCCTTTTCAACGGCCTATTGGATCGTATCGATATGTCAAGCCGTGTATGTCATCACCATCTCATTTGTGCATGGCATCCCTCTGGATAGTATAGCTTATGCGTACGGCGAAAAACAAGACATAATGAACGCTCTTGTCCTCCTGAATGTGAGTATCCGAGTCTATTTTCTGTAAAGGTTTTATATCCAACGCTCCGCAGTATGTGCTAACCGACGGCATTGTCGTTTGGCGGGCATGGGTAATCTGCCGAGACTGGTATAGCAAAATTTTGATCCTTCCACTCGTATTCCTATGCTTGACCCTCCGTGAGCTTTGGTTCTTCTTTTACCGGACATCCTGATTCCTGCTCACAGTTGACATGATAATAGTGTCCGTTTTCGTTACAATCGGACTGCGCATCACGATAAGTACCATGTCCGTCAGCCGGCACACCGTCATGGACCATACACCCCTGACCCACGCGCTTAATTGTTCCCAAATAATAAATTTAGCCCTGTCATTATTGACCAACATTTTTTCTACTTCGATTGTCGGAGTCAAAGCTTGGTATGCGTCATGGTTGTTCCTTATATTAATAAGATCTGATCTGTTATCTATACTAGGCGTCATAAACACTGTCTTATGTCCGAGCTTCAGGTGAAGCGGAGAAAGATAACCGTAGCAGAACGAATCTTCACTTTGCTTGTCGAGTCCGGGATCATTTACTGTCTTTCTGGAGTACGTGACCATTCGAACGATTTATATTACATCGGATTTTCAATTCCTCCAGATAATGGCTCTGATTGCCACTGAGATTCAACTTCCATTTGGCAATCTCAGCGATGTCTACACTCCGGTCCAGGTCCAGTTTGCGGTCCGTACTCATTGGTTCTCGTTCTAGCCGGTCAAACTGACTGTTCAAACTAGGGGATCTATCCAACCTTGGTTATTCTTCTCGTCAGCCGCCAAGGTGAATTAAACGAGACTACCATGTTCACGGTTGAGGACAAGCGCAATCCCTCGGAACAACCATCGAGTGTATTGATTCTGGATACCATTGAGTTTGGTGATAATCCTCCCCTCAGCAGTTCGTTCGGAGAAGCAGAGACCCTTGCGGATGTTAGACGTAATGAGTCGATGGTGTCCCGGCTTTCTCGGGCATAGCGAGCTGGACGACGCTGGCATTGTTTTACTTTGCATTAGCATGACTGAAGCTCTCTACTAGAGTGGCGAACCAACCACCCTCAGCACTTCTGTGTGTTCCATAGTAGACAGGAACTAGAGAGCTTCCCTTCAGGAACACCTTGTCGCGACAGATCAATCTCAAATGAGTTTCTGATATAAGCGAGCTTCAGAACCGATGTCCGTTCCATCGCACCACCACTATCGATTATTGTAAGCAATCAACGACCGGAATGACCCGGGTCTTTGGCAATGTTCTATGCAACGACATTTACTGGTGCTCGAGGTACCTTCTACGGTGAGCGGTGAGTGGGAGTGTTCCGATCATAACAATCAACCACTGATGAGATATTAATACGATGTATCTATTTCAACTGTAAGCAAAGATAGTCTAGGACCATCTGGTAAAGTAGATCAGCATTGGTTGCCGTGACTGTTAAAAGAAAACGTACAAATCCCCGGTAATCTCGAGTGATAATGACTACAGGTCATAACTGTTGTCGTCCTCGCATTCTTCCTGATCGTTGGGCATCTCCATATCAAGCATCCAATGTCAGGAGGACACTTATCAGCACACCCAGAGAACTCTGAACAAAACGAGAAGGTATGGTCCCGCCGAAGTTAGGCTGCGACAGTGGAATAATTCCTTCGCGAAACTTGAATGGCAGGGACAGATATAGCTAAGACTTGTAAGAATGGAACTAGAAACAGGGTTATTATCCAGACAGGACAGATGAGCGCTGTTATTGCACAGCCCAGCTCCAATAACAGCAAGTCCTGCAGAGAGAATGCTATACTCAGCGCCACCAGTAGTCCGAGCTGCGCCTCTACGTCAGACGATGCAGAGAAATGGCCTTGATGCAGCATACTGAAAGATGGGAAGCGGCTAAAGAAAGTCTTGCTATTTCATCAAAGGTACAATCTTACACTATACTTTCAAGCCTACTTCTTCATCATAGCTTCGGCAGTGGGCCCAGCGGAGTCGTCCGACGCAGCGAGGTTACACTGGTGGAATGCACGATTATGGAATATCACCTTTCCAGTCGAGCGGGTAAATAAGCTAGCGATATAATCAGTGATTTGTCCGACGTCAGAACACAAATTACCCACTTTGGTGCAATAGCCAGGTGGTGCAGTACAACAACCTTCGCACTTCCTTCTCATGTCCGTAAGGCGCGTACCGTCAGTGTATAACATGGCCTTCCCTACTCTGGTACGTGCTCAACGAGTAACTTCGTCGTACCACAAGGATGAACCTGAATTTGCAGCTCTCCCGTCACAGGGCCCTTCCAAACAGCCGGCAGAATCTTCAGCCGGGCCTCCTCCCAGGGAAGAAGCTCGCCTAGCGACAAGTCCGATCCCACAGATTCGATACCTAGCCCAGTTCTCATCGCATGCGCAGGGGCAATCCATACATATAGGCGAGGTACGCACTTGACTTTGGAATGCACAGCGAGACTCTTGAGTTCCGAAGAGAGGATATCGAACACGATTTGCCCAGAGACGAACGCAGTCGTTCCCAAAGGCACAGGAAGTTCATCGCCGGTCCCGTCATCATACCGGCATATTTACTGAGGACCAGCCAGTACATTGAAGCCATACCGAGTGGTCACTCTAGGCGGGGATAAATCGTACAGCGTAGCGTCGATGTGCCAGTGATATAATCGGTTTTCCCAGTCGGTCCCATCCTGCTGTAATTCTCGGGATCAAAGGCCTAGAAGGATGTTTAGGTTGTTCCTGCTGCAGATATAGATAAGCATACCTTGGTCGACACCTACTGCTCCGGTGACGGGTAGACGTTGAGAGACAGCGGAACATTGTACTGGGGATGATGAGCGGTTCGGTATATGCATGAAATCAAGCAACACACCTTGTACATAGCATCCTGGGATTGCATTCCACGATGCTTCACTCTCCATCAACATCAACATACAGGGTTCAATTCTCACCCAACAGCCTCCAATCACTCCTTCCAAAGTCGATGCATGGATTTCGGCCGAACCCACTAGTTGCTCTGAGGGTGGTGTCGAACGCTGGCATTGTCGTCAAGGAATTGGCGGAAGAAAAGATATCGTTGGCGAGAGTTTGCCTTTCTCGGATGCTCGCCCTTGAAGTCGCCCTATTACGTTCACGTCAAAGTGAAGAAATACAAGGAAAAAAGAGAGACGCACCTGTCGAAGAACAGGAAATCGTCAGGCCGTCACAATCCTGGATCTGCAACGGAATATATGCGCCTGCACACCATCAGAGTCCTTGAAACTTAAACTTTATGCTTCATGTCCCCCATGGCATTCGCAGATTCTGACGAGCATCTGAGAAAAAGGTGGCACCGGTGGTCATCGTGGCCATTGGTCCCCGATTCTTTCCAAACGAAGAGAGGAATAGAGAGGGTGTTTATCAGGGTCTAAGCGACCGATCAACCACCATAGAGCGTGGGCAGGGGCTATTTGTGAGTATTTTATTTTGCGTACTAAATCTTTAGAGACTAACATTGCCCGTAGCTTTTCGGAATGTTGTCCGTGACCACATTGGTTTGCGGGCGCTCTGAGATGTCTTCGCCGCTTATGATGTGGATTGGTTAAAAAAGACGATTTAAAGTGTCCCCCCTTTTCCGGAACTTTCAGCGCTTTTAGTGCTTCCTGTTTCTTGCCCCAGATAATACTTCTGGTTGCCACACTGATTCGACTTCCATTCGGCACCCTCGGCGACCTCGACACTCCAGTCCAGGCCCAATTCGCGATCCGTACTCATTAATACTCATTATAGCTGACCAAATTGACCATAATTCAACTCACCCAGGGGATCTATCCAACCATAGTCATCCTTCTCATCAGCCACCAAGGTAGTCTAAACGAAACTGCCATGTTCACGTTTGAGAACAAAAGCAATCCCCCGGAACAGCCGTCGAACTTGGGTACCATGGAGTTTGGTGGTAATCCGAACATGAACGGCTCGATTGGAGAAACGGAGACCCTTGCGAATGGTAGACGTAGTGGGTCGATGGTATCACGGCTTTAGCAAGATGGACGACGCTGGCGTTGTTTTACTTTGCAATAACATGACCAAAGTACGTGCTGAACCATCCACCCTTAGTGTGTTCAATAGGAGACGGGAACACCTTGTCACGTCAGATAAATCCCGAGTGCGTTTCTTCAGAACCAATGACACTGCGACATCCAGCATTATTCGTCTATTCTGCAGGGCTTGCCACCGATGCATTCTATGTGTTGGAAACTACTTGTCGGTAACAGCAGGACTTGGTAGGTAGTTTCTGCAGAATGCTCTGTGTTGCCCTGGAGCACCATGACTACTGAACGGGTTAAAACTGCTCTTCGTACCCGTACCTGCCGTGCTCGCAGGGGCCCGCTAAAGATTGAATGACAAGTGAGCTTGCATAAATATCAAGCTTGGAAGATATCCGAGGACTAGACTAGAATACGTCGTTGATTATTACTATACAAACAACAAGATCGTCGAAGATAGCGATACTTAAGAGTCGTAGTTCCCGCTATTATCATCGTGCATTTTTTCGGCCTAGGTTTGCACTGCCTTAGTCAGGCGGTCTTTCGGAATGTCTTGTCGTCTGGCAAAAACCTGGCTAGCTGACATTCTTCGGGCTACAAGGGTATCTCATCTCATGACTCATGCTCGGCGCTTATGAATACCTGTTGATCCTCATGAGGATAGATACTAAGGGAAACAAGAAAATTGAACCTACAGCGACTCCCTGTGATCGAACTTACAACGGACAATAAACCATTGTCAGAATGGTGAAAAATAATTTGAGGAAATACGTACCTCGATATTATTGCACGACATGGCCATAGAGGCCACTTCATCTCCGATATCCTGGAATGTGGGGTTGGCGCTAGACACGATTGAATCGTCCACAGTGGGTATATAGATAATTACTGCAGAGGTCATATTACGCACTGCGTTAAGACTGGAAAGTGCTGAATAACTGTCAGTGTCACTGAATCAACACATGTAGATAGGCGTACCTGAGTTTGTGTACAGTTTAGGCAAGATAAATACGACCCCTGAGAGGTAATGATTAGGGTGGTCAAACAGAACAGGAATTGGAGAGCCCGCACAAAGATAGTAAGGCCGACTCTGTCGGAAGCATAAGCAGGAAGGAAAAAATGACTCAGGTTGAACACTTACCGTCACACCGAGACTCAAACCTACATCAGTTAGGGCGACGGTGGCGGTGAGAAACCCTGTCGATCGCATTAAGCCTCACAATGCAGGCCACGGAAAAGTATGGGACTTGCCATTCTGTATCGTCACTGTTCACTCAGATGCTTCAGCATAGGGGAAAAACATCTCAGTTGGACAAGAAACTCACGTCGTGTAATTCTATCTAAGATACGATTAGTCCGCCTGATGGAACCTTTTGCTCGCTGCAGATATATGACGATAATGATTGTGATAACGAGGTCCACAAGTGCCGCTGGAATAAGCCATACAAGAATGGGTGCGCCCACTTCATTACGAAGCCCATTCCAGTCAACTGATTCGGCGATTAAGAAGCAGAGTATACTTGTCGCCATACTGCCGGCAAAAGATGTCAATGTGCAGAGGACGATCACACCGAGGTAGAAATAGTTGATACAATCAGCAAGTTTAATCAGAAACGGCACTTGTCCATTTGAAAGATATATATAACGTACTTGGTTAACACCCAGATCTTCCATGCAAAAAAGCCTTGAACCATTCCTGCGATGATACCCTCCAGAAGCGGGTCAGTTACGGCAGTCCATTCAGCTGCGAAAAAACGCTGTAAGCATAGGCATTCAACGGTGGCTGGCATCGAGAAGTTACTGACTTTTGGTGAATGCGACGGGATTCCCAAAATTGTCGATCAGGAGGTTATAAATCCTGCGAAGATGTCAAAACTTAAGCATACTAGTTAAGTTATTGTTGCCTTATCCCGTACCACATAAGGACAAAAACAGAGTCGAGAACATCCAAGGTAAAGAGAACTATGACAAATGCCTTGAGCCAGATATTGTCCCTTGAAGAACGAATCAACGGTTGTCGTAAAAGAAGACAGTTATGCTGACTTGGGATAGCGATCAAAGTAAATGTATACCTGCACAAACACAGCACCCAAGAGGAGGAAGCTAATAAATATAGCTAGAAGTGGGCGCGGTTCAGCCCAACCATACGAATGAGGAGTTTAGTTCTACTCACATACAACGACGCCCCCAAAGGGGTCTGAAATTTCGCTACTCATCTCTAAGGCGGAAGGGGAGAAGAAGAGTAAGAATGAGAGATAGTTGAATCAGACGCAATATTATATCAAAAAGACGGCCATCACGTTTCAAGATGATCACCGATGATCACCGTCAATGCCATAAGACAGGCTTCATTCTATAACCCACAACATTTCGTGACCGGATTGTGAGTTGGTGAGGCACCGGTGTTGGTATATGAATCACGCTTTATTAAGAGCTGCACCGTTCGTGTTAAGTGTTATTACCGTAACGAAGAGGCAAGTCCAGCATACTACTCACCTAGGTATAAGAACCTCATCTTCGGGCAAAATACTGAAGAAAAGCTAGAGACGATTGTCAGATTCTGCATAGTCCATCAGAATAGATAAGCCGGACGAATACAGCAAACGGAGCTCAGCAGCTTGTGTAGATACCAACACCGGATGATTTTGTCGCGCGACGGGACACGAGTAAAGTATATTATTAGCCGGTGATCCTAAGAAGGTGGGAGAGAAATAAGCTGTTAATTTGGATGTAAGAGAGGAGCAAGAATTATGCTCTAATCGCTCAGCCGTCTCGCTGTGAGTAGAGTAGCAATCCGTGAAGCTTAGACAGGCATTGCGCGGGCAGCATACGGATTCTATTATGCTTCCCGGGAGGCGCATACGGCGTTCGGTTCTTGTTCGTCGAAACCGGTCGACGCGCGAATTTGGTTTCTTGAAATCCTAGTCGTTCGGAGAATGGTACATTGTATCGGTGCCACCGAAAAGAATGTATACATGGCATGAATAACACTGCCAAGAGGCCATGTACTAGCCCCGACGTTTTCATAGCGTGTGTCATGAAACCGGGTGTGCGAACTCTGCGGATAGCGCCGAGGTCCGAGAAATAGCTATTTGAATCACAACCAAACACCAGTGCCTATACCACTCCTCGTTAGGTTGAGGAAAGACGGTAAGAGAAGAAGAGACGCACCAGTAGACCTATTGGTAGAGTACGAAAAGGGGGGAACCGTCATACTCCAAGTACCTAACGTACTCTCCGAAGAATTGATCTAGTTGATGGAACTATGAAACTATCCTGGAATAGCCACGGGTATTGATAAAAAGCGTAAAAGTCTCTCAGGCAATTCTCATGGCCCGACTTCGGAACGAAAAATATAACTGTCGTAGCGCTAAATCAAGTCCATTAATATGTATGACACAGAGGCAAGCAAGCATACAAGTATACTGTTAGGCTAATCAAAGTTATTTGTTGATCATATACTGGACTGCCCAGAGGGGATCGCCAGGTCTTGTAGAATCAAGTGAGCTGTTGACCTCCACCATTCGTCAGCTGGGACGATCCTCGAGACCGCGAAGTGTCGTGGATAGAAAGGATCGTAAGATCAGACACGAAAAAACTTGCAGCGGAAATGGATTGTCCAATGCTATCCACTTTCAGGTCGTACCGGAAACGGTGAAAGAAAATCCTGTTAGTTCATCAAAAAATACAATCCTACACTAGACGCTCTTCAAGCCCACTTCTTCACATCTTCGGCCGTAGGTCCAATGGGATCATCCGACGCAGCGAGGTTACACTGGTGGAACGCCCTAACCTGATCCGGAGTGAAAGCGCCAACGACGCTATGCAAGACCCTGCGATTATGGAATATAACCAGATCCTTCTCTTTCCAGTCGTGCGGGTAAACGAGCTAGCGATATGATCAGTAATTCACCCTATGTCTGAATATAAGTTACCCACCTTTAGCGCAATAGCCGGGCGCTGCGTCTTGTACAACAGCCCTCGCACCTCCTTCAAGTCCGTAAGGTGCGCATCGGGGTACAACGCGCCTTCCTTGCTCTTTCCCTCGGGAATCGGCTCAACAAGCAACTCCGCCACATCACAAGGATGAACCTAGAAGTGCAACTCTCCCGTCACAGGATTCTTCCAAACAACCGGCAGGATCTTCAGCTTGGCCTCCTCCCAAGGTGGGAGCTCGCTCAACGGCAACTCCAATCCCTCAGACTCGATACCCAGCCCAGTCGGCATCGCATGAGCAGGAGCCATCCAAACGTACGGATGAGGTGCGTACTTTACTTTTGAGCGTACAGCAAGTTCATGTCCTCTATGGCATTCGCAAATTCTGATGAGCATCTGAGGCAGCACTAGTGGTCATCGTGGCTATTGGTGAAGGAGCGGCTGATCGGGCCGGGACGGTCTGACCTTCAACTGCAACTGCGATGACGATTTACTACGACGATTTCCCCTGCCCTCAAAGCTCAGACAACCCATTTATTTCCTAGTCAACAACCGTGTACGTGCCGTTAAATCTCAGCGCTCATGTCCAGTCACGAAGCTGTCATCGCAGTCGTTACACTTTGTTCTATATATATTGATTCGGCAACTGGTCAAGATGGAGAGTTAGAGTTTAGAAAACCGGCATGCGGTCCCAATAAGGGAGAAGTTCGGCATTTGCTGTCGGTATTCAGACCGTTTGGGCCGTATGCTCAATACGTTCCTTCCAACTTCCAGGTGGAAAATTGTGGCCTGTGTATAGTCGGTATTAAAATGGCTGACATCGCGGATGGGATTTTCCTAGGCTTGGAACTCGCACTTCGCTTACCATGTCCTTCTCTCCACGAAAAACGCGTAACGCGACCGGTGCAATCCGGAACCGAGCCATTCCAGCTGCAGCAGCACGTCCAACGAAGAAAGGACGCGTCATTTCGTTGTCAAAAGTTAACTCCAACATATCACCGGTACAGCGACTTCACGACCTCCTTACCGATGCGTTGAATACCGCAAAGTCACTCGAAATGACTCCTGACAATCACGTCGCCCTTCAAGATGTCCGCCAAATTGCTGTTTCACTTCTGGATATTCTTCCAGGGGACAAAAGAGCAGTTAGAGACCTCAAATACGAGTTGCACGGTATTTCTCTGACGTCGTTGTCAAATGAGCTTGCCACAAGTGAAAAATACGACCCGGAGGATAGACATGATAAACAAGGCCCGCTGATGGATAGGATCATGAAGGAGGTTGTTGGATGGCTTCCCGATATCTAGCTCGCGATGGCTGAAGAAAACGCAGACATGGACCTTATCCGCAGATGTTTGAACCTTTGTTCATCAGCCAGCCGATGATCTGTTTGTCAATCGCTATTTCTCCTAGTGTTGTGTGATACTGACGAATCTTATCCTATACTAGTGGGCGACGAATATGACTGTACCGACATACTGATCATCACAAACTCGGAGAAGAAGACGTCTATAATCAAAGTCACTACGTTGTCGACTATATGGCTTGGATGTGGAGAGAATTCTTCGTATTCTCAGCTATCCGAGGTTGTCCAGTCTCGCCTAGTCAGGCCATAAAGGATGATGAACTCTATGAACAAGTATTTCAGTCTATTCCGTCAAGACTACGAATGGTACGTTTCCCACAACATGGACATTCTCCACTTTGTTTGACTGATGGCATCGCAGATCCAAAAAACATGGATGGATATGCTTTCCTGCGATGACCACTGGTCAGGAAGAAATGAGGATCCATCGCCCACCGTCTTTATGCTGAACGTCACAATCACCGAATCACCTGAAGTTCATCACGAAAGCCATCTTTTCACCCTGTACACTAAATTAGTATCAGATTATCCTGACGTCAAGAGTTCGCTTCTATCCTCGGTCAAAGAAGCGACTCTTCTTAGACAAGCCTTTCATTCGATACTCGGACGCGGCGGAAATCCTGGCAGTAGTCTCCCAAACAGAAGATATCGTCCTTCTGCTCGATTGCTTGACCAAGAAAAACTTTTACCCTTCACACCCCAGCCATCCTCATCGTCGTCAAATATCTCTCCAAAGTATCCGACAAGAAACTTCGAACTCGTGCTCTCGAAGTCGTCGAGAAAGGGCTCAAGACGTCGAAACAGGACACGTTAGATGCCGTGAACCATCTGTTCCCAGGACTGGGTGATGCACAACTCTGGCTTTGTCGCCTTCGAGATGCCGGAGACTTTCCTTTTGACGACGACATCCTCCACGATAAATATAAAGAGCGGGATGCAAACCTTTGTAACTTTGTCGAATGTGCAGCCAACGGGGGCCCCGCTGACTGACCCCAACTGGGCGCCTCCAGTGAAGAAGCCTGAGATTCAGAGGGAGTTCGATGTCGACGATGAGGACGATTATCTTGAAGAGGTGCCTCAACTGTCGGAACGTGACTTGGAGCGGTCAATCCAAGACTGGGCTCAAGTTTTGAGCGAATGGCCTGATCAGAAGGCAGCGGCGGAGATGCGGAATAGGGTCAGGTTTGATGGCTCCGAGTTTTTGCTTTCTTCCGTGGAGGGTGCAGAGGAAGCGTTGATGGACTGCATACAGAAGGCCGAAGCGGTACAGATAGAGAAGTGGCGCCAGGCCAATCCTCCGGCTCCTCTGCCACCACCACGGCCAAAATCGCAACCCCGGCCGCGTTTCTGGGGAATTCCAGCGCCGTAGGTCTTTTCTCTCAAGAGGCTATGTTCGATGGACCAATAATAAATTTGTATAGCAGTTACAGATCCTACTATGACTATGACAAGTCTCCCAGTCGCGTGTACAGCTATGTCACGGATGGTTTGCAAGCACTGATCAAGACGTTCGCTTGTCAAGACCATCGTAGTTTGTGCAAATAGATTCGTATGCAGTACTCTGGTTTCTTCCATTCGTCAATATTTTGGTACGCAGAATATAGCTAAGTAGTAGATTTGGCATGGCTATAAGTTATGAAAAGGTTCAGTTTTGATGTGGTCCCGCGGAGCCTTAGGCGCGACAGAGGAAGAATCCCTTCACGAAGCTTGAACGAACAGAACATGTCCTGACCGAGGAGATGCAACTAGAGACGGTATTATTATCCAGCTTTGTACGGGATAGACGAAGTCTTACCCAAACGGACTGTCATAACGGACCCTGCACAGAAACTGCCATACTTGCCGCCATTCATGCTCAGAGCCGCACCTAGACGTCAGATGAGCTCCGACAATTATCGGGAACTTTTGAGCGAGGTGCTGACATGAGCAGGACAGCTAAGGTATTGGATAAAAATGCTCTCACCAGAGTCTGATTGGTTGAGGACGATATCAAGATCACTCCTCGTAGAATCCGCCATCTCGGAGCGTGACACAGGAATACTTTATCCAAGGGGTAAATAACCTGGGCGGTATCCTCGATAACATTTCACGCTGTGTTCATCGCCTAGAGTCCGTAAGGGTTGGCATCGTCCAGTTCCAGTTGCTCCGTGACGGAAAGTTCATGTTTCATGGAAGCAAGAGAGTTATAGCACGTATGGAGGCCAGAATTCTCGCGATGGTGGTGCCAAAGGCCCGGGAGGAAAAGGACCGGGCCGGTAGCTGGTCTGACCTTTCTCCACGACTGCGATGACCTCGACGTCCGACCTCGAAACTTCTGGCTCTGTATCCATCGTTGAGGATATTCATGGAACGCATGACGTGTTATTTTTAAGACCGGCATTGACTGGACGCAGGATAACCAGCGGTATGGATTGCAGGGTTCATGAAATCAGGAGGGAATGCCAAGCGCAGTCTCGCGCTCGAATTTGAGGAGAAAGTGCACATCTACTCTGAGGCTGCTCAACCTGTAGGCACGTAACATTGGTCTTCACTCTTGTTGACTTCCTAACTGTTACACAGGCACGTCCAATATCACTTGAAGTCGAAGAACGTTGGGCGGTTCACGACGATACCCTCTGTCAACAACAATCTGGGATTCATTTCCATCTGCGAAGTTGTCATATCTGAGAAAGCATCCTAGTATTCGCAGAGTAGTGAGGAATTGTCCTGTCAAATTAGCTCTCAAGGCTGAATTCAAGGAAAAGCGAATTCTCGATATCAACATGTTTGGTTGAACATCGTCGAACCATTTCAGTCCAGACTGTCGAGAATGTCGATGGAAGGCTGATACTCGTGTGACTAACACAAGTGCGTCCCGTCGCCATATCTACTTTTCCTGAAACTAACGACGTCTGCAGGAACGAGCCTACGTGTCCCCACTACAGCAACCCGGTAGCATCCCAGTCGATATCATCCAAAAGGCTTCCAAGTTAATACCATTCGAACCATGCAGACCTTTCTTCGTGATGGCATATCGAACATATCGAAGTCCGACGCCACCAAGGACCGGTACCACATGTCCTACGAGTCTTTCAAGACATCCTCGAGTAATCGCGCTCCTGCCCACTTAGCATTTTTTTCGCCGACTTTCGACCTACGCCATGCCAGTGCTGGGCTACGAGGGCGTCAGACTCCGATGATAGTGACACACATCTTGTCACTACCATTCCGGACGATACTGTACCAGGTACCCCCATTGTCCATGCCTTTTTTTGCCACAGATCCCTTCTCTGACGACCATTGATGTTATGTCAGGACCGCGACTCTAAGTATTCCTGATTGGCCCTTACTGTCACCACCAACACAACTTTAAATCCACCTGACGTCCATCCATATCGTTCGCTAATACTTTCGAGGTACATGCATGTCCAGCTGATTCAACTGTATTCATGTCACTTTTGTGCGGTCAATACAATAGTGGGCGGTACTCCAATCTTTGATGTGCGAAATGACTGCAATCCCGTAGAGGCGGACAGACCAATCTTACAGTTGTTTTCCTCCTCGAAAACTAGACCACTAAGTCGACGTACACCAGCATGGCGCAATTCCTTCCAGGTCTGCCCTAAATCAGGTTCCAACACTAGGACGACGCAACACTATCAAGAGATCGATATGTCCATTGGACCGAGCTATACGAACTGGTGCTCCATAATAAGCACATATTCACATTCAGTTGGACCCATCATCGGTCCCCCATTCAAATGTGAGTAAACAGAGAGCAAAAATAAGTCATTCTCTAATGATAGGCAAGCTTCTTAAGGACTAAAGGGAAGGGAGAAACGACCCACCGCAACTCCTTCCCAATGATTTCGACTCTCCTGTTAGCGTTTCTTCTAATCAGTGCCACCCGGGTATTATATCGTCTATCCCTCCTTTTTAATCGTCGACGTCTACCCCTTCCTCCTGGACCCAAGGGACTCCTACTGATAGGGAACCTCTGGGATGTGCCCGTAGACCACCCATGGCTAACCTATGCTCGATGGGCTGCTACCTACGGCGATGTCTTATATCTGGACACACCCGGAAATCCGACCATTATAATCAACTCGGTTCAGGCAGCGACCGATCTCTTCGAAAAACGTTCTGGGAATTATTCTGATAGGCCGGGTAAGGATGGAAGATCCTTCAATGTCTCAGTATTGACAATGTCACGCAGATTTCACCATGTTAAAGCTAGCGGGATGGGACAATAGCTTTAGCTTTATGCGATATTCTGATTGGTGGAGGTCAGTGCAATCGCCGTGTGGTCTAATTCTTCTCCTTCCTTCTTCTCTTCACAGAAAACACCGCAAAATGTTTCATCAGTACTTTCAGCCTCGTGCAGTTCCTGCGTACTACTCTGTGCAAATGAAGGCCACATTAGACTTGCTCCAACAGCTGCATAGATCTCCCGACACATTTGTTCAGCACGTCCGCCAGTAAGCTGGGCGTATCCCTGTAGCTTGGTCGTTGAAACTAACAGCCTTCCAGCCTTGCCGGTTCAATCATCATGAAAACTATCTACGGATATGATGTAGACCCAAATGGTGATCACTTCGTGGAATTGGTAGATCAGGCTGATGAAAGCATTCGCGCCGCTGGGAACATGGGAGCCTTCCTCGTCGATTACATCCCCAGTTTGCAATACCTTCCGCGTGAGTATGCTTGTATCTGATCGCTAACCTGGGGTTTATATTAAAGGCGGAGTCGTTAAGGATGGATGCCTGGTGCAAAATTCTTGAGCCTTGCGTGCGCATGGAGAAAAGACGTTAAAGACATGGAAGAAGAGCCGTTTAAATATACCATGGAGTCGCTAGTGGGTCCTTGTTTGTTGGTTGATATCAGTTGCGATCCATATTGACGCTTAATCAAGGCAAAGGGCAACGCGCCCCCTTCATTCGTGGCGGAAAATCTAACAAAGAAGGGGGCGTCAGAGGATACGAAGCACCTCGAAATTGTAAGGAATACGGCTGCGGTTGCCTTTTCTGGTAGGGTATTTCTCCGCCCTTCGTCGAGCATCTGATCTTACGCCCAAACCTTGATTAGCGGGAGCTGACACAGTGGGTTTTCATTCCGAAGTATCGTTCGGAGTCTCTAATCCTTGTCAAAGACCGTGTCTGTCATTCTTTCCGTGATACTCGCATTCATTCTGTACCCAGAGGTACAAGCTAAAGCCCAAGCTGAGGTGGACGCCGTGATTGGCCACGGCACCCGTCTACCGAATTTCGATGACCGTCCGCAACTGCCCTATATTGATGCCATCGTGTTGGAAGCACTGAGATGGAAACCTGTTGCCCCACTTGGTACGTGCTTTTAGATTTGCGAGTATGCTTGAGTTCATTAGTTTTGATGTTAGGTGTCGCTCATCGTACCATGGAAGAGGATGTTTACAGAGGATATTACATCCCTGCGGGTACGTTTCGAGTCCCTTGATATTGTCAGTCAATACTTATCGGTCTTCCGTAGGCGCCACTGTTATTGGCAATGCTTGGTCAGTCACAAGTTAATCTATGATATCAAAGCCTCGGATTGACAGACAACGTAGGCTCATGCTTCACGACGAAAAAGACTACCCTAACCCTCTGGTATTCGATCCCGACCGGTTCATGCACCAAGACGGTAAAGAAATGCAACCTGAGCCCACAGCCGCGTTTGGTTTTGGACGACGGTACGCACCCTGTAATGTAATCACGTCCAATGCCCTTAATGATATTATTGTAGTATCTGTCCTGGCCGTTATCTTGCATTAAATACTGCTTGGATTGCTGTTGCATCTATGGCTTCGACTTTGTCATTCTCCAAGGCGGTGGATTCTGAAGGTCGGGTCATTGAACCGAGTAATACTTATACGAGCACTTTTGTGAGGTAGGTCTTCCACGTCGGAGATCCTATGACGTGTTTTGATTCGAGGATAGTTTTCCCGCGCCTTTCAAATGCATGATCAAAGCGCGTTCGGCTACGGCGCAAGCGTTGTTAGATTAGGACGCATTGCACCTATTTGAAGCAACTGCTTTCGTCGGAAGTCTGATTTTACGTCCTTGGCTATCATAGTGTACGATGAGCCTTTGGTATCCCGAAGTTTGTGCATGTGTTGCCGGGTTTATTTCTCTCCAATGTTTTAACGCTCGTTGGTGCGGACTTTCTACAGCTAAGCATTGTGCCCATCCATTTCACTAGTTCGTCCTCGTAGAGTATATACAAAGATACCCTGTATCTATACTGAACGCGAGCGAAGTATAGTTTCAAAAATGGCTTTCAGAGCTTATGGATGGAAAAGATCGATGATCTCGGCCATTGTAGGATACATAGTACGAAGAATATGTTTCTTGGAAATACTATGAGTTGCGTCAGAAGACTGGGATGATAGTCGAAAGAAGCATAAGGTGTATACTATCCAGAACTCAAGATTCTAAAACCTTGACACAGCATCTAGAATTAATTCAAGGCCGCTTTGTTTCAGCCCCAGAAAAAGTCCCCCCATTTGAGCTTTGAGCGTGTCCCATCCTGCCGGCCGTGTTTCAAAAGTAATTGCAACGTACATATCCTAGTCGTCCGGCGAAGGCCTGGTTATGCTGGTATTCTTCGGGTTACGAAGGTATCTCATCTCATCACTCTCATGCTCGACGCTTATATTGAATATCTGTTGATCCTCATGAGGATATATACTAAGGGAAACAAGAAAATTGAACCTATAATGACTCCCCATGATCGAGCTTATAAGAGACAAAACCATCGTCAGATGGTGAAAAGTATTTTGAGGAAATACGTACCTCGGTACTATTCCACGGCATGGTCATAGAGGCCACTTCATCTCCGATATCCTGAATGTGGGGTTGGCGCTAAACACGATTGTGTCGTCCACAGTGAGTATACGAATAATTATTATGGAGGCAGCTTACGCACCGCATTAAGACTCGAAAGCGCTGGATAACTGTCAGTATCACTGAATCAACACCTGTATATAGGCGTACCTGAGTTTGTGTACAGTTTAGGCAAGATAAATATGACCCCCTGAGAGATAATGATTAGAGTGGTCAAACAGAACAGAAATCGGAGAGCCCGCACAAAGATGGTAAGGCCGCCTCTGTCGGAAGCATAAGTAGGAAGGAAAAAATGACACAGATTGAACACTTGCCGTCGCACTGACAGTCAAACCTACAGCAGTTAGGGCGACGGTGGCGGTGAGAAACCCTGTCGGTCACATTAAGCCTCGCGGTGCGGGCCACGGAAGAGTATGGGACTTGCCATTCTGCATAGTCACTGTTGACTTAGGTGCTTCAACATACAGCAAAAACATTTCAGTTGGACAAGAAACTCACGTCGGGTAATTCTGTTTAAGATACGATTGGTCCGTTTGATGGAACCTTTTGCTCGCTGCAGATATGTGGCGATAATGACTGTGATGACGAGGTCCCCAAGTGCCGCTGGAATAAGCCATACAAGAACGGGTACGCCCATTTCATTACGAAGCCCATTCCAGTCAACTGAATCGGCGATTAAAAGGCAGATTATACTTGTCGCCATACTGCCGGCAAAAGATGTCAATGTGCAAAGGACGATCACACCAAGGTAGAAATAGTTCCTACAATCAGTAAGCTTGATTAGAAACGACACTTGACCATTTGAAGGATATATATATAACGTACTTGGTTAACACCCAGATCCTCCATGCAAAAAAACCTTGAACCATTCCTGCCATGATACCCCCCAGAAGCGGGTCAGTTGTGGCGGTCCAGTCAGCTGCAAAAAAAACGCTGTAAGCATAGGCATTCAACGGTGGCTGGTATCGAAAAATTACTGACTTTTGGTAAATGCGACGGGTTCCCAAAATTGTCGATCAGGAGGTTATAAATCCTGCGAAGATGTCTCAACTTAAGCATACCAGTCAGGTTGTTCTTGACATATTCCGTACCACATAAGGACAAAAACAGAGTTGAGAACGTCCAAGGTAAAGAGGACTATGACAAATACCTTGAGCCAGATATTGTCCCTTGAAGAATGAATCAGAGGTTGTTATAGAAAAATACAGTTATGCTGACTTGGGATAGCGATCAAAGTAGATGTATACCTGCAGAAACATAGCACCCAAGAGGAGGAAGCTAATGAATATAGCTAGAAGTGCGCGCGGTTCAATCCAACCATACGCATGGACGACTGCGGAGTTTTACTCACATACAACGACGCCTCCAAAGGGATCTGAAATTTCGCTACTCATCTCTGAAGCGAAGGGGGGGGGGAGAGATAACAGTAGGAATGAGAGATAGTTGAGTCAGAGGCAATATTAAAAAGATGGCCATCAAATTTCAAGATGATCATCATCAATGCCATAAGACGGGCTTCATCCTATATTCCGCAACATTTCGTGACCTGATTGTGAGTTAGTGATTCTGAAGTAATCGGTGTTGGTATGTGGATCATGTTTTGTTAAGAGCAGCACCCTTCGTGCTAAGTGTTATTACCGTAGCGAAGAGGCAAGTCCGGCATACTACTCACCTAGGTATAAGAACTTCATCTTCGGGAAAAATACTGAAGACAAAGCTAGAGACGAAATATTGTCAGATTCTGCATAGTCCATCAAATTAATAGAAGCCAGACGAATACAGCAAACGGAGCTCAGCAGATGCCAACACCGGATGATTTTGTCGCCCGACGGGACACGAGTAAAGTATATTATTAGCCGGTGATCCTAAGAAGGTGGGAGAGGTACTAGGTAAAATTTCGTAGCTACGCTTCTCTCTTCCTTTACTCGATTGACTACGTACTCCACCGCTCATGTACTCCGTCAATCCCGTATCCGTGTCCTGATCCCTCGTGTGCTTCCATGCCCGCTAGGATTATTCCAACAATACGGCGTTCGGTTCTTATCCGTTGAAACCGGTCGACATGCGAATTTGGTTTATTGAAATCCCTAGTCGTTCGGAAGATGGTACATTGTACCTGTGCCTCCAAAAAGAATGTATACATGGCATGAATGTCATTGCCAAGAGCCCGTATGCTAGCCCCGACGTTTTCATAACGCGTGTCATGAAACCGGGTCTGTTGAACTCTGCGATGGGGATAGCGCCAAGGTCCGAGGAATAGCTATTTGAGCCACACCAATCAAACACCAGTGCCTAGTCCGCTCCTCGTTAGGTCGAGGAAAGACGGTAAGAGAAGAAGGGACGCACCAGTAGACCCGCTGGTAGAGTACGAAAAAGGGGGAACTGTCATACAACACCAACCTAATATACGGGAATGTACGCACTTGTCAACTAAAGTATGCTAATGCATGATTCTGACACCAGCTGCGATGCGCGATCATGCTAAAAGTAATACATTCTGCATCTGGCAACAGGAGCAGCACGAATGCCTTGATTCTCCGACCTCGTTCCGACATGCATTGTACAAACCAACCGTTTTGACGGGGAATCACTTCGGAGCATTGATAGTAGCTGATGGAACTACGAAATTGTCCTGGAATAGCCACGGATATAGCCGCGGCTTCCGAGATTGATAAAAAGCGCAGAAGTCTCGTCGGCAATTCTCAGGGCCTGTCCTCGTGGAACAAAAAATATAGTGGCTGTCGTAGCGCTAAATAAAGTCCACTGATAAGTGTAACACAGAAGCAAATAAGCGGAATATGCAGCTGCCTCGCGTCAAAGATGGCGAAATGACAATTCGCAGAATCTTCTGACTCAGTCTCAAGTCCATGGCTGCGGTCTCTTGCGCTTTGGATCCACGTGTTCACAACCTACCGTCAGCTTCTGATGAACAAGAGGAATAAGCCGTACCAAGCACATGAATAATAAATCGAGCTCATTGTTTTTACTCAAGAGCCTCAGAATCCTGACACGTATATCTCGATCCGATACGCCACCTAGCCATATGCATATGCACAGGAGCACAGGAAGGAGGGGATAAATCATATTCAAGAAAGCAGTTCGGCAAGAGGAGTCGAGAGCGAGAGAAGAGAGAAGAAAAAAGATGTACCGTTGTCGTTGAGGTCAAGTCTTGGTGTCGAGCACTACAATCTGGAAGGGCATCGCATATCTAGATCCCCGCTCTGCCATGCATTGTACGGATACTCCAGGGGGTTCGATTACTTGGCAACATCGTTTATCATTCGCAAAGTCGACCTCCAATTGATAATCCTAGGTATCGACGTTCAATATTTGATCGTAGGTATCGTAAATTGGTTGTCTGGAGGGTATCGCTAGGTCTTGTAGAATCAAGTGAGCCGTTGACCTCCGCCGATTCGCCAGCTGGGACCATCCTCGAGACGGCGAAGTGTAAAGGATCTGCCACGGGACGGGTCTTCAACCCAAGACTGAGTACGATTCGGGCGTATATTGCCAAGGTAGATAGAGTCAAAGACACGACATAGTGGTAGAAATCCTAGATAAAGTTGTGAAAAAAGGCCAAAAAACGGCGCATACGTAGTCATCCGAAGGAGTAGGTAAACAAAGATAAATGAATGATGTAATTATGGGTCCATAGAAATTCGCATCCCTTACACGAAGTGTCGTATATATTCAGCTTTCGTATTACTCGCGGATTTTGAGACTCAACGGACATGGTTCGCCTTCGATGTCGGAACTGGCGCTGAACGAAGATTGTCATGAGCGAAGGAGAAGAGAAATCTGAACATGTAGCTAGGCACCACTTGTATTCTCCGCAATATAGAACCGAGGGGAATGTCAATAGCTTCCTTGCGCAGGTATCCACTAAGAGCCTTGTATATTGAATGCACTGGATGATAGGTACTAAGGCAAAAATGAGCCAAAATCAGGGTAATACATGTGACAACGTACTGGCTCATCCCTAACTTGACGCTCCCACATCTCTAAATCTGTTGTTGGCCTGCCCATAACTAGTAGAAGACTTTCTTGATACCCAATCGCGGCAGCGCAGACCTCCACATGATACACGGTTCGACTGTCACGTAGAGTATCATGTTTGATGGCGGGTACTGCGACAGCTCTAGCACCTCAGCAAGAATTTGGGCAGTAGCCTCTTACTCCGGGTGTCGAGTAGCCTACGGAAGATACAGTCTTGATAAGCGCATTTGAGTCCAAAAGACGCGCGTACATTCCTGAGCTCGTTCGTCTGATTCCTGATGACGACTCTATCACGGACAAAAATGCAGCCAATGGGTATCTCACCGGCGTTTGAGCCTGAAGAAAATGTTTATAGCGTCCCAATAGCGTCCTCGACTGGAGAGAAATTCAGACGCCCATACCACTGCTAGACTTGGTTCATGAAGACATCCATATCTACGACGGCAAATGATTCTTTGTTAATAGGAATGGTTGATGTTGAACCTGACAGTAAGTGAGACTCGATAGAGCTGTGGCCAGTCGTCGCGGTTCAAACGCAAAAGATAAAGCGGCCCGCGAAGCTCCGGTCTCTCTTCCTGTCACTATGACCCTCCATAATGTCCTAATGGTTAACCGCTCGAACGACTTTAATTACAGTGGATTTTCAGTTCTCTGTCACAGGGTTCTTCCAAACAACCGGCAGGATCTTCAGCTTGGCCTCCTCCCAAGGCGGAAGCTCGCTCAACGGCAACTCCAATCCCTCAGACTCGATACCCAGCCCAGTCGGCATCGCATGAGTGGGAGCCATCCATACGTACGGATGAGGTGCGTACTTGACTTTGGAGCGTACAGCAAGACTCTTGAGCTCTGGAGGGAGGATATCGAACATGGTCTTCCCGGAGACGAATGCAGTCGTTCCAAGAGGCACAGGGAGCTTGTCGCCTGTCCCATCGTCATATCGACAAACCTGCTTTGGACCAGTCGGTACATTGATGCCATACAGAGTGGTCACTCTAGGCGGGGATAAGTCGTACAAAGCGGCGTCGATATGCCAGCGATAGAACCGTGTCGCTCCCTTGGCCTCATCCTTGAGTGAAACGCGAGTCTTGTGGAGCATAGTGTGGGAAGGATGTTTCAGCAGTGAGACCTTCGTGATCGTAGACAGTCCCATTACCGATGAGCTGGACCTGAGGAACACGGGGAATCGTCTTGAGGTCGGGATAAAGGATAGACTTCTTCGTGTCCTCCGTCTTGTTATTACCGTGGCCGTAATTCTCAGATTCAGGATCAAAGGCCTAAAACAACAGTTAAGTCTTCCTCGCGGCACATGTAGATAAGGCATACCTTGGTCAACGCATATTGTTGCTCTGGCGACAGGTCGACGTTGCAGATCAGCAGAGCATCATGCTGGGGACGGTGAGCATTCGGCATATGCATGATATCAAGCAACACACTTTGTACAAACTTAAAGCATCCCGGGGTTACATCCCATCATGCTTCGCTCTCCATCGACATTAGTGCAATACAAGCTTCAATTTTCAACCGTCGGCCTCCAATCACTCCTTCAAAAGTCGATGTATGAATTTTGGCTGAACCCACTGGTTGCTCTGAAGTAGTGTAGAACGCTGGCATCGCCATCAAGGAATTGGCAGAAGGAAAAAATATCCTTGTCAAGAGTCTGCTCTTCTCTAGACTATCGGATGTCGGCCCCTGAAATCGCCCTATTGCGTTCATGTTAGAGTGAACAAAAGACAGAAAAAGAGGAGAAAAAAGGAGAGACGCACCAGTATATTATCTGGCGAGCACGAAGAACAGGAAATCGCCACGCCATCATAATCTTGTATCTACAATGGGATGTATGCGCCTGTAGACTATCGGAATCCTTGAAACACGATGGTGCATATATATTTGTGTCCTCCATGAGATTCTCGATTTCTGACGAGCATCTGAGAAAAAGGCGGCATCGGGTGTCACGGTGGCCACTGGTGAAGGAGCGGACGTTCGGGCCGACCCAACCTTAACCACTATTTTCTACGACGATTTCCCTTGCCTTCGAAGCTCAGACAACCCGTTTATTTCCAAGTTCTGACCGCAATGAGCATGTAAGAAGTGTGCGGCTATCAAAGTTTGGACGCGTTTCTTCGCTTTAACTCGAATCCAGGATTACCGCTGCAGTTGCGGTCATTGAAAGGTGACACTAATCTTGGACTGTCCTCAGCCATCGAAGTTCGATGACTTGTGCCATGGCAATGCATTACGTTGAATACCATCCCACAGGAACCCTTCCACAGCAAGCCACATGCACCGAAACGTATCTTGCTGTTCTGGTTTTCATGTTCTCCATTTCAACGACCTATTGGATCCTATCTTTGTATCAAGACCTGAATCTCATTACCACTTCATTCGTGCATGTCATCCCTATGGATGAGACAGTTCTCATCCATTCCCAAAATGAACAAGACGTGATGAACACTCTTGTCCTCCTGAATGTAAGTATCCTTTTCTTGTAAAAGGTTTATGTCCAACTCAACACTCAATAGCATGTGCTAACCAACGGTGTCGTCGTTTGGCGGGCTTGGGTACTCTGTCGAGACGAGTATAGCAAAAGTTTGATCCTTCCTCTCGTGTTCTTATGCTTGACTCTGTGTGAGCTCTGGTTCTTTTACGCCGGTCATCTTAGTCCCGCTCATGGTCGGCATGATAACAGCGTCCCTCTTGGCTACAATCGGACTGCGTGTCACCATAATTGTTGTTCCCGACATTCAGCATACCATCATGACCTTACATTAATAAGATCTGATCTGTTATCTGTATTAGGCGTCATAGACATTGGGTTACATCCAAATTCCAGATGAGGAGGACAAAAACAACCTTAGCAGAACGAGTTCTCACTTTGCTTGTCGAGTCCGGGATCATTTACTGCCTTTCTGCAGTATGTAACCGTTCGAACGATTTTTATCACAGCGGATCCTCAGTTCCCCCAGATAATGGTTCTGATTGCCATTATGATTCGACTTCCCTTTGGCACTCTCGGCGACATCTACACTCCGACCCAGTCCAGTCCGCGGTCCGTATTCATTAATACTCGTTCTAACTGGTTTTGACGATTCGAACCAGGGGATCTATCCAACTGTAGTCGTTCTTCTCGTCAGCCGCCAAGGTGAATTAAACGAGACTGTCATATTCATGTTTGAGGACAAGAGCAATCCCCGGGAACAGCAGCCGAATGTATCTCATTTGGGTACCATCGAGTTTGGTGATAATCAGAACATGATGAATGGCTCGGTTGGAGAAACGAAGACCCTTGCGGATGGTACTAGACGTAGTGGGTCGATGGTATCGCGGATTTAGTGAGCTGGACTACGCTGGCGTCGTTTTACTTTGCAATAACATGACTGAAGTCCTCTAGTAGAGTGCTGAACCAATCACCCTTGGCCCTTCGGTGCGTTCAGTAGTAGACGGGAACACCTTGTCGCGTCAGATAAATCCCGAGTGCGTTTCTTCAAAACCGATGGCACTGCGACATCCAGCATTATTTGTCTATTCTGCAGGGCTTGCCACCGATGCATTCTATGTGTTGGAAACTACCTGTCGGTAACAGCGGGACTTGATAGGTAGTTTCTGCAGAATGCTCTGTGTTGCCCTGGAGCACCATGGCTACTGAACGGGTTAAAACTGCTCTTCGTACCCGTACCTGCCGTGCTCGCAGGGGCCCGTAAAGATGGAATGACAAGTGAGCTTATGTAAATATCAAACTTGGAAGATATCCGAGGCCTAGACTAGAATACGTCGTTGATTATTACTATAAAAACAACGAGATCGTCGAAGGTGGCGATGTTTAAGGCTCGTAGTTCTCGCTATTATCATCGTGCATTTTTTCGGCCCAAGTTTGCACTGACTTGGCCAGACGGTCTTTCGGAATGTCTTGGTCGTCTGGCAAAAACCTGGCTATGCTGACATTCTTCGGGTTACGAGGGTATCTCATCTCATGACTCATGCTCGGCGCTTATGAATACCTGTTGATCGCCATGAGGATAGATACAAGGGAAACGAGAAAATTGAACCTACAGCGACTCCCTGTGATCGAGCTTACAACGGACAAAACCGTCGGCAGATGATGAAAAGTATTTTGAGGGAATACGTACCTCGGTACTAATCCACGGCATGGCCATAGAGGCCACTTCATCTCCGATATCCTGAATGTGTGGTTGGCGCTAAACACAAACAAGTCAAGAGTAAGTATACAAATAATGTAGTGATTATAGATGCTATCTTGCGTACCGCGTTAAGACTCGAAAGTACTGGATAACTGTCAGCGTCACTGAATCAACACATGTAGATAGGTGTACCCGAGTTTGTGTACAGTTTAGGCAAGATGAATACGACCCCTGGGAGGTAATGATTAGGCTGATCAAATAGAACAGAAACTGGAGAGCCCGCACAAAGATAGTAAGGTTGTCTCTGTCGGAAGCATAAGTAGGAAGGAAAAAATGACTCAGATTGAACACTTGCCTTCACACCGAGAGTCAAACCTACATCAGTTAAGGCGACGGTGGCGGTGAGAAACCCTGTCGGTCGCATTAAGCCTCGTGGTGCAGGCCACGGAAGAGTATGGGACTTGCCATTCTGCATCGTCACTGTTCACTCAGATGCTTTAACATACGGCAAAAACATTTCAGTTGGACAAGAAACTCACGTCGGGTAATTCTATCTAAGATACGATTGGTCTGTCTGATGGAACCTTTTGCTCGCTGCAGATACATAGCGATAATGACTGTGATGACGAGGTCCCCAAGTGCCGCTGGAATAAGCCATACAAGAACGGGTACGCCCATTTCATTACGAAGCCCATTCCAGTCAGCTGATCCGTCAGTTAAAAAGCAGATTATATTTGTCGCCATACTGCCGGCAAAAGATGTCAATATGCATAGGACAATCACACCGAGATAGAAATAGTTCCTACAATCAGCAAGTTTAATCAGAAACGGCACTTGACCATTTGAAGGACATATAACGTACTTGGTTAACACCCAGATCCTCCATGCAAAAAAACCTTGTACCATTCCTGCCATGATACCCTCCAGAACTGGGTCCATTGTGGCGGTCCAGTCAGCTGCGAAAAAGACTGTAAGCATAACCATTCAACGGTCACTGGCATCGAGAAGTTACTTACTTTTGGTGAATGCGACGAGGTTCCCAAAATTGTCGATCAGGAGGTTATAAATCCTGCGAAGATGTCTCAACTTAAGCATACCAGTCAGGTTGTTCTTGACATATTCCGCACCACATAAGGACAAAAACAGAGTCGAGAACATCCAAGGTAAAGAGGACTATGACAAATGCCTTGAGCCAGATATTGTCCCTTGAAGAACGAATCAACGATTGTCGTAAAAGAAGACAGTTATGCTGACTTGGGATAGCGATCAAAGTAGATGTATACCTGCAGAAACATAGCACCCAAGAGGAGGAAGCTAATGAATATAGCTAGAAGTGCGCGCGCGCGATTCAATCCAACCATATGAATGAAGACTGCGGAGTTTTACTCACATATGACGACACCCCCAAAGGGGTCTGAAATTTCGCTACTCATCTCTGAGGCGAAGGGGAGAAGAAGAGTAAGAATGAGACATAGTTGAATCAGATGCAATATTATATCAAAAAGATGCTATCAAGTTTCAAGATGATCACCTTCAATGCCATAAGACGGGCTTCGATCTACATCCCACAACATTTCGTGACCTGATTGTGAGTTGGCGAAGCACTAGCGTTGGTATATGGATCATGTTTTATTAAGAGCGGCACCGTCCGTGCTAAGTGTTATTACCGTAGCGAAGAGGCGAGCCCAGCATACTACTCACCTAGGTATAAGAACGTCTTACCGCAAAATACTGAAGAGAAGTAATATATAATCCACAAGCAGAGTTATCTCCAAGGGTCGAGCTCATCCTGTCTTCCGGTGAGTGCCTATAAAAGATGTCATCACAAAAGGAAGTCTTGGTATCCGGTATTTTGATGTCCGAGTTAAGCCATTCCCGGGTTGAGGACGTTGACACTCTCCTCCCTGGTCCCAATAAACTAGAGACGACTGTCAGATTCCGCATAGTCCATAAGAATTGATAAGCCGGACCAATACAGCAAACGGAGCTCAACAGCCTTGTAGATGCCAACATCGGAAAATTTTTTCGCGAGAATGGCGGACACGAGTAAAGTATATTATTAGCCGGTGATCCTAAGAAGGTGGAAGAGAAATAAGCTGTTAATTTGGATGTGAGGGAGGAGCAAGAATCGCACTTTAATCACTCAGCCGTCTCGCTGTGAGTAGAGCGGCAACGCGTGAAGCTTAGACAGCTATTGCGCGGGCAACATACAGATTCTATTATGCTTCCTGGGGAGTGTATACAGCCTTCGGTTCACATCCGTTGAAATCGGTAGGCGTGCGACTTTGGCTTATTGAAATTACTAGACATTCGAAGAATGGTACAATGATCGGTGTCGCCGAAAAGAATGTATGCATAGCATGAATGACACTGCCAAGTGCCCATGTACTAGCGCCGACATTTTCATAACGCGCGTCATGAAACCAGGTGTGCGAACTCTGCGGATAGCGCCGAGGTCCGAGAAATAGCTATTTGAACCACACCAATCAAACACCAATGCCTATTCTGCTTGTTAGGTTGAGGAAAGACGATAAGAGAAGAAGAGACGCACTAGTAGACCTATTGGTAGAGTACGAAAAAGGGGGAACCGTCATACTCCAAGTAGCTAACTTACTCTCCGAGGAATTGATCTGATTGATGGAACTATGAAACTGGAATAGCCACGGGTATTGCTGCGGTTTCCGAGATCGATAAAAAGCGTAAAAGTTTCTCAAGCAATTCTTATGGCCCGACTTCGGAACGAAAAATATAGCTGTCGTAGCGCTAAATCAAGTCCATTAATATGCATAACACAGAAGCAAGCAAGCATACAAGTATATTGTTAGGCTAATCAAAGTTATTTGTTGATCATATACTAGCTGTCCGGAGGGTATCGCCAAGTCTTGTAGAATCAAGTGAGCCATTGACCTGCCATTCGTCAGCTGGGACGATCTTCGAGACCGCGAAGTGTCGTGGATAGAAAGGATCGTAAGATCAGACACGAAAAACTTGCAGCGTAAATGACTGTCCAATGCTATCCACTTTCAGGTCGTACGGGAAACAGTGAAAGAAAATCCTGCTAATTCATCAAAAAATACAATCTTACACTAGACGCTCTTCAAGCCCACTTATTCACATCTTCGGCCGTAGGTCCAATGGGATCATCCAACGCAGCAAGGTTGCACTGGTGGAACGCCCTAACTTGATCCGGAGTGAAAGCACCAACGACGCTATGCAGCACACCGCGATTACGGAATATAACCAGGTCCTTCTCTTTCCAGTCGTGCGGGTAAACAAGCTAGCAGCATGCTCAGTGTTTTCACTTACACCTGAGGTATAAATTACCCACCTTGGGCGCAATAGCCGGGCGCTGCATCTTGTATAACAATTCTCGCACCTCCTTCAAGTCCGTAAGGTGCGCACCATCAGGGTACAACGCGCCATCCTTGCTCTTTCCCTCGGGAACAGGATCAACAAGCAACTCCGCTACACCACAAGGATGAACCTGGAAGTGCAACTCTCCCGTCACAGGATTCTTCCAAACGACCGGAAGGATCTTCAACTTGGCCTCCTCCCAAGGTGGAAGCTCGCTCAACGGCAACTCCAATCCCTCAGACTCGATACCCAGCCCAGTCGGCATCGCATGAGCGGGAGCCATCCACACGTACGGGTGAGGCGCGTACTTGACTTTGGAGCGTACGGCAAGACTCTTGAGCTCTGGAGGGAGGATATCGAACATGGTCTTCCCGGAGACGAATGCAGTCGTTCCAAGAGGCACAGGGAGCTTGTCGCCTGTCCCATCGTCATATCGGCAAACCTGCTTCGGACCAGTCGGTACATTGATGCCATACAGAGTGGTCACTCTTGGCGGGGATAAGTCGTACAGCGCAGCATCGATGTGCCAGCGATAGAACCGTGTGGCGCCCTTGGCCTCATCCTCAGGTGACACACGAGTCTTGTGGAACGTAGTGTGGGAAGGGTGTTTCAGCTTGGCTTCAGCGAGACCTTCGTGGTCGTAGACGATCCCATTACCAATGAGCTGGACCTGGGGAACACGGGGAATCGTCTTGAGGTCGGGATGCAAGATAGACTTCTTCGTGCCCTCCGTCTTGTTATTGCCGTGGCCGTAATTCTCGGATTCAGGATCAAAGGCCTGAAACGACAGTTAGCTCTTCCCCGCAGCACATGCAGATAAGGCATACCTTGGTTAACGCATACTGCTGCTCTGGCGACAGGTCGACGCCTCGGAATAGCAGAGCATCGTGCTGAGGATGATAAGCCTCGAGGATATGCACGAAATCAAGCACCATACCTTGTACAGAGCATCCCGGATCTCCTGGAACTGCTCTGGGGTAAAGTTCCCCGGATCTACTCCTTTCACTTGACGCCCAAAGGTGGTGAACTTAGTGGGATCAGCAGAGGCTGGCAGTGGGAGTGGGACGAATTCGATAGCCATTATTCGTTGGAGATGATGGTAGAAAGCAGAATTGGGTTCGCTCTAATGATAGGATTTCCTCATGGACGTCATTTGATCTGGATCTTGGACTCGGAAATCTCCTATCGCCCGGCCGAATTGACAGACAGCGACAGACTCGAGGCAGACAGTTTGTCGAACATTTGAGCAAGATAAAGAGCGTGTCGAAGGCTGGTGATGGTGGGAATCAAGGAAGAGAAGAAAATTGCACAATTCCCTGCTTCTATTGCAAATTCCCACGAAGCTTGTGAATGCGCATCGAGTCTGCAATAAACAAAGTCTGATCTATTCAGCCTTCTGGTTCATAAGGTTCGTAGCAATATACAAGTACAGTAGCAACATAGATAATGTACAGTAAAATGACCATGAACCCATAGATATACACACATACAAGAGAAAAAAAAGCTCACAAAGACGTTGTCAACCCCAGAGCACGGGCACCTGCACCTGAAGCTCCTTCCCATCCCAAAAATCTCTCCGAACCAGTATCCACCGAGCTCGACCACCTATGGTAGCCCGTCTTCTCCCCAGCCGTCCACGAATTTCCCGTACTTCTTGTCCTCGCCCACACCGAGATAAACAATATACGTTTCTGCTTGCGATTCAGAAAGAACCAGTGAGAGGACCACAACAGCGCCCCACGACGCTTCCTCGTGGGGTAACTCAGGCCAGACTCGAAACTATCATCCGAACGACTGCGTGGCGTCATAGGTATAGGCGCCGACTTGGCCTCGTCAACATTGTAGTCGTCAAACTCGAACAACTCTTCTTCGTCTGTCGACTCGTCTTCATCACTGGCTGGATACTCGTCGTCGTCGCTCAAGTCGCTAGCGTGGGGATCAGCCTCTATCTCGGGCACGTACGAGAAGACCTCGCACTCGGAGAGGCCTATCACGTCGTCGAGGAGGCGGTAAATGAAAGGGTGGGTGCCAGACTCTATCGGAGGCGGTGCATAGGGGCTTTGGAGAAGGCTGTTGACCGGCGACGAGGACGTGGGTTTAGGCTCCGGGAAGAAGTCGGACGACGTGGGCGGATAGGAAGAGTACGTGCGCGGTGCACTGACGCCAGCCCGATGTGGTGATACCAGCGTCGTGCTGAGGGCGTTAAGTACCGCTGCTCCGCTCTCCTCTTTGTTGAAATGCCCAGGTCGTACATCCGAGAACTCGTAGTCAGGGAATGCGATGTTGAGGGTGGCAATGAGAAGATAAAGAGTCTTCCGTGAGGCATGCTTGTCGATGGGCCCAAAAGGCGTCATCTCCGGCTCGTCGAGAGAGAGCCAGGAGGGAACTGGCGGTGAATGGGCTGCCTCGTCCTTGTAGGCATTCTCGAGCGACCGGAACAGCTTCTTGTCGCGCTTGACGTTCTTGCAGCTGTACACCTCTATCCGAGTATGTACAGAGCACTCTGGACCTTCATGGGTGAGAGACTGGGCGAGACGAGAGAGCGCTGGCTGATCAATGTACTTCATGGCGTCAGAGCGGAGTCGTGGGAATCGTTGCCTGTTTCGTCCTTGCTGATAAGGCGTCGGGACTCGGATGCCACTCTTCGCACGTTCGACCAATGCCAATATCCATCTCGTACGGACCAGCGAACAGAGGACATTGCTCCGGTACTCGAGGTAGCAGCAACGTGGACCAGATAAAGAAATATCATTGACTCGCCTGTCTGGTTTTTTAACCGCCACAACTTCTCACCTCTCCGACAATCCCAACAGAGTCTAGTCTTGCCCACGGTTGTCTCTTGACCGCCCCCGAGTCGTATCTTTGAAGCCGCAAGGCGATGGCGGCTGGAGGGGATGCATAATATCAGCTGGTGGTGGACAGGTGTGAAAGAGGAGTGTGTTACTTGTGATATTGGGTATGACTCGGTCTGTGACTTGCTGGTGAGTCATGTACAGGTCCACCTTCCTTTGCATTAACACGACGTTCAGTTATAGAGTATCGCATCCTTGCATTATCTCGCTTGTATCGTACGGTTGCAACATCATCGTTTCTATGTAGACCTGTATTCGGTCAGAAATGACAGCGGCGACGACGAGCACGGAGGATTTATGCACCAATCAAGGAATATCAAGATGCATATAATCACCTCTGATCGCAGGCAGGTACCCTTCATGACCACCACCGTCCATCGCCTGGTACATCGTCCACATCGATCCACATCTAAGAAATCGGTAAGATCAATGGCGGCAGCGAGTAGAGGATGCGTGCGTACCAGTACCCCATAGGAGATTGTATATAGCTAATTGGTACTCCCAATAGCGATACTAGCTCAATTCCTACCAACGGCTTCTACATCGACTGTAGGATGGATATTAGACCGGCGATGACAAAGATGAGGCGCTTTACTCACAAGGACAGTGAGACGACCTGTGTCAGCCTTAGAGAACGCCATCGATGATCGTGGTTAGTGGAAGAGTTCCATCGACGAGTCATCGCTGAAGACGCGTCGACAATTTCAATTACTTATTTATTTTATTATTTTATTATCGATGAGATCAATGACGTAGACGCGCTGTGTGTCTCAGACTCGCACCAGCCTTCGGTAAGGTCTCATTTACTCAGATATGCCTGAACTAAAAATTTTCATCAGATGGATCATAATTTAGACCTGTGACCGGTCCCCTACAATGAGCAAGCGTCGATGTAGGGGACCTGTAAAGCTGACTTTTAATTCATAGGCGACATGGTTAGGCATTTGCCGAGGCCCAAAAAGGACATTCGGGTCGTTTCCATATTGGGGTTTTGGTGGTGATCATATTGATCTCGACGCGTTCGACGCGACTTTGCTCTGTACTTTTCGTTAGCCATGATCCAGCAATCAAATTCATTACCAAAAGAATCTCCTTGCTCTACACATGTCTTCTATACTCTTGTTTCATCCTCAGCTGCGCCAACAGCTGCCAGCTCATCGACCCAATTCATTCTCAATCCAAAGCCCAAGAAGGTGACCATGTCGAAATCTGCAGCTAAGGAGACAGAAAGAGCACAACTGAATATCCTCGTTCTCAATCTCTGCCCCCAGCTACTCTCAGAAGTCCAGTACTCTCGCTTTTCCGGCCTCTGGCACACCTTCACACCTTCACACCCAATTCCTGCACCGACTTTTGATGATGATTATGCTGCATCTAACATGCCTTCCTCACTTCTCTTTTCTACTGCTGCATTGCTACCACATCCAATGGAAACTCCGACGCTCTCTGTCGTAACCCATGCTACAGACCATTTATCTTCTGCACTGCCCAGTCCTCTCTCTCCTTTCTTCTCTGACAATGTTTGTGCTGTTAAAACAGATTTCGTTGATTATATGGATTTTAAGGATGGTAATATGAAGTTACAATGTCAGATTACATGACTTCACGTCGAGACGCGATGGTATCTGAACGAGATCGGTGAATCACCACCAAAACCCCAATATGGAAACGACCCGAATGTCCTTTTTGGGCCTCGGCAAATGCCTAACCATGTCGCCTATGAATTAAAAGTCAGCTTTACAGGTCCCCTACATCGACGCTTGCTCATTGTAGGGGACCGGTCACAGGTCTAATCATAATTTATAGATGCTCTATGGGTACAGGATTCCAGGCCGGGCAAATGCAAGAACCAGTCATGTAATATCAGCGCACTGCTGGCAGAACCGTTCTTCCACCAACAGCAGCTATCGGCGAAGCCACATTGACCATGAAGTGCATCTCGTCGTCCTTGAGATGATTGATCCATTTGACGACAAATTTTGACCAATGGACTGGAAATGGAAATCCAAGTGACCAAGGCATCTGGGATGACTATGCACATCAGTATGGTCTCTCGGTGGGTCCAGCCTCCATTTTCATCCGTGCTTATCATTCTTATGGTTTTTGATCTATGCAGGCAGATGGCACTGGAAACCGTACAATGACGAAAACGATAACACCAGAGTGATACTCGTATGACTCAGCTTGGCGCAAGTCGAGGCACAAAGCTGCATTGAAAGCATGGTCTACCAGAATGAACTCCAGTCAGTTGCCACGCGTTTCCGAATCCATTATTTACACATGTTCACGGCGTGTCAAGATAGCGACATCGTCTAAATAAACGCTCATGAACTACAGACACCCAACAGGGCACTACTTAACCCTTCGGTCACACGACACGACATTTCTTCTGTTTTGAATACGCAAAAAACACCAACTTCTCTTCCGAACCGAAACCCACTCGTCAATAGCCTTATCCGCAAGGGCTGAACCCCGGTATCCTAGCCTTCGTACTATGTTCGTTGATCTCTTCTTGCTTTCGGTTTCCAAAATGAATATAGGTCTGGATTATTTCGGTCCTTCCACCGTTCATGGACTAAACCGAACTTAGTGACTACATACATCTTTCAATCATTTAAATGTATGCGCAGCGCGTCTGAGCTTCTTTAGACTGAAATTCTATATAGCCGGCGGTATTCGCTACTAAATGACGACACTAGGCGTGTCATGGTGAGATGAGATGAGCAAGATGGAATCACGAATGCATCGGTGTTCTAAGTATGTCCGGCATGTTCTAACACAACAGCCTCTCCAGCAGTGCCCTTCAGGGAAGCGAAAGAACGAAACTCCGAGTCTGCATGTCACGATTCAAATCTGCTAGGGAGAGAAATCTCTGATCCTGTTTTCTCCGTGGGTATAGGACCACCCGATCATAGTTGGGATCGGGAATTTCGTCGTCTGTTTCCACTTTCTTGCGCTCCTGGGGAATGATAGAACCACGGGAAAATGCCAAGGTTATCCATCGAGCTATAAACCACCTACAGGCGGAGCATTCAGAAGACGCGAATTCTTCGAATTTTCTCTTCTACGGCTCTGTCTACATGACCTCCATTGGAAGCCTATCCACACATGTCCGGGTACTTGGCATATCATTTAACCCTGCTTCTAGGTTCGGATCTTCGTTCATATCAGACCGTATCTGCTGTGAAATATATTGTTGCTCCGCAATATTTTCTCATGCGCAGATCATGTTTTCTTTGGATGACACGTAAGTTACTCCTCTCTTCATCTACAACGATGACTCCACCAACTCCGCCTCCAGCAACGATGACAGAGCGATTTGCCATTGCTGAAGCATGATAGTGAAGCTTGAGCAGCGGTGCAACAGAGGACATAGGTATCCTACTCTTGAAGTTGGAATCTCACACATCCCCGAAGCCATGTCGTAATAATGCAAAACCGAATATTCTTCAATGTTAGAAGATGGCAATATATATTGCAGCAGATACGGTCTATTGTCCATACACATCACATCATCCACGATGATTTCGCCGTTGTGATCCCCGGATGAAAACCACATGGTCCTCTCAAAATCACAACGGAAGGTCCTCCCTGAGGAAGCATATCTAAGAATCGCGACAGGGCACAGCTCGAGCGCTTTCCTATGTTTCGACATTTGATGGTCATTCTAATATGTCGAGAGTTTCGGTATAAAGATCGAAGAAGTTAGGCTGTTATTGTCCATCTATATCGCCCGTCATGTCTACAAACATTGCTACGTTGCCCATGAGAGCAATCTACATAGGTGCTATGGTGGCTACAGCATGCGTACAGTCGACATGCTTCTATCAGACTCGAGATAACTAATGGTTTCTTCTACAGGCTCTGGGGAGTCACAGTCATGCAAGCAACGACTTACTTCGTAAGATTCCCTAATGACCGATGGTACCATCGCTATGCAGTGCGACAGCGTCCTTTACGTCCAGTCTCATAATCTAAATTTCTCTCCTCAAACAGGTTGGCCTTCTCTTGTACGTCAATTTATAGAGTTCGGTATCCCGGTGTGGCATATTTTCCAGGATTATCGACACCCTTTATCTCGTTTTCTGTGCGCATGCTCTATACTACGATCTGATCGACAGCCCCGTAAATCTTGACGCTGCTGTTTTGACTATTGGGTGGTCGTTCACCGGGTTTTCTTGTCTCCCGTTTTGACTGAGAGCATACTTAAGGAGCACTAAGGTGACGGATTACGTGCCCGTTAATCCTCATCTGGATCTAACTTTTTTCCCAGATCGATTTCATGTTTTTCGTACACTGACTCTTTCCTGTCGATGACACCGTTGTTGACTTGGTTTCTTCAGAGCCTGTTGATCCTCCTTGTAGATATGTGCGGGCCCTTCTTGATTCATCCTCCGCTTGACCTACGCTAACCTCTTCTTGTAGTGTTTATGCTGTGCGAATATGGATATGTCCGTCCCCCTGCATGCCTTCTTCGGAACCACACGACTCAAACTTTGCTTCTAGTGGGCCAGTTTAGGACCCGTGTTTATACCCCTCGAGGTTAGGGCAAAAGTCCGGACAAAATCGGTGGTTTTTGGACTCGAGGTTGAGGGCAAATCCGGACAAAATGGTTGCTACTAGTAGGTGGCCGGAGGTTAGATCAACAATCCGGACAATAGGGCTGAGGGAAAAAGGGTATGTTATTTACGAAAATGGTTTTTAACAGTATTTTACCTAGTATTTTACCATGTATTTTACCTAGGGGGTGACGAGCAGGTAAAGGGTATGTAAATTACTTTGATCACGTGCTATAAAGGGCCAATTTTGAATTGCGGCGAACGACTTTGTACTGCCACACAATCCACGTTGTATCTACCAGTGGCTGGCCTGAGCATTGTTCTCGGTGCCTGTTATTGTTTCAATAGCAAATTTCAAGGCCTTACTTTACGTTCTGTGCATTAAGCACCCCATTATAGTACTGCCATGTTCAAATAAATAGGCTCGGCTTAGCCTGAATTCTACGCAACTTCGCCCCACTTCTTACTTCTACGATGCTCAGCACAGATGCGTTTGAAGAATTTTCGAAACTCTGCCCCATCCCTTCAGTGCTCGGTCAACTAATCCTTCCCTCTGGACCTACTGTCAGTGACGTTATACAGTTTCATGGCTTGCCGACTCTCACCCACGAGATTATCCCCCTAAGCTTTGGCAATGATGTGACCCTTCTTACTGAACATAACCTCCACATACTACGTGCCATGCGTGTTCCACCAATGAAACAGCTGAATGAACTGCTTCGTAGCGCTATCAGTGCTCTTGAACGCGGATGCTCAACTGTTCAATACTCGAGCCCATCAAGCATGCATTTGTCTCGCTCTCTTGCATTTCCACTTTGGATCATCTCATGGTGGTGTCAAATTCATACAATTTCCGAAGCGCAATCATCTTGGAAAGATGCTCTCGGGTTTCTCGACCAGCTGAAGCGGAGAGAGCCATTAGCTGAAGAGCTCATTGCCCGAATTCTTGCACTGCACTGGAATGCCGAACTTCCTAGTGCTTTAGGTGGTAACAACACCACCAGCACCATGACGATGACCACTCTTGCACATTACTGCGGGCAGAAATGGTTGAAAACTTGCCATCTTGAGCAAATGACTGCCGTTCTGCAACACCGTCTAGACGATGCTGGCCTCCAGGGTGCAATGATCGTGGAGCCAGACTTTTTCCGATCCATCGCAATGAAATATCGAAATTCAGACGAGAACAAAAACTACTCAGTGTCGCAACGGTTGACCGCTGGATCCTTGTCGTGCCTTGGCTTTGCTGTCTGCGTGCAAATGGACCGTGGCAAAACTGTCCTGGCGAATGAAGATGCTGGTATTCGGGGTAACCATTGGATTGCACTAGTGGTGGATACTGTGGAAGGAAAGATTGGGTACTCCGACTCATTTGACTCCCCACTGCCTACCGAAGTCATCAATATTCTGTACTGGTGGCTGGCGCGACATGGATTTGACAGGTTTGAGATTGTTTCCTTGCCATTCACACGGCAGAAAGACAGCTTTTCCTGCGGAATCTTGAGCATTGATGCAATCAGTCATTACTTCCTTCCCGAAACACCATTGCTATCACCGAGCGAATGTATCACTGGACGGCTTCGCATGCTGAAGAACATCTTAGATTTTATAGACACTGTGAGTTCTGTTTACACTGTGGTTATAGCTTGAACCTCACAGCTATTCAGGTCATTCCTTCCAGTAACACGGTCTCTGCATCAGCTGCTACTCAGGCTATTTCCCCCCCTCCACTCCCTCACTCTGCGCCACGGCACCATCAGTCAAAGTCTTCGATATCAACTGATCCCGATGCTCCCAAGACTCTCTTGGACTATTACATGGATCGACTTGTCCCGAAAGGTGTTGAAACACCTAGTATATCCAAGCGGAAGCGCGACAGTGATGAATCCGATTCTGATATGCCCGACGATGCCGAATTTCACTTTGAAGATATTCCTGATACTACAAAACATAAAGACAAGAATGGCAAAGATGTCGGTGGTCGTCCCAAAGACGAGATGATGGAGAAGCTCACTGTCAAAACCTGGAAGACTTATAGCTCTGGAATATTGCCTAAAAAGAAGGGATTCCGCTGCGCTACACCGGGTTGTAGAGAATTTCATGCTACTCGGAATAAAGAGCGTGTTGCAAAACATATTCTTCGAGATTGTATCAGGGCCACAGATGAGATGCGCCAGATGGTCTCGGCATACTTCCAGGATCTTGCGCCATCCAATCAGTTGAAGCAGATGCAAGCAAAGCTTGTTACAAAGACCGTGACCACTGGGAGTGATGTCCGCGCTGTGAAAACCTTACGACTGAAATCGACGGAGTCAGGGGGGGCTGACAAATTGGGAAATGACACAGCGACTGCCGAGGAATCAAATTTGGTGGAAAAAATGTATGAGTTATCGACTCGAAAAGGGCGAGAAGCACGGAACAAGCTGATGGACTTGAAACTTGTCATTCTGTTCTGCGCTGGAGGATTGCCAACAAGCCTGGCCGCACAGTGGTATTGGGCTGATATCTGGGCACTGGCAGATCCCAAATACCCATTGCCAACTCGCGACCGGCTTGATAATAAGCTCATTCCATCTGAACAAGCGGCTATAGCTGATATTCAGCTCAAAACACTGCGGAATGAATGGAACCTTACTATTTCATTTGATGGTGGAACAACTACCGGTCGGGAGGCATTCTGGACTGTCCATGTGTCTGATATGAAGCGCAATGTATATTTGCTGGAGGGGAGAGAAGCGACTGGAGTATCACATACCGGGGTCTGGATCAAGGATTTAGCGCTTGAGGTACGTGAGATGTCAGCTTTATTTTGAGAATTCAAAATGATCCATCTCCTTTAGGTTATGGATCGGATTGGACGAGAGCGTTTCTCTGGGGCTACCTCTGATAGTACCGGAAGCACTCACCTCTGCAAGAAACTTCTCGTTGAGGAGGTGAAGACAGTCATCCCCAATCCAGATATATGCCATTATATCAGTAATCTCATAAAGGATGTTGTTCGCATCGATTTCTTTGAGACGGTAAGCTTAGACCGCCATATGGAAGTACCAAGCAGCTAACTAATCGAAGCAGACTATTAAAGTTGTCCGGGGAACTATTCATTTCTTTCATATGTCACATATGGGCATTCATGAATTTAAAATTGCACGCTCTGATCTGAATATTGGTAGAGGCTTAGAGGCGGTTGGGAAGACACGATTTGGAACCATTATCTACTCCTCGAAGTCTGTTCAACGCTGCACGCCAGCTATCCAAAAGGTTATCGAGCGAGGAAGGGCAGATTTCTCGGTGCGTTAGACAGTTTATCTGAACTAATTTATATTAATATGCATCCCATTTAGAAACTCGCGGATTATTTCGGCGCACCCAACAAATCTAGCGGAATCCAGTCCATCAAAGCGCTTACATTTCAATCCCATCTCAGCCAACTCGTCTCATTAGGGACACCACCTATAAAATCACTCGCATGTCTGGAGTCGAACGATGCCAATGCTGGCGATGTCTGTCTATTTTGGCATGCAACAATCGGAGAGATGATCGACTTTATCTCTAACGAGGAGAATCATTTTCCTGATAATGTCCGCGACGAGCTTCTGGATATAATACATCATCGGCATAATGATTTGTTCGTAAAAGGGGGCACTTACTATACCCCATTATATCTGGCTGCTGCGTATCTGAATCCTGGTGCGCTCTCCTGCTTTCTGACCGTCCAGTTTGATTCTCATTTGGCCCTATCCCAACAGCCAATCTTCAGAGTGATGTCTTCAAACCTGAATCAGCCGATAAGTCTTTACAAGATGTTCAGTACCCTTCTATTCACAAGTTTGCGAGTACATACCTCGGTGGACTTGCTGCTGAAGAAATCAAAGGTGGGGCACGGCCGGAGTTCGAAAAGTGGTGTGGCCGAGGCGCAGATTTCAAGCGGACATGGAAAGATGAGATGCTTCGATACTCTCAACGCCAATACCCATATAATACTCCGATTGATGAAAGCCAGCCATTCGCTGTGATCAAATGGTTCGAAAGAATCATTGCTGGAGACTTAACAGGAGGTCAGCTGCTTCCGGTGGGTACCTTTTTTCTGTCGTGAAGCTTGGTTCTCACAGTTTGGTTTAGCACGTCGCAATCAAAGTCTATTCCGTTCGGGTTAACTCGATGCCAGAGGAACGTACAGTATCCAAGTTCACCGCCATGACGCCGAAGCAGCGCAGTCAACTGAAAGTGTCGACTATGACAGCTATTACTCAGATTGGCCAGTTCTACACAAATGAACATAATGTAAGTACAATTCAGCGTCAGTCATTGACTCTATTGACTGACCGATTCTCCTTTCTTTGATAGGCTCGAGTGAGGAAGGAAAGGGATGAGAGGGCTACGAGCATCAAGTTCAGTAGTGTCCGAAAAGCACTTGATCAAGAAACGCACGACAAATCTCTAGTTGTAGAGACTCCAGCAAACGACGAAACATCGGATGAGTGGCTGGACGCCGACCATACACGAGCTCCTGCACGGCCAGACAAGTATGCTGCCATCAAAACACCCATTAATTTTGCTTCAAAACGTGTTACTGCAATGTTGGCTGTGTCGGAGGGCACCTCAAGGCATAGGGCCGAGTCAGAAGAAAAAGCTTCGCCTGTTCAGGCAGATCCAAGTAATGACAATGATTATACTATTGATTTTGACTGTAATGAATGATATATGATTAGTTTTGTACCGTACAGGCATGCTGGAAAGACTCACTGCGACTACCAAGGTATAGCGGCGTTGACAAATGCTGGAGGCAACACGTAGCAACGCCGCCGGAAATGGAATTATAGGGTCACATGACCCGGTAAAATACCCGGTAAAATACCCGGTAAAAAACCCCCCGGTAGGCGACCTAGGTAAATTACTAGCGGCCAACCCCGGAGAGGTTTTTCCCCCAACCCTACCGGACAAGTGACGACAACTACAGCAATGTTAGGCCATAGTCCGGACACGACAGCCGGCATGTGCCGACTGACCATTGTCCACTTATACTACTGACTATTATTAACCGTTAGACTTTGTTCCTACAGGTTCCTACTTTGTTCGAAGCCATTTCTTGTTCCTTTGTCCTATTGCGAATTTTCCATCGACACCCAACTGAGTTTAATCAATATTCCTGGCAAAGAACGACGACAAAAAAGACGCTGAATTTGAATAAGTACTGTAGAATACTGTCCTTTTGAATTTTACTACAATCCTTCGCCCTTCTTCGCCCTGCTAGCATTATTATGCATGAAATACTACCTGTCTATGCCGATGATGAACTCGATGAGCTCACCAAGCTCGACGCCGCCTGGAACAAGAATGAATGGATTGGCCGTGGTCGCAGCGACAAGGATGTTCCATACAATATTGCGAAGCACAGAGAATTTATAAAAATAAAAATAAAAATAAAAAATTCTAGCGATTTTTTACGATTTTTTGCGATTTTTTCGCGATTTTGGAAGGTTAGGGGAGAAATCCGGACAAATCGGCCGGTAGGGCTAGCTTAGGGGAAGAATCCGGACAGATTTTGAGATTTCTGCAGGCGAAAAGTCCGGACAAAATCTTGGATTTGGCCAAAATTTGGCCCTAACCTCTGAGGGCATAAACACGGGTCCTGCCAGTTTTTCCATAAAACAGTCCCGTGGTTGATTGTCGGTCATGAAAGCAGCTTCTCATGAATTTATAATGCTGATTGTAGCTCGTTTAGGTGATCGTCATCATAGCCACATCTGGTAGGCTATCTTCAATTTGCTCGGATGTTTATATCTCACCATTTCACTTCGTTAGCCATTTACATCAGTGAGTGCTTTTACAGTGAGACAGTCGTAACGTACTTATTGCTGATCACCTACCCCCCAGACGAGATTCATGCTTTGTAAGGATACAATCGCTTGGTCTTCGATGCCTACTGATGCTTATAACCGAATAGATTTACGCTTGGCACTACATACCAAGGGGACACGGACACGACAATTGCCGTGCGAAACTTTGTTCCTTTACGTCTGTCTCCCGCTGAAACGACGGTTCAGAAGTCGATTGATGCACTCTTAGCTACGACGGCAGGCGTTGATATCATCATATGTGGAGTTATGTCGTTCTACCTCCTTAAAAGCCGATCGGTTTCGACATTTCCAAGGTTACTCAACTGGTCTGAGTTTGAGTAGCATACTTACACCGCATACAGCACGACAAAGCCTCTCCTAGTCCTGTTGCGCTTTGTTGTCGTATCGGGATTGGTCACTACGTGAGCCATTATTAGACTGCTTCTAAAATACAAACACTAAAGATTGCCTAGTATGTGCGCACTTGCAATTCTTATCGCGGTTCTTAGACTCCTTCGTGTTGTATTCACCTGCCTGACATGAAGATATTACAGTTCGTGGCTATTCCGGACTCTCTTGTAGCTGACGGGATCGCGATACCCCTTCCAGGAGGCACGTATTCCTTTTTTTGAAAACAGACAACTACTTTTAACGTCCTTCTAGTTTATCTCAACTCATTGTTGGCGATGTACGTTGTTCTTATTTAAATGTGTGCTTCATCTCATCTTGCATAGGCTGAACATGCGAAATACCTCCCAAGAGGATATCTTGATTTTCAAGAGTAGCAGTGACGAGTTGAAGTTTAAATCTCGGAGTACCACCTCGGCCCCTGATATACCTACAGAGGAACAGGTAGGTCATACCACGAAGCAGAGAAGAGCTTGAGCCTTATAAATTCTTTCAAGGACGTCGGTTCATCAATGGCTAACTTATGCTCCAACACAGCAATGGCGGAACAGACGGATGTACCAGATTTGGAGGTCTGAGTTCTGGATATTCATCTCAATTTTCGGTGATGAAATCGAAACTCCAACAGCAAATATACTACCAAATGTAATAAAGTCCCCATTCGTTAGATACTTTGCGTCTCTCATTGGTTCTGAATCTCATATGCCCCTTATACTGCATTATATGCTACACTCCTTCGATCTGCACCGAGGTTTTAACGTAAATCGAACCATATATCAATATGGCCCAGCACGCTACGCCCGAGAAAGCCGGGATACCATCGACCCACTACTTCTAACGCCCGCAAGGGTCTCCGTTTCTCCAAACGAGCCGTTCATGTTCGGATTATCGCTAAACTCGATGGTACCCAAATTGAATACACTGTTCGATGGCCGTTCCGAGTGATTGCCTTTGTCCCCAAATGTGAACACGGCAGTCTCGTTTAATTCACCTTGGCAGCTGACGAGAAGGATGACTATGGTTGGATAGATCCCTGGTTCGAAGGGTCAATCTGGTTAGCTAGAACGAGTACCAGTGAATACATACTGCGAACTGGACGCTGACCGGAGTGTAGAGGTCGCCGAGGGTGCCAAATGGAAGTCGAATCATTGTGGCAATCAGAAGCGTTATCTGGGGAAACTGAGAATCCGCTGTGATTAAAATCATTGGAGTTACATACTCCAGAAAGACAGTAAGTGATCCCGGACTCGGCAAGCAAAGTGAAGATTCGTTCTGCTACAGTTATATTTTTCCGCTTCATCCGAAGCTCGGATGTTACCCAGTGTCTATGACGCCTAGTACAGATACAGATCGGATCCTATAATGTAAGGAACAACCATGAAGCAGACCGAGCTTTGATTCCGACAATTGAAGTAGAGGAAACATTGGTCAACAATGATAGGACCACGTTTGCGACCTGCAGTAATCAAGTGCACGAGATGACCTGCTATGAGTCGTGATGATCTGCCGGTTAATGGAAATAGCGGTTATTGTGATGCGCAATCCGATTGTAACCAAGATGGACACTGTTAGTACGTTGATTGTGAGAGGGAATTAATATGACGGCATAAGAACCAGAGCTCACAGAGAGTCAAGCATAAGAACACGAGAGGAAGGATCAGACTTTTGCTATACTCGTCTCGACAGAGGACCCAAGCCCGCCAAACGACGACGCCGTCGGTTAGCACATACTTATGAAGCGTTGGACACAAATCCTTTAAAATCACAGAAAATAGATGCTCATATTCAGGAGGACAAGAGCGTTCATCACGTTTTGTCCATCCCGGCCGGGGGTGAAAGCTATCTCGTCCAGAGGGATGTCATGGACGAATGAGGTAGTGATGATGAGCACGACTTGATATAACGATAGGATCCAATAGGCCGTTGACAGTGAAAACATGAAAACCAGCATGCAGAACAGTAAGATACGTGATCTGCTTCGCAGACCTCTCTTCCTACGTAGAAGGCTATCAGTGGTATGGCAGGATGCTAATAAAAGAAAGGGCCACACAGCATAACATAAGAACAGTTCGACATGATAATTATATACATGTCTGGGCGTTAAGGTTTGGATCAACTGTTCTACTGGGAGAGATGCGGTGCTCACCATAAACTAAAGTTTGACAAGTTAATCTTATCGTATTATATAGAATACTGAGCTTAATGTTCGTCATGGCAGACAAAGGAGGGAGGGGGAGGAGTCTGTTGAAACCTCGTATATAATAAACAAAGGGCGGCCGGCGGAAACCAGTCTAGTCTCTACTCGAGAAAGTAGCCATCAAGATCGTCTCGTATTTTCGATGGGATGCCCGTGAAACACATGTTGATTGTGATTTCGACGCTCCAGGCAATACAACGGTCAAAGAGAGGTGAAGCCAACAGAATGATTAAAAGCTTCTGGTGCATGACTGCTTCGGGATGATATCCGATGTGATGCATTGCCATGGTACAAGTCAACAAAATCCGATAGCTGACTCGGAGAATACTGTCCAAGATTGGTCCAAGAGACTTGCGCAACTGCAACAGTAGGTCTAGGTTCAAGTCAAGGCGAAGAAACGTATCAGAACTCTGATAGCTGTGCACTTCATACATGCTCTTTACGGTTAGAACTCAGAAATCGAAGGTAGGGAAATCGTCGTAGAAGAAAGTCATCAGTTGTGGTTGAAAGTTGGACCGGCCCGATCGCCCGCTCCTTCACCAATGGCCAACACGACCACCAATGCCGCCTTTTTCTCAGATGCTCGTGATAATTTGCGAATATCCAAGTATCAAGGATTTTCAAGGACTCTGATCGTTTACAGGCGCATACATTCCATTGTGGATACAGGATTGTGATAGCCTGCCAGCGATTTCGTATTCTTCGTGCTCACCAGATGGTTTAGTGGTGTGTCTCTCCTTTTTTTCTGTATTTCCTCACTCTGATGCGAACACAATAGGCTGCGATTTCAAGGACCAATATCCATGGTTCTAGGGAAGAGCAGACCGATATCCGTTTCTTTCTTTCCTTCCGCCAATTCCTTGATGGCAATGCTGGCATTCTACACTACCTCAGAACAACTAGTGGGTTGAGCGAAAATTCATGCATCGACTTTGGAAGGAATGATTGAAGGTGAATGAGTGATAGGTATCCCGTGATGCTCTGTACAGGGTGCGTTGCTTGACTTCACGCACATACCGAACGCTCACCATCCCCAGTGCAATGCTCCGCTGTCTCCCGACGTCGACCCGTCACCAGAGCAGCGGTATGTTTCGATCAAGGTATGCTTATCTACATCTCCAGTGAGAACAACCTAAACATCCTTCCAGGCCTTTGATCCCGAGAATTACAGCAGAATGGGACCGATGGAGAAAACCGATTCTATTACTGGCACATCGACGCTACGCTATACGACTTATCCCCGCCTAGAGTGACCATTCGGTATGGCACCACCGTACCGACTGGTCCTCAGTAAATCTGTCGGATACACTGACGCGATGACGCGATCCGTGACGAGATCCTTGTGCTCCCGGGAACGACGGCATTGTCTCTGGGAAACTGTGTTCGATTTCCTTCCTCCGTTTTCGTATCACCGTATCCGAGTCATCGATATTTTCCCATAAACTCTGTAACCATTATGCGGATCCAGAAAAGTCGAAAAACAATCTACGTCGAACGGCTTGTCAGCAGAGAATATGGATTGATCTATATCGGCACTATTCAAATCCCTCATCCTTCGTTTGTGTCGCTCCTAAGTACTCTACCAGTTGCTGTGGGAGCTAGTGTTACAGTGGCCTTCCTTAGTGTTACCTTTGCTTCGTTAGCGTGAGTTGTAGTAAGTAAATATTCACTGCATAAAATGTCCGTGTTCTTGAATAATATATATATATATAGGTTTTTTCACTCGGAAAGCACCAGATCGAAAAAAAAAAACACATCCATCTGAAGGAAAATTTGACCGGAAGTAGCCGATTGAGGTTATGGTAGTCGGCCGCGTTCATATTCATTTGTCGTTCTTACTCCGACCATCAATTGTGCGACGCGCGTCACCCAGTCGTTCAAACCCAACATCGCCTGGTTCCCAGCACCAAGTAAATACCATGCCTCACTGTTTCTTTCTGACCTACTTATCTGATATCTACCTTCAGAATGCCACGACGCTCCGAACCATCAGGTCTCCCCCAAGAAATTCTCGACGCCATCATTGACGAGCTGCAGTATGACAAGAAATCTCTAAAGCAAGCATCCTTAGCTTGCAAGGCCCTTTGTCCCAGGACCAGGGTCCACCTGTTCTCCGTCGTCGTAATAGCAGACAGCACTAGTTCTGACCGCCTCCGGAAGTTGATCACGCTGTCTCCCAAGCTCGCCCTATATTTCCAAAGGCTTCAAATCTCAATCTTGCAGATGTTGGATATCCATGCTCCTGCAGTTTACGGACCGCTGACAGTTATCGAATCTCTTGTCAATATCACCCACTTGTCCCTTTGCAATGGATTTTGGTGCCACATGCCGGACACTGTTGTGTCCAGTCTGCAATCCCGTTCTTACCACACCATCCACATCGACGACTCCTTTAACTTCAGAACAATGGGCGAGGTATGCTCACTAATGCAAAATTCACCCGACTTGCGACAAGTGCACTTCACATGCGAAATTCATCCCATACCGGAGTGCCATTTGGACCACTCCCTTCATCGTACCCCCGCTCCGGTAGCCTTGCACATCACAGACTCTCAGGACACTTTAGTTTCTCAGGCACCCGGCCTTCTGAAGTCGGCCCTATCATCTCATCCATGCCCGTTTTCTTTCAAAAATATTCGTTCACTCGTTGTAGACCTTTCTGGTATGAGGGCTATCGTTCTACTGCATCTCGCGCAGTATTTAGCCCTTCCGGGCACTTCTCTCAAGCTTCTCCACGTAGACCATAACAAGCAAGGTGTGTGAGATTGTTAGACTACTAAAATCAGACCATATATTAACTCGCGCTTACAGGATTGTCGAACCATCTATCTTCAACAACGCTTGACGTATCTCGTATCGAGAACATTGCAATCACCACCTTCAGGGCGCATTTAGCTGGGGGAAGCGATATATTACGGTGGTGGATCTCCAACCTCTCTGCGGTGAATAAACACAACGTCATTCGTTCAGTTACCATCACAATCAGAACATACACGCCGCACCAAGGACACCCGGCTTTGGATTGGGAAGACCTCTGGATGAGGTTGGACAGCTGTTTGACTTCGTACAAGATGGCTTCGCTGCAGTACGTTGCAATTACTTTTGAACCACGGCCAGCAGAATGGGACGCGCTTAAAGCTCAAATGGAGGGAAGTTTTCTAGGGCTGAAGCAAAGCGGACGTGAAGTAATTCTAGATGCTGTGGCAATGTTTTAAAATCTTGGGTTCTGGATAGTATACGCGTTATGCTTCTTTCGACTATCAGTCCAGTGGTCTGACGTGACTCGTAGTTTTTGCAAGAAACATATCCTTCGTACTACCTAGTACCTACAATTGCCGGGACCATCGATCTTTTCATTCATAAGCTCTGAAAGCCTTCTTCGAAACTATACTTCGCGTTCAGTACAGATACAGGAACCTTTGCATATACTCTACGAAAAACCAGTAATAACGATGGGCACAATGCTTAGTTGTACAGAAGTCCGTACGGACGAGTGTTAAAAGATCAAAGAGGATTAAACCCGGTAACACATACACCAACTTCGGGGTATAAAACGCTCATCGTACGCTACGATAACCAGGAAGGTAAACCAGCCTTCCGACCAAAGCAGTCGATCCAAAAAAGGTGCAATCTATCCTAATCTAACAACGCTTGCGCCGCAGTCGAACGCACTTTGATCATGCATTTGAAAGGCATGGGAAAACTACACTCGAATCAAAACACGCCTTAGGATATCCGGCACGGAATACCTACCTCACAAAAGCGCTCGTATAGGTATTATTCGGTTCAATGACCCGACCTTCAGAATCCACCGCCTTGGAGAACGACAATGTCGAAACCATAGATGCAACAGCAATCCAAGCAGTATTTACTGCAAGATAACGGCCAGGACAGATACTATAATAATATCATTAAGGTCATTGGACGTGATTATATTACAGGGTGCGTACCGTCTTCCAAAACCAAATACGACTGTGGGTTCAGGTTGGACTTCTTTACCATCTTGGGGCATGAATCGGTCGGGATTGAACACCAGAGGGTTAGGATAGTCCTTTTCGTCGTGAAGCATGGCCCTACGTCGTCTGTTAATCCGAGGCCTCAATATCATAGATTAACTTGTGACTGACCAAACATTGCCAATAACAGTGGCGCCTACGGAAGACCGATAAGCGTCAACTGACAATATCAAGGGACTCGGAACGTACCCGCAGGGATGTAATATCCTCTGTAAACATCCTCTTCCATGGTACGATGAGCGACACCTAACATCAAAACTAATGAACTCAAGCATACTCGCAAATCTAAAAGCACGTACCAAGTGGTGCAACAGGTTTCCATCTCAGTGCTTCCAACACGATGGCATCAATATAGGGCAGCTGCGGATGGTCATCGAAATTCGGTAGACGGGTGCCATGACCGATGACGGCATCCACCTCAGCTTGGGCTTTAGCTTGTACCTCTGGGTACAGAAGGAAAGCGAGTATCACGGAAAGAATGACAGACACGGTCTTTAGAAGGATTAGAGACTGCGAATGATACTTCGGAATGAAAACCCACTGTGTCAGCTCCCGCTAATCAAAGTTTAGCATTAAATCAGATGCTCAACAAGGGCGGAGAAATACCTACCAGAATAAGCAACCGCAGCCGTATTCCTAACAATTTCGAGGTGCTTTGCATTTTCTGATGATTCGTTCTTTGTTAAATTTTCCGCCACAAATGAAGGGGGTGCGTTGCCCTTTGCCTTGATTAAGCGTCAATATGGATCGCAATTGATATCAACCAACAAGTAAGGACATACCAATGACTCCATCGTATATCTAAACGGCTCTTCTGTCATATCCTCAACGTCTTTTCTCCACGCGGAGGCAAGGCTCAAGAACTTTGCACCAGGCGTCCATCCTTAATGACGCCGCCTTCAATATAAACCCCAGGCTAGCGGTCAGATAAAAACATACGCACGCGGAAGGTACTGTAAACTGGGAATGTAATCAACGAGGAAGGCTCCGATGATCGCAGTGGCGCGAATGCTTTCATCAGCCTGATCCACCAATTCCACGAAGTGATCACCATTTGGATCTACATCATATCCGTAGACAGTTTTCATGATGATGGAACCGGCAAGGCTGGAGGACTGTTAGTTTCCGGCGACCAAGCTACATGGATACGCCCCGCTTACTGGCGGACATGCTTGACAAATGCATCGGGAGATCTATGCAACTGTTGGAGCAAGTCTAATGTGGCTTTCATTTGCACAGGGTAGTATGCCGGGACAGCACGAGGCTGGAAGTATTGGTGAAACATTCGGCGGTGTTTTCTGTGAAGAGAAGAAGGAAGGAGAAGAATTAGACCACACGGTGGTTGCACTGACCTCCACCAATCAGAATATCGCATAAAAGCAAAATTATTGTCCCATCCCGCTAGCTTTAACATGGTGAAATCTGCATGATATTATCAATCCTCAGACAGTATAGTATCATCCATCCTTACCCGGCCTATCAGAATAATTCCCAGAACGTCTTTCGAACAGATCGGTCGCTGCCTGAACCGAGTTGATTATAACGGTCGGATTTCCGGGCGTGTCCAGATATAAGACATCGCCATAGGTGGCAGCCCATCGAGCATAAGTTAGCCATGGGTAGTCTACGGGAACATCCCAGAGGTTCCCTATCAGGGGGAGTCCCTTGGGTCCAGGAGGGAGAGGTAGTCGTCGACGATTAAAAAGGAGGGACAAACGATATAATACCAGGGCACCAATCAGAAGAAACGCCAACAGGAGAGTCGAAATCATTGGAAGGAGTTGCCGTGGGTGATTTCTCCCTTGCTTCGTGTCCTTACGAAGTCATATTTGTCACTAGAGAAGGATTTATTTTGGTTCTCTGTTTACATTTGAATGGGAACTAATGATAGGCTCACATGAGCGTGAACATGTGCTTATTATGGAACACTAGTTGGCGTAGCCCAGCCCACCGGACATACCGGTCTCTTGATAGTGTTGCATCGTCTCTATGTCAAAACCTGATTTAGAGTGGGCTGGAAGAGACTGTGCGCTGATGGCGTATGTCGACCTGGTTGAAGGCGAAAACCAACCATAAGATTGGTCTGTCTGCTTCTATGCGAATTGCAGCCGTTCCGCACATCAAAGTGACATAAATACGGTTGAATCAGCTGCATATTCATGAACCTCGAAAGTATTAGCAAACTGTATGAATAGATGTCAGGTGGATTTGGATTTGTGTTAGTGGTGGCATTGGTAGGGGCACGAGGCAATCAGGAATAGCTAGGGTCACGGTCCTGATACGGCGGCGACTTCAGTTCAATGACTGTCGGAGAAGAGATGTCATGACATTGACCTTGACTTGTCCTCTCCTGGTGAATGGAATGAAGACAAGGCAGCGATTGTAATGCAAACCGGATCCGCGGCAAAAAGGTGTGGATGACGTGGATCCTTAGTGCGGTGTTGTCTGGAATGGTAGTGGCAGATATGGCATGGGCGGCAAGAGGTGCGTCACCATCGTCCCTGAGGCTGATGCTCCATAGTCGCGCTCTTCGTGGCCCCGCACTGGTAGGACGTAGGTCAGAAGTTGACCAAAATGACGAATGAGCAGGAGCGCGATTATTCAAGGATGTCTTGAGAGACTCGTAAGAGATGTGGTACCAATCCCTGATGATAGCAGACTTCAAAAGGTTATGTATCCAAGGTAAAGAGATCACAAGGTTTTCACGATATAGTAACGAACTCGCTAGCCTTTGAGAGTATGACCCGGCGTGACTGTTAGTATGCTGGTGTCATGCTATTCGAACCGAATACCCGCATATATGCGGTCCCTATGCGAGGGTTCAGTAAAAGAAACTATCACTTTCTTCAGCACTCACAGAACCTAGAATTGAATGCGCAGCCGGTTTCCGTAGTCTCCCTCCACCTCGACATGAAGATTTAGCGTCCCGAAAGTTGACTAGCCCGAAATGGGTCGTGTAGAAGCGAGAAATATTGGGGAAAACATGCCGTCTCTATGGTGGCTTCGGTGCTTGAGCTTGAAACGCTGGTTAATCGTGTGTGCAAATGAACCTCATATTTTTCTCACCAACTTCCACAGAACAAGCGTCGTGCTTCTGCCTGGCACACATTGATCCTCCTCTTCAATCTCATCAGCGTCACCGAGTAAAAGTTCGGCGCCACCACATGCATACCAAAACCTTAGGCAGCCTAGATCGAAGATGACATTCTAAGCTCTGAAAGTTGATACGTTCGACGTGTATGCGCAGTCCTCTGGCGAAGCTAGGGAGGAAGGTCTGCTAACTTGAAGGCTTTTCGGATGAAGTCGACCGGAATGTTACGGGCTTGCTATGGTTCGGACATGCAGCTTATTCCTGAGGATGTTGTTATTTTCAGCAAATGTAGATAAATGGCGAGGCAGACCTGAGTTGTTCGCAAGAGTATCAGCCTGAACTAAATCCAGCTGAACATATCTGACATCGAGACTGTGTTCCCTTGAATTCAGCTCTAATGTGACACGACGTTGTGGTCAATGGTGCTGCGTCAGCTTCGAGACGGACACAAGCACAGCACTGTTCATGACGCTCTTCAACGATGGACACGAAGTCAGAGAGGTGGTGTCACGGTCCACATGGATCCTTGAACTTGAGTCTGATGGAATAAAAGCGTCGCCAGATAATTGGAATTGGAATGAGAGAAAATGGTCGTCGTCGTGGTTGAAACTAAGGTTAGACTCCCGGCCCGAACAAGGCCGCTGCTTTACTAGACGTTGAGAGCAGTCCGAGCACGCGAGGACAGCGCTCATAAGGTGCTGACTAAGCGGCGAGAGATCGTTGGACATCTTCCTCTCGCAGTCAGCACCGCCAATCTTCCAATTCGTTGCGACTTGTTCTCTTATTCTACAGCTGCTAATACATCTCTCTATTGCCCATAAATGTCACAATCAGCCACCGGTGCTCCTGCGAACCCAGGGTCAGGTCCAATTGGCGCGATTAACCCAAAGTCTCCGCCGAAAAGTTCTGAGGATATCGCCCTCGATAAGCTACGGGCGAAGATGAGCAAGGAGGTGGCTATGAGAAACATGAAAAGAGCAGATAGACGAAAGGAATTGACGGCGCAGGGAAAGGATCCCAAGGATGTCTCAGACGACGAAAAGGATGAGTCCGACGTTCTCATTCACACCGTGCGTAAGGCAGTAGAAGTCAAAGCGGCATCGGCTTCTCCGGTGAAGGCTGCTGCCACTATTGCTTCATCTGCCACCACTGCAACATCCATGGACGCCACACTTTCGACGTTTTTCTCTGATGCCATGACAGAGAAGAACAAGACGGCCTATAATCCTAATGACATTGCCTTCCACGAGGATTACAAGGCACTTTTGGTTCACAAGATTTCAATTCCCTTGTCCATGTTTCACCCGTCCTATTTACACACGTTGCAGTACTCCGACGACTCTCTCCCTCGGATCAAGATTACTCGAACTGGATCAGACGGTACCAGCAAGAACTTCAGTGTCCTCGACATATCCAAAGCACC